AAAGACATACCTCGCATCAAAGTTGACAAGCAACCACTTGTGCATATTCATGTTGAAGCTGTCCACGCCCTCAGCAAAGTCCTTCGCGATGTACTGCCACTCGTCCGCCACGAGGGCCGCGCCCGCGTATGCCGCATCAATATGAACCCAGATCCTCTGCCAATGGGGCTTCTCGCGCAGCAGCGCCTTGATTTCCGCGAACCGGTCCAAGGCACACGTGTTGGTGGTTCCCATGCCCAGCGTGATGAAGTAAGGCGTCAAACCGTCCCGGTCACACTGCTCAAGCACCTCGCGCAGTCCTGCCGCCGTCATCTCCAGGTTATCCTCCAACCGGGCGGTGACGCTGCGGAAGCGGGTGCCGGCCAGCAGGGAGCCCTTGGCCGTGCTGCTGTGCGCCTGATTGCTGGCCAACGCCACCAACCGAGGCCGCAGCTCCATCATGCGATCCTCGTACTCAATGGTATCCGGCTTCAGTCCTTCTGCCACGACCTGCTCCGTCACGCGCCGCTCACGCGCTGCGATCATCATTGTCGCCACGGTATCACTGGCGGTCACCTGGATGACCCCGCCGCCGCGGTTTTCCGAGGTACTCAGAAAGCACTCTGGGAGCGCCAGGGCCTTGGCAAGCCAGTCCATCACAATGGTCTCCAGCTCCGTGCAGACCGGCGAGCAGAGCCAGTTGAATGCCGGGGCGGTGAATGCGGCCGAATACATCTCACCCAGGATGCTGGGGTAGGTGACTCCGGCCGGGAAGAAGGCCATGAAGTTAGGCGACTGCCAGTGTGTAAGGCCAGGTTTGATCTTCTCCTCAATGTCGGCCTGGATTTGAGACCATTCTTCTGGGTCTTCCGGAGGGTCCTTGGGAATCAGGGGACGGAGGTAGCCCGGTTCGACGGTGGGGAGGACACGCTGAAAGGGGAGGCCATCGAAGTAGTTGATGACTGCAGATAATCATAGATGAGTCTCTTTGAAGCGCCAATTGCATGTTAAGGAAGACTAACTCTCATCCACTGCAGCGTAGGCTGCTGTTCTGAACTGTTCGCGATCCATGTGGGTTGCGTGTGCGGGGAAGGACTCAGCAAGTGTGGAAGACGTCACTCAAAGAATGTTGGGAAAGAGGAGAACGAAGCGCTACAATCCGAAATGTCCCGAGCACCAGGTAGAAATAGTCTATCAACCAAGAAAGTCCCAAATAATATACAATGGCTCTGGCACGAGTGAGATGCAGTGTTTGTGAAGAAAAAGAACAACTTTTTATCGATAAGCCCACTCACTCAGTGGTGGGTACGGTAGTTAGAGGGGTTTCACTTGTCATTCAATTGTCAAGGGCGTGCCATTCCGCAATCAATTCCGCACTTCCGACATTCCGAAGCTACAGTACACCCTTTCTCCGATTGCCTCGAATAATGTACCCTTCACTACACGATCAGCACCACATGGCTTATACTGTCTCAAGATACATTTAAACTCCGCATACGCCCCGAGAGAAGGATAGGGCAAGCCCTAGCTGACGATCAAGTGCTACACGCCTTTGCTTTGACATCCTGCATATTTCTAATCAGTAGCCAAGCCGGAAAGCGCAGGCTAATCGATAGTAAGTGTGATCCGTATGCTGCTGTCGTGAAGAGGAAAGCAGATCGCTTGGTGACCCAAGGCATCATTTCGCTAATGCTTCGTGCTAGAGTTGGCCAAGCACATCTCTGCGTACTGTCAATTTGCTTCGTAAAACAAGCCTGTGGTGGTGGAATCAATGTCTTGTAGTTAGTCAGCTGGCTGCGTCAAAACCGGCAAGCCGGTTAAGCGTGACGGTCACAGTCCTCAGCCGAAGCCCTCTTGAACGATCTGCTGCTCACCGAGCGTATTCGAGCATAAAATGCTCAGGCGTTGCAAGGCATTCCACGGTGTATGGTCTAGCACATATAAGGTTAAGATTATATCGAGGATGCAATGGCCTGGTCTTGGAGAAGCAAAGTTTCGAAGCAGGGCCCCGTGATTGGATTGCAATAAGTCCATCCCCCTTTCAAGCAAATTGTCAATTAATGACTGGAGGAGGATTGCCAAGGAAATGGGTGTCCGTCAATTCATTCAGTAGATCGGTCCAATCCGTATTCTCTCGCGCTAGATTGTTACCGCTCTCCAGCAAGTCTGACCAGATATCTTCAAGTTGTCTGTCAGTAGGAGGCGAGCTGGTGATTGCGGTAGCCATTGATCCACTCAAGCCAATCGTAGTCGATGCATTATGGTAAACTCCCGTCGTGCCTGGGACGACGCATGCCGACTCTTCGACCGAGCGAGGTTCCAGCATCGTATCAGATCTATTACCCTCGCCTCTCCAATGTTTCTGCAGCACACGCATCATTGCGTTGATCCCTTGTCGCACTAGGGAAGATGACTCGTGCGCCCTGCTTAGCATGCGGCAGGCTTCGAGTACTTCCTCCTTTCTTCTCGCCGCTAAGATGTCGTCCCAGTTGAAGCAAGCATCCATCAACAAGATGACAGCCGCCATGAAAACATGGTGGATAACACACCAGACGACTGAAACTGGCGGTTGATAGCCAAGATCACCCTCATCCATTATCCTCTTAATCTCAAGCACTTTACGAGCGGACCGGAGGCAAACAACATGCGAATATGCATAGGCAGGCTCACGCGCACCCCGAATGAAGTGATGCCGGTGCAATCGACATAGCCGTGAAAAGTATCCTTGCTGCAGATTATATGTCTGCCATGCGATTTCCGGTCGTTCTTTGTAGACTGACTCAAATCGACGCCGGGAGCCCGGATCAAGGCGGAAGAATTCTGGACACTCAGCGATCAGCTGGTGCAACTTTCGATCCAGATCGAGTATCTCGCTGTATTCCACCTCGAGGCCATGAAGATGCGCATGAGATCTTATGTCGATGATCTCCCGGCATAGCGTCGCTAGCTTGAGGCGCTGGAGAGCGTAAGACATTTGTGTAGGAACGGTGCTAGGCAGCGACGATACTGTGCCTTCCTTCTCTATAAGTTCATCGTCGATGTTGGAGGGTTGATGAACGTTCATATGATTCTGTTGTATTGAGTAGGTCCATTCTTGGGGACCAGTCAAATTACCAAGGAGCCTTTATTCGATTGTCAGCAGTCCACACTATCGCTCTCCGCTTATTGCATAGCTCACTGGCCTATCTGCTCATGTTGCTTGTCACTATGCAAAGCTCAGATCAAACTCTCTCGGGCGCCAGCAACATCAACAAGGGTGTGTATGGGGTATCAGATGGGAATATGATTTGAACCCATGGAAGAATCCAGCATGAAGCACAAAACTGACGTAGCTTACCAGTCGTAAGTTACCAGGTCCCACCAAAGCCGCCTTTTGAGCTCTACTTCGAGAGGGTCAAAGCCGGTCCCCTCTCTTTCCTCGCGTAGTCTCGGCGAATCGATGCAGTGGAGCATTAGAGCCTTAGCCTGAGTAAGTGTCGTCCCAAGCGCAAATAGTGCGCTGACGGACGGGTGTATATTCCAAGTACAGAGGTTGTGCATAACGATCATGGTCGCTTGCAGCCCCTCAACTGTTGGAGACGCAATAAAGTTGCACTGGATTAGGGCCGCACCCGTTAGGTAGGAAAACTCGCGGCTGCAAGCTTCTGCATCGGTAGAAGTGTTGAGGGATAATTGCACGTATAGAGAGCTTGCTATTATGCTGAAAAGGAGCGCGATATGGTCTAGAGCCATTGTTTTTCCCACTTCTACCGAGTTATAAATATTCTCTATCTGAGACTTGACGCGGCTTGCAACGATGATATGGTATAAGGGTCCGACGTAGTCGACGTAGTACTGAAGTAGTGCCATCGCCTGGGGCTTATCGGGAAGACAGGCCACCAGATTGATTGTTGCGGGGTTTTCGGTAGAAGCAGACCAATTTTTGTACAAGTTTGCAAGAGACGACCCGGAAGGACCAGATTCAGGAGTCAGGATCGAGTCTGTGGTCCTTCGAGGCTCACGCTGCCCGTCACGAAGCCAGGCTGGAGTGACTGCCCCGATCCTCGCTGCCATGTGAATATTTTCCAGCCAGTCGGCTGTCTGTAGCAACTCCCTATTGTTCTTGGAGTCCAGACTATTTGTGGTTGCAGAAGAACTTTCGCTTTGTTGGCTCTGATTGAGGAGAGAGGTTCCATGAGCCGATGGACATGTCTCTCGAATTGTGCCATCCCCTGCGGTCGTAGCGGGCCTGTCATACCTACAGCATAGTCTGCGCGCTGAACAACTTCCACATGGGAGCTGTCGGTCACACTTGATCTTTTTCGCCCTGCACGATGCACAGGAGACAGGGTCCTGCCGAGGTGTTCGCTTCAATTGGCTGTTTGCAGTTTCTGACGCGGCCTTTCGCTTCATCTTGCAGTGTCTGCAGAGCCCGGCGCGAAACTGGATCACCTGATCAAAGAGTTATGAGCCTTGAAGTTGTCTCGAGAGAAAATCCATGTAGCATATCTCGTTGCTTGTCAGTCACGGTAGTGGATCACAAAGATGCGGTATTTACGGGGCCGTTCGATGGCCATTGCTCGGGACAGGCTCGGAGACCCCGCGGAGGGTCCGAGCGCCGGAGTGGGCAACAAGCAATAGTCACAGTACTATAGTTAACTTATACGGTGTACTGTACACACAGTCATTCACTGGCACTTCCTCGGAGTTTCCGCGCATAGAAGACTACCTTAGTGCTTGGAAATTATTTAAAAGCTTTCAAAGGGCCCCCTTGCGATCATGATATCACTCAATCTCATATTCCAGACCTTCTACTATAATCGTGGAACATACGATTGACCCTTCAGAATGAGTGACTCTGACCCATCTCCAATGGATGTCAAGCCTACTAAGAGCGAATTCACGTCTGCTCTCACTGTAATGCTTTTGATAGTTCATCGAGAAGAGCTAACATCTTCAGACCGCAAGCATGTCTAATGCTACTAGGCTCGTTCACTGGCGTATTCTGCACAGTTGGTTTCGTCAATTCGTTCGGTCTATTTGAAGAGTACTATGCAAAGGTCCAACTGGCCGGCGAATCCCAGTCCACCATCGCTTGGATAGAAGCAGTTGCAGTATTTTTTATCTTCTCTGTATCAGCAGTGTCAGGCGCCTTGCTCGATGCGATTGGGCCAAGAGTCTGTCTTTCCAGCAGCCAACCCATCTGCCAATATATCCTACTTAGCTAACTCTGCCCAACAGATCCTCCTCCTAGCCGGTAGTGTAGGGTCTGTTTTCTCACTCATGATGACATCCCTGTGCAAAGAGTTCTATCAATTCATCCTCGCCCAAGGCATCCTCCTCGGAATCTCCCAGTCCCTCCTAACCTGCCCCATGGTAGCCCTCGTGAGTCAACACATCAAAGTCATCCGCGGCGCCTCTCTCATCAGCCGCATTCTGCCGGGCTTCTTGGCGGACCGGTACGGGCGCTTCAACTGCTGCTTCGTGGCGACCTTCCTGTCGGGGCTCATCGCTTTGTGTTGGACGAAGGTGACGTCCGTGGCGGGATTGGTGGTTTCCTCAGCGGCGTATGGATTCTCTTCTGGGGTGTGTATTGTACTCTCGGTCTGCCGGTGAGGGGTGGAGTGGGGGAGGCAACTCTACTAACAACAAATTTATAGGCTATATTGTCGCTTCAGCAGGCATGCGCGCTGCAGCTGGCGACTCCCCAGAACATGGGTCTGGCAGTCGGGGTGGTAATGGCCGCGGCTTCTCTCTCGTAAGGGCCTTCCCTAGTTGTGAAATTTTATAGGGTTATGATGGTTGATTTGGAGTGGAATGTTTTAGTGCTATGGCCGGAGTTCTAATTAGTGGGGAGTTGGCGGAGAAGTATGGGTATCTGGCGCTCTCCATCTACTCAGGCGTCAGTCTTTTGGTGGGGAGTCTGCTGCTGCTGGTGGCAAAAGGTGGTTCAGAGGCCGGGGGTGTTTGGGGTGGTTTGATTCTTTTTCTGTCTGGGGGTGAGATTGGACAGGAACTAGCTATGATATTAAACCCGAACTATAGCTACTGTGAATACTCAAGTATGATAGAGTATATGATCTCAACATTTACTCAATTTCAAATCAACTCCCAATCTTATTCCTGGCAGACCCCCGGAGGAACAGTCATACTTCCCACTCTCCGAAAGCGACGATATCTCGCACCAGCCCCTAACCCCCTCTTCGCAAACCCCTTCCAGATCTCGCACCGATTCTTACCCCCTGTGAGCGCCACATCGGCGTCGAGAATTGCATCTCGAGCTTGCACAAAGGTCGGATTGCACGGTTGTCTGTATCTAGTCAGCGTACCTTTCCTTACAACACGCCCCTCCAAAGAAGGATGGATACGCACAAGGCCATCCCATCAACCACCAACTTCATAGCCAGATACCTCCCATCCATTGCCCGTGGGGTTGCCTCACCACGAGTCCAGGGATTCCCACCCAGACCTCCCTGGCTACTAAACCCATACCGTTCCATCAGGTTCCACATCACTTCGTACAGCATGGACGCCCACACCGTCCCGATGGCATGCACGCCCTCGAACTCATTGACGTGCGTATACATCAGTGGGTTCTCCAGCATCGAGGTCGAGTACGGGTACGCGCGCACCCCGGCCCCGTTTGCTTGAGCCCACGCGCCCACCGTGTAGGAAGAATTGCGCGAGTCACCGGGCTTCACCCGGATGGCGGTAGCCATGAAGTCGCCCCAGCCCTCGCCCATGCCAGCGGACTCGAGGGTGCTGAGACAGCCGGCGTTGTGGGGGCCGCCTGTTAGACGGGTTGATACTATGTGTTGTCAGTCCTCAATGACGCTATATGGAAACAAGAGGGAGAGGCTTGGCGATATAGTGAAGGAACTTAGGCCACGTACAGCCATGAGTGTACTCGTGAATTACGATCCCCGTATCAAAGCTCCCGTCCCGGATGGTATCCGTAGAGGGACCCGGTTCAACCCACAGGAACATACACATGCGGGCGGGAATCCCGTCGGGAGGAGCTGCAAAATTCGCGTTGTCGGTCCCGGAGCCGTCCTGTGCATTGAGGATCACGTAGTCGTGGGCGCGGCCGCCACGCCGGCCATTGTTGAACTCGAAGTTGCCGGCGGCTTCGGTGAAGCCTAACTGATATAGGAGGTCGTGGTAGGCGTTCACGGTATAGAAGAGCTGGGTAATAGAGGCGTTGATGTAGGCGGCGGGGGTGGTCTGGCTGGTGGCGTAGGGATAGTGGAATTGGAGGGTCGGCGATGAGGGCCGGTAGTTGTTCCTGTACGAGCGGCCGCCGCTGGGGTTCCATTGTGCGATGGCGTTGTTGCCCCTCGTGGTGGTGTAGTTGGTGATTCCATCGCTGTGCCAGGTGTAGGGGGAGGAGGTGAGGTCCCAGGGGTTGCTGACGATGCTACGAGTGCCTTCGCTGGGGTCGTTGGTACCCCATGGACTTGGATTGGGAGGGTTAGCTCTGGAAGCATCGAGATGTGGTTACGACTCACTAGACTTGGTATGATGCCTCGTACACGTAGTCGATTATGCCGTGAATTGTGTTGCTGGATGCCGCATCGACGTAACTTATAAGCCAGTGCTCGTATATGTCCAGCTCGATTCGCCATGTCAGGATGAGTTTATTGGCAGATGTGATCAAGTAGACTAGGCGAACGGTTGGGTCGGATACCGCTCCAGTCCCGGAGAGGACGTACGTGTTGTTGACTGGCCTGGTCGAGAGGGGATCGACTGCAATGGGAAGATGCAGTGTCTCGATCACTGTGCGGAAAGCAGCCCTTGGGTCGGAGAGATCGGATGGTGCTGGCAAACTGCTGGCGGAGAAGTCGCCTGCGAAGAACGAGTTGCCATAGGAGAAAATCTCGCCGTTTTTGCCAACCTGACAATATGAGCGCATTCTCCCGGATTGAGTATCGATTGCTTACATTGACGTTGAAATCGGCATTCTCAATGTCGATGCCATACAGAGTCTGGCGGTAATACACATGTCCTATCCCATTGTCCCCAATGTAATGATTGTCAATCAGTCTGAAGCTTGTCTCTGGTGCAACCACCCGCACGAGCTCTGTAGCACTTTGCACATAATCTTCCTTGACGATGGAGGAATGATACGGCGCAAGGCTACCTCTGATTGAGTAATTCACGTATTCGGCTCTTGGACTCAAACGAAAACTGTTGAGATCCACTGCATTCCTGGCTGGCCTTTGGTGAGGATGGCCGGCACACAGGAACAGAAGCAATCCCAAGGCACCTTGATACAAGAATGGACGCATTGGGTCGGGCTATTGGCAAAACCAGGACTGAGATGCATTCACACGTCAGACCGAACAATTGAGGAGGTGTAGCTCTCTTCAGGAGTCTTGCAATGGCTTAAAAGGTGCAACGTGAGCCTGAAGCACGTTTCGGGTGCGTGGATAGCTTCGCTCCAAACGGGGCTGTTGTCCTACAAAAGCCTGGCTGTATAACACTACCAAGTATAGTAGTTTCACACACAGGAGCTTTCTGTCACATTACGAGAGACGATCTGCACCAGCAACACAACGCGCATATAGTAGTATCAGACGGTACATAAGTTCGAAGCGGACTTTGTCATCTGCCAACCGCTACGTCGTAGAAAATCCCCATGAAGAGTTGTGACAGGACCAAAGACCCTTGAAGAAGAACCATGTCGTCCGTATTGAGCTCTCAAGGAACTCCATTTGCAGGCCAGGGCCCGAGACAATGAATGCCGAGACATAGATGTGCAGATATCAAAGGCTTATAAGTGTGCTCTAGTTTTCGAGCCTTATCTTTGGCATGTCGCACGGTAGCCTGAAAGTCTAATCAGCTTGTCACTGGGTGAGAATTTGCCGACAGTGCCAGTAGACTGACTCTCCTGTAGGATGTCGCTATTTCTAAAAGACTCCTACTATTCAATCGTTGACATGGTTTCTTCATGATCTGCTTAATGAAGTTTCCATTGGCAACGTCCTACAACAGTATTTGCCAAAAGAATATTGTGTCTATTGGTCTCATTTGGGGGAGGTGGATGCAGCAAGTGTAGAATTATGATCTCCGACCACGCTCATCTATGTGTTGCTTGTGATAATTCGAAGGCGTGTCATGAATTCGAGTGCGCACTTGTGGGGCAGTGACCTCGACTCTGTCATGGGTAATAGACCAAGAGCAAGGTGGAGTAAACATTGGCAGTGTTCAAATCACATTTGTGTATGCATAGCGCAAGTCCATGGCAGATGAGAGCGCGTATAGTCTCATCGGGGCTCCAGCTGACCTTCGCATTGGCGTCTTTGAGCAGGCTCAGCTGAAAGGAGTCGTATCCACGACAATTCCTGCTGCGTATACAGCCAAGACGTAATCTGAGATCATAGGATACACTCATATGACATGAACTTGGGTCTTTATCATGCTTGTCCATGTTACATCTAGTCGATTTCTCAATGTCCTTGTTTCTCTTGGGAATTCTTGAGTCTGTGAATGAGCTTCTCAAGGTATCTGTGCGCGACGAATTCAACGATGAGGTACTGCGGAGACGATCCGAAGTATAACAGCAGCAATGGCTCCACGATCTTCTTCAGTGGGCCGACAAATCCACGGTCATCGGTAGTGAGTCCCTTTCAGAACGAAGACCGATAAGTTTCGAGTGACGGTTCCAGCGGGCGGCGGGTATCACTTCAGCGCGATGGAATATGTCGAGCTAGCATGGGACCGATGAATGTTCATACGCTTGGTTGCTGGTGCGATACTTCGGGATTCCAGGCAGGAGTCTAGACCGCCCTTGGAATCCGGGGGAAAAGTACGGCATCATCCTGTCTTTGTTCAAGAGAGAGATGAGTCAATGGTCAGAATGTTCATGTATCGCTACCACCGACAGGAAGTCCAACAGGAGGGAAGGAAACATGCGGCTGATCTGCAGGTTCATGGGCTCGGAAAGTGACAGGGACTGGGAAGAATGAGGTGGTACAATAACGCAAACGCCCCAAAAACCGCAACACACACACACAAGGCACGACGGACAGATAGTCGACAGTAATAGGCTATCTATCCCTTGACTCGACCTTTGCATGAAGCATCATGCCATCATGCTTGACGTCGAGGCATGTAATAGATTGAGGGGGATCCATTGCATGAATGAAGTATCCCGATTCGCCCGGCTTGACTCCGTCTTTTGACACAACTCCGTCTTGTAAAGTTAACGGTAAGTTTAGGTAAAAAGGGTCAGTGCCTGAGGGGAAAAAACCACAGACGGTAATAGTACTGTACCTACGAAGTACGCTGGTACTCACTAAACTGTCAGTCTATCCATGATTCCATCTCAATTGATTCGATGGGAATTGTTTCTCAACAACTTCCGACAGACCTGTCACTTCCAAGTCCCTTCCTTCAAGGGCTGCGATCATCCATCCTCGAATGCAGCAGCAGAATCCTTGCGCCTGCATTGCAGTCACTTTCCTAATTAATCGGACAAACTATTGATTTGCCATGGTTGAGGAACGTGGAGACTAAAGTGGAGACCTTGAGTCCACTCAACTTACAGTACTTCGCCAGGTCCCAGGCACGAACTCACCCACCCACACTACGGTAAAAGTACCTCAAAGATCAGCCCCTGAACTCCTGAAAGGCTGCAAAGACACCACTTCTTCTGTGATTGATTCTCCTCTTCTCTGGATCATGGATGGAGATTCTGATTGACCACTAATTTCGCCCTTTTCTAGCCTAGTGTCCCCGCTGTCTGCTCTGTAGAGGAGAGAGATCATTCAGTCTAATCGTCGCATCCCCGGTCTTCCCTATCTACGGAGTAGTTAGACCGTTCACTTCCTCTCCCCATCGGTCGCGTTGTGAGCTTGTCATCGTCGTCGTTGTCGTTGTTCCTCCCACTCCCCCCTCCCCTCTCTCCTCTTTCCCGCCTCCACGCACCCACTTTTCGCCTTCTTTCCTCTCCATCCGTGATTTCGTGAATTACTGCATTTCACCGTGATCAGTTCCAGAACACACCGTTGGTCTCCAATGCGGTGCCCGTCATGTCGCTCAATGGGCTCGATCATCCCACCGTCATCGAAGCCTACCAAACGGCTCTGACCGAGGCCGGCGGATGGTGAGTCTCCCCCCTCTTTCTTCGAGTCATCCCCTGTGCCGCTGTTACCCCCGGTCGCAAGGGTGTCCAGAACCGATCCAATCGCACAGACAGAAACTCATGCGCAGGAATCTCGTCATTTAGGTTTCTGCTTCGGTATGTATCAAGGGATGAGGTAGCTCTACTGGAGCGAGGCACAGGTGGGGTTCCGGACGTGCGCAATGCAATCGAAGGCTATGAAGAGACGTCACCGCTCTATGGCTTTCTCCAGTACCGCCGGCGAAAGGTCGTGCTCAGCTATTTGCCCGATGGCATGTCTCGGCTTGTTCAAGGTGCGCGCGACCTTCTTCAGCCCTTCGATGTCGACCTTGATTTTTCCTCCACGCTGACGCAATGATCCCCCTTCCAGCTCGAACGACTGTACAATTTCAGTCTATATTAGACAATTTCGCCCCGCATGATACGGTCTTCTCCGTGACGCAGCCATCGGACCTCACTGAAAGTGCCTTGTCATCCGCATGTTTGCTACATACGGCTTCCGGCTCGATTACCTCCTCGTGCAGCTCCCTTCGCCGTCGCAAACTCGTGGAGATTGCAGAAGATTCGGAAGAACAGCCTGTAGACAAGGACACGCCACCAGCAATACCACCGATGAGCGAAATGCGACAAAGATCCTACAGTCAGGCTTCCGAAGCCACAGTGGTTCCTCCTTCCGTGGTATCTAGTGTACAGCAGTCCCCCATTGGTCCTGAGTCGAGTGTAACAACTCTGGAAAGTGTTCCGGGTAGGGATCGGGCCTCTTCCGTAGCCACCTCGGAACGTGCACATTCACATAGAAACTTCCAGGAGGACGTGGCTCCAGCCGCTTCGGAACCTCGCAGGTCGTCTCAGTCGACTCGGCCGTCCATAAAGGAGATTGAGCGTGCAGCTGGATACATACCCAAAGCAAAGCTGGGCCCACGGCCGTCATTGGATGGAAGTGGACGGCCTCGCACGGCAGGCAATCTGTCCCGCTCTGCTGACAAGAGGCCGGTAGCCTCATTGCCAGCTGGTGTGCGGTCGTCCTCCTTGCGCAAGGCTAACCCGAGTCCTTCTCGACCTCAGTCCCAAGGGGGCAGCAGCACACCCGCAGCTATCAGAGTGCCTAGCTTACCACCGTTGCTGGTGCCTCCATTGTCAGCACCAATATCTAGACCTAAACTTTCTCCGGGCGCCAAGTCTCTGAGTGCGCTGTCATCGGGTGCATCGCAAGAGAGAGAACGGTTGATGAAAGCACTTCAGTTGCGGAAAACTCAATTGGCGAAGAAAGCAAGGGAAGAGAAGAAGAACGAAGTTTCCGAAGAAAAGGGGTCGATCAGATTGGATCCGACCGAAAATAAGGAGAATACCAATTGCCAGGTCCCTGAGGAACCCAAACACCAGGATAAACCGGTACCCGTTTCGGAACCCGGCAACAACCCCCCATCTGAAACCGAGGGAACCATGACTCCGGGGGGACTACAAAAGGAGGGAGGAAGCCCTGCAGTCTCCAGTCTAACGAAATCTGAGTTGGCTATGCCGCAGGCTGATACGGTGACCCCTAATCTTCTTCCAGCATCGAGTGACGGCAGCCAGATTGCGGCGACTACTGAATCCTGGCAGTCCGCCTCCACCCTGTCGGAATCTGAAACACACACTTGGAAAGGGGCCTTGGCTACCGACGACGACGGGGAGACTACGGGTGGCCCCTGCACGTCTAGTGCCGTAATCCACGGCCCACCAGAGAACGATTCTGGAAAAGCTCCGAAGGAAGAAATTGTTGACCCCTCGCCACCCCAAACGGACGACGACTCTCTTGTTCCTGGTGAACAAGAGGTCAATTTGACATCAGGTCTAATTCAGGCCCCTCAGTCCAAATCAATTCCTCGGCCCGATTCTCCCTCTTTCATTTCACGCCCAACTCCCTCCCCCGACTCGCCGTCGATCCCCGTGCCTCATTCTCCCGAGCCGCAGCATGACCTGACCCCTGAATCCTCGAGTGTGGAGCGACAGCATAGTACTACTCGAAAGGAGAAACGCAAACCTTACCTTGAACCCATTCAAGTACCTACTCCAGACTACTCTGATGACGAGAACCTTCTCTCTGACGATTCTTTCATGGAAGAATTAAAAAGTGCCACCGTGGAAGAGGCCAAGCCGATCTCGGTTGGCATCTCACCCCTCTCCCCCGGATACTCGAATACAAGCAACGGCAACACCTCGCCCGACGCGTGGAGGAACTCCCGTGCCGTCTCAAATCCAAGCGCCATTGGACACCAACCTCCCGAAATGCAGGCACTAGCCATGGGTCGGTCGGTGTCGACCTCGTACGCCGATGCGGGGGACAGCAACAGTCCCGTCCTGGTGGCCAAGAAGATCAATGTATCGTCTGGCATCTCCAAACGCATCAAGGCATTGGAGAAATTCTCCAACACCCGTGAAACCACCTCTACCGCAGGCCAAACCCTGGCCGCTCCTTCGTTCGAGACTCTGCGTAAGGGCTATTCGGAGGCCTCGACGATAACGAGACCCGTGTCCTTCTACCCCGAATCTTTCTCTCGCACAACCAGCCTGCGGCGTCCTGTATCTCAGGCCGGTCCTGGTCTCACGCGTAGCGCAAGTTCGGTTTCCGTGACCACTCGCATTGTTCGTGAACGTCCTTCCACAGGAATCGAGGCGCCTGCCGATCCCTCCGAGCAAGGTTCCCTCGACCTCCAGGCTAGTCCCTTGATCGTTGAGCATAACACAATTCTTGATTTTCCGATTCCTCCAAGTCGCTCTACCGAGCCGACGATTACACCACCGGAGGAGCCCAATGTCCCCGCTACCTCCGAAGGATCAGTACAACAGCCCTCCGCTACGCCAATTTCTCGATCCGAAAGCAAAAAGTCTCATTCCTCAATCTTAAATATTGAGGAAGCAGTCGACGAGACGCCGCTGACTGACATTCCCTCTTCTCCTGACGAGAAGAAGACTTCCCGCACCTCTCGTCTCCTCCGCCGAATGTCTTCTATCACATCCAATTCCCGGAAGAGTGTCATGGCTGCTCTCAGTCCAGCAGTCAAGGAGGAGACTCCTTCTCAAGAGAAGCCGGCAGTGGCCGGTGATGCGCCCCAGGCGATTGATATTGGCGAGGTCAATGTTCAATTCCCGGATACTCTGCTATGGAAGCGTCGCTTCATCCGCATCGATGACCAGGGATACTTGGTATTGACCCCTGGAAATCTTGACTCCAGCAATCGCAACCTGGTTAAACGGTACCATTTGACCGAATTCCGGACACCTTGTCTCCCAGATGAGGATCGACAGGAGCTTCCCAACAGCATTCTCTTGGACTTCAATGACGGGAGCACTCTTCAATGTGCCTGTGAATCAAGAAATGGCCAGTCTATCGTTCTTCGAAGTAGGTTTTCATTTTCACTCACACCCAAAATCGAGTTGCTAACCTGGAAACAGCACTGGTTGATGCTCACCGGAACTATGGTCAAACCCTTGCTCAATAGTCCTCTGCGTTCATGCTATAGAACACTCGCATCTTTTCTCATCACTCAACATGCATACTCCTGCGCCATCTTTCTATATCTTGTTACCCGGTGTTTTCAGCGGTATACCCCTCTAAAATGGACCATTTTGATAACCAGCTGTTTTTCAGTATCTGTATCAATTTCTTTGATTTCTGCACTTCCTACATCTCCCTTGGAACCTTCTTATGGTCACCTGGCAGTGGGACGAAGCAACATTTCAATGTGGGCATAGACCCTTCGTCTTGATTTGGGTTTCATTCTGATTCTGTACACTTTACTCTTTCAGACACGAAAGGTGCTCTGTTCGAGTCTGGTTAGCAAAACGTTGACTATTGAGATGTTCGAATCTAGTGAGTTTTGTTGGAGTTTCGGGACAGCAGGCGACAGCCTCAGTATGTTATTATTGGGTTTATGGACGCTTGATCCTCCCGGCGGAATGACTTATCTACGACCAAGTTGAGGTTGATGAATCAAGTAAATGTTCCACCCATTCCATTGAACGCCGAATCCAGATCAGATATATATTAGGAAGGTATAGTCAGGATGTTTATCTTGTCTCGGCCTCGTTTTCAGCAGCTCTCTTGTCTTCCCACTCCTGCAGAAACTGCTTCACTTTGGGACCCCAGACCTCCTCGCCGGCCTCGAGATCCTTGTACTCCAACACCTTTTCGGGCTCCAGAACGAAGTCGGCTTGGCGGGAGCGGACCAGGGCGCTCATCATGCCACAGCTGCCCACGGCCTTACCCAGATCGTGCGCCAAGGAGCGAACGTAGAAGCCAGACGAGACCGTCATGGTGATCTTGACCGCGGCGGGCTGGGGCCGAGCTGAAGTGACATTCTTCTCGGGGCTGGAGGGCTCCGCTGCCGTCTCTTCGGACTGCGCAGGCACGCCTTCGCCTTCCTCAGTCACCTTCACCTTCTTGGCGGCAGGGACTTCCATAGAACCCTCGGCCGCCACCGTAGTAGCAGCAGCAGCAGCAGTAGCAGCACCACTACTACTACCTTCCTCAACTTGAGGGCTCTCAGTAGCCGCAGCAGCAGGAGGAGGAGGAGGAGGAGGAGGAGGAGAGGCAGAAGCCTTACGCTTAACCGATGTCTCGGCAACAGCCTCTGTTCCCTCCCCCTCAGCAACAGCAGCCTCCACCGCAGGCACAGCGTCATCCTTCTTCAACATCCGCTCTGCCACCTCCCTCTCCTCACCCTCGACCTCCGCCTCGGGCCATTGATACTCATGGGTGCCAGGCTCAAACCACTCGACGACCCTCAAATCCAACACCTCGACGGGCCGCGCCTTAATCTCGACGGGGGGCTCCACACCCTCCCTTGCATACTCATACAATCGCTTCCCCTGCACCCGCAACGCACTGAATATAGGCGGGCGCTGCATGATCTTGCCCCGGAACTGCTCGAGTGCCTTCTCGACCGCCTCGCGCGTGACGTGCTCGTACGGCGCCCGCCGCACCACCTTCCCCATCACATCGTAGCTGTCCGTCTCCGCGCCAAATAGCACCACCGTCTCGTAGGTCTTGGTACATCCCAAAAAATTGTTCAGGAATTTCGTCCCCTTGCCGACGCCCGCAACCAGCACGCCCGTCGCCAGCGGATCCAGCGTGCCGCCGTGGCCGATCTTCAGCTCCAGCCGCTGCTGGCGCCGCCGCCGGCGCTGGTATTGGTTCTCACGGTCGCGGCGCGCACGCTCGCTCTCCAGCCACGGGGCGAAGAGCTTGGAGGGGTTGAAGTGTTTCTGCAGGGTGCGGATTACGTCGGCGGAGGTGACGCCTTGGGGTTTGTGGACGGCTGGATAGTAGACATGATTAGTTACATTCACATCTAAAATCATTGAGTGGGTATAGGGAGGTTTGGTGAGAGAAGCACGGAGATGCATACCGAATACGCCTTCGTAGATCTTTTCTCCGCTCATGGTGGTGCGGAAGAGCTTGAAGCTGCGGGGGAGGCCCATCGGCAGCGAAGGGGGAATGATGAGATTGTCCGTAGAGGGCTCACGCAAGCAGGTCAGTCAGACAATTGAATTTTTTGACCTGTACCTATAACAAGTAAATTGGCACAATTGATGAAACAAGTAATTCAAACTCAAGCAAAGATAGATCCGGGGAAAAGATTCTAAAGTTCGGATTCTGCCGGACTGGTCTAGACGGTCAGCCTGGCGGTCCCAGGCGGCAGAATGCTGTCAGAAATGACCGCCCATCCGGAGTAAAAGAAGGCAGGCCTGCCGTCATGCGCCGGTAATTACCAGGGATTCTCAATCCACCTCTCGCATCTTGAGGTGTAATGATACGTAATTCGTCGGATCTCTTGCTCGAGCTGCTGTCGGTACTGCTCTCTCAGCTCCTCCTCTTCCTCCTCCCCTCTCAGCTTCCCTCGTTCTTGTCTGTCCCTCTTGTCTGTCCCTCTTGTCTGTCTTTTCCCATTTATAGATTCCTCTCATTGTCCTCTTGCCTTTAACGCCCGCCTCAATTTGACTTTCCCTACACAAATCTCACTTAATCAGCCAGGGCAATCATCGTTCGGGCTACTTTCTGGTTCTACCTCACTCAACCTACTTACTCCCTCCCTCCACTCCTAACTACAACATCAATACCGCAGATAACAACATGCTCCCCCCACCACCAGAGACATGACCTCGCGCGAAGATAATGTCCTCGCCGCCCGCAATCCGGCCTTGACTGACGAGAATGAGTGGGAGGAATTTAGCCTGTCTGAGGTCCGTGTTCTGGTCCCGGGTAAATCCCGCTATGCCAATCTCCTCTCAGCCTCGCCGGATTACCCTGTTCAAGTAACGGGGTGCTTGGATGAGGTGGAGGAAGAACAGGAGTCTTTGGGTGTGTTCCCTTCCATTTCACCCCACTCACGCCGTGTCGGATTTCGTGCTTCAGCCAAATGTGGTAAACTGACATGATGTGTCCGAGGACTTTAGTGCTCGATCCCGAATACCTCACCAAACGCATTGTCCTCGACAACGTCACGCACTACGCCTACGGCCAACATAATGATGGGGAGGTCGGGTTCTGGGTCGCGGGGCGTGCGGGATGGTTCTCCATTTCCCCAGCGAAGGGCTACAAACCAATGTTTAATGAAGTCGTGGAGGCCATCGATCTGTTGTATTTTCTAGCAGACCGACATAAGCGGAAGAGGGGAAGGAGGAGGTTCGGAGGCCCCAGTTTGGAGTATCTATGTGAGGAGGTAAGCAACCCTTTTCTGTGTTGTGGTGAATCTTGATCTAGCATTGGCCCAAGGGACGGGTAGAAAAGGAATTAAAAAGCCCGAGACAGGGAGGACAAGGCGTGGCTGGCGCGCGCGCATGCTCGGGATGCATGGCGATTGGATGTTTCAGAGCTAATGTCTCGGCTCACTGCCAATCTGCCTAAACAGTATGTCAGCCACACACATGGAATCTGCGAGGATGCCGATGACTCTGCCGAAGTGTTCTACAAGCATCATAGTTTCTTGCTATCGCGGATGTTGAAAGGCGAGGAGGATGTGCAATGGACGACAACTAGTATTTTCATCCATCTAAGTGAAAAGTTTCCGGTATATTGACCTTTTGTTCCTGGTTTCGTGGTTTGTGATTGCTAATTCCCAGTACTAGGTGGACTACGAGCAAATTAAAGCGCAGATTGAAGGCGTGGATGAGGTCAATTCCGATGAGGAAGAAGAGACCACTCCCGACAACACCGATGATGAAGCATCGCGTGCGGCGGATTCGTCTGGGTCAACGAAGGCCGACGCGAATGCCATCTACCAGGTGATCCTAGATCTCAAGGAGGAGGGATACCTAGCAAAGCGCCAGTTAAATTTGGAACTCGTCGCATCTACCCTAGTCAGTCGCTTCGAAATTGAGGACGATGAATATGCGCGTAGTCGCATTGCATCGAGCGCTGAAGTCATCCTGGAGTTGATGGACGAGGCCAAAACGTCCTCATTTGACTGGTCCAGGAAAGTCATTTATCGCGAGCTGAAGGCCGCTTCCAAGCAACATGATGGAGCGTCTCAAGAGGCGTTTACCCCGCTGCGTCCGCGTCTGTTGGAAGATGAGGCATCTTCTCCTGAAGACAGCGACCAAGAAGACCTTTCTCGAAAGCGCAAGCGTCGAGTCCTCAAATCTGTTTTACGGCCGAAGAGTACGGTGGCCACGAAACGAACGGGTAAGCGCACGCGTAATGCGGCAACAGACACGGACGAGGAGTCCACCACTAATGCAGACGCTATGGACGAGTTTGAAACGCCTAGCAAGGTGCGAGGGCACGACCTTGTCCGTGATCCGCTGTCAACCCGCGCCAAACGTACGACCAGGTCGATCTTGTCCGACTCGGAGTCTGCAGTGCCTACCATGCAGAAAACCTCGCGTCAGGACGTCCTTCAAAGTCGGAATACATCCGTCTCGGCCGCAGATATCGATTCACTATCGCATGAGGAGCCAGAAGTGGATGGTGCGAACGGCGAGGACGTACAGTCGGATACTTGGACGTGTCAAGTCCGAGGCTGCGGCAAGATCGTATACAAGTGCAGTACTAAACGCGGCAGACAGCTAATCCAGGACCATTCACTGGCTCACGCGGATGACACCAAGGCGAGGCTTGACCTTGTCTTTGCGGAACAGCGACTCAACATCGGCCTTCCTGTGGACAATCTTCTCAGCCGTATCCGAGAAATGGCAGGCGGTGATGAGGCTGGTCTTACGAGCATGGAAGGCGCGCTCAATGGCGCTTCTGACGCAATGGGAACGTGACTGGCAAGCATAGAGCAGTAAACTAAGATACCCGCATGAACGATGACATGCCCTTCACAGCATTGAAATGAGTGTGCCGATGGTCTAGTCAGCATCACATCGCGCGCTACGAGGAAAGCCTAGTTAGGCACCTGCGGCGGGACCAGCATTTCCTCCTGCAGGACAACATCCGCGCACCGCGATTAAGATAGCACAGTCTTTACTTGCAGAGGCAGGAGATTCGACAGGACAGACTCAAACACCATGATCGACGCTGGATTGACTCTGTGAGTATGATGATGGGTTTGCTTCCATAGTATGACGATATGATACCACAACGAGATACCACTTTTAGCCCTTCCAACTACGCACCAAAGAATGATAAGATTTATCAATGACATCCAACCGTTACCATGGATTAGTTCAATATACACAGGTTTCATAACCTTGGTCGAAGCAGTCATGGTGTCTAAGTGGGTAGTAAAAATTGAACAATTGCTTTTTGTGAATAACAACCCAAACGACCTCTTCCGGTATCCGAGCAAGCTAGAAAATGAGAATAGGGTAAATGTGGAAATGAAGAAAGGGAAAAAAAGATCAAGCACGACCTTTGGCAGCAGCTCTCCTGCTCTTGCCAGGTCTCTTGGCGCCACCACCGCCACCTCCTCTCGAACCGCCCTTCATCTTCCGGACGGAAAAGTCGCGCATATCACCACTCGAGAGGGCATCACCGCTCTTGGAGTGGCGCTTCTTGCCGCCGAAGCCGTATTTCTCGTTCTTCTTCTGACGCTTAGCGTTGGTGGTACCGTCGCTGCCGAAGGCGCGTTTCCGGCTGTTGGGCTGGGCGTCGTCGATGGCGATGTCGAACATCTCGTTGGCGTTGTCAGCCTCACCGGAGGTATCGGCCTTGCGCTCTGTAGTGGTAACCAAATTAGTCAAATTGTTCCCCTGTAGGCTGTAGGGTCCAAAACCAAACCGCAGGAGGGGAAAAGCATACTCTTCTTCAGGTCATTGATTTTCTCCAGTGTCTCACGCTTCTCCTTGGCGCGCTGCTGCAGTTTCGCGACCTGCACCTGCTTGCCGAATTTCTTGAGGTCGCGCTGCTTGCGCGCCTCGGCAGCGGCCTTCTTGGATGCGGCCTCATCGTACAGCTTCTTCTTGATCTTGTCCATGTGCTCGTCCGTCTTGACCATCTCTGCAAAGTAATCGCCGGGGCGGGTGAAGGGAATTCCCTCTTTCTTGAGCAGGGAGCGCGCCTGCGTCGCGGCCGCCTGGCAGACCTTGTAGAAGGCCAGCTCGCGGGTCAGGTCATCATTGGCATCTGGCACCTCCATCTCCTCTTTCGAGACCAGCGAGTTGTGCTCCGAGAAGGGGGTCTGGGAAGAAATGAACGAGATGCGCTTGAGCGAGGCGGTGATGGCGGCCGAGTTATTGATGGTGAGGCGTTGGTGCGGGACGACGTCTTCGCGCTCGTCGTCTTCGAGGTCACTAAGGGGGATATCGGATTCTTCGGCTTCTTCATCTTCGTCGTCTTCTTCGGCGTCTTCCTCGGCAGCGGATTCTTGCTCTTCGGCGGATTCTTCGTGTTCTTCTTCTTCTTCTTCTTCTTCTTCTTCTTCGTCGTCGTCGTCGTCCTCAGCGTCCTCCTCGAGCTTCTTCTTCACCTCCTTCTCTTTGTCATCTTCAGCAACGCCTCCCTTGCCCGCCTTCTTCTTGTTCGCCGCCCTCACGAGCTTCTTCTGCTTCTCGGCGTCATAGTCTCGGCCGCGGTGCTCGTCCAGAGCTTGGAGCAATTTACTTCTCTTGGGCATTTTTGCTGTGCGATATCAATTTCCACCAAAGATCGACGGGAAAAATGGAGGGAGATATGAAAACAAAAGGAGAAAAGTGGTTGGCAGGAGAAGGTCTTCGGACTTTGGGGACTTTCTTGAATCTTTTGCGGCGGGAATTTTTTTGGACGGCAGGCTAGACTCTGTTGGGGATAGTGTGGAGCATCCCTACAGGTGAGGCTGTGGGGCGAGTTGGTGCCTGAAACTAGGTGCTCTGTGGCCTGAGGCAGATGTGGCTGGCTCGTGCATCTGTAACTATAATAGTGCTTGAACTATACCCGGTCATTATACTGCGCAGTTGATTCTGATCTCCTTGAAGCTTTCAGGCAAAAGCTTCTCCGCTTCTCTTCATCGGACGTAGTCTTTCACTTTGTTTACACCAATCCCAAATCAATGAGTTATTGAGCTCAAACCAATTAACAATAGAGATACGCTTGCATTCTCCACCAGAACACGACCCCCCCATTCCATCACCGCACCAGTACCACCTTCCCTCTCCCCTCAGACCGCCCATTTCCAAGCTCATATGCCTCCTGTATCTCCTCAAAAGCGAAGATTCGATTGACCAAAGACACCAACCCACCGTCCTCCGCCAACCCCGCCACAAACCGTAACGCCTCCGCACTCCCTTCAACAATAAAGAACAGCGCCCGCACGCCCTCCCTGCGTATCCCCCGCTGCGCATGCCTCTCGACAAAGTCGAAGCTGCTCGAGTCGACCGACACCAACACCCCGCCATCCGGCTTCACATAATCCCAGCACCGCGCCAACACCTCCCCGCCCACCGCATCCACCACGCTATCAAACTCAGCTGCCCGGGTGTCCAGCGACGCATACTCGACCGTCTCGTCCGCGCCCAGATCGACCAAAAACTCCCGGTTACGAGCGTCTGAGCTCGTCGCGGCGACGACGTAGAGCCCGCCAGCGGCGGCGGCGAGTTGCACGAGATGGATTCCCACAGCACCGGACGCGCCTGTGATAAGGAGCTTCTGCTTTGCCGGTAGTTTGTGCGCCGCCTCGTCCTTCTCCTTCTTCTTTTTCTTAAGGTTGTGGATCGCATCGCCCAAAGAAGGCACCCCGATCCCGGCATGCACGAACAACGCCTCGTACGCCGTCTGCGCGCTGAGCGGTAGCCCCGCCGCCTGCGCCCAGCCGAGCCCCGTAGGCTTATGGGCGATTTCTCCGGTCCGCACAACGGTGTACTCAGCCCAGGTGGCGGCGCGGTCTGCGGGGCTCATGCCGAAGACCTCATCGCCCGGCTGGTAGGCGCCGGAGACTGTGTCCTTCGAGTCGAACACCTCGACCACCGTGCCGGCGAGGTCGTTGCCTGGGATGGTGTACTCGTGCCGGTAGGTTTCGGGCCATGTGAGCATATCCCGGACTATGGTTGTCGCGTGGACGTGGATGAGGAGCTCGTCTGGGCGGGTGGGCTTGGGGATGGGGATGGCGTGGTCGAGGCGGAGGGCGGAGGTTGGGGCTGGGTTGGTGGGGGAGTAGGCAGGGTGGGATGGGGGAGCTGGGTGCAAGCGGATGGCTTGCATCTTTGGAGCTTTTCTCGGTGGTGGAGAGTGGGAGTGTTCTTTGGGTAATGGTTGGGTATGTGTGGAGATGACTTTTATAGATTCTGTGTCTGGCACCTGCGGGATAGGCTATCGGCAACGAGGGTTTACAGGAGTCCTTGCGACTGAAACCCGGATGCAGAGCTACATCGCACAGGCTGATGTCAGGTGCCGTGCTTGAAACAATATCCCTGTACTTGTCGATCCTCAACATGCGAGTCTTGGCCTGCGTGAGTATCCCGTATCCCGGTTAGGCTATCCGTTGTATACCCGTATACCCGGACACGAGATTCCCAAGTTCAACTCTGTATCCCCCGAAGACCAAAGTATACTTGAGATGTCAGCTCATAAGAATGCAGTTTCCTCCAATCTCAACTTAAACCTCTTAATCCTTGAGCCAGCCTTCAAGCTCAAAAGCTAGACAGTTACCAACTTACAGACCAATTCCACCCACCAACCAACCAGCCTCCCCACCTACCTACCTACCTACCTACATACATACCTAACTCAATGGAGGAACCAACCTACGATCCAGGGTCCGTCACACTCCCTTGAACCCCCAAAGCACAATCTGATCAGAGTTCCAGCCGCCCCATGGCAACAACCACCATCATCTACCAACACAAACTCGCCAACTGTCCCGGCAGAACCATCGTCGGGATGCTGGTCAAGTGCCCGCCGAACGGCGCCACGCCGCCGCACCGGCATGGCGGGGCGTCCGTGTCGGCGTACGTGATCCAGGGATCCGTGATGTGCAAGATGAACGACGAGCCGATGCGGCTGGTGCAGCAGGACGGGTCGTGGTACGAGGCGCCGGGGTGCCACCATCGCATCAGCGCCAACGCCAGTGAAAGTGAGCCGGCGGTGTTTGTGGTGAGTTTCGTGCTGGAGACCGAGCTGTTAGAGAGGGAGGGACCGGGGGTGTTGGTGCAGATTGATGAGGAGTACAGGGAGGTTGTCGCGGGGAAGAGGAAGGGGTGAGGGGTTGAGTCGGTTAGTGGGGGTTACTTGAGGGCATGGTGTTTTTCAAATGGGTTGGTCTGTTGAAAATTGTATGCTCTCCGAAGTTGTCGTAAGCGACAGGAAATCGAAGGCGTGTAGATGTATGGCTGAAGATGTATGGTGTGAATGAAGTACAGTAACTCCGTATCTTTTGTAGTTTGTATAGAGCAGAGAGACTAAACCCGAACGGGCACGCCATGCCTTTTCGGGTACTTTGCTTGTTTGCGACTCGACTTGCCTTCACTTCAACTTCCCGATAAATTCACTGAGATTTAATGAAAACTTCTCGTTCAGAGTTACAGTTCATCTCACAGACCGGACACCAAACGAGAGATCGATTCATCCAGCTACTTTACTTGGATCCTCAAAACTTCTACCTAATAACAAGCTCAATCCCCGCGTCGAGAAAAGCGGGCACCTCCGTCCCCTCGCCGCGCCGCCACGCCGCCATTTATGTACTCCGCGCCCCGTCGTCCCTCGATATTCCATCAGCAACCTACATACTTGCACATACAAACTTCTTCCACTTCTACTTCACGAATTATCCCCAAGCCTGCCTACCTTTTTGGTATTGATACACAAGCAACAGATTACCAACAATGACCGAAGAATCCAAATCCCTGCCACCTCCACCTCCACCCCCACCTCCTCCTCCAACCTCCACGGTCTGTCCATCCCACGCAATCCCAACACCCACTATCATACGACCACACCCTCACCCAACCAGCACAAACAATCCCCCTTCGAACCGTACAAACCACAACTAACACCCAGAAGACCCTCTCTCAAACCCAACAATCGCCCACCCCTTCAAACACAAACACAACCACCACCAACGCAACCACCAACGCAACCGAAATCCAATCCGAACTCAACGCGGCCGTCGACGACCTTCTCGACCAACTCCAACATAAATTCGACGGTGTCTCGCGGGATATTTTCGCTAAGTGTGCGTGGCCGCCCTTTCATTTCCTTTCCCTTTCCTTTCCCTTTCCTTTCCCTTTCCTCTTTATTTCCTCTTTCCCTCTACCTAGGAGGATCTAACCGGGGAGAGAGTTTCTTCTCGATGCTGGGGGGTTATGTTCAGACTTCTGCTTCGGCTTATATGCGGTATGCGGTATGCGATATGCGGTACGCGATGCTAACTTCTCTCCTTTGGGGGGATTGGGGATGTAGTGGACGATATGGCGCGGAGATTGGATGAGTTGGAGGCGTCGTTGGCGCTGTTGGATACTTCTGGTTCTTCGGGCGCTGGTGCTGGTACTGGTGCTGCGGGGGGTACGGCGTCCGTGGTGGAAGGGGCTAGGAGTTCTAGTCCAGGGAAGTGAGTTTTCTGGTTGCATTGGGTTCTTGGGGCTGGCCTGCAAGTGGCTGTTTGTTGCGTGGAGTTTTTGTTTTCTTCTTGAAAGTTTGTTGGGTCAGTAGGTTGCTGTGGATGAATTTCAGAAACTGGGATAGGACGTTTGTTCGAGAGAGTATGGGGGATGTTGGTGTGGTAGGCTGGTTGGTGGTTTTACTGGCAGTTGGATTAAGATACCCCCTACTAGTTTTACTTGCGTTGCAAATCGATTCCTTTCCATTTTATGTTGAGCACATGCCTTGATACTGAGGGAAGACCTTCCATAAGACCATTTTCATAATTCAATGCTCTGCTATTCCCTGGTATCATACAAGGATTGACAAGTCCAAGACATTAGAATAAGTCCCCGACAGCAAGCAGTCTGCCGCAAGCGCCAGCCTGCCATTCTCCAAGCTAAGCTCATTGCTTCTATGGCCGACATCACATCATATCATGTACATCTACAACTCATCCTTCTCCTCGGGAGCATCATCAATGACAAACAGGCGCAGGATGTTGCTGCGCGACACCAGGTCGTCCACCTTCTCGGGTGCGGAGCCGCCCTTGGCGATAAGCTTCTCCAACCGCGCCAGCTCCTTGGCGACGTACCCGGCGTTTTGGCTCAGCTTGTCGGCGACCTTGACATAGTAGGGCGCGTACTTATCGGTCAGCCCCGTGGCGGCCTTGGTCAGCTCGTCCTTGAGGGTGGCGGAGCCGGCGCCGGCAGCGGCAACCAGCTCGTTCAGCGCCGCAACAGTACCGGCTTGGGCGTTCAGCCCGCCGCCCACGGTGCGGTGGGTGCCGGCGTGCTCGTTGAGGAAGTCGATGAAGGCCTGCTCGGAGCGGGCACCGGAGTAGACGGTCGCCTCCTTGGACCCGCGCGGGAAGAACTTGATGGTAGGGTATCCGGTCACCCCGTTGGCCTTGGCGGTGGCCTTGCTGTTTTCGCCCTCGGCGTCCACCTTGGCGATGACAACGTTGGCTTCACGGGCGAAGTCGTTGGCCAGGGTTTCCCATGTAGGAGCCAGGCTCTTGCAGTCTGATTCCCCATTAAACTCGTTAGCAAGGAATTGCCCGATCAAAAAAAAAAAAAAAAGAAAAGAAAAAGAAAAAGAAAAGTGGACACCAGAAAAAGAAAACGGGACCAAGGAAATACATACGTCCACACCAAGGCGCCGTGAACGCCACCAGCACATCCTTCTCGCCACCGACGACCTTTCCAAACGTCTCATCCGTCAACATCTCCACCAAGCTCGCCTCCTTAGCACCAGCACCACCCTTGGCCTTCACGCCGGTCTTCTCCGTGATGAACGCTGACAGGCTCTCGAGATCCCGGCCGCCCTTGTAATCCTCCGGGGTGTCCGACTTGCCATCAAACCACTTCAGCGTTGGGAACCCTTGCACACCGAACTTCCGGCCCAGATCACGGTGCTCGTCCGCATCCACCTTGGCGACGGTCACCTTGTCGGTGGCGTGCGCGAACGCCTGCGAGAGCTCCTCGTAGGTCGGGGCCAGGTTCTTGCAGTGGCCGCACCAGGGGGCGAAGAATTCGACCAGCGCCGGTTTGCCGGACTTCAGGACAATGTCATCAAAGTTTCCGGGGACAAGGTCGACGACGGCAGCCGTCGCGGAGGCGACGAGGGCGAGGTAGCTGGTTAGATGGGTGAGGCGGACCATCTTTTCTTTTCTTTTCTTTGTGGGTGTGTTGTGGTGGATGGAATCGGTGGAAGAGAGAAGGAGGGCAGGTCGTACTGCCGATGATGAAAGCGGGAGGCGATGGTGAATGATGGGGGAAGCAACAAGCTTCCGCGGCGGGTGAAAGACTGCGGAGGCCGATGCGGGTCGGAAGAGGACACTTGGTAAGTTATCATCACTAAGCAACTGCCTCCACATCACAACCAGCTACTGCTTGCTACTCACTACAATACAACCTTCCTTTCTTGTCTACCACTAGCATCATGGTTAGTTATGGGTAATCTGATTGGTAATCATTGAGGCTGGGGCATTCGGCGCTATGGAGCGTCATGAGCCAATTCGCCACTGCCACAATCTCGGTTCATCCGAGCTGTTACTCCTCCCGAGTAAATAATCACACCACATCTTCCGTCCCGTAGAGTTCCCCACTAGATGGCAATATCTTCATCAGCTACACGAGATCGAATACCACCTCGGACTACTGTTCCCCCGCACAGGCTCCGTGGGTACGGCCACAATCCTCTTCAATTGGTCGTGATGTCGTTCGTTGCTGGTTCTGCCGGTTTATCGGCTGGCTGCTATTGTTGATCTGCGTGTCTCGTATAGCAAGCTCGCATCTTCCAGTCGCTCCTCACCGTCGCTCAGCGAGCCAGCGGTTTGCCTCCTCCCACTTCTTGCTGTCCTTGAACTCTCGGCCTGCGTTTTGTGATGCCCGGTAGACCTATGCGAAGTTCAGTAACGTAGTCAATCCATCTCCCTAAATTACCTACCGCATCCCAGAGCTTGAAGGCCATGTCGAGATTGTCTGTGAAACTGTCGCTATGCTGGAACCACTCCTTGCCCTTGGCTTTGACCTCGGCCCGAGCTTCGGGGGAGGTGGGATCGGCTTGCAGTGGCAGGTCGTCTAGGTAAGTGCGCACAGCGATTCCCAGACCGCAGTCATTGTCATCGATGAATGGAAGCCTGCATATGTCAGAGATACCCTAGAAGCAATTGTCCAGACCCACTCACTTGGTGCTCAACTCGCTCCAGTCTTTACGGTCCCGTTCGGCGTCGCCGCTCAGCAGAAGCCCCGCGAGGACCACCTCGATGAGGTTCCGTAGCGTCGAGCGAACTTCTGAGATCAAGGAGCGGTAGCAGAGCAGCTGTCTACTCAAGGGGCCCGAATAGCCAATGCTCTTATGCTGTAACTTAGCGATACATGCCACGCGGGACACGAGCATGTTGAAACTCTTGTCCTCATCTACATTGGTCAGTCATCACTCGAACCATTCCGGGCGAATTCCTTACCAGAACCTCTCATGGGGCCGCCCGAGACATGCGAGAACCACTGCTGGGAATTCAAGAGGCCGAAGCGGATCATTTCAATGGCGAGGAATGTAGACTCCTCGAGCGAGTCGACAGGGTCAAGCCCCGACAACGCTTGCTCGAGGCATACTCCCCATGGCGTAAGTTGATGCTTCCCATCAATATAACCGCGGAGTTGCAGAAAGCGCCAATAGACGTTCGAGAGGAGTTCATCTTGTGTTGTCAATGGCTGTTGTCATTAGTCACGTATACCTCAGAAAGCCCAGATAGTCACGTACTTGTGTCTGGTTTGTAGAGGGCGTTTTCGAGCTGAACTCCGGGTGCTTCAAGCTCTGCACTGCAAATTTGAACCGTCCGGTAGAAGCCTGTATATGATTATGATTTAGTGAACGGCCGAACGTCAACTTGCAGGCGGTATCTACCTGTTGCTTCTTCAGGTCTTCCGGAAGCTGCTCGGTGCGGATCTTCCATGACTGGATGGTTTCTTTGATCGAAGGAAGTGTTTTGAGGTTGATAGTAGAGTGGGCGTTTTCGTCGTACCAGGTGCGCACCTGGATCACCTTGGTCTGATAAAACCTGTGGAGAGAGTTCGACAGCAAGCTTATCGCCTGAGTCCGCACGGGTGTGAGGGTGCTACCGGCGACTTCACGGTAGATCTCGGTATCCTCCACCCCCAGCGGCAGGGACACGGAAACTTCACCCGATGTCAGGTAATTGGGCACATCGGGGCCAAGGATCCCCTTGGACAGATAGAAGTAGAGCTCCTCGGGCAGACGTTGGCCAATCAACTCGTGCATATCTGAAGATACATTCTCCGGGTCCATTGGTCCTACTCGTCCATCGACATCGATGTAAACGTGGTGCTTCACCGTCATCAGAGCGCGCTTGTAGCGATCCGTGTACTGGAGCTCCTGCATGCGGCGATCCTCCTCAAATTGAGCGCAGAGGGCGAGGGCACTGCGGCCGGCGATGTTGAACATCGGCACGGCATCACGGACGATCGCGCCCTTGCCGGGATTGAGGGGGTTCTCGAAGATAGGGAAGGTTGGGAGGAATGTGGATCCGAGAACAAGGCAGAAGTCGAGGAACTGTTCATTCGACAAGCCACCCAGCTGCTCCTGGCAGGTCTGCTTGGTGATCCAGAAGAACTGGGCGGGGTCTGTATCAATCCGCGTGATCAACCGTTCCACATCAAAAAGAAAGGCTTCGGAGGATCCGCAGACCGCATCAATCAGCGGGTTCGGGCCTTTGGTCAGATAGGCGAGCTATGCGAAAGAGACCGGGCGTGAGATTGTAACCTCCACGAATATTGGGTTAGTCCTTACCTGAGCTGCAGCACTGTAGGGAGCCACGATGTAGTCAACTCCGTTTTGGTGTAGAATGCGCTGGAGGAACCGGTAGAGGGAGTCCGGGCGGGGGGTGCCTTGGCCATACAGACGGGAGTCAGCGCATGTGATATCCAAAAACCAATCAATGCATGATTGCATACCGGCGCTGCTGAAGGCATCCACTACTTGATCGGCTTGTTGCTGGTCGTAGAGGTCCCAGGCTTGCTCGAAAGCACGGACGGCTTCCTGCTGCACGTGGGGTCGTTGATCCTTTTTACCGAAGTGGAGGCCATTGAACACGAAGACGCAGGCGACGCCCAAGTCCTTGAAAACCTGGAGCTCCTTTTCAATGTTGTTTTTCAACGCGAACGGAAATCCGCCCAGGGCGACCAGAAGGGGTTCGCGGGAAGAGGGGTGGAGGAGGTGCTGGGAAATGTAGTGCGACGCATCGATACCGATGACCGCCCCTTTCAGAGCGGCCAGAGGGAGCGACTGAGTGCGGGTGGAGGCCCATTCATCCAAAGGACGGACTATCAAATTCATGGTACTTAGCAATGTAAGGTGGGGGGGGGACATGAAAGCTCAACAGTGAGCTATTGCGATCTGAGACTCACTCGGCATGGTGAAAGCGGGAGCTCGGTCACGGACTTTAGACGCGGGAACCGATATCAGGCATGGAGAGCTCCAGAGGAGCAGGAAGAGGAGGGGAAAAAGATAAGGTGCGAGCCGCAAGCAAGATATGACGGAGGAGGAGAAAGGGGGGCGAGGGATGGTGAGGAAGAAGGAGGGGGAGAGAGTTGCTGGACAGGCGATGATGCGACCTCCGGATGTTGAAGGCGGAGGAGGGTTCCGGTCGAGGAGAATCACGAGGGCGGTGTTGACGACCGCCAACTGGTGGATCGCCCAACGAACATTCAACTTATATGTTCGATGAAAACAATGTGGATGTTGGTAGAGAACCTGGATATATTCGAATTAAAAAGAGCTTGGACTCGATGGGATTGAGCTGGGGTCCTTGATTTATGTTTACTTTGGTTGTTGTTATATATTTCCCGCAACGTAAACAATCAGGATGATCCATACAGCCCGCAAACTAGTACTATATCGTACTACTAAATGACCCGAGTGAACTGGACCCAACTGCTAGTAAGAGTAGGTGTAGGTTTCTGGATCTCATCACTACTTATGCACTAGTATACAATGCAATGGCACCAACCTACACATACATTTACGCTCCAAATTACTCAGACTGCATCGGCAGCAGGCGATAGGAAGTGGACTATCAAATCGAAGACCAGTACCTATCCAATCATTCAACATCGCCAAGCACCTAACAAAATAGATGGACCAGACAACCTCCTGCATCTAGATGGCCCCATCTACAAGACGAAGGGTGGAAACGCCGTAAGCCAAGAGTGCAGCGCAACTGGACACTCGGCCAGTTGCATTGGAGTAGAAAGTCAGCCATGGGGCGAGTAGTGAGGGAGAGATAAGAACAGGCTCAGGTTGCGTGGCTGTTGCTGAAATATGATGCATTGTGCGGTTGCATGATTTGGGTGTGTATGGAGTAGAGCAAGTCCTAGTCATAGTACTTCAAGGTATATATGCCTTTATTGAAGATATTCAGATCTCGAGTATCAACCTCAAGAAAGCTGTCAAACCCTTCGAATCATACCCATTAGCAATCGAAACGGCGTCTCCTCCAGCGACAGCTGATTAGAACCCACTTTGGAACGGATTGCTGGAACCGAGCCCATTTCCCCCATATCGCGCCGAGCGCGGCATTGTCCCACTGAATTGATAGCGCGCGACCACTGAGTACTTGAAGCCTATGAGGCCCCGGAAATCTTTGTTTCATCATTCATCCGTGGATATATCCAACCTCTTGCACAATATGACAGACGCCACTACCGTCGGAGCAGCCATTGATCTGCCCATCCTCGACATCTCCAACCCGCTGGACCCTAACGCGGGGAAGGCGATGCTGGATGCAGCCACCAAGTACGGATTCCTGTATGTCGACAGCAAGGGGACGGATTTCACCCCGGACGATGTGAAGCGGGCGTTTGAGCTGGTAGGCCTCTCTTCTAATTCTAACAAGCTACCTTGTATAGTAACAGAATGGTCATAAGTAGTCGCAAACCTTTTTCCAGTCCCCTACCGAAGAGAAAGCTACCTGTCGCATCGAACCCAACGTTGGTTACCTTCAGTCCCTAAACCAAGAAGTCCCAATGGTCTCTCGTCACTGATATGTCCGTCCTCCAGAACCGAGGCTGGTCCGGCATGCACGTAGAGACCCTGGACCCTGAACACCAGCGGGTGAGAACTATACATCATGATACACTTTTGCCTTGTCACGAAAGACCTCAAGCAGCTAACCACTGGCCATGCATTATCGAATACTTGTCTGCAGACGGGTGATTTCAAAGAGTAGATTCCTCTGTCCAATCCGCATCCTCTTCAAGTGAGAGTCATTCTAACAGCCCGCAACCCAGAGCCTTCAACTTCGGCGAATTCATCGACTCCAAAGCCCAACAGCCGCTTCCCCCCGCCTTGGCTCCGCACGAATCCGAGATTGCGCATTTCGCCGACCTGTGCCAGAAGACCTGCGCTCGGGTTCTGACACTTCTAGCTCTGGGACTGGGAGTAAGTTGTCTTATCCTATCGCCCTTGCTATCTCCCTCCATTCCCCCAAGCACCAAAACAAAACAAACCCGCTCCCCAAAGTAACAAGAAGATCTACAGATCCCCAAGGACTTCTTCACCACCCGCCACGATCCCCACCAGGGCCCAACCGGCAGCATCCTCCGCTACCTTTACTATCCCTCCCTGACCTCCCCGGCAACCACCAGCTACGACCACACTGAGGACGTCCGCGCCGGCGCGCACTCCGATTACGGTAGTATCACCCTCCTCTTCCAGCGACCGGGCCAGCCGGGCCTCGAGATCCGTACGCCGGATGGAAGCTGGGCGCCCGTGCCTGTTGTGCCCCACGCGCCCCGCAACCAGGACGACGACGACAACGACGGGCGACAAGCCGAGGCAGAAGATGGGTTCATCTTCCCACCCATCCTCATCAACATCGGTGACCTACTCAGCTACTGGACCGACGGGCTGTTGAAATCCACCGTCCATCGCGTGGTGTTCCCGCTGGCGGAGCAGCAACAGGAATCCCCTAGGGATCGTTATAGTATCGTGTTTTTCTGCCATCCGATCGATAATACCGAATTGGTGCCGGTGGCGAGTGAGCCAGTACGGGAATATCGCGAATTCCGCGAAAGAGAAGCAGCACAGAATGAGACGGTTGGGTATGGGGGTGGGGCCGGGGCGTTGGAGCCGGGGAAGCGGGCATTGACAGCCCATGAGCATTTGATGGCCCGGTTGGAGGCGACGTATAAGTTTGAGGGAAAGAAATGATGGATATATTGTAGAACGGATTAGCCTAGGCTACCACCTCGATAGAATCATCGAAGAGGCTGGATTCTTTCAAGATTCCCTCAGGTCCTGCGCTAGGTCCACAGGTAGAACCACCTCCATAACACTTTGGAAAAACTCTCACATCGAGACCCATAAAGCTGCAGCTTCCAGCTTTACAGCAGGTTCCAAGACAACAAACAAGTGGATGGTATGCACACAGAACTGGAAACTCCTCCAATTGCCCCTCCAAAGGAACTACCCCCCCAAGGGAATGCACGGAGAAATTGACTATCACTGGTTGGGCTGCGCTCCTCAAAACAATAGTAATATGCCTCATGCTGCATCGACGGTCGGCAACACCAAAAAATCCTGGTACCAGGACCATCGATTGGACAAATCACAAAACCATGGAGCGTCAGCCTCCCCTCAGACGCTCCAGAGAAACAACAATGGACATGGTTCACAATGCTAGTTAAAGGTAGATAGAGCTACTCACAAAAAGAAAATCGTCCGGCATGGAGAGACAGTAGCGGACTAGCTGCTCAAATATGATAAAGAAACAGACAAAAGACAAAAATCACACTCCCACACAAAAACTAAAACTGTCATGACCGCTATACGAATTCCATATGACTGAGATCCAGGCCTTGTGCCTGGATTTATTGAAACATGTAGAAAGGGAGAAACAGAGGTATCTTTGTACTGGAACAGGAACGCCGCCGAGTTCGGGAATGCCATGCACGAGAGGGGGACGTGAAACTTTGGGAAACGAGCCGAAGAAAAGACAAACGGGACCAGATGACAGATACGACGCTATGCAAGCCGATATGCATTAGATGTATTAGGCAGGTTTCATCCGTTCAATTCAAGGATTGGTGTGACACCAATGACGGTGACTGATCCAGGCCGCCTTCTGACAGTCTTTGCTGCAGTACTTCGTGCGACGGCACCGGCGGCATTTGGCGAACTGTCGCTGAAACTCCTCCCACTTGCCACATTTCCAATACGCGCACTGCCGGATACCACCCTGAGCCTCATCCTTGCGGCAGAGATTCCTCATGACAACGCAGGCCCAGTATTGCATATCCTTCGTGTGCTGCCGCATCGTGAAGTGTTCCACCAGAGGGAAAATGTTTACATCGTCCGGCTGCAGGTACTCCTCCCCGTCTTCAACGAGCTCAAGGGGAGACAGCTCACCATCAAGAGCCTTCAGCTCACGATCCACTTGAAGCTTCGGAACAAAATGGGTGTTTTGGAAATAAGTCCGGAGACTGCAGTACTTGGAGACATATGCAAGGAGCTGAAGAGCCATCAAGACATCCTCCTCGCGGGGCATGGTTGTGGAAGTGGTCTGGGTTGCGAGGCGGTCGCGAATGTATGTGGAATAGGGAGTCGGGACAACAACAGGGGAGTTCGTATTGTCGGTAGCTTGGGCGGGTGACAACGCCGAGGCACCGTTCGTCTGTGCATCATTGTTCTCGATCATGCTTCCATCAACGACGGAGCGATGGGCAATGTTGAAAGTGTCGGCTTCCTGTCCTTCAGATGAGTCATTGACGGTCAGGTCATGGGCATTCGAGACGTCCGCAAGGACGGATTGCCTCTCTGCAACATCATCTACCTCCATGCGGCTTTCCATGCCGACCATCGGGTCAGTTATCTCGCTACCCACTTCATCGCCCGCTGAGGAGCTGTGTCCGGAGCCCGTCGTAGAGCCTACTGTCGACACATCGGCATTGGTAGCGGTGTCAGAATCACCCGATCCTGATTGCTGTTGCAACAGAGTAGGACGTGACCGAAGTCCGTGCATGTGGATCTGACTCCGCAGCTGCGAAGGACCACCAGGCGTAGTAGGCGAGTCAGGCTGAGAAATAAGCCCATTCTGTAGGCCCGGGAGCATGCTGGGAAGTCTTTCAGTGTCACGCACCGGGCGTAAGCCGAGCCCGTCGGCAGTGTCCATAGTTGCGGTAGACAAAGGCTGCATCACCAGGTGGCGGTGACCATTGTGAGCATGGCGAGGATTGTCCTCAAGCGCCAGGGTTCGCCGTTCTGGAAGAGTAGCCGGGGGCGCACGAGGGGAAGACCCTGTGTCCATGGCATTGGCATCCGCGTTATTGGCTTGATAGTGGGGAGGGATTTCGATATGTGGAGGAGGTGCCTGGCGGCGAGAAGGACGATGTTCAGTGTTGGTGGACTGGTCCACGTAGAGTGGGCGACTGGGAAGACTCGAGGTAGGCCCATGAATGGCCTTGAGGGGGTTTCGGGACGAGTGCCGATGACTCTCGCTCTCGGCTCGGGCGCGCGCCTTTTCCATCACCTTAATATAATTGTCCAGCACGGTCGCAGCCACCGGTACAATATCCGCCTCGACCACTCTGGTCCGTACATTCTCCGAGCCCCTCACTCCAATGTTGACAACGCACTGGAGAGCGAGGCTCCATTTCCAACAGTCCATTAAATCCTTGGTCCGGCCCTCCTTGAGAATGCCTACCAAGCGCTCGACGCCACCATCGATGGTGAGAATATCGCGAATGCGGGCGGATGAGGTTGTGAGATAAGCTAGATGATTGAGAGAGTTGACAAGCGGTAGGGTAGATGTACAATCGAGAGCACGCCGATCGTACAGCGTGGTTGTGATGTTGACCGATGCCTTATTGGCATTCGGAATACTGAAATTGACCTCCCGCATGATGGGCGAGAGGATGAAAGGGGATGTGACTATCGGTCGGTCAAGGAGAACACCGTACGAAGACTCGGATCAGGGCAATACAGCCAGACCCGATGATGGAATCAAATGAATTGATTACAAGCGGTGACCCAGGGAGAAGATTCGATCGATTTACAACGTAGTCATCGGAATCACGGAGAATTATGTACTGAAGTGGGTGAACCGAGACGCTCAAACGCGATCGACGAGGACGAGATGAAATGGAGGATTGTCAAGCGATGGCAGAGCGGGCGTCGAAGAGGAGTGTATTGGCAGCCAAGACCGTCGGTCAGAGTCTGACGGCCACCAAGAGTCAGGGAACGAAGGGACGATGCCGGCGAGGACCCCGGTGATGGTTCAAGAATTTCCGGGTGGAAGGAGAGACGACCTTATGCCCAACGGGGATGAAAGGGGGTGTATATGAATGTTGGGTGGTGGGTAGTACTCGGTATGGGGTTTCGAAGCGACACAAGCCTGAGCACAGGCGACCTGGAGGAAGGAGGAGGAGGAGAGGGGGTGGAATAATATGGGATGGCTGAAATGGAGAGGAGAATTAGGGGAGGGGAGGGTTTGAATTTCTTCGAGGGAGAGAGAGGGAAGAGAATCCAAAGGGAGGGGAGGAAGAGAGAAAGAGAGGGAGTCAGTGAGCAAGTGAGTGAGTGTGAGAGACTGAGTGAGAACGAGGAGAAGGACTTGGAAAAGCGAAAGCGGAGAGAAAGAGAGTCGGAGACTCAATGAGTAAGTAAGAGAGAGGAGAAAGAGAGAGAGTCAGTCAGGCGGTTTCGTCCTTCAGGCTTTTTGGCCCGCCACACCCTTTCTTTGCCTCTCCACGGATGCTGCTACCTAATCCGATTATCATTCTACGGAGTACTTTGTTCATCATCATTGTTGACTTATTATCATTATCATTATTCACGCCTTCGATGGTCTTCCACTGAAACGAAGGGCAAATCTCTTGATCTATTCAATACGCCCGATACTTTGGTTGAGCAAGGAACACGCTCTATTCGATCCTCTCTCTCTCTCTCTTTCTTTCGCCACTGGCAGGCTCCGACAATAATCAAAACAACACAGACCCTCCTCCTCTTCCTCAAATATCAGGACAAATTATAATAACAATAATAATGAAAATGAAGCCTGAACAATTTCTTTTTTTTTTTTTTTTTTTTTTTTTTTTTTGAAATCGGCTAATGCCCGCCGGGTTGCCCTCCTGCCGTCCCTTGTTCACCCTGATCACGCATCAGGATGGAATGCACCAGGCCTCATTTCCCTGAACGAGCGGAGTCCGCCGTAGATCCAAGAGCAAAGATCATCTGGTGCCTCCACCACCGGACTTGATTACTGCTTCGGATGGGAAATAGCTGGTCGGGCGCAATAGTAGAATAGATAGTGGTTTGATGAATTTCCCTTTCTCTCCTTCTCTCTCTTGATCATTTCTTCTTGTCTGTAGGTGTATTAATGCCACGATTCCTGCGTGCGTTCTGAACTATGGCCCCCTGGTTTCCAATAACATCCAGGCCTTGTACTCCCCTCCCACTGTATACATCAGGGGTGGGGGGGTGCAGAAGAGAGGGGTGAAAGAGGGGCTTGAGCCTCGATTATTGGGGGTGTCCCGGAGATCACTTGTCTGCTTACCAGTACTTCAAAGCTATCAGGGTCATCAACAGACACAAACAGACAGCCACAACTATGGATCTCCGATCACATTATTCCGTAAACAGGCATTGACTTCATGTCATACCCGCTGCCGTCATCGGGACAGTATGCAGTACAGTGCACTCATCCTCTGCAAATCCACACTGCTACCACTCTATCCGTTACCTCCTTGATGCCAAACAATTAACACCCATCTCGAGGCTCCAAGTCGAACAGACACGAACCGTGCTGGTCAAATCCCTTTCCCCCGCCCATATCATGCATAATTACACCCACATGCAAGATATTATTAGACCTGCATCCCTCGAGCCCATCCAATCCTCTCCTATATATAACCCGAACATCAAACGGGGATCATTATTCAAGGGAAATCGAAATCGACATCTTTGTCCGAGATCCGTCCCCTCTTAGGAATTCTAATTTAACCTCACACTCTGTCAACAATCACCCGAAGATCTATCCAGCTCTGGGGAGTGCACCACGCAACCAAACCACCCTATCATGTTTGAAGGTGAGTATATGGACAAGGGTGCAATACCCATAATCCTAGTTCTACCCCTCAATCAGCTGCCAGGCCAATTCGCACGGACTTCACACTTTCGCTACCAGTCAAGAGGTAAGCATGCATATCAATCGGTGACTGGGCCGTCGAGTAAGGTAAGTAGTTTAGCTAGTCGATTAATTGACTAGGCAATTCTATGATTAGAAACACATACTGTGTACACCCTTCCCGTCATCCCGCTGGCGACGTTTGCCTTTCCTTGTCCTTGGAGGCGCGAACCGCTGCCGTCAAACCGATCAGCTCTAGATAAACTACTAGGTACTCCGTACTCGTAGACAAAAAAAAAACAACCCTGGTTCAAGTTTAACCGCCAACGGTTGGGGCGAGGTTCTCAGATACACTCACATGCATTACGCGCTCCGTGGACTTTAATTTGATCCATGCTTGCTTTCGCACACCCTTCCTGCGAGACCTGAGGTGACCGCAGGGCTTCTGCCCGTTTCAAATTGGATCGATGTCACCTCGAGATGGCTTCATCGGGCTATATTTAGCACTTTTAAGCGCGGATGCGTTTCTCGAAGGATATCTTGGCTATGGGATGTTTCGGAACGAGGAACTTAAACTTGACATTTGCCATGCAGGGCTCTTGTTCGTGGTGGTGCGATTTGGAGCTGCCTGGGCGCATACCCATGGCGAGGGTTCATTACGCGGTGTGAGGCGCCCGCGGCGAGATTTGACTCGACTGACGCCGTAAACATCCATGTATCTGGCTCCCGCCCAAGGGAGCGATGCTAAAGTATATGTACCCGATGCACGTTGAACCTGGATTTCGAATATGAGCGACTAGAGAGGTTCATGGCTGCTCTCCGGTCTGACACACGGCTTGCGAATTGTACCTCAGACATCATTTGATGGATATTTAATCAGCACGGAGACGCAAATGATTTCACCAGAGTCAATACTGAGCTGCCAATGATGGCAGAGCTTGAATCCTTCCATCACAGAGGGATACCTGGTCTAGGCAAAAGGCGATGGGAGATGTGGCTCACAGCCGCAGGTCTGATGAAATGCTGCAGAGTCTTCCGTACCCGACACTGTAATCGCGCCATTACCTTATGCTAGGAGGCTGACGTGCATGAATCCAGAAGATCTCTGGGTATCCGAGCAGAGAAAAATCTGAATCTGCCAATAGGAAGAGATATATTTTATGGCTCACAGCCAAGGCGCCTTGATCGAAAATGCAACTGTTCCAGACCTGGAGGCTGAGGACTCGGTGGCTGGTTTCTTGCATGATATTGATGTACGAGACTACGAGTAAGTGGGGGTTGATCAAAGCATGTCATGGATATCCAATAGTTCCGCAGTACACCTGTCGACGACTCGACATCCGGTGAAGAAACTGTCAAATACGGGCTATTTGACGTGATCAGCGGACACAGCTAACTCGATGACAGCCATTGTGTAAGCAGACTCAGTTGAGTGCTTAAGTTCGCTTAACGCACGTGTAGGCGATTCTATTAGTCATCTTGCTGAAAGAAGACCTTTTGCAGAGTGCCAGAGAGGGGCAGCCGAGCAGTTAGTCAGGCACGGTTTCAAGCGATCATCCTCGCAGTGGAGCCGCTTTCTCCAGATGAACGATGAAATACAACGAATACCACTACAGTTTGTCAGTCACGCATTTACCTGGCCCGCACCTGCGAATTACCTGACCAAAAAAGGTAGTAGCCAATTTCCCTGCGGCCTGGTGACCCGCTGCCACACACATTGACCATCGGCATCGTGGATCCTGCTCCATCGTGTCTGTTTGCCTTCTAACAAATGTCCGGGAGGTACTGTAGCAATTAGCTGAACCGTGAGCAGGTAACACGAAAAGGCCATGTTATTTGTGGCGATCAGGTGTGGATTACTCAGGTTGAGTCGAAGAGAGGAGGAGGCTGACTCAAGTTATCTAGAATCTCCCGGAAAAGGAGGAGCCAGACTCCGGAAAATTTGACGTAGGTGGATAATATCCTCACGGATACTTCAAATGAAACAACCAGTAGCCTCGCTCCTTGCAACGACAAGAGTTGGTCCGTAATTTAGTCAGAGTCCCTAGTACGATGTTGATATAGAAAAGATCGAAAAATACGTACCTACCTGATTACCGGGAAGAAGTCAGGGATTCCACAGCATAAAAGAACCAAGTCATTTGTCGTGTTGAGGAGAGTTGTTACTGCGCAAGAAATTACCAGTAACCGCAAGCTTTCGAAATTGCGGATAGCTGGCGATGGGCCATTCCATCCATTCCCCGCCCACTCCTCGGGGTCAGGGACAACCCAGCCTCGACAGAACATGATGAAGATCTCTAAAATGAAGAAGGATTAATCTTCAAGTCCTGAGACTGCCCGACTAGTGCTCCGTATCTGGCTTTCACTTCGGGGTTCCGCCTGTAGAACCTAACCCGGGTCTTCCACGCACTCCCTTAGAATTCAACCCGTCATCCAAGATTCGGATCGCTAGTCTAGGCACAAGACATGGAAGAAATATGGAACAGATAGTGAGATAGTATACGGAGTAGAGATGGGAAAAGTCTAATTACAGTAGCCTAACCTAGTCTGTCTTAGAAGACTCTTCCTAAGTTCCTAATGGTACATTCACCGTGTCGAATTCTCGGTGGGTATGATTGATACTGCCTGGATACCTGTAATGTTCGTACTTCGTAGCCCCTGGATGTGAGTTCGAATTTTAAATTACTCGGCGTCAGGTGCTGCTTGCCAACGTGGTCTTTCTCTTATGTGAATGCTTATTTTTTTTAGGACAGATTTGTAGGACTGTTGCTCTATCAGAGCATAAAAGGGATCGGCACTCACACAGACTGATGTGTGTTGCCTCGGAAAAGAAGCCCTGACTCGTGCGAGGCATGGATGGATCTGCCTCGCCTCGGACGGCCAATTTTACCGGCAATGGGAAAGAAGACTTGCTGCGCAAGTTAACCTGCATGAATTTAGGATTTTGTGTGGGTGAGAGACACACGATGCAGAATTCGATAGAGGGATTTAGCGTCCATAGCAGATCTAAAAGACTGTTCTTATCATGATTTTAGGATGGTTCTGTGAATATTGAAAAAGGAGGATTAAACGCGATGCGTTGCCCTTATCCGATCCATAGTCCGGAGTCAATCCCTGCAACAATGCTTTCTTCGAAGGAAAACCGAACCCTTTTCCTCTTTCTTTCTTTCTTTCTTTCTTTCTTTCTTTCTTTCTCATCCTTTCTAATCCGACTCTGCATGTAGCCACGAAATTAGTCGCCTTGTCTTGCTTTCATTGTCCGGCCTAGCATTGTTGGTTTCCGCGTCCGCTTGCCTTCGCGTCCTGCACATCCTCCACTTGGCGAGCAGTTACTAGCTAATGACCAACCAGAAAAGACTCAGCAGACTTTGCTCCACCGGTCTGACCAGGGTATACCTCCTTAGTGTGTTCAATGAACCTCTACGGAGCCTGGTACCTCGCACTTAGCGGAGGAGTTACCGTCCTGGACTAGACTGGCCTGGTAGGAGTTCTCTCCCCTGGAAAGCCTGGAAGTAGTGTCTACCACTCACTTACCCCGATGGTAAGGTAAGCGACGGTACCTTACAAATTTACCAGCTGCATCCGATGACCAAAATTGACTCGTAAACAACACTTAATGGCGCTTCAACCAATAACACTGACTACCCCGTTCCAGGGTGCAGGCCGGGAAGTCTGGCTGCGTACGGTTGCGTATGGTAAGAATCACCCTGATTCTAGGTACCCCATACAATACAGGTACAGTACATACGAGTAGTGTCTGCCGGAAACCTGGAAGATTACTAACCAGCAACAGCTGAAGCATTGTCGCCCAGCTTCCCCTAACCGGCGGGTTCTTTATCATGCACCACCAACAGATAGAAGACAGTCCCCATTGTTCTCGCTTTTTCCCCAGTTGAAGGATCGTCTCTTACCCAATGCGTCTATCGACCTGCATCTATACTTCAAGTCTTCTGAATAGTCGATACATATCCTATACCTATGCATCATATATAATTGTGGCTTTGTAGAAGGACAGAAAACAGGTACCTAGGTAGTACTCGAGCCGGTAGAGTATACTACCTAAGTTATTAGTAGTTCAAGGTACCTTACCTAGTCAGTAGTATCTGACCAAAGCCACCCCCGATCCCAATAGTTCCCTGGCTATACATTCTTATCATTGGTACTCTTTTCTTACCACGGGCTGCTATTGATGACAGACAGTCTGCCACTACGGAGTACCTGTGTAGTGTGTACTCAGTAATACTAACTAACTTAGTTCCACTAACTGTCCGTCATCTGTGCTTGAGGGGGTGGGATTCTCTGCATCCTTCTCCGTCTTCGCCATTTCCTCTAGTCTTGTCTCTCTGGTTTTCCCCTTTTCTCACATTTCCACAACGCTTTTCTCTCCCTCTCCCACTTCACTCTACCTTTCTCTCTCCTTAGATCTCTAATCACCCTTCGGGCCTTTTTTTTTTCTTCCTTGATCACTTTCTCTTCTGTGATTCCCACTCTTTCCCCCCCTGCTGACTTCAACGCCCGAACCACCTCACCATTGCCCCGGGTCGAAACTTTCTTTCGCTCGGTCGCTTCCGCCGTGTGCTCGCTCCACACCCAATCAACCCCCCTCCTCGTTCTCCCTCTCACTTCCACTCCTCCTGCTCCTCCTCCTCCTCCTCCTCCCTCCTTCTACCAACCTTACCTGCTGCTCCTGCTGCTGCTACCGCCACACCACCACCTCCACCACCTACGACCTCACCACTCTACTATCTCTCTTTCCCCCCCCTCCTTCCTCTCCCCCCATCGCTCTTTGTCGTTCGCGCCTCTTCCCCTCTTTATCTCCCTCCCACATCCGTTCCCCCCACCCTCCTCGATCGTCTTAGAGAGTCCCCTGGATCTTCCGACGCCGCCTCGGTCAACTCAATTCAACTCCTTACGCCCGCCTCGTTACCCTATTCATTCCCACCCTTTCCAGGGGCTTGTTTGGTCAAGATGGCAGCCGATATGAGCGGCGAACAGATGCAGGCTAAGATCACTGCCGCCCGGCGCGAAGCCGAGGGCCTGAAGGACAAGATCAAGCGCCGAAAGGATGAACTGGCCGATACCACTCGTACGCAATCCTCTCCCTCTCATGGACCTCGTTCACCTCGGTCGGGAGAACCGATTTGCGAGCTTGATAAAGGCGCAATTGGCATCACGACATACCTGTTCTCATACTAACCTCAGCGAAACAGTCCGCCAAGTCGCGCAGAATCAGACAGAAACCCTACCTCGCATTGGGATGAAGCCTCGTCGAACGCTTAAGGGCCATCTTGCCAAGATCTACGCCATGCACTGGTCGACCGATCGCCGCCACCTCGTTTCCGCCTCCCAGGATGGAAAGCTCATCATCTGGGACGCCTACACCACGAACAAGGTCCATGCGATTCCCTTGCGATCATCATGGGTGATGACTTGCGCCTACGCTCCTAGCGGAAATTACGTTGCCTGTGGTGGTTTGGATAACATTTGCTCCATCTACAACCTTTCCTCGCGTGAAGGGCCGACTCGGGTAGCGCGCGAACTCTCCGGACATTCAGGCTACCTCTCTTGCTGTCGATTCATCAACGATCGCCGGATCATTACTTCCTCGGGTGATATGACTTGTATGTTGTGGGATATCGAATCGGGCTCGAAGGTGACCGAATTCGCGGACCACCTGGGCGATGTCATGTCGATCAGTATCAACCCCACCAACCAGAACATCTTCGTTTCCGGTGCCTGCGACGCCTTCGCCAAGCTTTGGGATATTCGTACCGGAAAGGCCGTTCAAACCTTCGCTGGACACGAGTCCGATATCAACGCCATCCAGTTCTTCCCCGATGGAAACGCTTTCGGAACTGGGTCCGATGACACTTCTTGCCGTCTCTTTGATATCCGCGCGGATCGGGAGTTGAACACCTATTTGGTACTTCCCTCTTTATCTTTGCTACGGCCAAAGCGGATACTAACAGAAACTCTCAGAGCGATCAAATATTGTGCGGTATCACCTCGGTCGCGTTCTCTGTTTCTGGTAGATTGCTCTTCGCAGGTTACGATGATTTCGAATGCAAGGTACGTCTTTCGCCTCGGATAGTCTTATTGACGGATGTTTGTTTAACGATATCGGCAGGTCTGGGATGTCTTGCGCGGCGACAAGGTTGGATCTCTGAGCGGCCACGAGAACCGTGTAAGCTGCTTGGGAGTCAGCAACGATGGCATCAGCTTGTGCACTGGATCTTGGGATTCCTTGGTAAGTTGACTCCTGAGCTCTCGGTAGCGATGGTTCGTTTACTAATATATGATGTCCTACAGCTCAAGGTGTGGGCCTGGTAAATCGAGAAAACGAACAAAAAAACAGCAAAGATACCCTGTCTCAAATCTTTCGTGACGTCCTCATTCGAAGTTTCCTTAATCATTTTCTGCGCCACTATGTTCCATGTCCGCCACTGTACGATAATCTTTTATTCACCGAGGAGCAAATATGTTGCCGCGCCTGCTTAATGTACTAGTCGGATTGCAGGCACAGTTACCAGCAGCGAAAATCGAGGGGCAGTCGGGGTGACTGGCATCTGTAACGGATGCGGTTGTCACTTTGTCAAATATTGTAAGTGTGTGGAGACGAGAATGAAGCAGCAGACAAGACGCACACGAAACCACCAAAAAACCACAATATCCGGATCCGGGCGCGGTGAACTGTAATAATGCTGTTGATAATTGGGATTACTGGGGGGCTGTTGCGCAGATGTCGGTGTGTTGATGGCTAGGATATGGCCCATCCCAAGATTTGATTTGCAGGCATTCTGATTTTCTTTTATCTTCTCTTCCTTCATTATATTCCCCCTTTCTCCCACCACCCTTGTGACGTTCCTATTCCTCCCTTTTTTTTCTTGTTCCGAATCCTCCTGGTGCACGTTTATAAGCATCGAATTTGCCTTGTGCCTCTTCACCCATTTTCCTTTCTAACGCATTGATCTCCCTGTGTATTTTGCCTTGGGTGATGGATGGAAAAGGTGGAACCGTTTTTCCCCCTCTATTCTATTTTCCGGATAGGCCATGACGGTTTTGATTGATTGCGATTTGTGTGTGCTTTCTTCTTATACTAATCAACTTTCCATACTTTCCCCAAGTTTGCGTGTTTTTCCAGCGGTTTCTTTTGTTCTGTGGCCGAGCGGATGGAATGGGATGGATCTTGCCGCGCCTAAGGTTCTGCTTCTATGAATTGTCTTACCTATCTTGAACTGTTCTTTTGTAGCATGGTTCGATGTCGGCTCAGGTTTCCAGTCCGTGGCGCCCCGGCTCGACCAAGCTGTTAGGCAACACCAACCAGTACAAATGACCAATTAGTGGCCCTAATTGCTGGGGATGTTTTGTAACAGACCGGGTGATTGAGCGAACGTGATTGAGGATCATGTATTATGTTGACTGCGTGACGTCGAGACCAGGGAAAGCAGGGCCAAGCCATGCTCTTTTGAAAGAATAGACCTGCTTATCCACCTCATCATGAATCAACTGTCTGCCTCCACTCACAAAGTTTACCCTAATGAGTGATATCTTCCCTGGAGAGGAGACATCTTCCGACTTTCCACCCCGGAACCTTCTTCCCTAGTGGATCCAGGCAACAAACAGAAACGAGGGGGAGGATTCAAGTTCGTCCAATCCAAGAACTTTTGAATCCAGACGTTCGGAGTTCGGCTCCCTTTATTCTCCCCACCTTCTCGGCCTGATCCTTGCAAATCTTGGGACTGGATGAAGATTGAGGGGGAAAAGGGAGCCACACCTATCCATGGATCAGACGGGAAGATTTAACGGAGAAAGTCCCCCGAATGTTCATGCTGTGAACTACCTTTGGAAGTTTGTAGTAGTACCTTGTTTCATTTCCTTTGCCCTGGTGGCTGTTTATTCTCCACTTGGTACGAGGTTGGTACTCTGTAGATCTACTTTGCTGTGCGGTGCTGCAGGTCGACATATGTTGAACTGGTCTGCACTGCAACTCTAAAGTGGACGTGTCAGATCCCTATGTAGTCTCGTACTTTTTCTTCCCATTCTTCATTCTATTTTCAATCGGGGAAGGTCATCCATCCGATGTGAAACAAGCGATGATGTATTCGAGTGGATCAGCCAAGTCGTACGTCAAGACTCATGTACGAAGTCATGCCCATAACCGTTAGCAAGGGAAATCCCAGCACGTGGAGTTCATCTATCCCAAGCAGACCCTGAAGCTTGGTTCTTGTTTTGTTACGCACTGGGGCAGTTGGGATTTATGATGAGGCTGAAAGAGAGCAATTGAGTAACAAAAGGGGGGGGGGGGGTTGACGCGGAAGGAAGAAGATCCTTGCACGGCGCCAGAAGCGATGGAAGGAAGCGATTGGAAAACTTTGGGCGGCTGATCGTCTGGTCTGAAACCCACAAGCCCCCCTGGACCGTGTTTCATCCTGGGCCTTTTTTTTTTCCCCTTCCTTCCCGCCACTGCACTCTCTACTCTCCAAGGTAGTCTCTCCTCCTCTCCTCCTCCACCTCCTTCTTCCCCTTCCCCTCCTCTACTACGGATAGTTACTCCTCCTCCCTCATTTCTCCATCCTTCTTTCGCCCCGATTCCTCTCCTCCTCCCCTCAACTCTATTTCCAACACAGACAACAACCGATTCAAGTCAACCTGAAACGTACCACAGTTACCCTATGGGACCGTGACCTTTGACTGTTTGCGTGTTGGTTACGAATTTAGCTTCACTCTTCGGTCGTCTTCCGCTTTGCCCATTCGCTCAGGCCACCATCTCACCACTTCTTTCTTCCCCTTCCTCTCCCCCCATCTCTTGCGACACGAACCTAATCCGAATTGAATGGGAAAATAAGAATCAAAAATACTTTCGAAACAAAGAGAAAAAAAAGTGGGAATCCGACCTAGCCCAGCCCAACCCGTCTCGGAACGACAACCCAGATCCAAGGCACAGCCCAAGTCTTCTACACCACCCCCTTCTCCCGTCAATTCATTCTAAGAATATCGTCGATTCACCACTCTTGTTACTTGACTTTAAAACCCCCGGAACGTCCCCCCGAACTTGGTCCCCTTCTCTCTTCTTTCCTTTTCAAGATGTCATCTGCCGCCCAAGACGAATTCAATCAACTCGTCCAAAACAATCGAGACCGGTTCTCGACCCATCCTGAAGACCGCGATAACCGCTCCGAACGAGACGACTCCGACCATTCCTCCGACGACCACGATCACGACCACGACCACCCTCACTTCTCCGACGAAGACGACAACGACGACGACGACCTCCATTCTAAAAGATCTTCTGCCATGCACTCCCGCAACGCTAGTACCTACAAGATCCCTAACACTACCTACGATGCCAACACGGGCCCCAAGGGCGTCATCGCCGACGCCCAGGCGTTCGAGCGCGCCCGCAAATCCTCCTTCCGTCGCACACTGCTGAGCGTTGCCGGCATTGACCGGCCCCACTACTCGATGAAGTCAGTCACGGATGATGCCACACTGCTGCAGAACTCGTCTCCTCCAGACGGGTCGTCGGCCAGCGATGACGAGGAGAGCTTTCTGCGGCATTGGCGCACATCGCGCATGCAGGAGATGCAGGCCCGTACGGCTCGCAAGCCAAGTCCTCGCCGCCGACTGTATGGGTCCGTCGACCATGTAGACGCTGTGGGGTATCTGGATGCCATTGAGAAGGTTACCTCTGGGACCGTAGTGGTGGTGTGCGTGTATGATCCGGATGTATGTTGCACTTCTTTCTGGTTCTTCGAGTGGTTGAGTTTCAAAACTAATTGTGACATCCAAAGTCCACCCCCAGTGCTCTCGTCGAAGACTGCCTGAACACCATTGCTCGTCGCCAACCCACCGTCCACTTCATCAAGCTGCACCACGAGATTGCGGAGATGGATCACATTGAGGCCCCGGCGCTTCTGGCCTACCGCGACGGAGATGTCTTCGCCACAATTGTCGAGATCATGCGCCAGATCCCCAAGGGCCGAAGCCTCAGCGCCGATAGTCTCGAGGACCTATTGAAGATGTATGTTTACATCCCTCTTCTATTCTCTTCTATCCTGAGAGAAAAAAGACATTCAATGCCAACCACCAATTGAAATTCATAGGCACCGCATCCTTTAAGTGAACCCACCAACCAACTTTCCGGATCCGATTTAATCCTCAAGCTACGCTTCACACGTCCCGGTCACCAACCTCCTTTGTCTCTTGGTCTCACGATCCTCGCTTTTCATCCTAATCCTCGATCATCGCACTCCCAAGCATCTCCTTCAATGACCACAACACTTCTATTCAATCGAAATGCAACAGCATTGCAGAAAGCGGGCGTATGGTTTCTTTCTCCTTTCCTATTCCGAGTTCAAAATCTGGGTCGCATATAGAATCTCTTTTTCCGCGCAAGCTTGTCACGGTGTTTTTGGCCCCCAGGTTTTCTTTCCCACTGCGTCTTGTGCAGCATCCATTCCATTGCCAATTGTCCAATATTGACTGAAGCTCGAAGATATCCTCACGCTTTGTTTTCTTGTCACACTTACGTGTTCTTTGAGGTTCTTCTTATTCGTCTACTATCGTCTGTTCCGCCGATGTCCACGCATCATGCATGCTCGGTTATATCTTCTCCATGCTATCGGGAAGGTGACTGTCCTTGAGGCGGGTCTATGTATTATACCTACTGTTGCCACCTGATGCATCATAATGACTCCTCGACTCTCTTTTACGTTGGATGCTATCAGACAGCCGTCCTATGATTTTAAAAGGCGTACGTTACCGAGGTTCTAAAAGTAGTATGAACATAATGTATTCGCCGTTTTGTAAGTATCCCGTCCCTTTCAAGAGCGTACCATCTAGGAATTCAACACCTAGTCAACTGTACAGTGACCCGATTCGATGTTTTGCAGCCAAGATGGGGATACAGCGAAAAGGCATTAAGAATATCCCCCAATCAAGAGATATCTCTACCAGGTGGAAGGGGAAAGAATCAATCTTCAAAAGCAAAAAGACTATATGTATTTTGTTTACCCTATCGTACTGACCCTGATCGCCAAAGTAGAAAAAAAAACCATGCAACGGTCCACGGAGCGACACCCGATCAAAGAAGCGAGAAGGAACAGCCGGACCGGCACGCAAGTAAGCGGGTAAGCAGGTAAGCAGGTGGGCATAGGTATGTGTCTGGTATGGTTTGAAGATCGTGCTGTTATCGCCCCCAAAGAACCACGCGAGAGTAGACTAGATAGACTACACTAGACAACTGAAAGGGAAAACAAAAGTGGTGGGTGGTATAGATTAAGAGTTTCAGTTTTTGGGTTATCGACTTTCGAGATTGGCAGACGGGGAGAGGAGGGAATAAGTTTCGTGGTTGGGGATTTGAATATGTAGAACAAAACGAACAGAAAGAGAACCGAAAACATAACAAGAACCAACCCAGTCCCAATTCACAGAGCGCCTTTGTCCTGCGTGAATTCCCAGAGCATCTTGATTAGAGTATCGGGTAAGGTATAGAGGTCGACGTGGAATTCACCTTCTATTCAAGAAATTAGTTGCTAGGCTAGACATTTCTGGCGAGAAAGCAAGAAAAACTCACGCTCAACATCGTTCTTGGTATATGAGTCCGGAGCCTTGTGGTCATGGACCATCTGCACCACTTGGAGAAGATCATCCTCGCCAAGACGCTGGAGTCCGTCGGCCAGCTTGTCCATGTCGACCTACATTGACACAGGTGAGCGGGGTTCAGATAGCCAGCGCAAGATCGACTTACGTTCTTCTCCGTCTTCTTCTTTTTCTTCGACCCCTCCTCGCCTCCCGCGGCGCGTTTCGTCTTGACGCCATTCTCGTCGCCAGGAACGGGGCCAGATTCCCGCAGGGCCGCTAGAAGGGCGGGCTTGGGGTTCTTGAACGTCTGTTTCGGGGGACAAGCCTAGTCAGGTATGATATGGAGACAAAGTCCAGGTGGGTTGGCTCACAATAACGTGCTTGGATTCATAGCGCGTTTGCGCAAAGTTGAGATCGTGGGTGACGAAATGCTCCTTGTCGGCGGCAGTGAGACCGATTTGCATGTCGAACTCACCCCATCCTTCCTCGGAGATTCTGAACGGAGGATTCTTGAAAGCTATTGTTCCGAAGATTCGAAACGAAACACGTGTCAGCCAGATTATACGGAAATCTTATTGGGCTCCTTCTGCCCCCAACACTTCCACCCCGTTCTGGAAGCGCTAGAGCAAGTGAACCTCCAATGAACCCGGCACATTTGCATGAATAGGGTTTATAACACGAGAACGGAGAGAGATAAGTGGTAAATAAGAGACAGAAATCCCGTGGAAGAAGACTAAAGCCAAGGGCAAAGGCGCGAGAGACGTACTCTGAACAGCCCGCGGTCCGAAACTCGGGTGCAGTGTGTACGTCACCTTGTCGAAGACGTTTGCGGGGACCTGCTCGCCATGGTCATTGACGAGGTAAATCTCAATGGACCATGATCGCAGAGGGAATCCTTCGACGCCGGAGTCTTTGTTTCTGTTGGGGGCGCGCGGGCGCGAAAGCCTGGTTAGTCCTCAAAGCCTTCAAGCTAGCTCACACCACACCTTCGACACAGGTGGAGCGGGAACGAAAGAGGGCAAGAATGCGAGCGCGTTTCTGCTCTGCCACATGATTGCGCAGTCCCTGTGTTCCGATACGAGGCTAAAGTGTCTGCGATGTGACAAGAGACTGAGGAAACAAGTGGACTGGTGTTGGTGGGTGTGACTCCGAGCTAAGCCCAGGGCAAAGGCAGAGGTTGGGGTATGTGCACGTACAGAATGTGCTGCTCCGTCACCAAGCGGACATTTCTCTTGACCTGTAGGAGAAAGAAGAGCTGTGTCAGCGTAATGCACCCAATGTCTTGTCGGTGTTAAGATCTGCGTTAAGAGCGAAGCGAGCGACGGTTGCTCGCATTGCTCAGGAACGGAGAGGGCGGCGGACTCACGTCGGGCATCGTTGCGAAGGGCTTCACTTATGCGCCCGGAAAAAAAGTGAAGTAAGATTGAGTATTCGTAGAGCCTGAACGGAACCCGCTTCCTTGGGGATGGTGGAAAAGCAGTTGTTTTGGAGGAGGAAGTAGACGGAGAGCAATCGGGCTCGAACAGGCGCGACGAATCAAGGCGGAGTTGAGGTCGGGTGTTTGCCGGGATTGAATCTGACTGCAAACTCCCGTTGCTTCTCCTCCGTTCACTATTTGATTTTATTTTTTTTTTCTTTTCTTCAATTCAAACAAACAACAAACTGGGTGAGGTCGGAGAGGCGAAATGGCAGCAAGAGGAGAATTGAGAGGGAAGCTTTCCGCGCGGGTTTTGAAGCCGGGAGTGTTGGTGGGGGGGAGGGAAGATGGATGGATGGATGGTTGGATGGACAGACAGACTGACAGACAGACTGACCGTCGACTGATTTACTACGCACGCGTTGTTGCTGTTTCCCTCCCGCGGTAAGTACTCCTTGATCTCTCCCTCAACCACAACCCATATTATGTATGCATCTGATTCCTAATGTAATGAATAGTACTTCGATCACTTCGATCAAAGTCTTTCTTTCACAGCTCCATAACTCTACAGGTTTAGATCTCACATTACACACACATCCAACTACTTCATCAATCCATACGTGTATTTTGGAGAAATAGTGTCTATCTACTGCCGGCTCGTCAGAGAACATACGTTCGGCCTTCTGACCAAGCATGCCGGATCTGTCTGTATGTGCATCGACGCCAGATCTCAGTAAAGCCGGCCTCATCATTCGGTCCCACCGACTGGGGTACTAATCATCTCATGGGAGAAGATATGGGGTAAAGATAGGCGGACTGCTGAGGATAAGACGAGTAACGAAGAAAAAGCCCACATCACATTCATAGAGCATAGGAGAGATCAATAAGTGCATTAGAAATAGCCCTCTATACAACTTCGCCGCTGGGAGAAAACTTTGAAGCTGCTGCTTCCCCGCATTTACTGCTGGTTGAGGAGCTTCTCGTTCTCCTTCTGTGCCGTCTCGAAAGCCTCCTTGAAGAGGTTGGCGTCTGCCACGACGTTAGTCTGAGAGTATCTAGATCACAGTCAATCGAAGAATAAACTCACTCTCGCTGTTAGCAAAGCGGATGGCCAGAGTGCAAGCCTCAGGCTCGCCCTCGCTGACGTCGGCAGCAGCGTTCCAGACCCAGCTGCGGTCACTGCCAACGTTGGCACTAAGCGTCATGTCGGGGACAACTAAAGCAAAACATCAGTAACCAGGGTCTTGCACAGAGTACACTTCTTCCACCAGAGCAACTTACTGTAGTGGTTAGCGCAGACCTTCAGGGTCTTGTCTCTACGCATCACCAGGCGGGTCTTCTGGTTCTCCTTGTGCTTGAGCAGTCTCACGTCACCAGTACCACGCTCCTTCCACTCCTTGCTTTCACGGTCGAAGCGGAAGAGCTTGGCACGCATCTTGAACACCTGCTCCTCCAGCTCCTCGTTGGTCTTGGTTTCGACCTTCTCCGTCAAGCGGATGACGGGCTCGAAGTGAACATCAGGGGACTCGGGGGCTTCGTCCTGTTGATGCAAGCAAGGAGTTAGCCATGGCTCGTGTCGCGCGATCAAGTAGAATGAAAGCCCAGGTTCTTCAAGACCGTCGCGAAAAAGTGACCGCAGAACCTCCCCGCCATGGAGGGGCAAAAGCGGGGTATGTGTTCGCAGTATGCCGCAAGCCCATCATCCAAGGTCTCCTTCCTCTCAATGACTAAATAAAGACTTTTGAGAGCCACTAACCTCATCCTCGGCCTTCTGGGCTTTGGAAGAGCCAGAGGGCTCGTCCTTGTCATCCTCGGCCTCGACCTTCTCCTTCTTGGGGCCTCCGCCGAACATGGAGAAAACGCTGTCGGTAGTCTTGGTGGCAGTCTCCTTGACGGTGTCGACGGCGGACTCAGTGGCAGCCTTGGCCTCCTCAGCCACAGCCTCGGTGGTGGTGGTCTCGGGCTTCTCAGCAGCCTCAGGAGCGCTGGTGGTGGGGTCGGGCTTGGTCTCAGCGACGTCAGACATGATGATGGGTGGGTAGATTTCTGCCGAAAAATGTGAGCGGAGCGAGATCTACCAATGGAGCTGCAAGTAGAGGTGTACCTGAGAATAAAGAAGAAGATAAAGATTGTTGGGAGGTGAGGTTGGATGGAAGTATCAAGTGAAGAGGGGCAGGGAAAATATGGGACGGGATTCAATTATTGTTTTGGGCCGGCCAGAGGAGGGTGGGTTAGTTAGGCTTAGTGAGAGAAGTTGCCGTTGGCTGCGTTCATTGCCTCGGAGCCTTAAGGCCACTACCGCCACCAACCCATTCGGAAGCTCCTTTCGTTTTGCTGCCTGCCCCGCACCTGAATAGCAAAAAAAGAAAAAAGAAAAGAAAAGAAAAGAAAGGGCCCGCGGGGTCATAGTATTATATTGTATGATGTACAGTACAGTACAATAACAGTTGCCATACCTACTGCGACACAATCATATCTCAAACGACAAACACTTTACTACTTCCCTCAAATCACTACGACTCAGTGTTATAGTAAATAATATCAATGCCAGCTAAATAATACCCTAACACACTCGCTTGCCAGTAAGTTCATGGACGGCTTCAGCTCATCATCCTCCATCCCTGCCTGTGCGCCGACAAACGTACCAAACCCGTCAACCCAATAGCCAACAATGACCAGAGCGAGCAAAGAGTAGTGAGTATACTAACTACAAGAATCAGATTTCATCCCCATAGTCCAGTCCAGCTGTCGTAAACCCCGCCTCCTTATTGAGAACATCGGGTCTGCCGGCAGGTCTTGCGTTTCACGAGACTTCTAGCCCTCTGCTGCGCCGTGTTTAGAGTCTGGCACTTCCTTGCATTGCGAAGGTGCGCCTTCACGGTCGTCAGATCGAGTTTTTGGGTAGAAGCGCTAAACTTATTCCACGTGTCGCTCATAGCTTCCCTGGCCCCCCGGTTGACTCTCTCAGTGTGACCTTGGAAAGCGGCAGAGGCGGCTAAGAGAGGTTGCACAGCAGTACGTTTGACAGCTTCAGTAAGCTGCGCGGACTTCGAGAGGACCAGCTCTTTGGTATCATGGGACAGTTGTATCGAGTCATGTCGTAGCGAAGACGCCTCTCGTCGCAAGAAGTGGGCTTTCTTGACAACGTCGCCCATGAGGACCTGGAGGTCGGTGCATATGCGACCATAAGCCTCCGACAGGCCTGTTTGCGCTGTACCAAACTCCTTCATGAACTGTGAGGATATGGCGCGGGCGGCTCGTTTCCAGTTCTGAATCTTCAGCCACGGAGTACCAAAATCCACCAACGTAGTCTGTGTGAAAGGTGGCTTTGAGGTCGAAGTAATTGTGACTTCAACAGGACCATAGGCGTCAGCCCGGTCGAGTTTCAAGGTGTACACTCCTTCGAACAAGGTCGAAAGTTCGTAATCAAGAGACTTGCCATTCCGTGTTACCTGAACACCAAAGCGCGGGCCCTTTCTCCCAATGAAAAATTTGTGTGGTGGTTTTATAACAAGGTGACAATCGCCAACCACTTGGAACTCAAATTGGTCGGCGCTGTCACTTGACCGAGACGGAGAGAGAATGCCATCCATGAACTCCTCAAATGGAGAGCGGCCATATGCTTGAGCCCCTTGGACCTCAAGATCAACTGTGTTCAATAACGACCCGTATACAGGGACCCCGCTGGCGGTGGGTTGGCTCTGGGAAGGAGTTACGATTGCGCTAGAAGCCCCAGAGCTTGCAAAGTACTGTGAAAGGAGCATGACAAGTGCCCGGAGAGCAAAATGGCCCATGGTCATAGTCAATACGGAGGCGGCGAACAAGATAGCCAAGCGAAGTAAGGTCGCCATTTTGTAGTTACCATCGATGAAGGGAGAGGGGATCACTTTCCATGTGTGCTTCACAGTACCCAAAGCTCGTTTCAATAAGGGCTCCTTGGACCACTCTGAAGGAACTTGATAGGATTTTGGCGGAAACATAATTGCCAGAGATGCTAGGTTTCTGTTGAGTTGTCTAGGTGCAATGCTCTCAAACGTCTTGAGGTCAATCGGAAACCTGTTCACAATTGTGGACTTTCCGGTCCCGGGATAACGGGATTCCAAGCACATGTGAAGACTGTGTTGGTTCACGGGGACAGGATCCCTATTCATGTCCCAGAGCGGGCGTTCTGAGATAGTCATCGTGGGCACACCGTGCCTTTCCATGAAAATGCGAGCTAGCTTCTGAGTCTCCATGTCCTCGGTACTGTCAGTGGTGGCTAGGAAGATGATGACTACATCGGGCAGAGTCCAGTCCGCAGGAGAAATGCGATAGTGGGCACCAGTCCACATTGACGTACACGCAGGTTGGTTCTTGCGGTTTAGCGTGATTGTACTGGGCTTGTCAGTCAGACTGTCTGCAGAAGCAGTAAAGCATTCGTCCACGATGAGTTGAACATGAATAGGCAGAAGCTCGGCGAAATTAGGAATCGCCCCTGCACCAAAAGATGTCGGAACGACATGATACCTTGAAGACTCGGTAGAACTGCTTTCATAACTGCTACAGGGAGAGCTCGCAACCAGGACATCTCCAATTTTATCCAGGATGATATTCCGAAAGTCCGGGCTGCCGATGTATAGCACGCGAAATGGTTTGTCTGTGTCCAAGGATCTTCTCGTTATAGTCTGTTGCACTGTAGCCGTGAGTGTGGAGTCTTCAGGTGTGTTAGAGTATTTCTGCTTCAATGCTGCTGCCTCGAGGCCTTCGAAAACCCGAATGGTGTGCTTCAGTTCTACACGTTCAACGTCGGGCCAGCTCTCGGGCTCAGTAAACTCGATAGACTCGGTCGATTGACGGAACGCAGTCTCGGTGGTGAGGTTACTGTCATTGATGGAAGTCGCGAGGCGAGAGAAAGCAGAAGACAGCTCGTGGGATGCCGACACAATGCTCCTCGGTTCATAATTCTCACCGTCATATCCATCATCATCATCATCATCATAATCATCATCACTGGCACCGACGTAACTGTTGCTGGAGGTCTCATCAAGGCTGGCCACATCGTCTGGCCCGGTCTGGTCAATTAGAGATCCCATATCGGTCTGCTCGGAGCGAGTACCATCTTCTGAGAATACATCGGAGACGCTCATGGTCGCCCAGCTTTCACTCAGTGACCGAGGGTGGTGGTCGGTGTTTGACATATTTGACGTCATACTGATAGGCCTGGAACGAGATAGCCACTCCTCGACAGAAGCACTCAAGGGAGGAAACGTAGGATACTGCAGGGGTGGGGCAGCGGCCGAGTGGTTCTGACAGCGTCTGGAAGAAGGGCCCGGAGGGTCAGTCATGATGCTAGTGGGGATATTGTCATAGGGAGACAGATGCAGGAGAAAGAGGTAGGTATGTGAGGTGCGTTGCAAAGCGGAAGCTTCTTTCTTTTCGATCGAAATACAACGGACAACGACGGGTAAGCCCAAGAATAAGTACAACAAACAGTCAGCGGAGTAAATACGTTAACTTGACAAGAGGAAAGCTCTAGCGGTCAACACAACTACGAATGCAGTTTGTTCCGTAGAGCTTCCTGAAGATCTCCTCAGCCTGATAGGCAGATGCCCGACGAACAACTAGGCCGGTTGATGCGTTTGCGTGTTAAGGTGGTGAGTAAGTGAGCAAGTAAATGGTGGATATTGTTGCGGTTCCCGAGGGTCCGGGCGGAGAAAGGGTCGCTCTGGGTGCCTTAAGGACTAGCTGGGAACAGGCAGTTTGACTGGATTAATGAAAGCTTTTCAGGTAAAACAAACAGCTGTAACCTCACTTTGCGAGATCCAAGCAGGCAAAGCACCTGCCAAAGAGGTTTATAGTAACGGAGGCTGACTTGGCTGGATTTCGAGGGAATTCGAGAAGGAAGAGAGAGGAAGAGGGGTGGAATACAGTAAGTAGATAGAGGCGGGGCACATGACAAGGATGGCGCGGCAGTCAAGACAGGGTCGGTCAGGCGGCAACACTTCACCAGTTCCCATTCCCTCGTAATGAGTTGGATTACTAGTAGTAGTTTAGTCAAAAATAGCTTCTCTGAATCCTTGAGCCCCTTCTCCCACTATATATAGGCTTTGTCATCCTTGCCATTCCTCGCAGACAAATTTCGAGGCCTCCTGACAATGTTATATTAACAACACTGTGAAACCTATACTCCTCGAATACCGACAGTGTCTATCTCATAAACCTGAAGAATGCCTAACTTCTGGCAGTACTGCTCGAATCACCTCCGCCTCCAGTACACGAGGCGCCTGCCAATAGAAGCCACCTGCTTCAGGCGATGCGCGCATGTGTATGACGTTGCGAAACGGATGAGAGAAACTCGACTCGTATCCCGAGCTCCTGGATTCCGTCAATTGTCATAAGAGTGGGCTCATCAGAAAGCATTTCCATGAATACATATATCCGTGGTCCTTCTTTGTTCATTCGCTTCCACACTATGCTCCTCCATTATCAGCCTCCCTTCCCACTTTCCTAATCTTTCGCGTCAAGGATCTTCTGGAAAATAGAGATACGATATCCTTGAGCATAGTATGCAGTCAACTTCAAGAGGGGTCAGAATTATTATTGTGCCATCATCATGACCACCACACAGTTCCCCTCCAACCCTGCACAAGATGTTAGATCTCCAGCTGAATTATAAAACAGTAATCAGAGACCGGCTGCTGCCTCCGCCCGACAAAGATCCGTGGCATTGACTGTGGCGACATCACAAAGCTACTGGATCTGATTCCAGATGCTGACTTCCTCTCATCAGAGAGTCAGTATGCCATACTAGCGAGGGGCCAGGGGCACATGGATGATGGTGATACGGTACTGAGGCTTCGTCTGGCCTGTTCCCTACTTGAACAGGAGACCTACTGCAGTGCATCTTCTGGCCCTCTGCTGCATGCCCAACTTCACACTTCTTTCAAGAGCGTAGCCTCAAGGTTCCAGAAGGTATCTTCTGTCATGCGTCAGGATTTGTTGCATCTGCAGCAGGAAACAAACCAGATAAATTGGAACATTAGGTGGAAGTTGGAAAAGCATCTCGACCAAATAATCCGGTCGCTAGAGACAACATGCAAGCACATCCACGAAACAATCAACTGTTCTCAAAAGATGAAGTCGAAGCTACTATCTCTTGACCGATCATCTTCAAGTCGGATTCATTGCTCGTGTAGATATTTCTATATTATCTCAGAGATATCTTGGTAGGCCAACAGCTTAAGTCATTGCAGCACAGGATTTAGAGAACAAGACCGGGAGACTACTTCAAGAGTCTTGGATGCATCCGCGTCGGATGTTGACCGAGCGCTACGCTGACCTCCTGGGCGAGTCTCCATGTCATCATGGAGCTGACTTGGTGGGGTCCAAACATCTTTTCTCTTGGTGAGTTTATGAATCACTCCGTATACTCTGTGAAGTCTTGGCTTCCCCGCACACGGGTTGATAAGCTTCAGCATCCCCGCTTTTTATGTGGTGCTTATCGGTCGTAATCGGAGATGGCCTTCCCTTACTCCGTACGTAGTTGTCTTTCATATGAATTCAAGCACAAAACTCCACTACGTTACTCGCCCTTCACCAAAAATTGTCTTTTGCAAGATCTCTCTCGTTCTGTGCCTCTTTGTAGCCCCGAGACTTGCCGGCCGACAGACGAAAATAATGCACGAGGGTACTATTGAAGATGACTACGAAACTTTTCAGTGCACAGGCAGAGATGGTGAACTCTTTCTTTCTACATGGGCCGGGAAATATCCATAGTCGAATTGCAGCTCAAGCTTCACGAGCGCAGAATCACACAGATCAAGGGAAGAGCCACTGGTCCTGAGGCGAGAGTTCTACATGCCATAATCTTCAGGGGCCTACGCGCCTGGATTGCCAAAAAATGTGATGTCCTAACGGAGTAACAGAAGGCAGTCGCCTAAGCCAGAAACCTTGCGAGGATTTCTACGAGAAACGAGCTGTTACTACAACTCGATCAATTATGATTTGGCTGCATATCTCCAGATTGCACTGGTGGCTTTCAACGGGTTGCTCGCCAAGGAGTCCCTGTCAGATGTAAAAAGGCTAGATAGCTTTACGCAAGGGAGTGAGCAGCTCTTGTCGTCTGATTTGAGTAAGTACTGCACATGTGTATGAATTGCCAGCGGCAAACCGGAGAGTTCATAGTCACACTTCATGGTCCAGCTTAGAGACTGACAAGAAACCCAAACAGAAAAGCCATTTTCCAGCACCCAGCGAGCTGGAACTTGCGCCTCAAAGGCTCGTCTATCTTCCTGCCAGAATTACCCACCACCTCCGTATTGAAGACCATGCATGTGCTTTCCCTGAAGTTGAACACTTCGGCCACACCATTGAGGTGCCCCCAAAACTCTTCGGCGGGCGCGAGCAATTGTATTGTCTCCGCGAAGGTACCAAATATGATCAGACCTCGCATGGAGAGCAAGCAGAGAGGAGAGTAACTTCGTGGTGGGATGTCGCCTTGTAGCCATGTGTCAACGCATATCTACTATATCCATCATCATTGTAGGAACGGAGGTAACTTCAACCACAGCATGGGGATCGGTTCCCAGCTATGTATTCTACACTTCCAACTCGAAGAGAGGTACCTCTGCTAGAACTGTCCCCAAACTGCCCGCGGTTGATAAGCTATTTAGATGAGAAAATCGCAGGGTCTGGAGTGTCCTTTCTCATGGTTACAAACAACTTAAGGAAACATGACATACCCGTACTTAACAGAAATTTATGATCCACAGGATGTATAAATGACTATGAGATATGTACATTTCATGACATGAGGCAACTGAAAGAGGTAGGAGAAAAAGGGAACAGGGGAGAAATAAATCAGACAAGCGAAACCCTTTCTGAATGGCAGGGAGGAGAAAAGAAAATATGAAAACAAGAGACATCAACAGGGTATTTATTATTAGGAGATGACCCTCAACAGGCCACATGAATCATGGCAAACAGTCTGCCATACCGGTGCCAATGTACCCCGCGCTCGAAGCGCCTCAAGAGACCAGCTTGGATGGTTGTCCATATCTGCCAGCCCAAGATTCATCACAGATAGAGTGGAAGGACAGCCCATTGACAATCAACCGAGCAAGAGGTCAACCATGAGGCCTACCGGGAAAAAAGCGTAAGTGGGTGATTGCCAGCGTTCGGAGTCTTGCGCTCAACGTATGCGGTTGATTTCAACACGAGAAGTCCACTGTGCAGCATTGTTTTCGTAGCAGGCTTCTTGCAGGCTTCTTCTCACATCAAAACAAACCCCCACTGCGATGGTTTGGGTCTGGTAATAGCGAGCACGGCAATCCAAGGGAATGGAATTATACGAATCACGCTAGATGAGGTTGTCAAGATTGATGAGAATGGTCACATCGTCTTCCATGGAAAGAAGCCGTCAGATCCGTAAACGCCGTCCAGAAACCCATAGCCAACGTAACATGCAGGCTCTTAAGCAAATAACTCCAAGGGCGACCCGAGTAATGCTCATAGTCGAACAAATAGGTACGGAAACGAGGAGGCGAAGATTATACAGCGAACATTAAAAAGGCAACCATCCGAGTCTATGGAGATGCCCACCCTCCAGCAACTTCTACCCACTCAGCGAGGCAACTGCCCTGCTTGCCCTCGACATCCACAATATCGGTGTCGCACCTGCAGCGGCAGCCAACACCGTTCTCCTTGACGGGATCCGGGTTGGCCCAATAGTCATCCTCTTCAAAGCGCGCCTTTTCGTCATCGGTCGTCATCTCCAAGTAAGGGATTCGCGGCAGTTGCCGGGCAGGTGCATTCGCAGGGCAGTGCTGGATGGTGGTGTGACGGTAACCAAAATCACGGAAATAATGGATGTCGCCCGGACCCAAAAGAATACCCGCAGCCAGCGAATGAATCGGCGCATCACCCCACTATGAGATCAATTAGCCAAGAACTCGAAGACAACAGCGATCGGCACGTACTCTCTCCATCCAGAAGCCACCACTCTTGTCCATCATATCAAAAAATTCCTCATATTCCTTGCTGCGGAAGAAGTCCAGCCGTGCGATCTCGAAGTTACTCCAGAAATGGCACATGTTGTACTTTTCGCCTTCCATAGCTTCGGGATCAATGTCAGGAACGGTGTTCTCGCCAGGCTCATTCAGCAGAATCTCTTCGGGGAGCTTTTCTTGCTTGACTTCCTCGGGCTTCTGTTCTTCTTCCTCGGGTTTCTCGAGAAACATTTCCCAGAGACCTTTCGAGTCCATGTTGTTCTTGCGTTTGTAGGCCGAGGCATAGCGGAAGATGTTCGGGACAGTCTCGCGGAGCTCTTTGACGGCAATCGTGAAACCGTAAGTTTTGTTGTTTTCAGCCATTTTGACGAAGGGGTCGCTATTTTCCATATTTAGTTTTCCGTCAAGAAATATGCTAAATGTCGAGATATTCTTACTAGGTAATGTCACAGAAGTACTTGATCTCGGGCTCAAGACGCCAGTACCATTCGTACTTCATGAGGAGAGGGTGCTTGTAGAAGTGTCTACGCACAGCATCTATTAGCATGGCGGAAAGTTCCCAAGGAAATTCAGGACTTACCCAGAGTAGAATCGGCACATGTGGTGATAGCTCTCCATTCCACCATACATGATGGCAGCGTCGCCCTGCTTCCTGACACCTTCTTTGGCAACCTCATGATCGACCCAGTCAGGATAACCCCACATGGAATCATCGATCTTTCCGAATTCCACGGGGGCACTGGTGTAGTTCTTAACGGTGGCCTTGAAATCATCGTCAAAGTCGCCATCGTTCAGAAACACGTAAGGATAATGGAACCAGCGGTTGAAGTGTCTCTCGATCGACTTGAGCGATTGGACGACACCTTCCAGTTCTTTATTTCTGGCCAGGACGACGAAAGCAGCGTTTGCGCGAGGGGAGTCCTGCTCTTCTACGGGAAGGCAGCCGGTAGCAAAGACCTTATCATATTTCTCGCTGATTTTTCTGCAGCGACCATACCGTTAGCAACGATCACAAACGAAGCGAGAAGAAGTCGAAGAACGAACCTTATCGAAGGTGGAGTGCCTGCGGGAATCAGGATACCCCCAGGGGACGAAGGATGGCGAACAAAAAGGAGTAGGATAAGAACTATTACAAGACATGGAAATAGTAGAACAAATCCCAGGGGTATCGAAATCGAGGAGTTGCCCTTTAGCCGTATTCTCCGTCTGAAAAAGGCAAATCTGGAGAGATTGCGGCCCTTTTCACGTGAAGAGTCATCTAGGGGCAGACTCGGCGTGGAGGGCAACCATTTTGTGACCCGCTGAACGAGGCCCATTGGTATCAGATGTGTGAGCGGGAGACCAGAAAAAACAGTCGAGGGCGCCGTTATCGAGGCCCGTTGCACTCAGCGAGAACGATCCGTGAAGCCAGAATCGCTATCAAATTGGAGGTCGGGGTGTCGGTGATGAAAGGCAAGCGCCCGCAGACGCGAGAAGTGATTAGGGGAGAAGGGTGTCTCGCAGTCGTCCACCAGCGTCTCTAACAAGAACCCGAAAGACAATTAGAATAAATATAGCGAGAAAAGGCGTCGATTCCGGGTCTAACGAAGCGAAGCGAAGAAGAAGAGAAAAAAAAAAAGAGCGGCCGGAGGGGAACCTCCTTTCTCGCGAACTTTTCCCTCTCAATCGGCGAGATAGAAATGGGCGGGGAAAGGGTTGACAGCGACGCGAAAGACTGTGGTCCGCAGCAATGAGGCCGAAAACACGGAGCCAGTGGACGGGATCATGAATCCAGATGGCGGGCGTGAGGTGAGGCTGGAGGGAGGAGGAGGTGGAGGAGGGAAGGAGTAGCAGGAGGGGGGTTGAGAAGTCCGAGAGCAGCGGGAGGCAAACCGAGCGAAATGAAGGCTCGACAGGATTATTTGGGGATGGGGATGGGCTTTGGGAACTTGCGCCAAGCCTAAGGAGGCGCAAGCGGCTTCCGGGTTCCAGACGGTAATTTACCTGTAAGATCGGGAGTCGCGGCCTGGTGGACACGATAGATACCGTATGCATTTGGTAACAGGCAACATGGGCTGTTGTTCCCCTCTCGTCTCCAGCCAGCCAGCCAGCGATCAAGCAATTGCTGACCTTGCTATCTACTTTACTAGTCGACAAATCACTTCAAGTTAGTAGGTAGTATCTGTTTGGCAGGGTAGTTAATTTTCGCAATTTAGCCATTAGGTAGTAGTTGCCCATTATCAAAGTAAACAATCGGCCAAGTGGTCCTTTTGCTATATCTCCAGCAATCCTCGAGGAGTTACGCAGACTACAACAACGGGTAAGGCAGTGTGGTCCCCCCTGGGTGCATGAAGGACCAGAAGACCCTTAAGCTTAACCTGCAAGACACGTCGACAGACGCTCGATTCTGACCGGATCTAAAGATCAACATTCACCCAGTCTCTTCGATTTCTATTTGTCTGAGATCATGGTAGGAAGCCCCTTCAGACGGCTCTTACTTCGCTTGGCGCAGCCGTCGTCAGAGGTCGACGTAGGGTTAACTTCGTTACCGCTATGCATCGTGTCGACACCTAAGCAGCATAAATAGCTCTAGAAGTCTCTGAAGCTGACGACGCCCGACCTTCGCACGACTTCTCTACGGGCTCAGGCTCGACAAGTCCATTTTCGATGGTATGCATAAGTGCAAGACCTCGTCCCCTTCGCCCTTCCCCCTCCCTCTTGGTGAAGATGGTTGAACCAACCTCTGGTGTTGAGTTACGTTTTCAGCCGGATCAAGGGCCACGATCAGAACTATGCCCACCGTCCCAGTTGCAAATGAGGAATGGGACTACCGCTGTCCCGTTGCGAAATCAACCTTGAGCTTTCATATTTCTCGAATCTCAAAGACCCAGCAGCCAACTGGTTCTATTCATTCTGATCTCACGATAGTCTTTTCTCCTGTCCTGGGATATCGACGGGACTCGGGCCGACACGGCTGGGATGGTCACGTATGGTAACAGTGGGCTTCTGGTGCCCATTGGGGTAATACGTACCGGTAATTTATGCATCCAGAACCCTGAGTTTCCACTGGGACCCACACGTGACTCGGGGCCCTAAGGGGTTTTGTCAAGGTGGCCTTTTAACTATTTCTCTCTTCATAGACCGTCTCTCCAGAATCAAAGGTCCTCAGGAATCTGCATGTGCGTATCTGAGGTGAATGAGATCAATGGTCTCGGACAAGCAACATCGCGCAAATCTCTGAGATCGGATCTAGTACGGAGCAGCTGAGGGGCCACTCCGAGGCTTCGCCCTTGAGCTGTCACATCCAGGGTCTGTCGGCCGGTAGGTCTTTTTCGCAACATTTATGTAGGTACTAGGTACAGTACGCGGAGTCTGCATACATTTGCCGTCCGAATAGCTTAAAGCCTTAAAACCCTTGAAGCATCTGGTGCTGCCATGTTTTGGTCGTCATCATCGGCGTTGCAGTCAAGGCACCTGTAAATCCTGCATACTCCAGCATTCCGCTATGCTTCCCACCGTACGGAGTAGAATGCCTCGAAGTTCGACTCACGGAAGATCGATTGTTTACCGTACTGCAACTACGGAGATAAAGATGATGGACCAAAAATGCCGGGGAAAGTCAATGAGGGACAAAAATTACGAATTTCTTCATGAAGAACCAAACCATGATATCAAGTTATCAACAACCCCTGGACTAGAGTGGATTGGATGGACTGGGGCGTGGCGGGCGGTTTTGCGTCCCACGAGGGGAGGGGGAGAGCGTTTCAAGGCTTAAATGAAATAGATTGCAATAGACCACCCACCACCCCCTTGACTCTTCTCAAACACTCCCTTCAGCAACAGCCATGACAACAATAACTCACGCCTTCAAACTCATCCATCACCACTCCACTGATCGATTCGATGACGTTACTCGTGGTTGGTTCAAGTGAAACTGCAAGAGCTTGAGTCAGTCAAGGTCTCACTTCTCAACATTGCCCACTCCCCACCGTCTGGACTAGAACCCGATGATCGATCTCCCTCTGACTTCTAAGAGTCTAAGTTGCGAACAAAATAGTTCAGTGAGGGCCAAAACGTCCATGCGTCCCGTTGGAAAAAGCAGGGAAAATTGGTACCCCCCTCCCTCGAATTGAAGTCTCGAACTACGACTAAGTTATTAGTAGTAGTTACTCCGTAGTACCTCGTAGATTTTCGGATAAAGTTAGGTATATGATAACCGCCCCCCTTTCCTTCACAAACAAAAAAAGAAAAAGAAAGAAAATATCCTTCTGTCTCTCTTATTCGATCTCTTCCTCTCTTCTTCTCTCTAGGTATGCTTGGAAGCAGATAGTGACTTGGGTTCTAGCTCTGGGTCATGTCATTTGTTGATATCACCGGTCATTGTTGTGGTTGTTGTTCATTCTAAAGCGTTTGTTGTCGCCGCATTCCCTCCTTCGGTCTCGTTGCTTCCCACTGCAACGGACGGACTTGCACTCACTCACTTACTCACTCACTCGCTCACTCATTCGTCCATCCCTCCTTTTAATAACCTCAAGTTCTTCTATGAATGACCTTACGGTAGAGACATTTGGGTCATCGTGTTTCGCACTCACAGTCTCCATTCCCACTGCAACTTGACCATATGAATGACGATCCCCCATCCTGGTCCTATCTGTACATGCGCACCACGACAGTATAGAAGATTCCAACGCTCCTTTTCCTCCGTCGCAACCGTATCCGCCACCCTCTCACCCCTTTGATTGATTCTGGCTGGAATCTCTACATAATCTCAACCCGACCGGTTCGTGAGGCACTATGACCCAGGCTATCTCAACCTCGTGCCCTCCAATAATGGAGGGAAGCGCCCGAGCGCCCGCGATTCATCTTCCCGACGGCAGCGTTCAGAAGTCTTCCACGCTCCTATCGCCGACCTCAAACCCCACTCATTACCGCAACGGTCATGTCAACCTGGATACCTTCTCTCCTGTCAACGAGAATGGTAGTTTTGAGTTCGACCGAGTCCTGAAGACCGGAAAAGTGTTTCGTCGCGTGAAACACAAGCATGTTAGTCGCTTGCCGATTCGACTGGGCTTGTCCCTCACTACCAGACACTAACAATGATTCCCGCGGCTAGGCCTTTAGAGCTTCATGGAAACCTGCATACCTTGTCCTCCGCCCGAACCTCCTCTCCGTGTACAAAGACGAAGAGGCCACACGACTCCGTGCCTCGATCACCCTGTCCGAAGTGACCGCTGTCGCCTCCGTCCGGTCGCCCCGATCGAACCGACAGTACGTCTTCGGTATATTCTCTCCTTCTAAAAACTATCGCTTCCAAGCTGCCACGGACAAGGAAGCCGAGGATTGGATCAGATACATCCGGGCCGAGACGCGCATGGACGAAGACGAAGAAGCATTTTTGGCGCTATCGAAACCGGGGGATGCTGCGGCCGCCAGCAGTAAGCGCCGAGTTTACGATACCACCGATCACTCGGACTTCGACCAGCGCGGACGGCCAAGCTCCCCAGAAGTAGGGGGCGCACTGTCATCGGCGAACAAGTCGAGACGCTTCGCCTCTCCGCACGACCACTCAGCCAACGATATCACCTCGTACTCGGAATGGTCGGACGGGCCAGGAAGCAACACCAGCGTGCGCCTACGGTCCCCGTCGGCGCACAACCGATCTGCATCTGCTATCGCGGAAGGATCGTCCTCGAATGCGCGGGACACGGGCCGGCCCAACGACACTGGGGTTCTGCGTGATCCCGAAAGGGTAGTATGCAACGGGTACCTCCAGTGTCTTCGCATCAAGGGTTCGATGCGCCAGTGGAAGCGATTATGGGTGGTTTTGCGTCCGAGCGGGCTGGGCTTTTACAAGGACGAGCAGGTATGGTCTTCTGATCCGACACGAGTTACTTGGTCGACTAACTTGAAGCCAGGAATATTCCGCCATCAAGATCATCCCTATGTCGCAAGTGATCGATGCCGCCGAAATCGACCCCATGTCCCGGTCCAAGAACTTTTGTCTGCAAATTATCGCGGAAGAAAAATCCTACCGCCTCTGCACGACAGACGAGGAATCCCTGGCTAAATGGCTGGGGTCGCTGAAGAGCATCCTCGTGGCGCGCAAGAAACTCGAACCCGCTCCAGCGGGCGGCTCAGGCACAGCCGGACTGTCCTGAGCAAAGGGGAGAAAGCAGAGAGAAACATCATGAGAGATCATGTAAGAAAGAAAGAAAAATACAGAAAAACAAACGAACAGCAAACAGGGAGGACCAAGATATAGGTTCTATTATTGGGGTCTGACCTGCCAACTACCTACTTCTCTTCATACGCTCTTTTATCTCACCCATTTGAATCGGACTAGTATTTTAGCTATCTTTTACTTTCTTGTCAACTTGAATGTTCCTTATGTGCCTTTCTATGTGATACTATGCAGCCAAGCCTTTGTGATTTGCTAAGCTTTTTTTTATTGGATGAACAATTAGGCTCTTCCTTTCTGTCTCTTGATTCTTGACGAGTTATTCTCCTTTTCCTGGCCTCTTCTTTCACAAACATCCAACCAGCCATTCCTTTATCCTTTTGTTCTGTATTGATCGGACGATCAGAAGAGGGATCTTCACCTCGCTCTGAATGACTACCCTACCTCCCTCTGCTAGTTCCCGTTCCGAGCAGACCACCGTTCAGTCAACCCCTATATTTCAACACCACTCCTTTTGAGTTAGTCATGTCCCGTTGTTATTCCCGGGTTTTGTCCATTGTGCTGGCCTTATGCTATGTATTGGGGTGCCCAGGCGATCTGACTCTGTTGTCTCGTGATATATGACCAATCGAGGTCTGTATTTGTATTTGCGTCTGTCTGTATATCTATCTTCTTTTCAGGTCAATGTTCTCGGGGTATGTATATGAAATTATATCTATCCGATTAAATTCTTTTTCGACTTAGCAGTGATTACTGTGCACCAGATTCTGTCCGCTGCTTCTCAGAGCATGTAGCATTTGAGCCCGTCGCTTACCATAAGCTGCGGCATACAAGCAGTAGTATATTCCCCTGCGCCGTGCGCAATACAAGTCTCCTGGCGGGTGGAAGCAGACTACATACAGTTGCCCTTTGCTTCAGAGCGATAACTTACAAATCAACATACAGTGATATACGAATAAGGAACGAAGCACGTTCCCATCTATCCGTTCAATAGGTTGATTTGCACCTACCGTAACATGAAAGGCACGCACTGGCACGCTAGTAATGTATCCATCCTATACTAGGTAACCACAATAGTTGCCAATTCGAAATGGACGAACCGCCATTCAAACTTCAATCCCAAGGACTCGTGCGTCCAGAGATACTGGCAACAGAGGGACGATCAATCCCGATGAGAGGAACCCTCTTCTCCATCAGAAGGGATAGCTTCGTACCCGGACGAAGAAGCTCCGACAGCATTCCCCCTCCGCCTCCCTCTACTCCTGATGAGGGGGTCAGGTAGTTCCCCTAAATCGGCCCGACTCTCATGATTGACCACCAGAAACGAGCAAAATACCACCGTCGCCCCAACCCAGTACACGGGACTCGCATACTCCCCCTGGATCACCATCTGGCCGACCAGCGACAGCGGGATCGTCAGACTCAGCCCCACCGTCACGACCAGCGGCGTGGTCAGCAGCATCGCGTACGCCCAGCACAGATCCGATAGCAGCGACGCCAGCGCGTTCACCCAGACGATCGTCCACACCCTGGTCGAGTCCGGCCACGCGAGGGGCTCGATTCCCAGAAAATGCAGGACCAAGAAGCCCGGCCAGAGGATAAACATGTTCAGCAGACCGACCAGCCCGAAGAACAGCTGCATGTTGACGCGCGACTCGTCCCCGACCTGCTTTTTCAGCACTATCGTGTACACCCCGTACATGATGGCGCTGAAGGCGGCCATGGCGTCGCCCAGGGCGATTTCCGTGCTGGTTTTCGACGGAAAGGTGCTTTCGCGGTTTTTGTGCTCCTCGGAGGACATGTCGAGGCGCGAGATCAGGATGATGCCCAGCAGGGAGGCGATCACGCCGAGGAGTTTGCGCGCGGTGAAGCGTTCGACGCCGATGAGGGCGCCGAAGATGAGGGTCCAGACTCCTTTGGTTCCGTGAGTTGAGGTTCTTTGAGGGGTTCGTTCGGAGGGAAGTTGATGAACATCTATACGTACCGCTAGTTGACGTAAGGATGGTAGTACTTCCCACCGTCGTATATTGCAGACACGCCATAGCGAAGTAATTGGCCTAGTTTTTTACCTCGTGTCAACCACACGTTCCCTCGCTACTCTCAGCACCCCAAGAGATAGCAGCATGAAACCCCGCACATACCGTAAACTAGAACACACCCATTAGCTTCCGACCTCCAATCAGTCACGAAACCCCCACTGATCTCACACACAGACAACATTGGAACTCAAACTCACCCATAACAAACAGAACTGAAAGCTCAACATCGCAGTCTCCCGCAACCCCAGCCGGGACGAACCTTCCCTCCGTCTCTCAGGGCTACCGCCCCTGCTCCCCGCGTCTTCATCACCCCAGCCCGAGATCCGTCGACCTTGGCCATGAGTATCGTGCGCATCGAGGTGCTGCAGCAAGCTCTGCACCGAGCGGATGCGGCACAGCTTTCCCGCGCGCCAGAGCCTAAATACCCGGCTGGCGATGATGGTGAACAGCGGGAGAATGAAGAGGGATGTGTTGACGTAGGTCACGAAGAAGGGCTTCGAGTACGTGTTGTCGGCGAAGATGGTCTACATGACTCCAATTTAGTGACTTGTCAACACCAACCGATCGAGAACTGGGGGAAGGCCATACACTGGCGAGGAAATTGGAAGCCGTCCAGAGGAAAACTACGATCAGCAGCAGTGCGATCCCCAGAGTCCGTCGGCCTCCCGGGGTCAGCCCCGACCCGTGCGGATGGAACGTGGAAGACTCCATCATGACACGAGGGTGTGTGTTCTCTGACTGAAATCCTCCAGGCAGAAGATGCGTGTGTGCGTTTGCGCTCTCTGGCTCCAAGTAAGAGCGCACAAGAAGGAGGAGAGGGGGCCACGCGCGACTTCGTCTGGTTCCGAGTTGTTGAGATAAGAACTCAAAACCGCCCCCGCTTTGGCGCAATTGCAAAGGCGACGGGCAGTCAACTCCGTAGACCGTAAACGTTGCAGAGGAGCCCCACCGGGTAGGGTCATTGACTTAAGCTAGTCATGAGGACAGCAGGGAGCAGGATAACTTTAGCGGCGTCAAAGAAAAACCAAGCTGATGCAATCCTCAAGCCACCTGATCCAGTACTACTCCTTAGAACGGATGCGGTAAGCAGGGAAGGTTTAGTTCAATAAGTTCAAGATTGTCGGAGAAAGAAAGAGGGCGGTGTAACTCCACTGCCAAGCAATCACGAGATACCAGCGATAAGCACGCGACGACTCACTACCGTCTAATAGTGTAACATGCTGAATTTCCGCCCCCCTCCCAGACTCCTACAGACAAGAGAAAAAAAAATTAGACTAGGAGTAAGCGACAAAACAATAACCGTCAAAGCAATAAAACCCCATGCAAGCAACAATCCAACAAAAAAAAAGACAGGAGCGTGATACATGAAGGGCACCTGCAATGTATATACAGGTGCTGAAGAGGAAAGCCAACTCTCCTCTTTAGGTCTCATCAATAGACATAGCGGTAAGCTAGAGATTGGATTTCGCTATCAGTCGAGGTGCGGGCTTTCTTCGAGTGTAAGACAGGACTTGTTGTATCGTTCAAAATCATATTCTAGCGGTTAGAGTAATCAACAGGCGCAGCCGTCGCGGTCAGCGTCAAGGTGGATGTTGATCGGGTCGCTAAATTCCCCGTTGAATTCTTCTGCTTCTTCTTGTGCCAGCGCGCTGCGAGCAATGACTGCGTGGGACAGGAGTCAGTACGCGGTAGCGCAGACAGCCAACCGGAAACTCACCTTCAAAGGCCTGCTCGACGTTCACAGCCTCCTTGGCGCTGGTCTCGAAATAAGGAATGTTGCCTTTCGACTGGCAAAAGGTCATAGCCCGCTTGGAGGAGATCATCCGTCGGCTTTCCTCCGCATCGATCTTGTTCCCAATCACAACCTGCCAACACATGTCAGCAGCCGCACTTGTGGTCGGATTGTGCATCAAGCACAAGCCAGTAGCTAGCCAGCAGCTTAAACACATATCTATAGGGAGGGATGGGAGGACTCCTTACGAAAGGGAAATTCTCCGGATCCCGAGGGCTAGCCTGGATCAGAAATTCATCGCGCCAGCTGTCCAGCGCCTCGAAACTCTTGGAATTGTTGACATCGTAGACCAGCACGCAGCAGTCGGCACCTCGGTAGAAGGCGACCCCCAAGGACTGGAAGCGCTCCTGTCCAGCGGTATCCCAGATCTGTTCAAACAAGCTGTTAGCATGCAAGTCTCCACAACTGGCAGGGCAAAAGAGCAGAACATGCCTGCATTGTTACCAGACGATCATCCACCAGGACCTCCTTGGTTAGGAAGTCCGCACCGATCGTGGCCTTGTAGCTCGCGCTGAATTTCTTGTTGACCTAATGGGCACGGAAGAGGGTCAGTGAAACGGTTCCGGGGCTGAGACCCATTGCGAGGAGGCTGAGGACGGACATATTGGTTCATCAAACTCGTTTTGCCGACACCACTGTCACCCAAGATGATCACCTAGTAACAGCAGAATACAGATTAGTGATTGCGAATTTTGGCTGCAGGTTGTCTAGGATGTCAGGGCAAGGCGTACCTTCAACAAGACCTTCTTCCGTGACGACATGGTGGAGTTGCTTTTGAGTATTACCGGATTGTATGCGGGATGGGGAGGTTTCCGGCAGATCAGAAGACAGGGGATCGGGACACGGACAGATGCAAATTGGGGGAGTCGAGGGGAAAAGAAAAACAAGAGCGTGTTTATTTTGGAGGGGGGGAGCGTGGTAGAGTGGAGTGATAGTAGTTAGTTAAGTTAGTGGTAGTGTTGGGCCTGGACGGACGGTGAACTGAAGCGGAGCTACACAGTGAGTGGTGGGCCGTCGGCACTCGATGATGCACGAGGCGCCGGGCGGTGGAGATGGCGGTCTGGTTGCAGTCAGCACGCGGAGGAGGTCTTGATTGTTGTTGTTCAAACAGCGGTTGGCAGCCCATCGTCATCACCACCACATTTAGTCCTCATTCCTCGACATGCATGCCCAGGTCTCAAGGGACCTGTAGATGCAGATTGGAGCTAGCTTGCATTTCACATCCATCACTGGACACCTTCACCCTTCAACCTAACGCAATCATGTATCCGTGATCTCTTCCTTTCCCCCACTCCGCCTCATTGCACTCAATAGACCTTATCACACGATCGCTATCTCATGGCCCACTGGCGGGAAGAATACTCCGCCGCTCTGGCAGCTCGCGATCGTCGTGAGAAAGCCAACACAGCTTTATATGATGCTTGTATGCTTGTCCCCAGCTCACCTTTGCCCTCACACCCTTACATTCATATGTAGAACTGTTCTCCTCTCTCCATCTTCCACATTCGCACGCTTTTAGCCCATCCACCATCGCATCCCCATAACAACCCATCCCCTCCCCGGATCACCGAGTAGTTGCCCAACCAATACCACGACCCCATCAATTCAACCACAATCCATCTAACCCAAAGCCCCCACAAAAGATACAAATCTAGCCGATCGAACTGCTCGCTCAGCAACGACAAGCTCAACCAACCCCACCACAAGCACAAGCACAGCCCTCCCCCCCGCCTCCACCACGACCGAACTCTCCAACAGACACTACCATCCCCAAACCCCCAGCAGCACCACCACCACCATCACCAGCACAGAAGAAACCCTTCTTGCAAGCACACGCGCCGACCTTGCCGCCGCACAACGCTCGCGCACCTCGCTCCAAACCCAGCTCACACGCGTCACCGCGGACCTCGACCGCCTGCGCAAGCAATCCACCCAAAACACTAAGCGGATCCAAGCGTCCGAGCAGGAGATAGCGCGTCTGCAGATGCGGCTGAAGGATCGGGATGAGGAGCTGAGGGGGAAGGCTAAGTTGCTCGAAGTATGTCTTCTCACCTGGTGATTGTCCGTTTTGTTTCTCTTTGGAGAAGGGGATTGAGCTGTGGGAGAGGGGGAGCGCAACCCCCGGATATTGAAACGTTCATACTGATTCATCCGGCTTGGATAGGATTTTCAGGACGAAATGGCTACATTGAATCTCCAACTCAACATGGCTGAGGAACGGAAGGCGCACTTCGAGGAGGAAAACATGGATTTGACTCAGCGGTTGCTGGCGTTGAAAAATCAGGCAGCCGATAATCTATATGACAGATCGAACTATTCGTAGATACGCCCTAGTGTTAGAAGACAAAGGAGGTTGAGAGGAAGAAGCAAGGGGAGGCTGCTCGCTTGCTCACGATTCTATTTGAGCCGAATCTTTGAATGGGTAAGATTGCTTTAGCTATATGTGTCACGTTTTCTTTCTATGCACAGATATGATACCCTCTGAACGAGTTATCCACAGTCGTACTTCAAGGTTTTTCCAGACGGAAAATCCAGCTTTCTAGCAGCTAAGGACCCAGCCTGGAATAAAGAGAGACAAGAACTGATTCTGGAGAAGAATAGCAAATGCCACGCTGGTGTAGTATAAATGCCGGTCTTGAAAGAAAAGCAAAACAGTGGTATCATGCCTTGAGCCCCAGGGTATTCATCCCCAAACAGAAAAACAGGGACACCAAGGCCCAGAAAGAACAACCAAAAATAAGTATGTGAAAGGGGAAAGCAAAAAAATATATCACGAAAGTCCAGAAGACCATTGACACAAGAAAAGGGGATGGCAAGAAACATAAATGCATCCGTCGCGGGTCGTTCGTGATGTACCCAGAATTGGCCGTGACAATCATGCGGCAGACATTATCCCTGGCTTTCGACAAAAGCCTTCAGCCGGGAACTGTCCTTCCGAGCAATAAAATATGTGCCTCCCACATCTGTCCAGCTAACGCTATTGGACCAGTAATTCCGCTGTTTGACCGTCAACAGATTGATGGGCGAATTGAGGTTGCGTGCCTGAATCTTGTGGCCTGCGGGTACGAACGACTTAAGTGACACAATCTGGCAGCCCTCCTTCATATCCAAAAAATGGTTGATCAGCTCATTGTTCAATTGCGGGGTGAACGCCTGATTATTTATCAGGACGACGTCCGCACGCTTGAGCACATCGACAATGCTCTGCTGCTTCAGAAAATCGCCGCGGATTAGATGCGTTTTCCCCGGTGCAATGCCCCAGAGCCGGCAGCGGGCGCGAAACTCCGCCTGCTGCAGCTCTGCGAGCTCGCACGCGTTCTGCATCATCTCGCAGCCCCAGCTCTCGCACCCGATCTCTAGCGCCGCCTGCAAAACCACATTGCCCACGCCAGACCCTAGATCCACAAATACCTGACCAGACTTTAGGCCGGTCTCCTTGAAGATGGTGCTGATGAACCGAGGCAGCAGCTCGCCGTACACGTTGTCCGTCCCGTTCTCATACTGCCGCAGCGACTCCACCCGTGGCGAGACAGTGCGCGAGTAGATTTGATTCAGGATTCGTTCCACCAGCGGCAGGTTGAGCCGGCCCATCGAGTCCAGTTTCTTGGCAATGCTTCCGCTGCGCCTCAAGCGCTCGATGGCGTGGTTGTAGTCGGCCACCGTCTCGCGGAACTGAGCTTCAGACGACTGCGCCAAAGCTCGCCGGAGCCGGCGCTTGATCCCATTCGTCTCATCATCGAAGTCGTCAACCTCCTCTTCTGGAATGAAATTCTGCGCCACAATCTCGATGACTTGCACAATATCGTCGATGGGTTTGAAGTCGTCGTTATCCCGAGGAACGACCAGCTTATACCTAGAGATGATTACGAGGTTCCATGTTAGAAGCGCCGCGATTAAACAGAAAAAAAAAATGTGAAGAATGAGACGAAACTAGAGAGACAGTAAACGAAGGAAATTACGTACCTTTCCTTCGGGGAGTTGCTGGGATACTGCAACAGAATCTCCGGCAAAGGCCTCGACGATCCAAACGCCGGCTTGAAATTCCCTTCCTTCTGGGACGAGATGATCTCCGCCGCATGGATCATGGGCAGCCGCCTTACACCACCACCACTACTATCCTCGACAAAAGCCTTCAGTGAGCGTACGCGCCGATGAGGGTCCGGCTCCGCGCTATCCCCCGTCCGAGCACGCTTCCGAACTTCGAAGGAGGAGGCATCCGAGTCGCTGCTGGCGTCATCGTCGCTGGAGGAGAGGCGCAATTCCGGGGTCTGGCGCTTGCGATTATAACTCGTGGAGGGCGTGCCCAGCCGGCGCTTTGAGGACGAGGATAAAAGATCGGCGCGGTCCCTCGAGACAGACCGGCTTGCTGACGACGAGTCTCGAGACTTGAGGTGTGTGGATGGGGTGCGCGGTGAGGGACGGTGGTGGCCTGGCGTATGCGAGGGAGATCGGGAGGCAGAGGTGGGCGGAGGAGCGGTGCGAGTCTGGACGACTTTGCGAATCTGAGGCTTTTTGGGCTGCAGTGAAAAAGCCCCTCCCTTTTGGAGGTGATCGAAAAATCCCATGGAGGGGGAGGGGGTGGGTGGAGGGCGGCGAGCGGCGCGGGTCGCAATTTGCACGTTTTTGTATGGCGATGATGATGATGCAAAAAATACAATGGAATGCGAGTAATGACTGTACAAGTAAGAGCAGAATGACACAAGCTATGATACGGAGTACAACATATGTACGGGGGAATTCTTCCCAAACAGAAAAAGGATAATGATCAAAGAGTGTGTCGATGGTCGAGTATGTAGTGATAGTAAAGTGATATATGCAGATGAATGTACGAGTAAGGTAAAGGAAGGTAAGGTAAGGTTGCCGATTAAACAGAGCGGGCTTGACGGGCGGCGGGCGGCGAAGGATGGAGGGATGAAGGGAAAAATGCCGCGGAGTTCCAGTAACTCCTCCAGTTGGTGGTGGGCGGTGATCGAGTCCCGTCAGTCACACTCCAGCGGGTTGCCGCCCCCGCCACTAAATTAGTTAGGCTAGTACGTAGTTGCCTTAAGTTGCCTTAATGGCCTTAGTGGCCTTAGTGTAATTGGCAGCTGCAGGCCAAGGAGGACTGCTTGCCTGATAGCTTAGGCAGCTTCACGGTGCTACACTGTGGTATACTTTTTCTGAACTGCACCAACTTCAACTAAACTTACTGAGTACTCCTGCATTCTGGGAGCCCCTTTGATTCCACTGTTAATCTGCATACAATCATCACATTCATGGCTGACCAACAACATTCAAGAGGAGAAGACAGAAAGCAATTGGCTGGAGGCCATCTCACATGGCTTGTCACTTCAGCTTTGCCCGAAAGCGTGAACAAGAACCCAGCTGTGACCAGGAATTCCGCACTCTTTTGCCACATCACTATAAATCCAGTGGTATCCGTCAGGAACACATCAAACTGTTGGTCATCCTTGTTTGTGGGCGAGCCATCACTCGTCATCATCTGCTCACAGCATGCGTGTTCACGTTGAACATGCTGAGCTTCAGCATCGTGTCGGTTGATCTCGGCCATGAGATCGACCAAGGTCGGACACGGGTTGAAGAATATCCGTTGGCCAACATCTAGGTACCACACGTCCTATGGAGGTGATGTAACGGGCAAGGCTTCTGATACTGGTTCTCCCGTCCAATAGAAGCTGCATGCTGACATCGATCTGGAATTCGTGTGAAATGTAAGAGGCGAGTTGCATCATGTTCACTGAATCTAACCCAGCAGATTGTAACAGCAGATCACTCATTCCACCAGGTTGCTGTGGCTGATCCGGCCAAGGATAACGCCTCGTCTGCAACTTTCTGACCAAAGTGTATGCCGGCTGCTCGGTCTTTGGTATATATTGACTCGGATCGAATCCATTCGCGGATTGTTTATCATCACGTACTCCGTCCATCTCTACGAGGAGCAGCTTCCTGCCAATCTCAAGCAGCTTCTTTGGGTCCGTCGTTCCTGTGATAGTGAACGGTAGTCCTGGCACAACAAAAAACATCGTCGGAACCATACACGTAGGCAAATGAGAGACCAGTTTATTCTTCAGTTCATTCGCCATGGGAAATCTCATGGGCGCGAACGGCGTGCTTCTGTCGTCTCCGGAGATGCTCTTGTCCATCTCGGTCAACGCCATTAACACGTCCAGAACCTTTCTAGCCCTCAGGAATAACTGCTGTGGCCGCCGCCCGGCCTCCTTCGGTCGATTGTAAAAAGTCTAAAACATGATGTTCAATCTCCTCAAGCTGGACGCGTTATCCCCAAAGTTTCACCTGGTTATCCCTACGGCTGAGTCGAGTCGAATCGAGCATTAATACATTGCATGCCAAGTTGCACTTCCAGCGAAAGTGCATAGGTACCGAGCCACTCCGGCTCACAGATCTCATCCCAGATACCTAAGCTATCCTCGACAGGGCTCGTATTCTCGGGCTGGACAATGAGTCATGTCTGAAATGTACATGCCCTTTGACCCTCCGGGCAGGTTTTGGCAATCCGGAAAAGGCCAACTCGCTCAAATGAGATCAGGTTTTTTGCCTGCTGCAGTAAGGATGCGAGATAGTCAGAAGCCCTCTGGACCCGCGACATTCCGATATATAGTGGCACCGTTGCAAGCGTCGGGCCGATCCCTTTGTCTATACCGCGAGCAGGCGCACTGCGTCCTGAAGTAGTGATACCAAACACGACATCGGTACAGTTCGTGGCATAGCTGACGCGCAAAGCCCGGGCTGCACGAACTAGTGTAGAACACGTTACGTTTTGTGATGACAGTGATCTGAGGCATGATAACGCCTAAGTGATCTCGCGCTTTACCAGTGGCTGCAGCTTTGACCATGGAAGAGCCTGAAATGGAGCGGCGTCGCAGTTGGCGAAGGTATCGCGCCAGTATTCATCCATCCTCTCATGGTCCTGTCTGCTGAGGTGCTCCATGGAGGCCCAAAATTCGTGCTCAGCTGGACTAGCGGGGATAATCCTCTGATGTATCCTATTAACCCGATCCATCATCAAAGACCAAAACCAGCCGTCATATATCGCGTGATGCAGGGTCTAGGCAAACCACCGGCGCGCGCTGGTGGGCTCGGTGATAATGGCATACTGCGCAAGTGGTTGTCCAAGCTGCATGGGAACTTGGCTGTCCTTCTCCAGATACTCCTTCAATGTCAAGCCATAGCTTCACCTGATCCCTTTGTTCAATACCAATTGCAGGAATCCCAGGTCGCGCTTCTGCACGATCACAGTGCGCAGTATCGGTGTCATGCGAGACAGTCTCTCCCACGCATTGCAAAAGTCACAAGTGACGACTGAAGAATGAATTTGCAGAGTGCGCTGCATAATAGATTGGCCAGGGTGCTTCAGTGACAAAGCAAGAAGGCCTTCTTGGAGGGGTGAGCAGGGCCAGGCATCTTTTACAGCGGCGAGATCTGGTCAGCCAGGAACTAATAGTATCCATGTTGGTCTTCCCGATCAGTGAAAAAGAGTCGAATCACGTTCTGACTCTCTTCAACAGATCGATACTCGGCTGACCAGGCTTTGCAGGGTTGGATGATGAGGGACGTCGATACTCGGCGGCGGCCACGGCTGGCTCACAGCCAAACACGATCTCACCATCGACAATCTCGTGAATGTTGAGACTGTCACAGCCGACGGCTCCATCCACCGAGCCTCTGATCATGAAAACGCGGATCTCTTCTGAGCAGTCCGCGGCGCGGGGGGTCCAGATGGGTGTGGTCAACTGCTCCCACGTCGAGGGTGAACCCCCAGCCGCACGTCTGGAGCGGACTGTTGACTTTCGGGTCTGAGCATCCCGAGCTTATAACTGTTGCCAACGAGTTCCATGCGCAAGATAATCGTGAAAACCATTGCTTGAGTATCGGCTTCGGCCACACACCTCCCCATCAGACCAGCGACACCCCCCCCCCCCCCCCCCGGGGGCCGGACATCAGACACAAATCCTAAACGCAATTCCCCTCTACCACGGGCCCGAACCCAACGCGAGAATCTACTTCGATGGCTTACTCCGCATCGGACCCCCGCTTACAGTCTCCACAGGGCTGATGTCAATTGCGCAGGTGAATCTTAATATGGAGGTGGGGCCGCTGAGGCCGGTTTTGGCCTACGGGAGCAATTTGGAGAGATTGAGGCGTGTCAAGTTGAAGTCTGATCCGGGGAATATCTTTGGTACAGGGCATGAGGTCTTGGGAAGAGTCATTCGGGGGCTTTTTGTGTCGATCATACGGTCTGACAACTTTTGAAGGACCGCGGTGTATATCAAGTGTCTGAGCCGTTATGGATAGGCTGCAGAATACTCTGGAGATGTCAAGCACAAGGACATATCATCAATTCAATGACTATCTCTTCGTTGCGTATACCACACGCTCCAGTCAAGTACACCCTCCCTTAGCCTTACCTTTTCTTACAACTTATCACTTGGTTTTCTTGCATAGATGATACTAGACGGTCCAGCAGACTTCAACAGCAGGTATCTGATATTTTGAGGGGTATTTACAGAAGATCTAAAGTCCGAAAAACCAACATGCCTCTATTTCTGCTTCTTCTTCGCAACCCGCTTCTGCGCCCGGATATCCTTCTTCATCCGCGAGTCCACAATCTTGTACCGACCCTTGACGCCCTTGGGACGTCCCGAGATACCCCGGTTGGCGCCCTTGGCCACCACCAGTTTGACCTGCTGCTTGGGCTTCTTCTTCGCGGCGCGGGCCATCAACTTGGCAATCGACTGCGCCTTATCGCGCTCGCTGAGCGCCTCGTCGTCCGCCAGCAGCGCCGACTTCTTGCGCAGCTTCTCCAGCCGCTGCGCGGCCTTGAACTTCTTGCGGCCCTTGGCCTCCATCACCTTTTTGATGGGGCGGGCGTTGATCGCGCGCCACTTCTCCTTGATGGCCGCCGCGGCCGCCTTGGTGATGGGTCGGTTCGGGGCGCTGTGCTTGCCCTCGTCGTCCAGGAACCATTCCGGCAGGCCGTCAACGTCCCGGAAGGAGTATCGGTTGAACCCATCGTCGATCACGTCGCTCTGTTTCTTCTCGCCGGTGGCCATCTGTTGCGCCAGAGCCATGGCTTCTGCAGTGATGATGTCGATGTCTATAGGTCCGGATGTTAGTGTCCCTGGCAGCACGCTCGGGGAGTTGCTTTTCAGGCCGTGTAAACTTACCAAGCTGCCCGTTCGCCTTTCGTGGCTCGTCGAGCTGCACAGGCTCCTCGTCCTCGGAATCTTCGGCCCTCTTCGAGTTCTTCGTCTGCTTCTTCTTGCGACGGTTGTCGATCTCGACAGCACTGTCCTCCTCCTCGGACTCGTCATCTTCTTCGTCTTCGTCCTGCTCGGACTCTTCGGACTCGTCTTCCTCGTCTTCTTCTTCTTCTTCCTCCTCCTCGTCCTCTACGTCGTCAATATCCTCGAGACCTTGGAACATATCCTGGTCGAAGAATAGTGCGGCGTGGTTGGAGAGCGAACCGGACTTGGGTGCTTGAACACCAGCAGCCTCCGCACTGGCATCTTCCTCCTCATCGTCGCTATTTTCCTTGTTCTCATCCGAGAAACCGTCCCATTCGTCAGCCTCGTAACCCTTTCTGGCTTTTTTGGCGCGCAGCTTCGTGTCCTTGTTCTCTTTGTGTTCCTGGTACTGCTCATACAGAGAATCAAGCTCCCGCTCGAGGCGGTCGCCCTCCTCATCGCTCTCTTCGTCGGACTCCTCTTCGCTCTCACTTTCACTCTCGAGCACAACCTCCTTGCCAGCTGCAATGACATCACGAGCATTATTCCGGTCGATAGGCTTGATGGAGAAGGTGGCATCCTCACCGCTCGGGCCCACCTGTTCCATACCGATATCCATGGGCGTCGTCATGTGCATCTGCAGACGGACAATTTCCTTGCGCTTCTTTTCGTTCTCCTTGCGGCGTTCCTTCTTCATCTTGGCGGTCTCCTTCTCACGGAGGCGGAGCAGCTCTTCCTGGATGGCCAATTCATCATCCATGGGGGCAATCTCCGCCACTTCCTCGGCTTCCTCGTCCTTCTGCTGCTGGCCCTTCTTCGTGACCAGACCGAACTTCTCACGGACCTTAAGACGCCACTTGAGCAGATTGCGGAATTCCTTCTTACCCAGCACCTTCAAATCGGCACAGCAGGTGCGGATCTCGTCCGTGGTCTCCTCCAGTCGATCCAAGGTGGCAAGTGCGAGGTCCCCGCCCGGCGATTGTGTGAAACTGAGCTTGTTATATGAACCGAGGATGGCGATCGGATCGGTGGTATTGATGAATTCCGAGACGGAGCATTCCTTGAACTGGGTGTAGTCGCCCTCTTCGTAGCCTTCTCTCTTTCTCTTCTTCTTCTCGGGGTTGAAGACCTTGGCCTCGTTGTTGGGGGTAGGATCCGCGAGTTCAGCGAAGACGTGCTTGGGGTCGAGGAACTTCGGGTCGAGGTGTTTGGGCGCCTTGTAACCGCGGCAGACGACGAAGATTTCGGCCGACACGTTACGCGAAGATGGGGGTTTCGTGGCCTCGACCGAGGTGAAGAGCTGCTTGAACACCCATAGCAGCGGGTTGTAATCCTTCGACCGGAAGACCTTGGTCACGAATGTACCGCCCTCAGCCAGGAACTCCGTGGCCAGCTTCATGGATTGCAGCACCAGCTCGGACTGCGAGAAGGCATCCTGCGCCCACGCCGTACCAACGTTCGGAGCACCGTCGTGCAGCACGGTATCCGCCTTCCAGTGCTTCAAGTGTTGTCGGAGCGTGGCGCGACACTTGTCGGTGGTAATATCGGCTTGGAAGGAAATCACGCGGGGGATGGGCTTGATAGGCGCGAGATCGACACCGACGATGATACTCTGGGCGGGCATGCATTCTGCAGCAACTTGACACCAACCCTGTTGAGCGAGAGCGTCAGATCAGTGGCAAGATACAAAGAAAATCGTCTAGGTAGTGGATGGGTGGGGTGCACTTACACCGGGTGCCGCGCAAAGATCGATGAGAACCTTGCTCTTCTGCAGGAAACCATATTTCTTATTGAGCTGGACCAGCTTGAACGCGGATCTGGCTCTGTATCCCTTTTCCTTCGCAAGGCGATACCACTTATCCAAACGACCTTTACCGTGCTGGTTGTTGTCAGTACAAATTTGCCGGGCTGGTGAGGTGACGAATTCCACCATACCTTCTTTTGGATCGCCATTGTGACAAGCAGATGGTCGAGGTAGTCTCGACTTCAGAGCTCGTACTGGCGAAAGAAAAGAGAAAAGAAGGGTTGGTAAAGAGACAGAAAAGTTGGGTTGGAGCAACTGTATGCGGCGCGGGAAAAAAAAGTTATCGGACTTGGATTGATTTCCGGCCGGGGGGTGCCTCAGGCTTCTATACGGCCTCGAAACAATGAAAAATTTCCCCTTTCTCCGCTTTCTCTGGGTGTGGCGGTGCGGATGCGAGCCACATCCCGCCAGGGATATTGTTTGATGGCTTTGTCTGACTCTGCCTGTTTGCCTGAGGCATCAAGCCAACAAAGAGGCGGGCTGGTCTGCATGTGACGTGATATCATTTTGGGGACAACTTGACCCCCAACCATTAACTACTGGGAAGTTAACTAATCATCCCTCCTTCTCTGTTCTACCCATCAGGTCATGCTGTTGGCCAGGAGCCTGCTAGTCTTCTCGTCTCTGAAATACATTATTCCTATAAGCAGCACTGCAATTAACAAGACGTCGTTCATGTCTTGATCCCCACTTCCCTATCGCCAACCCAGCCCGCCCCTTATCTCAATCTCAGATCTGCCCCAGTCGTCGGTGATGCTATTGCTTAAATTTCTATGCCATCCATGGGGTCTCGTAAGAGAGTAAAGCCCAGTTTGCCAGGCGCGGACGCGCGGTCCACAACATCCTCCAACGACACTGCTGTCTCCGGCTCCACGGCCAAACAACGTGCTGGGGCGCAGAAGAGAGGGAGCGGTGTGGTGAGTCCCGGACCCTCCATAGCGTTGCCGCAACAACTATTTCGGGATTGTGCAGGTAGCTGATCGTTGCTATTTCTCCTGCACACAGAGCTGGTATCCGACGGTCTGGCCGGCCGTTTCAAGAGCATCAAAAGCCGCTCCGGTTACCGAGGTTGCCCGTGAGAGCATCTCGGCCGCCCAGAACACTCCTCCTTTCCATTCTCCCCCGCGACTCACCTCCTCATCGACCTCCCAACTCAGCGTCTCCAGACAGTCTCGTCATCCGTCTCTTCAGTTGACCCGCAAGGACACTGCTTCTAGTCGCTCGCTCCCCGCTAGCGCCACCACCACCATAGTCAATATTGCGTCAGATGGGACCGCGTCGACTCCGGCAGACGACGCCCGCTCGGATCGTACGACGGTGGCAGCATCGCAACCCGTCCCGGAGGTAGCACCGAGTAGCAGAGGCCCGGTTGGGGCGGGGGAGACGCGCGCGGGCCAGTCCAATACAGCTCCTGCAACAGCCGACGCGGACGACAGTGCCACAGGCGGAAGTTCCGGTGCTCCTTCGGATTCTCAGCCAGCTGGGTGGTTCTCGTGGTTCTATGGGCCATCGACAGCCGATAACTCTGTTCAGAGAGACCAAATGGCGAAGAAAGAAGAGGACCCTCCCGCGAAACCGCAAGATCACAAGGAGGAGGATAGGACGGTAGAGGGTCAGAATGGAATGGTAGCGCAATCAGAGACGGACCAGGAGCGGTCAACCGAGGTATCTGAGGTCTCTCGGACAGCCCAGAAGCGGTCCTGGCTACAGATGTTGTACGGCTCATCGACAGCGAAAGGGCTGGAAAATACTCCCATTGAGCCCTCTAGTGGTACTGATACATCAACTTCTTCGATCGCGCCTGCAGCGCCTGCCGAACCTGCAGCACCTGCACCGAGCCAAGAGGATAACGTGCAAGGGGAGGCGAGTGGTCCGGTCAAGCCGCTGGATCCGAACACAAAAGCTTCCGGGTGGAGTTTCTGGTTTCGGGATGCGTCGAAGGATGCCGAACTCGGCAAGTCGCAAGAGGTTCAGGTAGCCGAAGCGTCCATGACACAAGAGTCTCTGAAGAAACCCGCTGCAGAACCTGAGTCTGAGAATCAGCCTCGTGTGGAGGTCGTCAAGAAAGGAAGCGTCAAGTCGAAGGCTTCAAAGAGCACTACTAATCTACTCGACAAGGCCACTGCACGGGCCGAAGCGGAAGTCAACGGTCCAACCCCTGGGCCATCTGAGACAGCAGCAGCAAAACATCTGCAGAAGATCCTGCCAAACCAGGTGCTTCCGCGCTTCGAGGACACATTCGCTTTGGAAGAGAAGCCGGGCATACTTCAGACGATTGGACGCTACTTGCATTACAACAAACAGCCAGAGAACAAGCATGTTTACATGGTCCGCGATCCGCCGCATATCAAAAAGGCATTGGCCATCGGTGTGCACGGGTACTTCCCGGCCCCTCTAATACGAAGTGTTCTCGGACAGCCCACAGGAACATCGATCAGGTTCTCAACGATGGCCGCGGAGGCGATACAGAAGTGGGCTGGAGACTTTGGCTTCAAATGCGAGGTGGAAAAGATTGCCTTGGAAGGCGAGGGCCGTATCGCCGAGCGCGTGGAACTATTGTGGAAGCTGCTCTTGAATTGGATGGAGGAGATCAGAAAGGCGGACTTTATTTTGATTGCATGCCATAGCCAAGGCGTCCCAGTGGCGATAATGCTTGTTGCCAAGCTGATATCCTTTGGGTGTATTAACGCATCTCGGATCGGTATATGTGCCATGGCGGGTGTCAATCTGGGCCCGTTCACGGACTACCGCTCACGATGGATCAGCGGATCTGCTGGTGAACTTTTCGAGTTCGCCCTGCCCTACAGTCAGGTCTCGAGGGACTATGAAGCGGCATTGCGCGCGTGCTTAGACTTTGGGGTCCGGATCTCGTACATTGGAAGCATAGACGATCAGTTGGTTTCGCTCGAGGTATGCACTCTTGTCTATCGACGACTGCTATATGGACTAAGAGCCCCACTCGCTAGTCTTCACTCTTCACACCCGTGAGCCATCCGTACATCTACCGTGCAGCCTTTGTGGATGGCCGAGTCCACGCTCCAAGCTTGTAAGCCCCTCAGTCTCATCAGCATGAATCCAAACACACGCATACACTGACAGATCGCCAGTCTGTCCCACCTCGTCGGCTTCGTCCTCAAACTCCGCAACCTCGGCATCGCAGACCACGGCCTCATCCGTGAACTCAGCTCCCCACTGGCAGGCAGCCTCTACACCGGCGAAGGCCACTCTCGCCTCTACGACGACCCAGCCGTCTACCGGTAAGCCTTCTTGCTCCAAGCGAAGCAACATCCCACTTACCCCTGGACCATTAGCCTAGCCATCCAATTCGCCCTCCAAACCACGGCGCTCCCCTCTACAACACCCTCCTCTACCCCCAACTCAACGCTTCTCCACATCAAACGGCCTCAACCCCCGTCCACCCCGGCAAACCCGTACATCCTCCCCTTCGCCATGCGCGGCATCCTCGAGGAGGAGTACGTCCGTCGCGAACTAGGTGATGAAACCCTTGAGCTCCTCCGACAGTTCGATGACTGGAAGCCTACGAGTAAAGTGCTTAAGGATGTCAAGTTTCGGTTGGAGGGAATCCGGTCGAAGTTGTAGACGTGCATTCAACTCCGAAAGCGAAGTGCAAGCAAAGAGCAAAGAAATTCCAAGAAAAATCAGGTGGGTTGGTGCGCGGCTGGGTCCCTCAGTATGTCTGTACTCCGTAGAGTTATAGAAATTGAGCAGTGCGAGCGAGTTGTGGCGCTTGGTTGGCTTTTGTGGGTTTTGGGTGGATTTTAGCCTTGACCTGGTAGCTAGCAGCTGGTAGCTTTAAGCTTTGAGCTTGCCTTTTGGCTAGGGATTTCTTGTGGAATATGACTCCCTTTCTTGACTGAGCTCCTTCTTTGAATTATCTTGTAGTTTGATTTCCAACTCTGGTATTTGCTTTAGGTAAACAAGGAGGTAGATGAAAAATAAGGTTGGGGCAATGAGGAGGGGCGATTTGATATTCGGTACAGTACATCCCAGCCGCAGCCGCAGCAGTAGTGTGGTGCTGCTACTGTTTGCTTGCTGGTGATAATGGCCTCCTGTTAGATTCATAGTTAGATATAAAAGGGCGGTAGAAAGAAGTCACAACAGAGGGGAACCGAGGGGCAGAGCCTGCCTACTCTCTCTCTGAATGGAAGGGCCAGAAGCCGGGTGAAGGTGTGGCGTCGTTGCAAACTGGAGTAATGAATGCTCAGCCAGTCGGAGAAATCGAGACCAAAAGCCTCCAAGGTACGAGACACTACTTGTACTGCACAGTGAGTATTACCTCTGCGTGCAGCCGTCAATAGTAGCATTGCTTCGACGCAACACCTCTAGCTGAGCACATCCCAAGACGCCTGAGTTATGGTTTCATGCCAAACACACGAGACCATTGGAAAGCTAATACAGACAAAGAAACAAAGTAACCCGAACTACTAGCCTAGTCCATCCATATACCCGGACTCCTCGGTCTGCCTTATATAACGCCAGGGGCATGCATGCGTATTCCTTGCTTTGCTCTGCTTTTGGGATTGAGTACCAGAAGGGAAAAAGTCTACCGACAATCTGTAAAGAATTGAATGTCATTAGATTGCGGGTCGTGGAGGGGAAAGTGTTGTATGTACGAGTCGAGAGATTAGATATTGTGCGTAACGCATTAACTCATTCATGCTTGGATAAACGCCGTGTGGTATGCACCCTCAATTTCGTCTGCGAAGATAGGATGTTAGGTTGGACAAACGGGAACCGAGACTGGGGTGCGGCCTACCTCTCATGCCGTCCAACGCCTCAAAAGCAATCGCGTAGTTAATTGCCGTGGCGATGATCCGCTTCAGTCCCTGCCGGATCTCCTCGATCAGTCGGTCAGACGGGCTGGTCATGTTGCTGCCACCATAGTCCGGGGTCATCTGCTTCTCGACGCGTGCCTTGTAGAAAATCATCAACATGGCGTAACTGCCTTGCATGAGGCAGCACGCAAACGAAGGCATGGTCCGCGGGAGCGGGTTTGGAAGGAGCTGGAGGCCTTGTCCAGACTGGCGGTCATCGTAGAGCGGCTGCGGAATGGGGAGGCAGTGGAACATTTGTGAGATCAAAAGAGACGCCCGGAGACATATTTTAGCGGAATGCTGGCTGCTGTACGGGAACCCATTGGTGAATGAGTACTGGGGTAGTGAGGAAAAGTCGGACGATGTCGACGACGCGGAAGATGGAGTATATTCAGAGGAGGCCGGTTGGAACATGTCGAGACTACTGCAGGAGCATCCAACTTGGGTGATGCCGTCTTGCGTCGCTGGGCTTTTGACAGTGTCGGCTAGTACAGGGTGGTTGGTGGTAGCCGCGCTAAGGTCGCAATGCTTCCTGATGAAGATGGGTATATCCGAGAACGCTCTGAAGCGGTGTATTTTGATTTGTGCACTGAGATCATGTTAGGCACGCGCGTAAAAGCTCATGTGGGATATAGTCGTACCTCGAAAGCTTGATGCGCGAGATTGCGCGTATACTCTGAGCCGTAGTGGACTCCAAGTCGCAAGCCATGGTCTGGGGGACTATAGGGAGTAAGTTTGACTGCGCTAGTGCGGAGTTTGCCCAAGAGTCGAGTTGCTGCATTCTTTCAAAGACGTATTGCAGGTTGGTTCTAGTTGAGACACATTTATTCAGATCCACGACAAATTGAGTTGCCGATACAAGCACTTGTTGTGCTTGGATCAAGACGGACCACCCCTATGAAAGGGTCAGAGATAGGACTGTTGCCACGAGGGATACTGGAACTCACATCTGGATCGGCGGCGAAGCGTGGGTATGGCGTGACGAACTGGGGATCGTTGGCGACGATGGAGAGCGGCTGCCGACGGGTGTTAGCATCATTTCCAGAGACGTTCACAGGAGGGTAATTACCGTAGCGCTGACAATAGAACCTTGGAGGACGCAATAATACTACTGAGAGTTAGGCCGAGATCCAATGAGACTAGTTCAGCATTCTCACCGTCATCCACCAAGCTCTTCTTCGAGCTTCTGCAAACTCATCGTAGTCATCGCTGAGTGAATGGAGAGACATATCCAATGCTATTGATAAGGCTTGCCCGGCACGATATCGCATTTTCAACAGATTTCCTCGTTGAGTGTACTCGTAGACCGAAAGAACGAGGAGCGCCAAAATGCTCTCGAGTTCCACAGGTGCTTGAGGATGAAGCGGAGCTCGGTCAATGGAAGGCCGATCGTTGGATAGCGCCTGCGCAGGGTCGGTAGTTGAGGCGCGAAGCTCGCAGTCAGACTCGATGCTCAGGTTCGCCATTTGCGCAAACGTCTGGGCATATGTTCTGCGGCGGACTACGGAGGCTGGACTCGATGGTTCCAGGTCATTCGGGTGCGGTACTAGGGCTAAAATCGCGGAAAGCGCATTGCTGAGAGGAGACTGGGGCCGGTAGGGTATCACAGGTTCTTCTGAAGGTGACTCCGTGAATGATCCGACGCAGTCCAAAGGTCGATCCGGAATGCGAGGCGTGCACCTCGGCGGAAGTATCGGGAAATAATTATGAATAAATTCGTAGTAAGCACTCAAACTGTTCCATGGTTAGAAAGCTTGGGAATTGTTTCAGATACAGGCTACGCACATGTCTGTCTCACTGCCGTATGTCCTGACCAGGGACCGCGATGGGACATTCGATGGTGACGAACTTGGCTCAATTTGCACAGGGATAGCATTCTCGGCGTGAGGGACAAACAGATCAGTGAACATATCGGACGGGAAGTCCAAGCTTCTAAGACCTGCTCCGGGAATCGATAGCACATCAATTTGGCCAAACATCTCCGGCGCTGAGAAATTGTTAGTAGTGACAAGACGATGGCAACTAGAAACAGCTTGCTTACAGTCATCATTGAACCCGGAAGAGGGCGGGGTGATCATGGCGCTCTGCTCCTCATCTTGCTGAACAGCCTCATCTGAAGAGATCGAAGGCTTCTTCTTCTTGCGTGGACCTCCCCGTTTACTGGGCAGATAGGAGCACTTCCGCTTCTTGCTAAGACACTTTGCCACCATGAGCAAATCAGCATATGCTTCACCAAGACGCTCCCCTTCTCAGGATCATCCCGTATGGAGCCACAGGCTCAAAGCACAAGAAGAAAGCAAGGAATGGCGTGTATCTTCGCTATCGCAACTTTTTGGAGTGGAATTTGCCAACGAGCAAGGGAACAATACATACATTTGTACATGGGTCCTGCCCATCACACCGTGTTCTTGAAGCACGACTGAGATGAAAGATCAGTCGCAGTGGACAAGTTGCTTGCAAGGGAAATCAAGCTCAGTGCTTGCACGAAAGTTCCGAGTGGATGGGTTGTCACTTACCACGCGAGACATGCTACTTTGACTGGCGGCTTTGCAAATTTCTTGCGGACCACTGCGGGCTTGGAAGCCTTGGAAGTCTTGGGCTGTGTAACAGGCATGACTCCATCCTCTCCGTACAATTGCTGGAAATCATCCAGAGCCATGGCGGATGAGAGCTGGCGACACACAGCAGCGGCGGGAAGTAAATAATGGTCGGGAAATCATGCAACGGGGGGGGCTCTCCAGGGCGTGCAACCATCACCCACGATCTACACGAAGAGTCGCCCGGAAGGCATAATTCAAGAGACTATTAGTACCGAAAGGAATGAGACGGAGAACCACGATAGGAAACCATCCAGGCCGCAATGAAGGGGGGGAGGGGAGGCTGGGTGGAATAATGAATGATAGTGATGGAGTTCAAAAGTGGTCTGATATACAGCACAGCAACATTCATTGTAGTTTGCATTGGTTTGATGGATGGATTGAAGGGAAGAGAGAGTCACGGCTTACTCATCCTCGAGATTGATAGAAGCAAATCCCGAAACTCCCACGCTTCGGGATTTGCTTCCACCTCATCGACAGGCGATCGCCTCACGCCCCTCGATTAGTCACTTCGCACAGGGCGAAAAAGCATCATTGCTTTTTTTCTTGTTTACTTTACGTTTCGCTTCCCGATTTGCGCCTACTCCGGATTAAGCAGAACTCGAAAAACGACATCGTTGTGTGGCTTTTCCCACCCTGAACTGGAGCCTGACTGGGAGAATGGCAGTCTATTCTTCGATGATCATGTCCGTTAGATCGATCGTCAGTTGGCTTAAGCTCCTTCCTGTTCGGGTAAGCTGCATGCGGTGGACTTGCAGTCAGAATGATAACTGCTGTGTAGTTAGTTGTGTGGTGTGCAGTCAGGAATGACCGGTCATTGTGTCACGTGATGTTTGGGTATTCTGCGCATTCTTCTTAACTTACTCCCGTACTCTAGAATGTACAGCTGCGGGTCGGATCGAGGCTCTGGAATGTAGTGTACTCTGTCCGTAGTATCTGAGGCGTAACTTGTGGACTGAAATCGCGAACCTGCTTATCACTTGTCGCACCAGATGAAGGGCGATGGCCTGCTGCCCTGCCGCCCCATCTGCAATTGAACCCGATCATGAGCCAGAAGATTTTACCTTTCCCGACATCTTCTGATGGGTGATCTAGACTCTCGGTCGATCATTGCCGAACCAGAATACTGGACAAAAGTACGGAGTACCGGAGCGCCTTATCAATCACAGACGCATGCATTACTCGATGCACACATCATTTACATATACTTCGTCCCCCCGCCTATCTTTGCCACCAGTCTAGGGATGTGTCGTATGTCTCGACGTTGACTATTATCCAGTTCTAAACTTAGTCTAGAGGATTCAACGCATGCTGCTCCATAGAACCCAAATATGATATTGCATTATATAGGTAGGGTTTGCTGCCGACTATTACTGGTCTAATGCAAGTTCCCTATAGATCAGTTTCAGGACGGCGGCAAAGCATGGATCTTTATGCCTGAGATCCGCTTGACGGAGAACCAGACGCTATCAGGGACCCGCACGGGGAGCTTATGCCCCTTTAACTGCTGATCGATCAACCACATCCCCACCACGAATTCTTCGCGAGTCAAAAGTCCTCTCTTCTGGCTATCGACCAAATCCCAGATCTGCCCCAGGACATGCGTGGGAAGACCGCTGCGGGACCAGATGTCGCGGACCACCAGGTTGACAACCATTTCGGACGCATTGGGAGGCAACGAGCCAGGGGGGACCTGCGAGGGGGAAGGAACAAGCAATCCTTTGTTTGCCGCCCACACGCCTTCGTACTTCTTCCGATCTTTCTCACTCACTTCGCTCCGCCACCGCTTTCGGTTCCCTTCGTGGTGTTTATGCGGGTGTTTGCGGATGATATGTCGGTGCTGGCGATATCCCTCTTCTTCGTCCGAACTGCTTGGATGTCGAAGCGTTTGCCGTAGCCCAGTAGAAGAACTCGAGGGTTGAAAGTGATCATGTTTCTTGCTGTGGCCCAGACTCACGATGGATCGTGATCGAGGCCGACGTCGGGGAGGGGGGGGGGGAGGGTCCTTCCTCTCTCGCGAAGCACGGGTGGATGCCAAGGACGATGCTACAATAGCATCCGAGAGTACCCCTTCGGAGGTACTATCAAGGAGACTCGGAGTACTGTTGGTCACAGATCTGGCATAGAGAGACGCCACGCCGGGACTAGAGGGCCGCGGTCGGAGATTACTGCTGCTGAGAAGTGCCCGATGACTCGCCAGATCAATCTTGGATTTGAATGATGATGATGATGGCGTTTCACTCGGTCGCGGGGGTAGTAATGGCGGTTTTTCATCGGTGCCGCTAGGTTCCGTTAGAGGGAGTGACGGAGGTGATGAAGGAAGGTCTTTAGGCTTCTCTAGTGCTGGCCTCGCACTGGTGCCTGCGGGATTCTGCCACGGTTTTCGGGGCACTGGCGGCGGTCGCGATTTTGTCGCAGCCAGCTGCGCAAAGTCTGATAGAGCAGAACCCGGCCTGACGGGTTTGCGATCCAGTGGCCTGTCTCCGAGTCCAGTTTCCTGCTCGTCTCGCAAGATCTTCTCAAACGAGGCCTTACTCGCGGCAGTAGCCCACGCAGGCTTCGGGGCTAGGAGCTGTGGTCTTTCCCGCTCGCCGCCCGGTCTCATTGGAAGGTCGACGCTGGCACTGCTGCTGCTTGGGGTGGGAGCTGGTTTCCTCCAGCTGCTCGGCGTGGATCTTCCCGCTGCGAGCTGGGCGGCGATTTGCTGCGGGGTACGTGGTCTTAAGGCCCCTACATTCCCTGGTCCTTTAGATTCGCTATGTTGTCCGTATGCGCTGAACCTGCCAATTTTGTCCTTGACGGAGCCGAACTCGGGTGGCTCTGGAGACTGGCTGCTGCGATGAGACGCCAAGTCCGAAGCAGGCGGGTTCATGTTGCCAGATCCTCTGGGGGTGCCAGATGAATGGCTGGCGACAGGAAGACGCCGGTTTGCAGAGCTCGCATTGAACGCTGCAGTTGCTCCTTGGAGGGCTGTCACCGTGCTACTGCTGCTGCTGCTGCTGCTGCTCACTTGACCGGGCGACACATGGGGAGGCAACCGACGGTCCAGAGCGGGTGTCGAATTCGCCATTCATGCCTGGGCAGGGAGGCCGTTCCAAGGTTTCGCGCGGGTGGAGAGAGTCAGACCGCTAGGACGGCCTCTACCAGTTCCAGTTCCTCTTACAGTAGATGTCCAGTTATTCAAGCAACGGATAAGTGAATCGAGCTGATAGATCGATAGATATTAGATAGAGGTAGAGCGGTAGGGGGGGCTTAATGATCGTAGGACGCTAGACTCAATCTGGAAGGAAAGCTGAGCTAATGCGAGGCGTCCGTGCGTTATACATTTTAGAAGTAGGATAGTGTAGTTTCACATTGGTTTTACTGTCCAGAGCACTAGTCAAACAGAAAATGCATAGTGGATTTTAGAAACTACTAGACACGAGGGGTAAGAGATGTTGCTGCATAGTTTGAACAGGAGCAGTGACCCAACTGCGCACCCTTCATCTCATTGTATGCCAGAAAGAGAAAAACATTGTAAATGCAAACACAATTAGGTTAGAAATTCCTAAGGTGAATTCATCCATTAGTCACCCAGTAAACCTTCTGCTGCCAGCCTCTTCTCAGGTGCCCATTGTAACATTGAACGTATGAACTGGAGGAAAAGTTGCTGGTGCTGCCCGCTAAGATTCTCCCACAGTTCTTCCAGCGAGACTGATGCCATTTACCTATAGAAGCATGAGCTTAATTCTTGAAGATCTGCATCAACCTGAACGTCTCCTGCGAATACGTTGCGAGCCTCATAGCTTCACTCAATAAAGGCTAATGGTGGCAGGCCGAAATATGCTACTATCTCTCCCACGTGGCGAGAGGAAGAGTAATCCCCCCTTGTCGTCGAGCACATTAAATAGAAGTTGCTTAAGGATTTCCCGGAACTGAAGAAAGTCAACAACCATTCCTTCCACTATCGAGTTCGCTCACCATAACACCAAGGTTTCAAATATCAGCGGTAGAGTTCTATTTTATATGAAAGAGAACTTCCAAGGCTCTATATACACTAGACTAAAATAAGGTCTTAGGGAGCCTAGCCAGTTCTGGCCTATCCAAGATCATACAGTAACTGGCTGACTCCACAGCACATCTTTAGGCAAGTGTGAATTCATAATATATATATCAATAAGTGCCATCAATAACCTTTCATAAACTTAGAGCTTATGTAGAGGTATATACATCGATAGATTTACTGAACAGTAATTAGTACCATCCGGACCCGAAATATCAAGAGTATTATAGCAAGCCACATATATATACCATTTCAATAGAGAAAAACCCTAAACTACTCAAGCAGTCATTAATTCTTGACTCTCCAGAACCAGCTTATCTATGATGATTATTTAACAGGAACCCGGTACAGCCAGATATCTCTAGTTACCTTAGAAGATATAAATCAGTACTAATATTTTGATTAGAGTAAGTCGAATTATACATTCTATCATAGTATAACCACACAGTAGAATAAAAGTTATAGCTAAGTTTTTCTACTATTTAATATCTTGAATTCAGTATGTCCCCGATATGTAAATTAAAAAAAATACTTAGGCCTATATAACAGAAGTAGTTTTTCTTCGCAAAGTGCTCTAGAATTATTGCGGAGCCTTGGAGAACACATTGTATGCTTACTAGTGAAAGTTGCTGCTCGTGAGATGTTTGTATTGAATTTAGAAGGACCTTGAGTGCTCCTTAACGCTGCAATATATTTTTGTAATATCGATGTGGATTTTGGTGACTATGTGGGATGCGAGCATTGAAGGATTAGGAAGAATTGTCAGGACCGAAGCTCCTTGAGTGGGAGCGGCATTGACAGGGACAGGGAGTGGGGGCGGAGGAGAGATGAAGGTGGAAAGAGACATGCTTGCTTCTGTCACTCTGTCTACTGTCCACTGTCGTCCAGTTTTCATATATTCATTTATGCTTGCTTTGTTGAATGATCTCGTTCAGTTAGTTTAGGTACTGTCAGGCTCAAAAACAACTTCCAATTGAAGTGACAGGCTTCATGGCTTGTCAGGTCCGAGTTGTTTGAAGTTATATGAACCCGCCGTGAATGCCTGAGGCTTATGCGTCTTTTCAATACACATGTATATACTAGTAACAGAGTGCGAGACGCTACAGGCCTACCTTCTTCTTATCTTAAGTTTAGGGCTCTTGGTAGTCTGATAACTGAATCTATCTTGTCTTGATTTCTGCTCAGACAGGCCTAAAGCAGAAATTGAAAGTTCTCTGATTTTCTGCAGGAATGCAGCTCTGGCAGCAGTACCGGCATATGTAGATACTGCAGATCTGGGGTTATGCCAAGGTCAGCGATGTGTACTCCGTATTGAAACCCATAGAAGCTTTTCTAAAAGAATCCTATCGGGGGTGGCAGTACACCGTCACACATGGATTTCTAAGCAGTGCCGGTGAATACTGCATACCATCTCGGCTATTTTAAACGGTTGTATACATCCCCATGGGGTTACTGGGTGAAGAACACCAACACTCATATCCATATTACGTCAATTGAATGACAGATCTTGAAAGCCCTAGGTGAAGAATATTGCTTCAGAAATTGCGCAGAAGGACTCCGACCCATCATTGATGAAACTTGACACCGCAATCAACAATGGCAACGAGAAGTGATTTAATTAACCGACGACTGGCGGAAAAATCGACCGAGGCGATGCGTTGGAGGCTGGGGGCCTAAATGCCGCTAAACGCTTAGCCTCGATTTAGTCCCGTTCGCTTCCCCGCTTCCTTGAAGTGTCGGCCAAGTTCGTGATCTTCCCTGCTCCTAATCGTCTGATCATCGTGTTTCCCCGCGAATACTATTTTATTTTTGCTCTTGCCTCATTTTCGATCAAGCCATGGGCTTTCTCTCTACCAGTGATAACCACATGGCACGATGGATGTAGTTCGCAGTCTTCCCAGGAATGATTACTCTACTTGAACAGCTTCATGAACTGTCTCTGTCGCCAGTGTATCGATTGCCATGCCAGACATTCTCCCACTGTATTCGAAGCGGAATTCGTCTATGCGACGCCATGTCCTCGCAACACAGCGACGCTGGGCAAGGTGCGATGACTCTCATTGCGAACGTTGTCCGAATGACTTCACTAATTGGGCTGTGTTGTTCCAGAAGCTGCCGGCCACCTTGACCTTGAGGAGGCAGCAAAGGATGAGAGCGACAACTATGACCCTCTACCGCCACAAAGCTTGACAGCTAGCCCAACCAAGTGCTCAATCTGTCAGAGTACCTTTCGACGGCCTGAGCATCTGAAGCGCCACTTCCGCAGCCATACAAAGGAGAAACCATTCGAGTGCGCGCAGTGCGGCCGTCATTTCTCGAGAACGTACGTTATATACCTGCCTTCTTTCACAATTCAGGAGGCTCTCTGCTTTCCTTCGTGTCCAGAAGTGGCTAAAACAAGTCGCTAGAGACACATTACATCGCCACGAGCTCAGCCACCATAACGCTGGAAGGGAAGGTGGAAAGGATCGTACTCATCGCATCACAGTGAAGACATTCCGGGCGTGCTACAAATGCGCACTCGCACGAGTACGATGCAGCGGTGGCACACCATGTGCGCGCTGCGAAAACCGATCTCTCGAATGTCAGTACCCAACAGAGCGACGTTCGAAGGCCAAAGCCCGAAGAGAGGCGGCTCAGTCAGCCTTGGGTCGAGACGAAGAATTCAATGGACAATCTTTTCTCACCGTGGCCTCGACGTCGGTGGATGGTTCTGCTGTACGCTCCCCGCCAGTTGGTGAAGGTTCCCTTACAAAGCCTCTTCAATACCGCATGACACAGTTTCAGCTCCAACTGCCAGGAGCCGGGCTGCTAAACGGAGATGCTCCATCATCGCCAGCTGTGTCGGAGGCTTTCGCTCACAGCGAAGCTTTAAAGAAGCTATCGAAAGAAACTCCTCAAAACACTGGACAAAACATCAACGCGACAGACCAGTCGAAACGTCTCGATAATCAGATGCCTTCGATTGACATATCTGATGTGGCACAATCCACCTCGCATGAACCCTTTTCCGCTAACTCACAAACAAAAGAGCAACGCAGATCTTCGTCGGCTATTGAAAACTTACACCTCTTGAAACGAATTACAGAGCCCGTGGGCTCACCAAGTGGCGTTCGTCCAATGTTAGCCAGGCACGGCCGTCATGCGAGCACAACGACCAATGGGGATCAGCGAGGAGAGCATGGATCAATAGAGCCTTTCTTGGACACGGTAGACTCAACTGTTCCAGCGATGAACTGGCTTCCGGGCGAGGCGCCTTATGGTACGTTCACAGGACGGACTCCTACGGCTAATCACGCGGGACATGAAGCTCGTGATGGATACATGAAATACAGTGCATGGTTCCCTCCAGTGATCCATCCGGTCAATGGAGGCCACGAACATATGCTTGGATCCCCAGTAGCCCACACCTCGCTCAAGAGCAACAGAAACAGTCCTGGCAGAACGGGCCGTTTGACATTCTCGAGCAGCACGAGTCGACCAGCAGATCTAGTAGAAGATAGAGCTTCTCGACCGCCGACATATAGACACCAGCAAGATATTTGGTTAAACTGCTCAGCATTGTCTCCTAATGGACATTTTGCTGGAGGGGGAGAAAACACACCTCGGCGGTTCCTATTTCCAAATATCGAGGACACTACAATGCACGATATCCCGATCGGCACGAGCCTATTGATCGGACCATCGACATACGAAAAGATCCACAAGGCTTTTGTCCAGCTATGTTGCACCGAAAGTGTCCTGTTCTCGCCATTCGAGTCGGAGTATTTCCCGAGCGCAAATGTGCTTTCCGACTTTGTCCGTCTTTACTTTCACCACTTCCAACCCGTTTACCCCATGTTTCACCTACCCTTATTCGATGCAAATACATGCCACTGGGTAGTAACTCTGGCTTTGGCGGCCATAGGTAGCCACTATGCTAGACTTCACGAATCAGACGAATGTGTTTCTGCATTCCACGAGCTCCTTCGTCGAGTCATAATGGTAGAGGTAATGAGTTTTTCTTCTCGTGTATACAATTGGCGACTGATTGGAGGTTATAGAAGGAGAACCCCTGCCTGGAACAGACATCTCTCTGGCTTGTCCAGGCAAAGCTTCTTGATTGCATTGGACTCATGTACAACAGTGATGAGCGAGCCAGAGACTCTGCGCTCGACCGATTTGGTGATTTGACCAGTCTGTTGATCCGTAACCAACTGCTGAAACCATCGGGGCACAACAAATCAGACTTTCGTGATAAGCCAGTGGAGCAGAAATGGTTGATCTGGGTTGAGGACGAGGTCAGACGACGGACAGCATATCTAGTCTGGGTAAGTCACCCCAAAGAGGAGGCCATTTTCGGGAAATGCTAATAGTGGCTGTAGCTTGTTGATTGTACAGTTGCCTATCACTTTGACAAACAGCCATTCTTTTCTCTTGAAGATGGCCAGGCCGCGCTTCCCTCCCATGAGAGACTCTGGCAAGCGGAGTCAGCCGATATTTGGCAAGGGCTTTTGGATCGAAATCCAGGTATATGAGCTAGTGCTGCCGGCATCATATTGCAGGTTCTGACAAGACTTAGGCCAATCCGAACTCTCCCTATACGATGCCGTGCTGATTATGTATATTGAAAAGAGGCTGGTACCCGGTCTCGGAGGGTTGAGTCATATTCTGCTGATCCATGCCCTCTACCAACGTATGTGGGAGGTTGGCGATTACTTTCGTCGACCATTATCTTTCTGGAACCCGACCGCTGAGAAACAGTCCCGACTCACGGCGATCCCTTCCGGCTCTGTTTGGCTTCCTGGAATCCCCTCGTACTCCAAGTGGCGTAACAGTGCATGTGATTCCCTGGATATCCTCCACTGGGCTGCTAACAGCACAGCCACCACGGCAGCTGATCTTCGCAACCCCACGATTCTGCATTTGCACTCAGCCAGGATCGTTCTCCTTGCGCCTTTTCGTGAGATTCGTTCTCTGGCCCACTCTCTTGTGACGGAAAAATTTCGGTGGAGCGAACGCCAGCAGAGCCTCGAATGGCACTTCATCCTCCGATGGGTTCGACATGACCAATACAAGGCCCGCCTTGCGATCATCCATGCGGGGGCAACGCTCTTGCATGCTCGAGGAAACACAAGTCACGCATTCCACGAGCCGGTTGCAGTGTTTCTGGCGACACTAGTGCTGTGGGCTTATGGTTGCTGTCATGCTCAGCTAGCCGACCGGGTGCGGCCTGACCCCAGTCAGGAGCCCACCGTCATCCATCTCGACCAGCCTTGCGATGACGAGCTGGTCCAGCTTTTTGTCCGAGAAGGACACGCCATACAAGGCGTTCTCACAGGCGTAGGCGACATTTGCGCGGCGCAAGGACCCGCCGGTGTTCTCCGGGCTGGCAGCGAGACGTTTGTCGATCTAATGTCGTGGGGAATCTCCAGGAAACTCAAATCTATTCTCTCGCAGTTGGCCGATATAGTGAATCCCGTTTGACTGGAACAATAAAGGCGCTGTGCACGTTGTTTCTCTCGTGAATATTAACATTCATCTACGGAATCCTCCATGATAGAACATGTTGTTAGTCATTTTTGAGGCTGTATTGTAGAGAGCCATTGACTATTCACCCTGAGCTCATGCTCTTGGCAGCCGATTCACCATGTATTTGATTGATTGTTTGCTCAAGGGTTTCAGTTTGTGGGCAGTGTAGCATCCAGTCTTTTTTACCACTCTAGTAACTAGGTATGCACAAAAAGCTGACTAGTGTAATTCAAAGGTTCAGACTATCTTCTCAATTGGATTGATATTGAGTATCCGAAACTCTACCAGACCATAGCTCGGCTATTCTTCTCGATTCTGAACAAGGGCTTGTCCAATAGACCCCGGCAATTTTGTTAGATCTAGTGACAACTATTTACTTGTATGAACGCCATTGTATCACTACCAAAATCAATTCCCGACCCGATACAGACATCTATTGAGTTTTCAGAAGACCATTAGAAAGCCGTACTAGAACGGCAAATCCTCGAAAGCAGGTCTCAACCTCTCTCCATCATCAGCCATTGAAATCTGCGGTCGTTCTGCCCCCTAATCACGCACTCAACTTATTGTCTCAATCACAGTGATGCTAACACGAAATGAGCTACCAAACTCTGCACAAAGCTTCCCGAAGCCCGTACAGACGAGCTCCGAGTTACTAGAAATGTGGTAAGACCTGATTGCTAAAGAAATTGTTATCAGGTTAGGGAGTAGATGCTGCAACCGAGCCTTCAATGCTGCAGGCTGTGAGTTTGTGTAATGCTGTCCGGAGTAGTAGCAGCCGCTTCTAGTTCACTACTACGAACAGAGCAGCAGTTTTCATGTTGTAACCACATGGCCTGTCAGATCTGAACACCATCTGACAAACTGAGCACGCTCGGCGAGATCGCCAATTGAATAAGAAGTCCGCGGGTCAATGGGCGTCGAGGGGGGCTTCTTCAGGGATTTGAACGAATTGATAGAACTCAGAATAGGTCAGCCGTCCCCCGGAAACCCTTGAAAAATGCATGCGGCAGTCTGGTTCTCGGGAAAGACTGACTTGGAAACCGGTGTTGATGAGGCTTCGTTATTAAAGATTTGAGGACTCTTAGTTCACCAAGTCAGCCATTCCCGGAAGTCTTTAGGGATGTATGCAGCCGTTAGGGTTCCGGTGACGGCTGACTTGGTGGAAATGGGTGTCAACGAGGGCTTCATCAAGGATTTGGAAACTTGATGACTTGAAGTTTTGGGTGTTCACTGCGTAAGAGTTTCCCCGGAGGTCAAGGAAAGTGTCAAAGTCGGGATGCATTGCACTCACTGCTCCTGGCTTCTTAGTCACAGCGTTGGACCGGCGACAAAGATGTATTCTGATGGAGTCAAGCTTCGTTGGTACTTTGTATACATAAGTAGAGATCTTTGACCGCCTCGAACTATAGTCACAAATCGAGATACCTAAGCCCAGCTGACACGAGAAACCCATTTGCGGGAATGGTGGTGGTTCATGCGGTGGCTTTGGATGTATCAATAATAGCATCGTATGGAATAGTAATCAAGAAGTTTTATACCATTGTTCAGTAAGTCCAACGAGATGATACTTAACAAAGCCACTTGGTACATGGTATTGTGATGACACTAGTTATTATAAGTGAGGTCTATCCAAGGTTCTGTCTACAAATTGTTAACTCGCAACAGTCTTAAATTGCTAGGACAGGGTGCTTCGAGCATCATTAGCTGCAGTGTCAGTAGGATCCTTTTGGAAGTCTCGAGCTTGAGTTCGTAGGAAACAGTTCGGCTCATGGCTCGACTAATCTGTTCGAGCAGTTCTCCCGCATACCCAAACATCTGCATAGCCTGGCTCGGGTTGTAGTAAGGGGTTTTGGCGAAATCTGCAAGGGGCAGCCCCCAAAAACCAGAGAAGCGTAGTAGCCGGCTGATGGCATGTCCTCTTACGTTTGTGATGCCAGAATGTCATTCCTCAAAATAACTACTTGCACCCTTCAGTCACTGCCACCGTCTTCCTCCATCGGTGCAAGTTCAAGCTGAGCGTTAGTCTCAGCCACATCGCTTGATCGCTGTATGTTTGAGCTTCTTCGTCTGCGGGCATGCATCTCCTGATCGGCTTGTGTGACTGCTCTCTCACCGACAAACTTATCCCCCGGCCAGGTATCTTTACACACCGGGCAGATCTCAGCCTGCTGAGAGCGAAAGAAGTGAGGCATACAATGGTCATGCAATCTGCCTAGACAGTCTCGATCGCCACATCGTTGGCCCTACCCCAGACACATCAGTCAGCATAATTCCATGCCCTCAGAAACGAGAATCAAAACTCACCGCAGTGATCAAATCCTTGCACGCAGCGCAAAATTTGATCTTCCGGATCCCCTCCGCCTCATCATTATACGTTGCAACCAGCCACCCCCGCAACTCCATCAAGCCTCTAGGACTGAGGCTATAAAACCCATTGCGACTCTTCCCGAACCACCCTTCCTCAACCAACTGCTTCAACAGCATTTCCGCCTGCGACATCGTCAACGACTGCACCACCCCACCCACCACCTGCGAGTCTGCTTGCTGTGTGGCCCCCTGCGTCAATGTCGGCTGCGACTGCATCCCCGACTCCCTCCGCTCCCCTGAGACTTTCGCCAGCTGGAGCGCCTGGATCCCACTGATGGCCATCGCCTCGCAGCGGCGCGTGTTGTGCGTCTCGAACATCGCGTCCAGCAGCCGCTTGACATAGGCAATCTCGTCCGCCGAGTATGTCGTCGCCAGTTGCGTCATCGCGTCGCTGGTCGTGTTAACCAGCGCGTACACCCGCTCTGGCGGTGAGGCGGTCGTCTGGCTCGGGTCGATTTCGATCTGGGGCAGGGTACTGCGGATCTCGAGGTCAAAGGGGGAGATGGCGTTGTTGGCGGTCGCAATGTAGGACTGGAATTCGTCCTCGGTGACTTCCTCCGCGGAGACGGGCTGTTTTTCTTTTGAGGATGATGCGGTTAGCTTCGCTTCATTGTCATCCATTTGATTGCAGAATGAGCGCAGAAAAAGTACCATGCGCTGAAAAAATCGCAGCTAGTACGGGTCTGGCTTCTCCAAAAGTCATGGTCGAGCGGCCCAAGAAGGCCTGGAGAAAAGCGCGGTTGGTGTCATTGTAGTTGTAGGGGCCGGTTTCTCGAACCATTTTTGTCGGTAGGAGGTGTGTCTACTTCTGCAGGCTTGGCTTTATGCAGATATAGCGGGAAAGTGCAAGAGATGCGGTTCTATATGTTTTCTTGGGGTCACAAAACAAAGATGAGGGAACAAAGAATTGCGGAAGACGCGATGCGGCACGCGCTCCCCGCGTTTGGTAGTATTGATTTTCTGGAGAGAGAGCCAGCCGCCAAGAGCCCCCGGGATCTTCTTTGTTTAGTGAATATGACTCGAGCAACATGTTCCAATTTATAAGATGATAATCTCATCCATATTGACGCACTAGCATCACAGACACCATGGTATTAAAAAGGAAAAGACGACCAAATTCAAAAAGATGGGAATCGAAAATACAAGTGACAATGTCATGAGGTTCAGATTTCCCCGATAAACGCCGCGAATCGTATAAAAATGATGATTAAGAGGAATAAATAAGAAAAGAAAAAATGAGCCTTAGAGGTCACGGAATCTTTTCCCAACGAGCACACAAGCTAGTATCTCCGCCGAGTAGGCTCCGGACTGGGGCTGCGACTGACACTCCGAGCATCACGACCGCGTTCCTTCAACCACTTCTTCGTGCTCAAACGCAAATCCCGATCCAGCTCATTGCTGGGATCTTTGCGATGGATGAAATTGCAGAACCCTCCACGGACACAACCTTCTCCGCTATTCAACCGACAGCACGCTTCTCGGAAATCCGTCACCGGTGATAACTCGCAGTATATCGGTCGCGCCGCATACCATCTAGAATTGAGCGCATCGCAGGCAGCCTGTGCGTCTTCTTCGTACTTGAACCGGGCGTAGACATTGCCAATTAAGTCTGTTAGAGCATTTACAGGTTAGTCACTGAATCCCAATCAAGGCCGCGGCCTGCTGAGCTAGAAAGAAGGGATCTGGGGGCGAACATACGGTCATTGTTGTTATCGCAAACAACCAACTCCTCCAACTCGCCGTACTTGCACATCTCACACCACACATCCTCGTAAAAGGCATCAAAGTGGTTCTGCAGCTGACTCGGGTTCATCTTGTTTTTGGGGTCGTAGGCGGGATTTTGATACATGTTCGGCATCAGGATCGTCTGCGAGTACGAGGGCTTGACGTGCTTGCGCGAACAGCGGTCGCCGTGACGGCAGGCACCGATCTTGTAGTAAAAGGAGCAGTTGACCTTGTCTTGCTCGGTACCGAAGATAGAGGCGAGGTAGTTAGCCATGGTGTTATGTGATGCGCCGGAGCGAAAATCCCTTGTTTATGCAGGTTGGCCGGTAAGAAAAGCAGGATGATACTCAAAAAATCAAGCGAAGGGCCAGTGAAGGTAAGCGAGGGGAATGAACGCGCAAGGCCACGGGGACGAGATGTTTGTCCTGGACGGTTTCCCCAGCTTCTCATTGAAGTTTCTGGACAGCTCGAGCTCGTGGCGGTAAGGATGACTAATCCCGAAGAAAGTTCTGGTGCCTGAGGCTACGACTACTATTATCAATCGACTACCTCCAGTGCCATTCGAAGTAGTTTAGTTAATGGCTCTTATGGTGACTAACATAATTGCTTGTCTAACTTCAAACTCTCCGTCAATCTGTCCGAATATCTCTATTCACACGCCCAAGCCACTAATATCCGCTGAAGACTCAGCACCTGTCACTAACTCGGCAACAATTTTGCCAGTTCCTAGACTGAGCGAGATGCCCCATGGGCCATGGCCTGCAGCAACATACACACCTCCGGTTGTACTCGCCCCCAATGAGCTAGCTTCAATCTTTCCTACGAAAGGGGTTCCACTCTCCGAAGCGGGTCGGAAGCACAACCCTTCACGTAGGATCTCCAAATCGTCAGTGTTCGTGATTGCGTCTGTTGCCTCAGAGCTGCCCTCTGCAAGCCTTCCAAGAAGACGGACAGAGACTGCTTTCAGCCTCCTCATCTCCTTCTAATCCATCGACTTGTAGTAATTATCTGCTCGATCCGGAAGGGGAATCTGTGTCGTATTAAGGCCTGCGATATAGATCTCTGTTCCTTGTCGCGAGAATAACTCCGGACAAAAGCCGCAAGACAGGGGACATGTGGTAAATAGAGCTTGACTCCGGCCATTGTATGTCGTTTGCTCGTGCTCCACAGTGTATCTTGGAGAGCGCAGAACCAAAGAGTAGCCCGCTAAGGAATAGATAGGGAGTGAAACTTTCGCCGTGGGGAACAACTCCTGAAGCACCCGCTCTGTCCACGGTCCAGCGCAGAGAACAAGGTTTGAGCAAGCGGTGGTAGATTCAGCTTTCGTGTCAAGATTGACGATCTTGACTGCTGTTATGGCTTCATCCTCTCCCTGTCATCCTCTCCCTGCACAGTAGACACTGCCTTTACAGGATTGTGGACCTTCACGCCTCGTTCTAAGCAGGCATCCAAAAAATATTCGCACAATCTCAGAGGATCCCTGATGACAGTCAGTATAATCCCGAAGGGAGATCAGAATGTACCACATACACTTGAGCTGTATCATCATCCTCGCTGATCTTCGCCACGTCAGCTCCATGCTGCCTTGTCAGCCACGGCGGTGGCTCTGCGGTGACCTGCTCCGATCCAGCTGCGGTTTCTGCCCGACTGGTGCCCGTACGGAGCCGGTCATCTCCACGTTTTTCCCCCTTCTTCTTCGCAACTCCCAGACTGAGTGCACTCCCTTTCATATATCCCCATTTCTCTGTGCCGCCTTTCTCAGCAGCCAGAGACTGATGCAGCCTGAAGGAAAGGTCTCCCAATGGTGTGAGAGAAGGGCCGAACCAATCCCTGGCCATGAAGCCAGCTGCGTAGCCAGAAGCAGAGCAAAAGAGCTTGGATGAGGAATCAACCACATGGATATTCTCTCCAGATTGACCTTCGGAGAGATAATAGGCGATTGAGGTTCCAATGATACCTCCTCCAAGGATAACTGTTGCCATGATAGAGTCGGTGTATGGCTAAAGAATCTGAGATTGTACTGAAGTCGTTGCTTGAGTTCCCGGCAGTCTCCCCCGGGGAATTGACCAGTTTATAGGGAGTATAGATTTCGCGGGATAGATCTGGGCCAGACCACTTGATAATCAAACTGAACCTGCGCCCTTAGATTGACAAGTCGCGGAGTATGGCATTATAAGATACTAGACCGGCTGCCCCCCAGGAACCGGCCAGGTACACGAAGAAATAAATACTATGAACTGCCGTATAGGAAATATGCGTAAGCTACGCTCCCGCACAGCAACTGTTTCATTCCGAGAATGAACTTAAAATATGGTAGACCAGGCTTTTAGATAGTAGCACCATGCTCGCTCCTATCACAGCCATGGTAGTATTTAATATCTATCCAGCCGCGGCGGGCGGGACAGACGAACAACCCCACGTTCCCCTCGATTACATCACCGCCCAGGGGACCAGCTTTTTTCTCCCGCGGAATGTCGGCTGCAGCTTCACCTCAATCGGCTCCTTACCCACAGATCGTCCTTGTTGTTCTCGATTCACGGAGATCTAGTCAAACCACAAGAGCATGTCGGGCAAAACCATCATCGTTACTGGTGCCTCGCGAGGTAGTGGACTCCCAGGGAGAGACCAATCCCATCGTACTGACAATCTGCCTCTATCATAGGTATCGGCCTTGCCATTGCAAAGTACCTTCTGGCCGCACCGCAATTGCACAATGTCGTCGTGGTCGCCCGCAGCATCGAGCCTCTTCAGAAGCTCAAGGATCAATACACCCAGCAAGTCGCAATTTTGAACGGCGACCTGTCCGACTTTTCGCTCGCCCAAAAGTCAGTCGACTTGGCCATCAAGACCTTTGGCCGTCTGGATGGCATGGTACTCAACCACGGCATCCTCGGACAAGTCGGCAAGGTTGCAGAGGCCGACCCGGAACAGTGGAAGCAAGGATTCGACGTCAACTTCATGAGCCTGGTCGCATTTGTGAGTTCTAGTCGCAATGGAGTACAAAGAGGGAAGCTAAGACACGGCCGCCCTAGGTTAAAGCCGGTCTTCCAGCACTGCGGGAATCGAAGGGCCGGATCGTCTTCACCTCGTCCGGGGCCTCGGTGTCTGCGTACCGGGGATGGGGTCTCTACGGCGCAACCAAGGCCGCCATGAACCATCTGGCACTGACCTTGGGCGAGGAGGAAACCGATGTCACTAGCATCTCCATCCGCCCAGGAATGGTCGACACTGAGATGCAGCGTCAATTGCGCGAGGACCATGCTACGACGTTGGAACCCCAAGTGCACTCTAAGTTCACCGGAGCCTACGAGAGTGGCAAGCTGCTCAAGGCGGAGCAGCCAGGCCATGTCATGGCTAAACTGGTACTGTATGCACCGAGCTCATTAAGTGGGAAGTTTTTAAAGTAAGTAAGTCATGGGACAAAAATTTCTTCCATTGTGATTTCTAACTAACATTTGTCTCCAAGCTGGAATGACAATCTCTTGGAGAGTTTCCAAGAGTAGATTTATAGGCTCTGCAATATGCTTTAGAAAGCCAATTAGCATATACTCTTATCAAGAAGATCATGGAACACAAAAGCAGGATAGAGATGTTTTGATCAGCCGAAAGATGAAAAGCAGTACATTTTAGAAGCATTAGGTGTGAAACACCTTCATACTTAGCATGGAATGTAGTTTGTTCATCACATAACAGGGAAGAGGAGAGATAGATCATTGCAAACGCATACCTCAGGCTATTTTCTATTGTGGGAGCAAATTTACAAAGAGATTGTAAACGAGAAAAAAATAATTGATTTCATTATATCAATGTTTTGGAAGCGAATCACAGATCGAAATATCCTGAAAATTCTTCAAATCAGTCAGTAGGTGAGTCACAAAATATACTGAACGATTAAAAATGCATAATTTTGCAAGAATATCAGTAGTCCGTTTGGCTTGGACAGTGTACGTCACCATAGAATGGTCTGATAGGGGCGACAACGATGTTCATCATAGTAAAAGCAAAGAAAGTACGACGACAAAGAGTAAACATACCATAAGTGTTAGTAAGTAGCCCATTGCTGGATTTGGTCAACAAAAATTGACCAGAGCAAACCAAGGAAGCAAAATCAAGTTTCCTTGTTGTGCGCAGAGCACTGTGCGAATGAAGAAGCAAAGAAAAAAAAGCGAAGCTGCGGCGCCGAATAAAAACCCACGAGGGCGGTATGTTTCTGCCCAGAGTAGTTCTTCCGTTCCGTGTTTGAGTCCCTCCCCGCCGCCGGAGTTTGACCCTCACAGCTATTTAGACCATCTTAGTCCCCGCGCGCGCGGTGGGCGAGCCATACTTCTTGCGAACAAGCTGCTTCACCGAGCGCGGGACCTTTCTTCCTACCCAACACTTCTCTTTTGTGTCTTTCATACTATCCTTTACTGACCATGTCGGATCGAGAATTCAGCTGTAAGGCTCGGCCTTGTTCTCTTGCGCGATACATCTATAAAGCTAACCGCTATAAATGGAACAGCAAACGACGACTTGTCGCTTCCCAAAGGTCTGTATTGTGTGTCGCGTTGTTTGGAGGGCGCGGGCGCCAGCGGTTCTTTGTCTGCTGCGGTCACGTTGTGGTCCGGTGCAAGCGAATACGCGTATGGAAACTAACCGCATCGGAATCTATAGCGACGGTCCAGAAAATCATCACCGAAATCCTTCCGCCTTCCTCCGGCCAGACTTTCTCCAAGGATGCTCGCGACCTGCTAATGGAATGCTGCGTCGAATTCATCACTTTGATTTCCTCCGAAGCCAACGATATCAGCGAAAAAGAGGCCAAGAAGACGATCGCTTGCGAACATGTCGAGCGCGCCCTGCGCGACCTCGGCTTCGGTGACTATATCGCGGATGTCTTGGCTGTCGCGGAAGAACACAAGGAACAACTGAAGGTACGCATACACGATAAATTTCGGGACTCGTGCAAGACTGACGCGCCTGGTTGTGAATAGTCCCGAGAGAAGAAGCAGAGCAAGATGGAACAAAGCGGCTTGTCCGAAGAAGAGCTACTCCGGCAGCAGCAGGAGTTGTTCCGTTCCGCGACTGAGAAGTATCACGCCGCTCCGGAGTAAAGCAACGAATTCGCATGAAATATGGTAATGTGGTTTGATCTCATGCTGGCCATAGGAGATCTGGGTTCAGGAGTTTGAGATTCCCGAGGACAGAAATTCGGAGTTTGTTGGTTTGGGTCGTGCTTGGAAAAAGGGTCGGTTATTTATTTCATGTCCCTCGTGGCTTCGCTAGTTTGGCTCATCTAATCCTACACTGCTTCTGGAAGATAATCCAGGAGTTGCGCTTTTCCCTCATTTTGCTTACTCCTTGCGGTCTTTGTCCCGTGAACCATACCCAGCGTTGGGCTCGAAGGCATGGTTGAATTCGGCACCGATGTGCATATATCGACAGGCTATCTAATGCTGTGAGAGTATGCTCTACTTTCTTTCACAATCATATTCAAAGGACAATGGATCTCAGTAGATTGCAAGAGAATGCCGTGCATTGGCAATATATTCACTTGTATACGCAGTACGTATTCACATAACTAGTCCAGTCTGCAAAACGAAGCACGGACCACCGCTCGACCGCGGCGCTTAACCAAATCGGGTTCTCCGCCTAACCTCCCAGCGCGCAAAGCTCGCTGCTTGAAACACCGCGGAGTAACAGCGCTGTGAATGCGACAGTTCCAGGCCTCGTCGCTCTGAATCGCCCATCATGCCCCCTTTCAAAGATGAGCACATCTTGGTAAGCTCTGGCCGCCTTCAGCCGTCTTCTTATTACTGCCACTCAAATCAGATCCGTTCACTCAGACTAATACCCATTCGTCCAGATCCTTGCGCCAGGCTCGCAGGTCACCCTGGCGCAACTCGGTCTCCCCGAGTCTTTCACTCCTGCTCGTTTTCGCTTTCCCACGCGAATGTTTCCTGCTGAGAAGAAGGGCGAATTTGAACCTTACAAGATCCGCGAGCGCCGACAGGAAGTTCCAGTCAGCAATGGCACCGAGGCGCCCAAAGAAGACGTGGAGATGAAAGATGCCGATTCCGCAACCCAGCAAGAAACTGTGAAGACTGAAACGACGGCTAAGCAGCCTGAAGCCTCTGCGAATACCGAACAGAAAAATGAGAACTCACAACCCGTTGACGGCGAGCCGACCGATTCCGCTGCGGTCAAGCCTTCGACCATCGAAGTTTACTATGAAGAGGATGTGACATCGGATGAAGGGGCGATATACCCCGTACAGAACGGTCGCATTGTTGACTGGCCATGCTTCTTCGCCCTCCTGACTCATGTTCACAATACCCTCAGTCCTCCTTTCCACACCCCGATCATGCTCATCGCTGAGCCAGTCTGGTCCGCGCGGGACCGCGAGACAATCACTCAGTTCGTGTTTGAGAAGTTCAAGACGCCCGCTTTCTGTATGATGGACTCTGCGCTTGCCGTCTGCTACGGTTATGGTACATCAACTGCCACAGTGGTCGATGTCGGAAAGGATAAGGTCGACGTCACCGCTGTCACGGATTTTGCTGTTAGCGAGCATGGTCGGGGCCTTGCGTTGGAAGGCTGCGGTGGAGATTATATGACAGACCGTCTGGTTGAGCTATTAGGCTCCAAGGGCTTCTCCAGGGAGATGTGCGAGCAGCTGAAACGAAGCAACATCACAGAGCTTCTGCCTCCTGGTACGCCACTACCCGGGGCCGCTGCAACTTCACGACAGGGCGTCAATCCAGCCGCGACGGCATCTACCGGCGCACAGAACGGCAGCACAAATGATACGGTTCCTCGTGGGCCGGGGGAGGGCACACAGACGGACGCCGGAGGCAATGGTGAAGAGGAGGACGAAGGCGTTTTGGACGTCGCGGCTATCGTGAGCGGCAACACCAGTGAATTTCTTGCCAACCGGGAGAAGGAAAAAGCGGAGAAGGCTTCGACTAAGAAGGGAAGCACGGATCAGAACGCGAAGCCCGTCCGCCTTCCGAACTCGAAGAAAGAGAAAGCCACGTTCCAGTTCGAAGAATATGTGCGAATAGAAGCTGAAAAGGAGGCGTCCAATGGCCCCGGTCGGTACATCCGCCAAACGCGGGAGATTGAGGTCGGTGTCGAGCGGTTCCTGGCGGCAACGCCCAAGCAGAACTCCGGCGAGCGTCTCACCAGCGGCCTCCTAGAAGACATCGCAACCCAAATCCACCATACGATTCTTGCCGTGCCAGATGCGACTAAGCGGAGTGAACTCTGGGATTCGTTGATCGTTGTCGGCAATGGCAGCAAGATCAAGGGTTAGTATTTCATTTCTTGTCGACGTGGTGCCAATACTGATCGTGGTATATAGGATTCACGGCATCTCTACTCGGCGCCATTACTCAAAAATACATCCTCTCCCCATCTGCTACCATGTTCACCTCCGAAATCCCTTCTAATTTCTCCACCCCTCTTCCCACGGGTGGAACCAACACTCCCGCCCCCTCCGGGCAGCCTGGGCCGATGAACCACCCTGCAGGTCATGGTGTCAATCCTCTCCTCGTTGCTGCCACACACTCCAACAACCCTGCCTCTTCCAGCATGCCCCCGGGCACCCCGTTGATGGATCCCGCATCAATCTCGCATCACCATCGGTCCACGGGCCACTCCCAAACTCCCACCTCCGTCAAGACATTACGGCCTCCGGAGTACTTCTCCGAGTGGAAGGAGCAGGCCAACACTAACGCACCTGGAGCGGCTGGCCCTGGCGGTCCTGGCATGGCCAGCGGTGGCCATGGCATGGAGGAAGCGGTCTTCCTGGGGGCTCAGGTCGCATCCAAGGTCGTTTTCGTCCTCGATCAGGGCCTCAGCAAGGGCTTCATGACCCGGGTGGAATATAACGAGAACGGCCCTTCGGCGATCCATGACTACGTTATGTGAAGTGGCCTTCATGAATCGTTTGTTTTATGTTTATTTGTCACGGGACGGGAGAGCGCACTTGTTTCTAACAGACTTATGGATATGGCATTCTATTTCTTACGCATCTGAAATCCGCCGATAATCTCTGTGCCATTCAGGGTTGATTGTACTCTATATTCGCAGCTGGCGTCTTTTAGTAGAGCCAAAAAAACATCTATATTAAGCAAAAAGCAAGTCCGACTTATATAACATTGATCGGCTCCACTAATCACCAGAAAGGGATACCTTGACGACTGATTTACTCATCAGTATACGCGTGGGAGACCTCATTGCAGAGCCGCGCGTCAGCGTGAAGAAACAAACCTACTTACCGCGCAATTGGCATTATGCAAAAGACGAATAAAGTAGTGTTTACAACACCACCCAGCCTACTTCTCACACACATACAAACAACATTAGTTGTACAGGCCACCTGAATTCCCTTGAACTACTCCTTCGGCCCCGAATACACATCCAACGCGACATTCAAATTCTGACCCTCAAACGGCAAGGCGTCACTCCTCGACATCGTCCACGTCGGCTGGTGGCCCGGACACCCATTTCCCGCACCGCGTCCACCATCAGCCCGATGATCATCTCCCGGTTCTGTGGCAGGTTCACGTAGTAGGTGCGCAGCCTGACGACCAAGTCCCATCCCAAAGTCACCTGGGCGCGGAGATCGGGGCGGGCCCGCTCCATGGCGTACAAGATCACCTCGTTGATCTTGACGAAGGCTTGGGCGACTTCTTCTTCTAGGGTTGATTCTTCTAGGGTTGGAGGGGATGGTGGTGAAGGTGGGGGCACATCCCGGCTTGTCGCATTGAGGTAGTTTGGGGAGGGATTGTGGTAGTCAATGTCATGGTAAGAGAATTCCAGGCGAGGATTTGGTGAGAGGATAAGAACTGACTCCGTCCGGCAATTTCCATTCTGTCGCCGGCGATACAGGCTTCAGAGAAACCATAAGTTATTCATCTTGGAACTTAGTGCTGGCCGCGACCGGGGCGGGAGTAGCTGGGGATCTTGCGAGGCTTGGTGAGTGCATTCTTCGACAGCAATGAGACTCCCGTGATGGACAGTGTATTTGGGATATGGACGAGAGAGAGGGATGGGGGATGGTGATTATGCCAGTAGGGTCAATTGGAGGGAGGGGGAAGCTGGTCTAGCGGGCTTTTATGGTAGGTAAGCTGAGATGCTAATTAATTAGCTGACAGCATGGGCTGAAATGGGTTGAGTCGCCGGGCCACTGGATGATGCTTGATCAAATCAGACTTCAATTGTCATAATTGGCCGTTTCGAAAATACAGTGAGGCAATAGAACATCATCGAACCCCCATAGAATAGCACTACCTAGGAATTTACTATACATAGGGTAGCATATGAGAGCGACTACTCGCATTGCTTGTACTCTGTTGGTTGTCCGGGCGTCTCCCGAGTCATGCTCATTAACTAACCAATAGGGCATAGTTAGTTGGTTACTCCACTTTGGGCTCGATAAGGATAAGGATTTGGTCACGTGCTATAATTATCTAATCTCGCCGCGCCGCCACCCCGTTCCTGGTGAGGCAAGCAGGCCGGCGGGCTTAATCGTGAAGCAGGACTCTTTCATCTCTCGCATTCGCATCTACTCATTTCACTCGAGATTTACCACCGTCAACATGCCACGCGCAGAAGCCGGAAGTACAAAAGCGATCAGCAACAAGATCAAACAGGCAAGCCTCTCCTCGGACTTCGTTGACATCTGATGTTAATTCCGAATAGAAAGGTCTGGGCAGACTGCGATGGTACTGCCAAGCATGTGAGAGACAGGTATCTCCATCCGGGACTTCGACCTCATGGTCTCTACTGACTTCTATCTCTTAGATGCGAGATGAGAACGGCTTCAAGTGCCACGTCCAGTCCGAAAGCCACGTCCGCCAGGTCCTGCTCATCGGCGAAGATCCCAAGAAATATATTGAAGACTACAGCAAGCAATTTATTTCCAATTTTCTCAGCCTCTTGAAGACGACGCATGGCGAGAAGGAAGTCAATGCGAATCAGTTCTACCAGCAGGTTATCGCGGACAAGACGGTGAGTGCTCTCGGATAACTGGTGTGAAGGGAAGCGGGCGCGCGGGGTGCTAATAATATCTTGGGAAAGCATATTCATATGAACGCTACGAAATGGAAGAGTTTGTCGCAGTTTGTCGCCCATCTCGGTCGCGAAGGTCTTTGCCGGGTCCAGGAATCTGAGAAAGGCTTATTCGTCGCATACATCGACCGGAGTCCAGAGACGATGCGCCGACGCGAGGCGCTCATGAAGAAGGAGCGGCAGGACAGAGGCGACGAGGAAAGAGAGCAACAGCAGATACAGGAGCAAATTGAGCGTGCTCGCCAGGCTGCGGCGAAGAAAGAGGAGATCGACCCTGAGGCTAGGAATCTGCAGCGGAGGGAGGGTGAGAAGGTGAAATTGAATCTCGGGTTCGGTGCGAAGCCTAATGGTGATGCGAAGGAGGAGTCAGCGGCAACAGCCACGGCGAACGAGGATCAGGCGACTAGTGCGTCGGCTTCTCCAGAAACCTCCGCCGCTGCTTCCCCTGCGCCCGCGACTGCTATGGCTGCCCCAGCGGCGGCGCCAAAAGTGTCGCTCTCTTTCGGAGGTGGTGGCAACAAACCGAAGAATGTGTTTTCGACGGCGGTGAGGAAGAACCCTCTCGCTGGGAAGAAGGGTCCCGTGAAGGAAGCTCCAAGGAAGATGACAGAGCAGGAGCGGATCATGAAGCAGGAGATTGAAGCAATGGAACGCAAGCGTATGCGCGGGGCCAATGGTTTTCCGGATGCAAAGCGCCCAAAGATCTCCTGAGCAGCAGGACTTGTTGCTTTCATGGGGCCGTGTGGATTTGAAGTGGCTTACCCCCATCCTCCGCTATCCCTGCCTAGACATCAGCATAGGACGACCCTCTTCGTCGTCACTCTTCTCCTCCAGCTTGTCGGAGTCTTTACTCGCGGGGATATTTGTATCTGAGTGTTGAATCGGGCATACACGTTCAATCAACCAGCGACACAGTATCTCCGGGCAGCGCATCCACGCATTGCGCCACTAGCGCGCTACCAGAGTGCACGCTTTGGATGCGTGTTGCCGGTCAGCTTTGTTCATCCTTTTACCTCAATAGTGACTTGGCTGAGAAGAGGAAGATTAGAAATTCCGTCGACTAATAGTACAGTGGTCTTGCCAGTTCAGTAGTCACTCTGTGCTTGCGAGTAGCGTCCGTTCGGACACCTGGTCTTCTGTTCTTTGTGCTGGGTTGTGTTGGCCAGGTCGGGTTACTATTCACAGCCGGAGAGTTGCTTGCCGTAGGTCGGTGTAGGCAACATAAGTAGGATGTTTCACTGTATCCGGAATGGTAACTATATATCACACCCCGCCAAACACCAATCTCAAACTCACATACCACAACTAGTAGTGAATATATGTGGCCAACGTTGATTGAAAGCTCGAGGGAGAAGGAGAACCCCCGCATTACAGTGACTCCAAGAACTGAACCACATAACTTATCGAAATTCATGCGCTGCAAACTCCCAAACCACCAGAAAGACTGGTGAAAGAGCAGTGGCATGTAACTCAGAGCAGAAAAGAACATAAGAATTCAATGTACCATAGAGACTATAACAAGCCCGGGTGGTCTAGTGGTATGATTCTCGCTTAGGGATTCCAAACCCAAGCATATCTGCGAGAGGTCCCGCGTTCGATCCGCGGCTCGGGCCTTGAAACTTTGTTTCATCTTGTTTTTTTCCCCCCCTTTCCTCCTCCCACGTATCGATAGGCATGAATGATAGTTATGCCGCTACTTCTACATACACCAAGGACAATCAAGCTTCCTGGGCGCTCCCCTCGAGAACCCCCGTTCTCGTCGACGGGACGTCGTCCTGCCAAGCTACCGAGCCCAATTATGAACTCACCTTATCTTATACCGGCTCTCGCCTGACCTCACTCCCTGCATTACGTTGAGTACTTCTATTATCACTCTCTCGGTATCATTATGTATGTTTGTATGTACATCGCACCTGCATCCGGCCGCAAAACGCACGAACACACGCGGATATAGAGACGCGATCAAGAAAAGACCCAACTGCTGAAAGGGTATTAAACAAGAAAGAGACCAAAGCATCATGTACGTCTTTTACCCCGAATATTTTCGTTGTTAGCCAGGCAAACCATCAGACAGGCCTGCCAGCTTCAGATTGAGATGACCCTGGTGACTAGGTCCGAGCCAACGTGGCCCTTTCGCGTGCGCTCAACAAACGCTTACTCGTTGTGCTCGTCTCGCTAGTAGCGTTACCGCTCAATATCACCCACTCCGCCACGGTTGCACCCTTTGTTGCGTTCGCGCTTTCCTGGTTGCCTGCTATCAACAGAGTTGCGAACCGAGCAGTGCGAACGGGCTCGGCCAGAGTGATAGTCGTGGTGTTTCCACTGGGGACTGACACAGTGTTGGCTTTGGCAATAGAGGCACCATCGTAGGGACTTGACTGGGCAACATCAGAGAGCTGAGTGATAAGGCGATAAGCCGAGGTCGAGTTTCCAGAAGCGGTGAAAAGCAGTGCAGGCCGTGTGATGGGTGCATCATGGAAAATGATACTTAGATTCTTCGGAGGTGATTGATACCAGTCAAAGTAGAAGCCATTCACACTATCGGCAGACTTCGTACTCTCCGTCGACAAGGTCACGGTGAGTGAGGACAGATTTCCAGAAGATGGTTGCCATCGAGTCGAGGTGGCACCGTCAACCGCGGAGATAGGGAATTGACCAGGCTCATAAGCATCAGGCGAGTAGACCGGGTGACATTGGATCTGGTTACCCGGAGTAGTGTTAATGGAGCCAATTTGGCGATTGGGAATTGTCAGGGATCCGAGAAGAGGAAGAGTGTAGTTGGCCGTGATGTCTTCGGTCGATTGGCCAACCTGAACCATGATATTGGTGCCGTTAAAGCGAGCATCAGCTGAAGCCAGAGGTGCAACGGACGAGGAGCGTTGTAGAGTGGTATGGGTGTAATTAGACCAAGCAGAGATGGGCCAGCCACGCCAGTAAAAAGTCCGATAAGTGATGTGCGGAATCTGCGGTGGAGGGTTGGGATCCACGTGCAGGATATCGTCTGGTAAGAGGCGTAGTCTCAAATATCCATAAAGCACGACCTGATTGGCACCACCGTGTCCAGTCAAGAAGGGAAATGCTGGATGGGTGCCACCGTTGATACTGGCATCATCGATCATCTGCTCGGAAAGTTGATACCACGGACCGCGTGTGTACGGCGCATAAGAGTATTGTTGATAGGTGTAGGCGGAGCATCCAGACGGAGAAACATCGCTGGCAGCGATAGAAAAGATAGCATAGGTCATGGCTGGGCCATCGGCGGATTGTTTGTTCGCATACTGCGCCAATCAGCATATTCCCTGATTAGGTTCATCTTTCAAAAGACTTACGTAGTCGAGGTCCGTCAGCGAATTCTCGGTCGTATAGTTGCCAGACTCGTAGGCTAATGGAAAAGTATTGAGTACGATATCCGCCTGCTTTACCACTGCCGAGCCATTCATGGAGGTGTACTCCAGGGTGACGCCATTCTCGCGCAGAATCAGGACATTCTCCGCAATTTCATCCCAAGTTTCGTTGGCCTCCAGCCCAAATTGCTTGCGGAACTGGTTGGCATTCTTAAGGGTCTCAGCAATCAGGGGCATAGTATAGCCGCCGGCATCGATTGAGTTGGCATACTCGTCCTATGGCAGTCAGCTGATGATCTTACGCTACACCTCGTGAACCTACTGGATCGGTCATATTGGTCAGTGTGAACGATGACCCATTTCGCTGAACAAGGTCTCCGTAAAGCGTAGCAAACGAATCATAGATGGGGAAGAGATAATCACGGAACCATGCGGTATCACCGCTCGTCACCCATTGGTTGATCATTGCCATGCCGATGTCGCCATTCAGATGGTATTGGTAATCCCAACACGGTCCGGTAGCAGTGCAGTTTCCAAATCGACCGCTAGTCCACGGGTAGATGGCAGCGGATGAACTGAAAGAGGTCTGGTTCTGCGAGCCTGCAAACGCAGTCTTGACGTTGGCCTCAGCCTGATAGTGTAACGCAATGCGATAGTTGGTGTAGCGTTGTGCTGACTGGGGATGCGACGTCACCAGGCCGGGTTGCATCCACAAATCCGCGTCCCAGAAGATCTGCCCAGCGTAGGAGTCCGAGGTTAGACCACCGACAGCGCAACTGTCTATGTTGACAGGCATTCCACCCGTGGTTGCAAGGGTATTGGGACCTGCGGTGTTCTGCAGCAGATAATACGTGTTGGTAACAGCGATGATGGCCAAATCAATGATATGGCGATCCGCGGGAAGCTTGCCAGTGACAGGGTCATTGTACCGGTCGACAGAGCCCTCGTGTAAGATCTCAGCCCATTCTGTGACATGCGATTGTAGCGAAAGGGAATAACCTAGAGCCAGTCCAGTTTGAGCAGCTAGCCTGGCAGTTTCGCGGGTCGCAAGGAAATAGTCGGTGCTAGCTGCGCCAACGAACTTGGTGACACGAACCGGCTCATTGGCAGTGAAACGAACATTGACTGCCTGAGCAATGGACGAGTCATTCGTGTGCACGTAGGGCTTATTAGTGACGAGCTTTCGAGAAGACAAGTCCACGTTGTCCGAAGCATCCAGAGCGGCGTAAATGTATGCAGTCACATTGCTTACGCCCCATGGCCGCACGGCAGAGAAAATAGCCCCTTCATCCTCCCCCGACTCAACGAAGTCAGTGCGGACAGCCGAATAGCCATCTAAGACATTGACAACCGTTGCATTGCCATCGGTTGAAGGTACAATTTCCATGTCTACCATGGCTTGATTGACGTTGAGTTTATGCGCAAATAGCCGGTAAGTGATAGCATAAGAGCCCTTGTTGCCGGTGGGCGTCCAGGTATATGACCAAGACAATACACCAGCCTTGTAATCAAATGTTGACTTGAAATTAGTGATAGTGCGATTATCGACACCTGCATCAAGGTAGGTATCGTCGCCCAAGTCGAGGATCAAGCCACTCCAGTGCGGAACGCCGCTGATAACACTATCGCTGCCATATTGAGACAACCAGGGAAAGTTGGATTTATTGGTTAAAGGCTGACGGTCCCAGAAGCCGGAAACGGTGGCAAAAGACTGGCGACGGGAATAGAGTGGCCATCCGCTGATCACGTCCCCATTTTCCTCCGAGTCCATCTCAAAGAAAGGGCCAACATTGGCCACATTGATGCCGATGTAACCATTGGCTATGGAGCCCCGAGATTGGAAGTGACCCTGGTCGACGGTAGTAGTCGTAAGACTCCAATTGTCGTCGTCCCAGGTGACACCCGCAAACCGAGTTGGGTAAACACCTGAAGTATTGCTGCTTGGTGGCTGGGCAAAATCACGGACCCCATTACGGTGAAGGGCTGAGGCGACACGAGCCTGTCGACTGGGGGCTCCCACGACAGCAGTAGGGAGGGCCAATCCCAGAAACAACAAGTTCACCAGAGACTGCCTCTATTAGATTTCGTTCTAGAAGTGGTGGAGTTGGCCCTTGGAAATACCTTGAGCTGCATCTTGATGCGCCCGTGGGCCTTCTCACGAAAAGAGCAGAGAACCGGGACGGGGACCTTATCCGATAGAATTGGACGAGCAGATGAGAAGGGGAAGCACTCGGATTGACGCGCAGAAGGAGAAACTTATAGGCAAAGTCTAAGCAGAGAGGCTCCTGCCATCGGAGATTTGGCTGCGATGAACGATCCACCCTCGTGTCCAAGTGTGGGAATGCCAAGGTCGATCGGCTGCACGAAGGTGAAACTAGGGGAATTGAAGCGAATTAGGGGAGGGCAACCGAGGTTAGGTTGTCTGGACATTGTAGAAGAACCGGAGGAGGGAGGTTGAGGGGATTTAAAGCGTAGGAAGACAGAGAGAGCGAACCGGATGGGCCGATGGGCATGGGGGGAAGGAGACGTGGGAGAAGAAGGGGTGGGGGGGGGTGGGGAGAACGTCTTGGAAACAGGAAGAGGAGGGAGTGAATAGTCAGTTCCCCCACGATTTCACTTGGAACCTGAAATTGATGGCGTCAGTGACAGGCACCACAAGTCCTATCACGGGGATTCCAGCCAGTCATCTGAGAGTGTGGGGAACCACAACAGCCACCGGCTCTGTCCGGGGACTGCCAGGGAATTGACTGTCTCTGTCTAAATCCCACTCATAATTGGATGGATCCAGGCCCAGAGGCCCATTTTTGCCCAGAAACTCCAAGGTCAAAGAACGAACTTACTTGCCTACTTTCTGTAAGCAAAGGAGCTGGGAAATCCCCCACAATGACACACTATACTGAGCTGTTCCTTGGTTCATTTGAGGAGATGGCGATCCATTGGAAGAACTGAAGAATGAGTATTCCGTATGAAGTACAACTCAGGATTTTGCGGGGTTAGAACCCGCCGCCACAGCCGCCACGGCCGCCATGTGCTGTGCTGTCACTGGTGGCTGGTGAACGTGGCTGCTGCTGGCTGCTGCTGCTGTTGCCTTGTTGGGCATGGCTGCCTGGACACCCGTTAACTACTACTACTACTGCTGCAAAAACAGCGACATCTTCTATCTAGTTCATATCTTCCATCCTCGCTATGGCAATTTTTAGCATTTGGGCCCTGCATCTCCACACCGACACCGAGGATCACCTGTTCGAAGTCGACGGGGAACACCCGGGTTTCACTAAAGTCACTACCCACAATGACCCCTGGAATATCCCCATTTATACCCAGTCAATCAGAGTCTCGGACTTTGGCAACGTGAAAATCCCCACTATCCAGGCCGTCGTGGACGCCACTCCGGTCGACCACGAGACCCTCGAATGGGATTGCCGATACTACGTACTTGAAGTGCTTGAGGGGTGTGAGCGCGAAATGGTCATCGATGATGACGATTCCTATTATGTCGAAGCAATCGATATCCTGGGCAGTAAGCGGGGCTCAATACTCCGATCCTCGGCATGCATGTAATACAAAGAACGGAGGAACAGACAAAGGAAACACACCCAAGAACAGCATCGTTTACACATCACATCATGTTTGATCACTGGGCTGTCTACGACCCTGACTTCTCATACTCGCCATACTCGCATGAAAGCCACCGCCCTTCTCCATGCCTCGCCTCTCAGCGCCTGCGCTGTGTCTTTCGTCCGCTGCATTGCCGACTGATTCTCTACTGCCCGTCGCAACAGAAAGTGTAGACATTCCTCCGTGGAACCCCAAGCCAAGCACTTGAACACCCCGGGCTTCGTTTCCGCATGACCTCCGGCAGCGACCATTCCCAAACTAACCTCGTCCGCCATCCCCTGCAGCTGACCTACCTCGACAGGAATCGTCTTCCGACCATCCTTCCTTCGTTGTTGGTAGAGAGTGCACGCTTTGGCTACACTCTCCCCGTTATGTGAAGCCACGAACAGTCGCACCGTTGGAAGATCCTCTGGCCCTTGAGATTCAAGCTCAGATCCTGTGCCCCGTAATGTGGAGGATGAAGGGTAGTTTCCCTCTATCATTGCCCTCACGACTCCGTTATAATTTGTATCTGTCTCTTCTTTCGTCTTCCAGATTTTGTCCCGTTGGTCATGTGCGATATACGCCCCTCGGACTAACTTTACACCTACGCCCCAACCCTCTTTCCGTGCTAGACGTAGATGTCCGGCCAGGATATCGGCCGAGCGCTTGAGATAAGCCTGATAGGTGTTCAGAACAACGATAGGCGTGTCCTCTTTGGTTATCTCACCCGGACGATTGAACATCCGCATCAGATCCACCGCCCAAGAATCAATTGCTGCCTGGAACACCTGCTGTTCCGCGTCAATCCACAGCCGGGATTTCTGTGCTGCTACAGCCGCGCATATCTCATATATAGCGGCTTTGATCTGTGGTGGAGGAAGAGGATCACTCCGCGTGAGCGAGTGCACAGCAAGCGGACCGGCGCCGGTGAATCTTATCCAGAGTCAGACATCAAATGCTTCCGCGGCGGACGTTAAAGTCCGGCAGTACGGCGAGGGAGAAAAAAGCATACTTGATAGCCAGATAGTCCCCTTCGCCTAACATCTTCAGGGTACGAAGATTTCCTTCTTTCCATTCCTCGACGGCTTCTTCCCACTGCGCCTGCTGTTGCTGTTCCTGCAGCACAGCAGCTCTCGTTTCCTGGTGGGAACACTGGTTCACATGTGCGATCGACTCCCTTGCGTACCCCAGAATAACTCCCTTGTAACCTAGCCGCTTCATTTCATGGACAGTCTGACGGACTTCGACCTCATTCGTCCCGGCGCAAAAGTGATCGTAGATGGTGCGACGGAGAAGATAGTCCATTGCGGGATTAGAGGAAGGACGCAGCAGTTTGGAGGGTGAATCGACAAGAAGCTTCATAAGCAAGAGACAAGGCGTCAAAAGAGGCGAAGCCATCGCGCTGGTGAGAAACAGAGAACGAAGGAAGGTTCGGGTAGGAAGGCTGGCGAGGGGTGCTTTCTGAGCATTTCCCGCGCACGAGAGATGCGCGGCGGAAGCCGTGGCGGGGAAGGGAATTTCATGATTGTGCGCTACATCGGACGTACCACTCGACGTCGTCGCTGTAGTCGCTGCCATTGTCGTCGAGGATTTCGCGATCCGCGAGGTGGTGGAAGTAGAAATATGGAAACGGTTAGTATAGACACATAAAGGATTCGGGCTCGGGCGCGGCCGCGGAACATGAAGGCACAAGGGTCGAGGATTCATCTTTGAATACAAGTCAGCGAATACTCCTGAAACCAACTGAGAACAACCCCAGCCGGAAAGCAGGGCCTTCCTCTCCCAGCCTATATATATCTCTTCATTCTGCGGCAGGTAAGGTGGGATTGATGACCCCTTCCATGCTGCCAGCACAGTCACCTTTCGGCTCGAGATTCCCTCCGGTGAAGCCCCCGATTGGCTTCCGGCGAGGCGGGATCGTCAGCAGTTGCATGATTCACCCCGTACGGAGTAGATGACCGGTTCATCTGCCCGCTAAGATACTAGGTTTCGGGTTCCGCTGCCGCTGGCTGGGCCACTCGAACAACTGGCCAGTGAAGGTATTGACCGCTATCTACTGTGGAAGCTCCAGGGTTATCAGTATGTAAGTTAATCTATTCTCGGGGCCCCGGTTGTAATTGCGGGCCGGGGGGGGGGGGGGGTGGGGGGGAACCGGGAGGGGCTTATCATCAGACGGCATCTTATCACTCTGCGAGTGGGGTCCTTTCATCCCTCCATGCCTCTGAAAGTTGAAAGTCGAGTGAAGAAGCAAGTGGGCAGATGTCTCAGAAGAAAATGTCAGTGTCTCTCACCTTACCGTCATTGACGAGGTCTTCCCCAGGCTCTTTCTCACCCTCTTCAAGTAATTTCTACTTCTTGACCTCCATGACATGGAATGTCAGATAAAAGCACGAAAACGGAGAGAAGGGGAAAAAAAAGTAGAGCAGTTCCCCAAGGGCCCCATGAATTGAGGAAATGTATAGAGAAGGACAGGAAGAATTACGTATTACTGTAGTTCTTGCCAAAGGAATATTCTTCGGGCCCTGCTTCCGAGGGTGACATCCTTCGCGCTTCAGTCCCCCGCTCTGTATCCAGTCTACTGTACACCGTGCTGTTGGAAACCCGGCTTCCGCCCCTTGCTTTTTGCGCGTCACGCCGAGAATATGCGGATTAGGTCAGATGAATGTTGTGCTTCTGTGCCATTCCTTTTCTGAATAAAGATGCTTGGTGGATGCGTGTTGAGTTGAAAAATCACCGGGCGGGTTAAAGTCAGAGTTAAAGGTATACTAGAAGAGACAAGTTGTAACGCCAGCAGAAATTCTCAAATTTCATGAGCTGAGTTGAAATCCTCGGATCTTGCACTGTAACTACTGGTTGAATCGTACAAAAGAAACAAGAATCGTGCTCACATTTGCAAAGTTCATGATAATAATAGTTACAACAAAGCTTGGCCAGCTAGAGCAGCGCATCTATCGGTCGGCCCCTCATCACATCCCTACTAGTAAGTAGTGAAAGCGGTTCCTAAGCGGAGCGTCCGAAGAACAATTGACTTTGGACGACTCAATGATGCCCACCATCTTCACAAAGCATCTAGGGTTGTTAAGTTCATTGTCTAATTATCAACAGCGAACCGATCCAAGAACTTGAACGTCCTCAGCCCCTCCGTAAGCTGGTCAGCAAACAAATTCGAGGCGCTATCCGCCACATAGACTCCGTCTCTCGAAGAGGCAATGCTTGCGCTCTTCAAGGCTTCGGAGCCACTTCCCAGCGCGCTGACGGGCTTGCCAAATCGGAACCCGTCAACGAGAATCTGCAGTGGACGACCTGCCGGATACAATGTCGTGGCGTTGCCTTGAGGAGCAGTTAAAGAGGTAGCTGCAAACAAGATCTCTGCTCCCGGGGCAATTACCAGAGCATCAAACTGAATCGCATCGGAAGCGGAGTATGTCTGGCTGACGCCACTGGCGAGACGCTCGGCCACAACTACCACATCAACATTCTTCTTCGAAAGAGCATCGGCGAGAGCTTTGGCAGCAGTAATAGAGGAAGAGTTCTGGACAGTTGCAAGGTAGCCAACTTTGAGACCATCCAACTTCTTCAATGGGGTACCGAAGCTGCCCACCCCGGCCGTGGTGTTGGTGTGGTAGTATGTTGGGTCAGGTGCAGGAGGGTTCACACCAATGGCCCGGGCCACACGACGGGCGATATCGTTGGAGATGCGGTTGAGCTGGATGATGACGTTCTCTCGAACAACGGAGCTTTGCACATTGGCATTCTCGAAGCGGATTGCATCAATCACAAATTGCTGCTCGGCGGCCGAGAGGGAATTATAAAAGAGACGAGGCTGAGACCACACATCAGAGAAAGTAGGAGACGTGCTGCGAAGATAGTTCCCGCTGGCAACCCGTTTGGGGGCGGTGAAGAATCCATTGCCCACGGTCTGGTTCGCTTGCTTAGGAGAGCCGCTGTTGAGGGTGTTGGGACTGTAAGCATTGGGATTCAGAGGAATGAACATTTGGCCTGACGGAGTTAGCTGGAAAAAATCGACATAGAAGAAGACATACCTGCGCCATCGCGGTTGTTGTTATGAACAGGTACACGAGGCTGGTTGATGGGTAGCTGCTCAAAGTTGGGACCGCGGTGCCGATTCAGCTGCGTGTCAAGGTAGGAGAAGAGACGTCCTTGGAGAAGAGGATCATCGGTAAAGTCGACACCACGAATGATGTGACCAGGTTGAAACTGGCATCTTAGCTTAACTTGATGTGCTACTGATAGAAATGGAGGACACTTACCATCACTTGCTCAGTCTCGGCAAAGTAATTGCGAGGGTTGCGGTTGAGAGTCATTTTGCCCAGCTTTGTTATAGGAACATACTCCTCTGGGACGATCTTGGTTGGATCAAGCAGGTCAAAGCCAAAACGCAGCTGGTCGGCTTCATCCATGATTTGCACACCAAGCTACGTGGATTAGCAATGCGTCGTTTGCTAGGGACATGCAAGAGACGTACCTCCCACTCGGGATATCGGCCTGCCTCGATAGCCCCGAACAGATCCTGGCGCAGGAAGTCGGGATTCTTACCCGATACCTGCTGCGCTTCCTCCCAGACCAGGCTAGCCTTACCCTGCAACGTTTTCCAGTGGAACTTTACCAGCTTGGTGGCACCACTGTCCGTAACAAGGCGGAAGGTGTGGACGCCAAACCCATCGGTGAATCGGAATGATCGTAGAATACCATGCCCGGACATTGCCCAAAAGAGAGTATGGAGAGAGCTAGGCTGCTGACTGAAGAAGTCCCAGGCGGAGTCATGTGCTGTGGCAGCCTGGGGAATTTCGTTGTCGCCGCGGGGTTTGACAGCATGAATCAGATCAGGAAATTGGATGGCATCCTGTATAAAAAAGACCGGGATGTTGTTGCCAACAATATCTGCCATTCGTCAGAATGAGACTCTGAAAAGCTGCTCTATGGACTGACCAAAATTGCCCTCATCAGTATAGAAACGGGTTGCGAAGCCATGTACGTCACGAGCCAAGTCTGAACTACCACGACTACCGGCGACAGTAGAGAAGCGTACAAACACAGGAGTCTCCTTTCCCTTCTCGGAGAGAAACGAGGCGGCTGTGAGGTTCGAGTAGTCTCCGTAAGAGATAAATACACCATGGGCACCTGCTCCGCGAGCGTGGACAGCACGTTCGGGAACCTGATGGTCAGATTGGATCTTCGTGGTAGATAGGAGAACGTACTCGTTCATGGTCGAAGCGTTGGATCTTCTGGCGGAAGATAAAGTCTTCGAGCAAAGTTGGCCCGCGCTCGCCGACGCTGAGGCTGTTTTGGTCTTCAATGGGACCACCCACGTCACTCGTCAGGTAGGTGTTATTGTCATTGAGATAGTAGTGGGAGAGAAATCTCTCAGTGGATTCTGAGGCATCGAAGTCATCACGCCGAGTGAGTTCGCCAGTCATATAAGGACAGGCAGCTTGCGCGACGGCAACGAGGCCGAGAAGACCAATGGAGCGCATGCTTTATGCTGCTTTGTCTATGTTGAGCGAGGCGTTAGCGAACCATAGACCTTGCATTGTCCTGAGATTGACAGAGGATCAGCGGACACTAACCCACCAGAACCAGTAATAACCCAACAGAAAGCGACGCGACGATCAGAAGATAGACGTGGGGTGAGCGATAACTGGGGAGTGAGGGAAGGGAGAAGGTGTGGCTTATATAGAGTCGGGAAGCAGGGGGAAGGAATTGAACAAACGGTCTAGCATGCACGGTCCTAGGAGAAGTCGAGGATAGCACCAACATGTTCAATTTGACCATCCAGTGGGATCTAGCGGGAAAATGGGCAATGAATCTAGAGAATTGCCCGAGCAAACAGTCCCTTACAGTCTCTTGCTGGAGATGATGCATTGCAGCAGCAGATGATTGTGAGGAATATAATTCATTTCATTGGTTGTGGCGGCGGAATAGTGCAGGCCGGGTCTACCAGCTATAGACGTTTAGGATAGAACCGAGCCGGGTTCAACTTGCTCGATTCAAAGTGGAATTGAGCAAGATTGAGAATTGATTGATCCAGCCGTTGTCGATCGTGGCTTGGCAATTGATACTCCGTTTGACTGCTTGGTAATGAGCGAGGGTCTCCGTGGTCGGCGGAGCGTTGGAGCCGGGACAGTCTGAATCGGTATCAGGCAACATGACGTGATATCTGAGAGCCAGAGAGAAGAGGAGGAACAAATTCGACCATGCTGAACGCGCATACACCACTTCGAAGAAATGGACTGACTCAATTGGAGGGTTTTGTGTTGGGATGATTCCAATGGAACAGAGTGGAAGGGAGAGGGAGAGAGCGATGGAGAAAGGCTGGAGTCAACGAGAGAAAGACGCGTCTTCTTCCCGCCAAGCAGCCAAGGGTGAGTTTCCCCTACAACTTGCTTCCTTCTCCGCCGCACTGCTGCACCTCCCCCTGCTTCTCATCACACCCTAATCATAATCACCACTACTTATGGACTCACTGCGGGCAATGTGTACAACCTGCTATTTTGGGATCTCTACCCTTCCAGTCGATTGCAACGTAATGATCTCCACAACTGCTGCAGGGACGATGCAACTGCACATATGTGCCATCATGATATCTGATGGGAGGGTAATTGTACTTTTCCTTTGACAATCTCTTGGAGAAGACACAATCCAGGTTTTCGGGGCGGGGTCGATCCTCTCGCTGGCGGTATTTTTGACTGTTGTCTGGGCTTATCCGTACTAATTACCTAGTGCTCCGTACTACCTACTAGTCACTCGTAAGCGTTGTTAGACCTCTTAGTGGCTGGCAACTACGGAGTAGACTAGAGTACCTAGTAGCTTACTTATGGCTATATTCGCTGAAACCATGCTTTAGGCCGTGATCTCCAATAGAATGCTGCTGCGGTGGATAAGGCGAGGCTTACGGAGTCCAGTAAGAAGTACTAATTGCTGACTGCACCTTATCGCATTATTTCTGAGAAAACATACGGAGTATACTGACGATGAATCGTAACTGATATCATTCGTGATCAGGTCCATCCATGACCTTTCAAAGCTAGGCCCCAAATCAGGCTCTCGGGAACTACTACGGTACGATAGTAGACGAAGAGTAATCTATCGGCGAGAGCTTTTCCCCTTTTCCAGGACAATAGCTCAATGGACCGAGAGCCAACTTCACCAGCACCATGTTTTACGCAGCAGCAATAAGTGTAGTAGATGTAGCGATGACTGATCTTTTTGTCTATCTTCTCTAAGTTTCTGCTATCAGGTTCAGAACACCACCAAGACAAATGCTGCACATATGTAGTACCGGCATGCACAAACATCGAGGACCAACATCCATACCCATATCCTCCAAATCACGCGACTGGCTAAGCAGTAGCTGCATCACTATCAGGCTCATCCTCTCGAACTACGGGACGACGAATACACAGAACCATCGGAACAAAATTAATTCCATCGTTAGCGAAATTCTGCATATGGTAGAATCTCATCAAGGTGCTCAGACGAGGAGACCATGGGTCGTAAATATCATAACCAGTTTAGAAATCTTCTTCCCTGGTGTCACACTCATGATAATAAGATAAAATATACTCACACGAGCCGCGTAGAGACTCCACTAAACTAAACCTTGGTCTCGTCTTTCTCATTCTCCCAGAGCTTCATTGCCGGCATCGCCAAGTCCACCACAATCTGCCTTACAGGACTATCGGGGTGTGACGAGAAAACTACCGTTTCCTCATCAACGACGAGGTATCTCTCAGGACTCTGCAGATTCTGAACACCGAATCGCCTGATGACCTCAATGTCCTGCTTCTCGTACGTCTCATCCCGCAACTTACACACGAACTTGCTGCCCGGTGATCTCAAAGTTGCGCGCGTCAAGGTACTCCTTTGGCGCGATGAGGAACGCATGATGGTAGCGGGAGTAGGTGCTGCTGTATGGCAGACCTCTCATCCGGGGAGACACGCTGCCACAGTTGAACCGGATGATCTTGGTGATCCGAGGCATCTTGGGGTAATTGTCCAGTAGGTGACGAAGCCCCTTGTAGTAAGCACTGTTCCGCCAACACGGAAGCGTCGTGGCGAGGCTCACCCGGACGTAATGAAAGGCAATCGAGCATGCTTGCCCCAGTCTTTCGTGGTCGGATCGCGTGCGATGTATCGGTGAGCGATGCGAACACTGCAAGGGATAGTGTACAACCTCAAGGCACAACCCAGCTCTCGAGCGTCTGGATGGGGATGAAACGCAAGCAGGGTTTCAGTCTAGCATGAAACGGTCATTGCTATTAATGTGTCTGCTCTGTTGCAAGCTAAGGGAAGCACGAAGCACGGGAGTGTCTACGCACAGTTCATGCTCATATCTATCCACGCCGATCCAGACTCTGCCAGTGGAGATCATATAGTCGACTTTAGTACCGTCCATGGCTGTGACATAGACGGCATCGCCTCATTTGACGGTCTTCAGCTGGCTGTACGCGTCCAAGATCGCCTCACGTGTGTAAAGAGGCACCCCGAGTCTGTAGAAATGCATACATCTCTGGAATTCCTCTTCCCGACTCGCTAGACGAACTGGCTGGTTGCATCCAGGCGTGGGTCTAGTTGTGGACTACGTGTACTGCAACGAACATTCTGGATTATAGCCAGAAGTTGGAAGAGGCATCCTGGAGTAAAGAAAACTCAGTCCACTTGTGAAGGCTTATCTGAGGAGATAGACGGGCTTGGAGAGTGGGACTCGACGGCGAGCGACTTTAGTGAGTTTCAAGTTCTCGCGCGAGAAATCACTATTCTCTCAAAACCTGGAGGCTCGATGAAGAGATTTCATAGGAACAGTAACTGAGGCACTAAGATCAAGTGTGTTGGAAGACAATCTGAATGAATAAGTCGAGAGGTATATATAAGAAATCTCAATTGATTTGTTTTCAATTCTTCTTGGGTGTTCTCTGCATTCACTTGCATTAAATGCGATTTGGGATTCACTTTATGTTTTCACATCTATGACGGGCCTTCAGCTTCGATTCAACCGTCCTGACGCAGCAAAGACCCATTTGGAGCCCCTCATTCAGGTTGGCGGGGGAGTCAAGTGTAGCTCAAGAGGGTATAGTCAATGGCATAAAGGGCCAATCCTTGAAAGCAACACTCGTCGATGCATCGAGAATCAACAAATAATGCCTCTTGGACACATAGTTCGCATGCCAGAACAGACTACTAAGTAGTTTCTTAAATATATCCAATTGATGCATTCCGCCACAAGCTGATATTACGACTCAAAAAGTCTAGCTGTCATTAGTAGGTCGTCGAGAGACCTTTCTCAAAATTTGATCTTCAAGGCCCACCCCCCGGCAACCCCCCTAGCAACCACAAACGCCGCACACGCCGCGAGATATAGCACTCCTCCAAAAATGATCAGCCCCCAAAAGCCTCCGCCATTGCTTTCCTGAATTGCTCCTGCAATGGGAATGGCGGTGAGGGTCCCAAAGCTGACGAGTGTGAACGTTGTTCCATTCCTCTTGCCGATGTCCTCAGTCCGGCAAACCTGAGCGATACATACCGGGGTCAAGCTGATGGCGGCGCCGCTCCAGAATCCGAACAAAACCGAATACACGATGATGGCGGCCTCGTTGGTGCCAGCTTTGTACCAGAGGGATAAGGTCAAGACGGCGCAGACAATCGCCGTCAAAGCCATGACATTGAATCGACCAATCCGATCGGCCAGCAAGCCGGGAAAGGCACGACCGGGGATTGCGCCTACATTGAGGAACACGCAAAGCTTGTAGGCCATGGATTCTCCGAGGTTAGCGGAGAGACCGTACGAGGAGAGATAGCTGTATGGGACGAAGACGGCAAATTCGACCAGCCACACGGCCAGAGTGGTGAGCGCGTAGTTGGGCTCACGTAGGGCATGGAGGTCGATCGCAATGCGGCGCGTTGAGTCGGGTTTGAGCCGGGTCTTAAGGAGAAGACATGCTAGAACACATAGCACGAAGCAGATGATCCCGATAATGCGCAGTGCCCATGCGAATCCCAGGCGTGGCCCTACGTAGAGAATGATCAGAGGGAAAAAAACGCCGCCTAGCCCGCCGGCTGTACATGCGATGCCTGTGGCGAGGCCACGGCGGACATTAAACCAATGGCCAATGGCAGAAATCGCAGGCGTAAAGAGCAAGCAGGACGATAATCCGCCGAGAACGCTGAATGACAGCATAATTTGGTAATATTCTGAGATACGTCAGCCTCACATGAACGCTGGCCAATGCTTCTCCACTGCTGCTGACCTGTGCTAGCACTGAAGCAGAAGACTGCTACTATAAGCCCAATGGACCCTGGGATGACCACTGGCAATGGTCCGTGACTGTCGAAGATGGGACCTTTAGGGCCAAATATTTAGTAGGTAGTCTTCGTCAAGCTACGCGGACACGCAAAGGACTAGGTACTGCACGTACCGACCTGAGCCCCGCCGAAATATAGGCAAAATGAGAACACGCCAAAAATCCAGCCCACGCTGGACTCGGAGTAATCTGAGAGCTGGTGGCTGGACGTCCACGCGTGTAGGACGGAGATGGTGTTTAACAAGCCCATTGAAGGCACCATTGCACACCATGACCCTAAGACCACCAGCCAGGCACGGAGGCCTCCTTCCGGGTAAGTCTCGTCGGAAGCGTCAAAGGGCCCTTGCGGGGATATTACGATGTGGGATGGGCCCTTCTCCAGGACAGCCTCACCATCCTGGTCCGAGCTGTGCCTCATCTCCTGGATATCGAGCATACGAGAGAGAATGGTGCCCTGAGTCTGCTCAATCCACAAGAACTCCCTCAACTCTCCGTCGGAGAGTCAGAGATGGGCTATCACATATCACCATCACATCCTGCGAAAAAAAAAAAAAAAAAATCTAGCTTATCAAGAGGAGTGGAGTATATGAGAGACTGTGCCCGGCTGATTGGCTGAATACCCTGTTGCCGTTCGGCTCGTTTAATTCCGCCTCGGGCTATGAATCAATCGCGCCGCATCTGTGGGGCTGGGAATCAGGAACTATGACTCGCTCATCAAAAGGTATTATTAGCATAAGTATCTGCACATGATGCCTATCTACAGAAGCACGCCAGGTATGATGAGTCGAATATCGATTTTCAAACTATCGTGTGATCATTACAAAGTCCCAAAGCCACAAACTTCCCGTCATATGAAAAACTGTTAGTGCTTGAATTGTGCCTCTGGAGGGCATGGTATCCCCTAGACGACTCGACTTCATCTAGAGAGTGTTGTTTTTGAATGTTTTGCGACTCCATCCCCCACCACAAACCCGCATCCAACATAGTGTAATTCTTTTTGAGATCTTTACCTGACAGGAAGCCACAGAATTGATTTCAGTTCTGGCTGAGCAACCTCAAAGAGACAGTATGATCGAGCGCAAGCAGTACAGTCGATGAAACCCGAGAATGTCGTCAGCCTCACACTGAGCAGACGGAACAGCGATATGCTTGTGAAGAGAGTCATTCAGAAGTCTGATTAATATGCGGCTGGAAATCGGAGGTTGTTATTGACATCATAAGAGAAAACAAGGTGTGGTGAAGAAAATCCAAGTGTAACGTGGATCTCTGCGGAAAGATGTCATCGGCCTGCCATCGGCCGCGGGAGAATGTACTGAATCCTGATAAGGCTTCATGCAGACCGATCATGCACCCTAGCATTCTTGTCGAACTCGGAATTCCTCGGTTTTAGCCCTGGTGGGATTTGGCTCATATCTTAGTCATCAGCTCAGAAATATGCTCCGAGTCAATTTTCAAATCCCGAGATCAGAGGACTACCGTATAGGGTCGGGTCCAACGCATCATTTCCTCCAACGGTGATGGTCAAGATTTACAGGGGAGTAGGCGAGCACGTCTACCAGTCATGAAAACCATCCAACATAGAGTCCAGCGTGCAAGTATAGCCAACAGAAATTCTAAGTGCCTGTGGTGAGCCCTCCCTCTCACATTGCCTGACTCCCTGCGCCAAATGATTGTGTGATCGAACACTGGAAAATGGTCCCGAGGTATGCAGATCTCCGTAGATACAAAGCACAATCGCAAGGTAAGGAAGTGGCTGATTGTGATTGTCCCAGCAAGGCATGCTTGAATGAGGTAAGCAAGTCCTTCTCTGAAGATCCATCGACGTTTGGCATCTGCTCCTTCTTGCTCCACCCACATGTCGATCTCATCAGTCTCAGCACTTGATCAACACTTCGTCCTAGCGCCAAAGCTTGAAGAGTTTCTATGATTCATATCCAAACAAGTTCTCGAAAGACATATAAAGATGCAGCCTCTCCCGCTGATGACGCCTTGATTCTGGCACAATGTTATAGAGACATCTCAGTCATTCTTCATTGTTCAAATTCAACTTATTCTTCATAAAAAGTTCACTACTTGGAGCTCTTCAGATACAACACAAAGCTAGCCATTAATGAGATAAATGAAGCTGGGTGCTCAAACCGTTCGCGAATCTTCTTCAAGTCAGCCAGCCTTGTTATGTTGCTCCTTACTGATGGAAACCTCCGCTGATCAACCAGACTCTCTCACCTTGCCAGTAGCTGCGTTCCATCGCCAGCGCTGATGAGGTTTTGGTGGACCTGAAGTACTCGGGTCTATGCCACTCTGATATTCATGCATGGAAAGGTGACTTCTTCGGCCCTCCTCAATATTATCAGCGCCTAACCCGCGGCAACAGGAACGCCGTCGACGGTCAAGAGAGAAAAGGTTGTTGGTACGTTATCTTTCCAATGTTGCTAATACTACTCTAACGCACGTCAAGAGGGCCACGAGGGTACAGGCATTGTCGCGGCTGTTGGAAGTGATGTCGAAGATATCAAGCTTGGAGACCATGTGGACGTGCAGGTATCTATCCTTCTGAGCTCATTTGAGTATGGAGGCTAACCGGTCGTCAGTGGGTGAACAAGACTTGTGGTGTCTGCGAGGCCGACAAGCGAGCCGACTACTTGGCTTGTCCTCGAGCTCAAATGACAGGCTACTCTGTTGGTGGAACATTTGGTACATGTTGCGTTATCCAGGCGCGTCATGTTGTTCGCATACCTAAGGAGTATCCCCTTGACATAGTAGCACCTATCATCTGCACTGGAACGACTTGCTTCAGAGCTGTGCATGAGACCGGTGTCAAGGAAGGTGACATTGTGGGTGAGTTCGATAAGGTGGGAAGGTGGTACGTACTCGGTTCGTAACTGACAGATCTCAGCTGTTGTAGGACACGCTAGCGGCGTCGGATCTCTGGCATGTCAGTATGCGAGGGCCCATGGTTGTCGAATTCTTGCAGTTTCCACCGGAGAGGAGGGTCAGCTATTGTACAAATACAAACTTCATGTCGACCTCTACGTGGACTATCGTCCTCCCAGGACATTGTTCACGAAGTCCAGAAGCTTACTGGGGGCGGTGCCAATGCAGCCATCATGGTCGAGGGTACCGAATCACTTCTTGGGAGTGCTGTTCAGTACGTTCAACCTCGAGGGTCTATTGTTGCCGTATGTAGGTACCCTGAGAAGTTGGTAGGTGTAAACATATCCAGTTTGTTGCTGCGGATGGGTCAAATCAAATCTTCTCCCTACGGTGGCACGAGAGACCAGATCGAAGAAGCAATCAATATTTTCGTTAGAGAGAAGTTCTATCAACCCGCTCGCGTTATATCTCTCGACCAAATGCCACCAATGCTTGAATCGACTCACCAGGAAGGGTCCCACGAGCCTTCTACAAGCTTGCTTTACGAAAACAGCTTGCTGGGACAGGCAACAGTAAAGATTCCCTCTATCACTGGAGGCCCCGAAACATCAACTACGCAGGAGTCTAATCGAAAACCTACATTTTATCAAGAGAGTTTTGATGTTAGCACTTTCCTTTCGTATCGCTTGGAGGAGCTTGGCATCTGCGAATTCCTGGCTGTGCCTGGTAAGACCTTTGCTCGTGCTACTGATTTTGTCTACTAACAATATGAAGGTGACACTAATCTTGTCCTTCTTGATAATCTTCTCAAGAATCCCAATCTTCGCATGATTGGGTGCTGTAACGAGTTGAATGCAGGTTACGCAGCGGATGGTTACGCCAGAACATCGCCTGCCAAAATTGCTGTTCTCGTCGTACCATATGTGGTTGGGGCTCTTTCAGCACTGAATGCTGTGGCAGGTGCTTGTTCTTAGAATTTCAAGATAATTGTTCTATCTGGCTGCCCAACTACAGGGATGCTAGCCAGCAGGAAATTCCTGCACCACGCTCCAACCGCAACGAACAGAGAGCAAGCTCTAGATGCTTACCAAGGTGTCACAGCCGCGTCGATTCGACTGCAATCGGCAGAGACAGCCGTGGAAGCTCTGGATGACGCCATAAGCAAGTGTCTGCGATCATCCCTTCCGATATTTTGTGAAATCCCCGATGATATCGCGGGAGCTGCATGCTCACCCCCTTCTCCACTCAAGGGGCTCAAGCCAAAAAAATAGCCCAGCCGCAGATCAATGAGGAAGCTGTCAGCATCATCTCGAACATTTGGAATAGGTCGAAGAAGCCCGCCCTTCTCTTTGGAAGCCTTGCACGGTGCCTACTCTCTCCTTCTGAAATTGAGAACTTCGCTGAGAAACTTGGGTGCGCTGTGTTCTGTCAGCCGGATGGCCGCTGCATATCAGAATCTCACTCGCAGTACTGTGGTCAGATATGGAATGGTCTTACCAATCTAGAAGGTGAAAGAGCGTTCATGGAATCTGATCTCTGGCTTGTCGTCGGTGCCAATTGGTGCGATTTGCATGGCATCTTGACCAGCATTGACGGAGAAAAGAGCCGTATGATCAGTACTGGCAAAGTTTGGGTAGAGCTCCCTGACGCAACGTGCATTCAGCCGGTAGACTTTGTCGCAGTGGTCAGGCTACTAACCCACTCATTGATCAAATCCAAGCACGGTTCCATTCCGTGTCCCAAACCAACACTTGGCGCAAAGTCTCTTCCAGAAGAAGATCTTGCCGCCCCTCTGACACTCAAGCACATCATTTGCGGCATTCAGAGCATTTTGTGAAGTGGTGACACTATGCTCTGCGATGCAGGAGAGGCTTGGTTTCTCGCTTATCATATAATGCTGCCTCCGGGAGGAGACTGCCAAATACAAATGCCCTATTGCTCGATTGGCTGGGCACTACCTGCCGGACTTGGAGCTCAGCTTGCCCGCTCGCAGGGGCGCTCAGTCATACTCATCGGTGATGGCGGGTTTCAAATGACGGCTCAGGAGGTTAGCACCATTGCTCGTCATAATTTGAACCCGATCATCATTGTTTTTCATAACCTTGGCTATAAGATTGAGGTACGTAGAGCCCTCAGACATGTGCTCAGCTTCACTAATAAGCATTGCCCAGACGGCCATTCACGATGGGCCTTATAACTGCATCGCCAACTGGAACCACTCGCAGCTGGCTGCTTCTCTGTCCGCGATCCCCTATGCACAGTCTCATAACCCCTATGCGACCCCCAAGCAGGCATATAATGAAAGTCATCCATTAATGTTTACCATGCAGGTCAAGACTCAGGGAGATTTGAAGACAGCTCTGCAGCGAGCATATGACGAGCATGATAAGCTGGCATTTTTAGAGCTTTGTATCCTACCAGATGATATGAGCGAGAAGGTACGACAGCTTGGTAAAGCGTTCGCGCAGAAGAACGCCGAAGCGCCCTTTGAATCATCTTCAAGCTCTGATGAGCGGAAGCACAGCGCAACTACAAGCAGTTCGAGCACTTCGAGGCTCGACAGTCCAGGAGAGACGTCAGACCAAAGCTCTGCGCGCAGTACGATCACTTCGCCAGGGAGCAAAGATGAGTCTGTACAAGTGTAACGGGGTGAGACAGAGCTTACCGGCGAAGTTATTGCTTCTCGGCGGATGTCAGATACCTCCTATGGTAAGAAGCAGAGTGACTGGACTCAGGTGGTGAAGGCATAGTGGAATGTCATTAAGCCTTGCGCTCCGTTGATTGGTTATTCAGTAATTGCGCTTCTCCCTAGCGACAGTTTTTCATGCTTATGTTTAATCTGGGATTAGTTGACTTTCTTGCTACTATCGCCAACCTCGCCTCTCCTGTTAGAACATGTGAGCCAGGTCATTCTTGATGTCGTGGTTGTCGTGGCTCTCACACCTGAAGTCGTCGGTGAGGTAGTACCAACCGCCAGTATCTTCTTAATTGATTTACAAATCGACGAAGACTAGTCTCGAATGAGACTTCCACAGTCTTTTAATTAATGCTATCATCCCTCCAGTCCCCTAGCGGACGGGGCTTGACTTGTTGTTGTTTGATCTGCCGCGGAAACTGAGGTTGGCATGGCAAGTGAGACTCTACCCGGGACCAAGCAGCAGCATTAATTGGGGACTAGTCCGTAATACCAAGTCGACTGATAGGTAGGCACGGCACAAGTGGTGTTGTCTGAGTGGGGCCGGTGGGGAATGCGATACTGATGCTTTCAATGCAGGTGGCAGAGGTATTATCTCACCTGACCCTTGGTCGTATGGTAGCATGCTGTGGATTCTACGGGTTGTTAATGCAGCTGCTGAGGAGTCAGCTGCCGGTCTACTTCATATGCTTGCGACTGATTGTAACATCACCCTCCAACCAAGTCCCAGCCGACCTATCATGATAATTTTGTCCTGAGGTCCGGTTTAACAGTACATACGAAGCAGACTGAGATAGAGAGTGGATTGGGTCACACCATCCCAAACACTCAGTAGTGAATCACTTCCCACTATATCGCGAGAAAACAAACTAGCCACCAAATCGACTTGGCCGAAACATGCCCAATGACGCAGTGGAGGCAGGCAAATCAAGGCGAGCTGAAGACGTGAATAAGCACGCTAGTAAGCATGGCACGTGCGGGGCGCCGCTCTTCTGCTTGGCTTATCGCCAGCTGTCAGTCAGTCACTTCCCATCTTTAGTTCTCACCCCATCGGAGCTGACGAGTCCAGCTCTTGCCGATCATGCAGTGCAAAGCCTGCCGATGACGAAAGTGGAGAAGGGAGAGCCTGGATCCCAGGATGCCCAGGATGGTCTTACAATACTCCTCAAGGGCTTTCTCTCTCTCTCCACGGAGCCTGAAATAAATACCCTGCTGCCAGCTGTCGGCCTTCACAGCCTTGCTGTAACTTCGGTCAAGATCTCAATTGAAACCCTCTCAAAACGTTTATCACACTCCCAACCCGGTTCAACCTCACAATGACCATCCCCCACTACGGCGTCTGGGTCGGCCAACCCACTCACTACACGGCCCAGACCGACGCCGAGGACCCTAAATCCCCGCACATCTACCTTTACTTCAAGGATGACTCCTCCTCGCGCAAGCAGCTCGAAGCCGCCATTAATGTCAAGTCCACTGACCAGGATAGCCGCCTCGTCTACTGGTTCGACCGCAGCTTCACCCACGCCATCACCGAGCAGCTCACCAACCTAGACGAGGGGTTTCACCTGCTCAGCACCTCTTCCGTCCACAGCCGGTCCCGCCGGCGCCGCTCCGAGGAAGCATCGGCAGCAGGGGGCCTGAAGGGGCTGGACTTTGTTCGCACCCAGGGGCTGGTCGACATCCACGCCGGCGCGGTCCTCGGGGCGGATGGTGACCAGGATATTCTGGACAAGGTGGATCCCATCCTGACGGATGCGATCAACCAGAAGGCGACGATCTATATCTTTGGATCCTCGTATGGCTCGGGGATCCATGATATCCACATGAACCAGGGCAGCGCGGGCTATGAGAACGGCATCTACGAGGATGGAGCGTTGTTGTTTCAGTTCGACGACGGACACTGGGAGGCGGTCTTCTTGGCGTTCGCCTCCCAGCAGATCCCGACGGATGACAAGGGGGAGCCGGAGAGTGATAGTCAGTCGCTGGCGACGATTCTGGGCCAGTAGAAGTGGGATTCCATCGGGGGGTTGGATGGAGGGCGGCAATAGGTGGTTACCTGTGTTAAGTCTCGCGGGATGATATGATAGGCGGCTGGTTATGAACGCCATTTGTAGTAGGTATTGATGATCGTTATTCTAAATGGAGAGCATAAAGATACGTTGAGAGAGCTTTTGAAATGGGAATAAGGCGACTGACGACAGTCTGGTCCTTTTTGATTGCGTGGTCATGGAAACTCATACTATGCTAAACTGTAATAATAATGATTGACAGTATATAGAAGAATATTGCTGTTCATTTAGCACATACGACCATAGGGTGTGGAAAATAGGGCTTCCCGTCCGCTCAGCCGTACTCAAGCCACGCGCCGGGAGGTTAGTAGTTGGGTGGGTGACCACCAGCGAATCCCTTCTGTTGTATGTTTTTTCCTTTTTCTCGTCTTTTTGCATCAGCTCGCCCGCCTTCACATGCTGTCTCGCTAACTTGAATGAGGAAAGATAGGGTCAGCTATGCAGACTGTTGAGTTGTGGTCTTCATGTACAATTGTACCGGAGTATGATGACCCAAATATTCAGGAACAATGAGATGAAGACAAAACCGAACTAAAATCACATCAGAACTGTCTATTCTTGCTGCATCCTTTCAAGAACGGTGTCTGTAAACGCCCAGAGGAGCGATGAGTAATCTGAGCAGAAGGTCAAACCCGTATAAAAGGTACTTCTCTGCCCCTGCAGCGCATACAACCGGCGGTAGAACCCCGTCTGAATATCTTCTGGAGCCACCATCAATGCCTCGGGGGAGTGGTCGGCGAAAGCCACGATCTCGGGTTCTTGGATAGAATAGGTGCCTGCGTCCTTCATGCGGGCGAAATCTGCCAAAACAAGCTGCCGAGCATCGTCTGCTGTGAAATTCATCGGCCCCACGATTTTGGTATTTGGATGTCCCGGCACTCCCATATACTGAATTAGGGACTCAAAGGGCATCTCGGGAAGGAAGCCCGGCCCCGTGCGCGGATTTGTGTTCGAGACATAACGTCCATCAGGAATGCCATGCTGTTTGATCACCCCTACATAATAATTGCGCCAGATCCACTTGCTGAAGAGTTCCCTCTCCTCCGCGTCGAGATCAAATCCCTGGAGCTTCTCCATGGTTGGTGGATGCGTGATAAGGAGTTGCTTGGCTTGGATTGTGGTTTGGTTTCCGTTGAGATGCTGGACTGTGAGCGTGACCCCAGCGTCGGAGCGTTTGGCCTTGACGACTTTGCTTTGGTAATGCACATTGGGAAGCAGTGTCGCCGCTTGGCGATACAGCTCGTACATCCCCCTCTCTGGCGTAATGTATCCGCCCAGCATGGCAGAGATCTGCGGGACACCAAAGTCCAGGAGGGTATAAATTGCGGGCTTGTCCAGCATATCACCCACCGTGTGGGCCCAGAAGAACAACATCGGAATCGCGTTCTCGAGTGAGTTCTCCTCGATGAATTCTCGCAAGGGACGGAACATCACCTCTGGGACTGGATCCGGCAGGTCATAAAAGCCCTTGTCAAGAAAGGGGAATCGTCTGAGTGCCAGGCGATATCGGACGATCGCAAGCAGCGACTGGACGAGCCCGACTGGCGACTCCACGATTCGACCGGTGGTAAAATCCACAAAGTCCTGCCCGGTGAAGCTGGGAACAGTGCGGTGCCACTTTACGCCCAGGCGGTTGAAGAACTTCCGGCTAAGTTTGTCGTCGAAGGCGCCCTGGACCCCATAATCGACGTAGCTACCGCTGGGAAGGTAGAAGGTTTCCGTGTGGCCACCGAGCTGATTCTTCGGCTCAATCACCACAGCCCGCTTTCCACGATCTTGAAGTTGAATGGCAGCGTATGTGCCTGTTGCTCCTCCGCCCAGAATGCAGACATCGTATGTTTGCGTATCTGTGTCAGTGCCGCTCACAGTAGATGGAAGACCGGTGATTCGGGGTGAGAAGATTAGGAAGAGAAAATAGATCACTGATATTGAATAATTCATTTGGAGCGACTCTTAACTGGGGCCTGACTCGGGATATTTTTGTGGCTGAAGAGTTTGCCTGCGCGGGGCGGAGACCTTTGGCACTCGGAACACTGGGTAACACCTTTATAACAAATGAGGGGAAGACAAAAAAAGCAATTCGACATGGAGAGAGAGAGAGAAGAAAAAACAGATCAACAAACGCCGTGTCGTTATATCGCACCACCTAGGCAGACAGCCTCTGACACAATCATCCCGACTTTCTGCCTACCACTTCTATCAACTCTCCGAACAAGTCTTGGATCGTTTCTCGCTCTCCGGTCCAAACCCCTCTCTCTCCTTCCAGCCCCAGGTCCTCTCCTTTGGCAGCGCGCGTCAGGAGCTCCTTTTCAGGAAACGTCAACCCAACAGTCTTGTCCAGTGTGATCATCCTCAACCCCTGCAGCACCTGCTGCAACTGCGCAGCGGCTTTCCCACCCCCATGACCGCCATAACTGACGATCATCGCCGGTTTCCCCTTCCACTCGCTGAAGAGATAGTCGAGGGCGTTCTTAATACTTGCCGGGTATCCCCAGTTGTACTGAGGCGTGACGAAGATGAACGCATCGTAGCGCGAGATTTCCCGCGACCAGGCCTTGGTATGCTCATGCTCGTAACCCTCAGCTGATGTGATACACGATGGAATCCCCGGCTCATTGTAAAGTGGAAGATTCCACTCCGCAAGGTCGATAACTGTGATGCTGGCTTGTGGGTGTGCTTGCTTGATGGTCTCGTGAATGAAAGTGCTAATTTGTAGCCCGGCCCGGGGCGAACGTGTGCTGCATACGATCAGGCCGGTGGTGGTAGGCATGGTTGCCTTCTTCTTTCTTTCTTTTTTTGGACTTTTAGGTGGGTGTACTGTATGGATGCTGCTCAGAGGTCACCTTTCTCGTGTGATGCCGAGTTACCAATTCAACCAAATTCGGAGCTTTTTATATCATATGCCATTCTTCCCCAGTAACAAGATATGTCTATTTCCAGATCGGGCAGTAGGATCCGCGGAGCCGCGGAGGTACTTGGCCCGACAAGACCGACGCGGAAGCCATCTTACTAATAAAAAATGGGTCCGTGGCGCCCAGCAGCTGCTCAGCTCTTGGAGAGGTGTTCAATCTCCCCGCCGACGGAATCTAAACTCACCCCGCTATTCTGGAATTTCTAACTACTGTAACGAGTGTCCTTATTCGCCGATGGCAAGCAATCCAGCCGGTGAGACTCATGCATAACCCCATATGATCTCATGATTTATAGTGGGTGATTCGAGTTGTTAGTTATAGGTGATACAGGCAACATCATCTGGTCTGGTGTACTGTATGTACTGTGCACTCTCTACAATATCCCCTTGTCCCCAGTCACACGCAATGCGGCAACAGGATACTGGGATAAAATGAAATTTTGTCGCCAATCTCTTGCATTTGCAAATTGCCTATGGTTACACGCGCCTTGAGCGGTCATAGGGACATATCTCACTGGCCCTCTGCACCATAAGACACCGCTAGACCACGGGATCGATTCGGGGAGCTTCCAATCTGAGTCGGTCACAATCAATGCGAGCAATGAGCCAGCAGCTGTTTGAGGGAAGGACAATATGACCAGAACAAAAAAAAAAAGCCAAAAACAATTTGATTGAGCCGAACGCGGGGGTTGAACCCGCAACCTTGAGATTAAGAGTCTCACGCTCTGCCGATTGAGCTAGCCCGGCTTCCTCGGATGCGAATCCAAAAATTTACGTCAATATGACCGCGCATTAAGGCTCCCCGGGCTTAGCGGACCGACGTTCGTTGTGTTGGGGGGAGGGGCTTGCTTTTTTGCAGGAACCTTATCACTTCATATTCGGTACAATAAATCCTTCCCGCTAGTATGTCAAGACCTTTTGATAAACCGCCCAAGTCCGATAGTCTAGGGTGCTGCTCTGGGTCATTGTGGTTGTGCCACTGTGGTTTTATCCTACATCACCCGCGGTGATATAAATATTTATTACATGTACCGCACGGGTATACCAGAGCATGTGCCTAGGGCTCTGTCATCCCAATGCGGGCCACTGCACCAGATGGCAGCTCGAAGCATCCGCCAATCCGATGATGAAGTGGTGCAACAGCAGAACATACCCCGGAGAATATATACATGCTATACGGGTAAGCGTCTTCTGAGCATACACCCTACGTGTGTTATGTATGCTCACACGGAAAGTCCAGTAGCTGTACTTCGATATTAATGCCCGAGTATGCTCATGGCCTAGGCCCACGCTTTGTCTCTCATTATTTACACCAAGCAGAGGTCGCTGCTGCCCAAGTACTGACACCAGCCATGCATGATTTCAGCTCAGTAACCCACCGCATGCACCGCATGAACATGATCACCATGGCTCTTCGCCACCAGCTCGTCCCATTTCTCTACCGTGTCCCTCATGACATCCGTTCCTACAATGGTCAGTTAAAGTGTGCATCAAGCCTTGAAGCATCCGATACGCACCCCACATGAAGTCCTGCCAACCGGGCTCAGCCCATAGATCGGGATTCTTTCCCGACCTCGAATGGCCTCGTCTCTCTTGACTTGCTCGTCCCCATCGGGTAGATGCAATGCCTTTCTCGTCACAGCAGCGCTCTTCTGGATCCGCTCTACACGATCTTTCCGTACCAGCTCATAGACTACTAGCGCCTTGGGAACCGAGTCTGTCACAGACAAAGCGCACGTCAGTACCCCAGCATCCCCAATTGCCTGTGCAGCCCCCTGAGCCACGTATGGCAACATCGGGTGACAAGCATCACCCATCAAGACGCACCTGTTCTCCACCCATGAGGGCAGAGGGAAGTGCGAGTTAAGAGTCCACTCTATCACCTCACCGTCCGGAACGTAACTCAGGAGACTTCGGACCAGCCCATTCCAGTTGCTGTAGAAGGAAACCATCTTCTGCTTGTCTCCCTTGCTGGTCCAGCTCTCTTCATTGGAAGCTCCCGGCTCTGAGGATGCAGCAGTACCATGTTGTAAACCGTGTTGTCCTTGATCGGATATGTCATGATGTGTCCCCCAGGCCCCATTCAGCGCATCCCGACATTGTGGTTCAGAAGATCTAGAGCGCGTTGGTCGCCCTGCATCTTATCCTTCGGAATCAGGATGCGATAGGCCGCATCTCCCATAGGCTGACAGATATCCTTGACACCGTGGTGGGATGCGATCTGATGGCGCAGGTCGGATTTGATCCCGTCCGCTGCGATGACCACATCCCCGGAAATCCAGTCGCCGGATTCCAGCTGAACGGTGGCTTCGAAATCATCAACCGCGCGAACGACTCGCGAGCTGGTGTGCAGTTCTATGCCCGCGTCCCGAACACCATCCAGAAGGATACTTGCAGATCCCCGCGGTGCATCACTGCAAGAGGTGCATGGTATTTTTGCCCGACCTGTTCGAAGTAGAGAGTTAGCGGGCAATGACCCCATGCGCCATACCAGGTAAGAATATTTGGGGCATTAGAGGGGGGGTTCCGAGTTCTTCGTTGTTGGCGTACCGGCGCAGCGAGTTCTTCTCCAGCACATTCGCCTTCTCCATGAATTTGTCCAGAAGACCAAGCCGCCCGAGAATCCGTGCAGCAGTCGGTGCAACCTGAATCCCTGCGCCCACCTCTGCTATCTCGTGGACTCGTTCCAGGATGCGGACTTGATGGCCTGCTTTATTCAACCCCAAGGCTACCGTCAACCCGGCGATGCCGGCACCAACGATCACCTTCAGGGGGTGTTTGGCCTTGAACGACCGGGAAATTTGTCGTGAAAACTGTCCAGTGTGATGTATAGCCTTTTGTGCTTGGTTCGATGGAAGAATCTGAGTACGTTTGACGGCAATCTATATGCCCCTGTACGGGGTATCTGCATAGTTATCTCGCGATATCATTGATGACGACATCGGGGATATAGAAGTCGTAGGTGTGGAGCAGCATACAAAGCAGATATCGAACTTGACGCCAGCCTTCAGATCACTATGGGGCACGGGTCTTCATCGCGGCAAAGATATCCATGGGTTTTCAAGACATAATGAGAGCTGCCTCGCTCATAGACCACTGCAAACAGTGGGTGGGGAGTGGGGCCGTGCAAAGCCGGGACTGAGACTCGGCACCGTTTCTCGGACTCCATCGTCGGCCCGGCTCCAATGTCAGGTAACTAAATGCATCGATCTATAGTTAGACTTACTGTACTACACAAAGAAAAGGAAGTACGTACAGTGAATTAACTATTTTCCAGCCACAGTGAACTACTCTTCCCTCAGCAATGGACCTCTCTTGATCGGCTCAAGATTCGGGAACTTCAACGTCCGGGGAAGAGCATCCTGATTCCAGTACACAGTGCCATGGCGAAGCATATGCGCATATGTTCCAACAACGTTATCCGATCCATCATACTTCCTCCACAGCGATCCAAGTGTCTCCTTGTACACCCTCAGGATCAGCCCGTGGGCAAGCTTAAACCCAAAACTCTTCGCCAGACAACCCTCGACGACCTCTCGCGCCCGTTTCTGCTCATCAGTCTCCGCCTCGCCCGCTTTTGGCACAGAAAGCGACATCAATTCGAACGCCTGGCGTCCATCCCACTGAGTGAACTCGTTGATCAGCTGTGACCCTTCCATGAACTCGATTCCGTACAGGTGATCGCGGATATACTCGGGCCCATTCCAACCATCCTCCTCATCCACAAGCCCCATGACCATCGACATCACCTGTCCTTGAATGATGTAATCCGTCAGAAGCTTGCTGGCCTCTTCCTCATTGATGATATGGCCGTCCTCTTCTATCTTGAACGAGCCCCCCATCAATGGCACCCCCTTCAACAACGGACTCGCATGCATGCCGTCAGTGCATGTCTGGCCTTCCCACAACTTCAGCAACAGTTTATGGCACCGCAAGAAGAGTGGGTTGTTCTTGCGTGCCGCGAGGAAGTAGTTCGTCAGAGTGCGTTCGTCGGGTATGCCTGTGAAGTACGAGAGGACCTCGAACGGAGCCTCGGGGTCGGCGATCGTTTCATTCCAGAGACGATCCAGGTCTCCAATCTGAATGAGACCAACGTCGGCATAGACGCCGCCATACCGCAGGAGGAGCGGGAAACGAACAAGGTCGGATGTATGCTGCGGTGCGTATGTGCCGCTGATGGTTCCGTCGGCAAAGGCGCGCGGGAAGAGGGCCGGGTCGGTGATATCAAGGTAATCACGTATGGTATCGCAGTCGAGCACGCGAGTTGTCCAGCCCCGCTTGGAGAAGCGGCGCTGCCATGCGCGCACATTGCGCTGCGTGTATGGATGCATGTTTGCGTAGCCGCTTGTCCAGAAAAACCAGATATTCTTCTCGTCGGTCACGGGCTCCGCGTGCACGATGTCGTGGTCGATCTGTGCATCGTCGCGGATGTCAAGCAAATGGGGAGGCATGGCGTGCATTCCTGCTGGTAGGGGGTATGGTTGCTCAGGGAATCCCATGGTGTTCAGGCGGTTGGTCTGGGTGGAAGCCGCGGTCGTGGTGCTGAGCATTAATGATGTGTATCACGAAGTATGGATTCGCAATTGACATTCCTTCTTTCCCTTTTGAAAGGGACTTGCAAAATCTCTCGGCTGCCAACATTGTAGCATTCGGGGGACATTGTAGCTACTTATCTAGATGTGTTTACAGTGTACTAGGAATCTGATCTTATCAGACCGCTAGCCGACGATAAGCACTAAATCGAAGTTAGGGCTGTGAGGTGACTAAGTTAGCACATGAGTCATTCTCACTCATTTTGCGCCACGATACTTTCGATCATTACTAGTCTACCAAGCACAACTAAGTCTCGCATATATGATGGGCTCAGATTCTGTGGTGGATGAAATCATTTTGTATCATGGACTGGCATTGGGGTGGGGGATGCAGGCAGCGCCTGCAGTGGACCTCACACTCATCCCAAAACGGCTAGTAAGTAGCAAATGTCCAACCCGCGTCTTTGGAAGATCTTAACACGTGACCGTACGCAAAGAAAGCAACGCTGCTGACACATGCGGATCAACATCCACAAGTAACTAAGGCCACCTGTTAGCCAAATCAACACCAAGTATTACGGTATATCGGGGGGAAAACGTCCACCACATACTACTACCCTCCGCCTCCACACAAACAGAAACCCCCTTTCAACAATGCTCTCCAGCATTCAGAATGTGCGGCAAACTGCCGCGCAGATCCTGAATTTCGGTCTGGTGCTCAGCACCGCCTTTATGGTACGTCCCGCAGCGCAAGTTTACAGCTGACTAGCTGGGCCTGGCCAGCTCCGCGGTTCAGCTTCAGCTACAGCTGCGACCACAGCAATAGGACCCCAGCAGTTGATATCGTTCACTCCCCTTGAAAGGCTGGCGGTGATTGAAGCTAGCTAACCTGGGCGACAAATCAACAGATGTGGAAAGGTCTCTCCGTGCTCACCAACTCGCCCAGCCCGATTGTCGTCGTCCTCAGTGGCTCCATGGAGCCGGCCTTCCAGCGCGGCGACCTTCTCTTCCTCCGTAATAACCAGCCTATGTTGAACGTCGGCGAGATTGTGGTGTATCAGGTCAAAGATAAAGAGATTCCGATCGTACATCGGGTGGTGCGACAATTCGGCGATGAGTACGTGAAGTTTGTGCTCTCCCTATTCCCCCACCCCTTCCTGTTACCCTTGTTATGTTTTCACGCCGGGTTTCGCGTGTGAGATCCTAGTGTATTCATCGCGATGTATAGGGCGGATTTGACACCAGAAGTTCTGGGCCTGAATTGGATAGGCAAGAAGTACATACATGGGGCTAATTTCGTGCGCGGTTTGTTGCGTTGCTGCACCACAGGTCCAACTCGAAACTCCTTACGAAGGGTGACAACAACATCGCGGATGATACGGAACTCTATGCGCGCGGACAGGATTACCTCGATCGGGACGACGTTGTCGGAAGCGTGTTTGGGTATATTCCGTTTGTCGGGTACGTGACCATTCTGCTGTCGGAACATCCGTGGTTGAAGACGGTTATGCTGGGGGTGATGGGTGTGTTGGTTTTGCTGCAGCGGGAGTAGGTAGAAGAAATCCGTAGGGTAGAATCTTCAAAATATACGGGGTATGGGTTTCCGAATTCCTCGTTTTGAATGGATATGGGGTTTGGGTTTGGGGGCCATGTAGGAGGCAACCATCGCGGAAGTCTCGGGGGGTCAGCAGAATACTATTCGCCTGAACCAAGGGGACTTGAGGGCCAAGCGAAACCGGGCTGAAAGAAATTGTCGCGATTGCAGCAGGAGTAAACAGTAAGAAGCAACAAGGTTCAGGCCTCTCTATCACCAGCCCTGGTCAATTCATCCCCACTTTTTCAAGTATCCCCTGGCTAAGTACCTGTATTATGCAGCATCTACATTGCGCTCGCGTGCAAGAGTTATCACCTCGGACCAAGAAGCATCAACTGGTGGCCTTCCATTCTCACCGATTCCGATGCGCAACCAAGCAAGCTCAACTCGCCGTCGGATTACGCCGGAAACAACACAGTGGAATGAATGTCCAATCCAGTATTGGAATTGCGCCACAGCCTCCGAGTTGGATATTAAACGCACAGTCAACATCGTCAATCTCAAGGGTTGCACTGAGTTGGATTGGCTGGGTTGAACTTCGGGGTCTCATCGCGTGGCGAGGAAAGTGAAATACTTGGCCAGGCATTGACAGACAGAAGGGGATTGATGACGCGGGACCTTTGCCGTTGTAGCTAGGCCACCAACCAGGTCGGTCATGAGGATTCCCCCGACAGAGACATCACCAGCGCCGGCCGGGGGCGCGTGCTGTTGACGCGGTGGAGTTACAAAGCGATTGATACTCCAAATGACAGGATGAGGCGAACAAAACCCCGATTCGCCTGGGCCCCGACATTTGGTTCTTACTAGGTGACTAAGGTACTAGCAGGCAGGACTTATGTACCACTAGAGCATCGTGGTAGGATCAGCCTGAATTTGCCATGGGCAAAACTCGACGATTAAACTTCGATCAAATCCTGCATCGCGCTCAAAGTCAAAAAGTCTAGATTCTCCTCTAGAACTCAGTGGAGCGGAGACAAACCCCCAACGGAGTGTGTAGGCTGTGTTTGAGCGCTGTGCTAGCCTGTTGGGGCACCCTGATTCCTGTCAATGTCTCATTCGCACAGGATTGAGGTGAAAGTGGATGGAGGAGTTAAAACTGTCCCACTTGACACAAGAAAATCCAACCACTCTGGTGGGAGTGGGTGGGAGTGGGTGAATGATCCCTACAATTCTGCTCTATTGCCTGTTGCTAACCTGCTAACCCCGCCTCAGGGCTTTCCCTTAAATGAGTCTCTGCGCACGCTCTTCTTGGCCTTGCAAAGAATTTTAAGGTTAGCCCATGGAAAGAGCTCAGTAAAGAAACACATGCGCAATAAGGAAAGGACTTTGGTCCAGGTGGAAGCAACCGACCGGAAACCCGCCGGCTGGGAGCAAAAGCAATCTCTGGCTCATCGTCAGGTACGCGCACACCGACCATTCTCTTGTGTCGCTATACCCTGAAGGAACAACCGAACTGCCCTGGAGAAGTGCGAAATCTGCTTGGAGTTTGCAAGAGAGATGGGTGGGATCCATTGGATCAGGGCTGATCGAGGCTTGCTGCTTAGCCCGAAGAGGTAATCTAATTTGGTGTTATCAATGGATTCATGATGATTCCGTGGGTATGTGTGCACCAATCAACGAGTGAGCAGTATGTGCCCAGGCTTGATGTATCTCTGGATTGTTTTACCATTGGCTCTTGCTGAAAAAGTTCTCCTGAATGAGTCAGCGGCCATGCACTGTTAGGCCCAAAAGTGGAGCAGCAGCAGTCCCTGGCCGAGAGTCTCAAGCCATGGATGCAATGGTCCGGCTTGCGCTTTGTTGGTCTTTGGGCCCTTTGCTGTGCCCTGCGCTTTTTTTAGGTGCCCAAAGTGGCATTGTAGAGACAATTGCCCTGGCCAAGGTTTCTTTTCAGTCCTGATAGCGGTAGGGTTGGGAGGGGGGGGAGGAGAAGACTAGACCGAACGCTGAGGCTGACATGAGCTCGAATCCATCTGATAGAACTGATTCTAGCTGGATAAAAACAAACACATGTCAGGTCAAGAGCAGAGGAAAGATCAAAAAGTGGAAACCAGAGGATCCACTGACAAAAAAGTGACCGAGGCCACAGACCACAAATCATTCCATTTCTCTTGAATCATCCAATGATTTTGTGCTCTAAATTCTCAATCTGTATTTGTGACTAAAAAGTGTCTGTGGAATCAAAATTGGACCCGCTTCTGCTCGTTGTTCGGCTTCACTTCTTCCTTCCTTGAAAGAATAGAGTAACGAAACAGCAGGTAGCTCAAGGTGGGAGAAGTAGTCCGATCCTTTTGTCTTAGCACAAGGAGAAGTCTGCGTATTGTCTCATGACTCTCATTCTTGTAAGGGTTGGTTGTCTGCTATGAGAGGGGCACAGCCAATAGTCTCTTGAGAGGGGAGAGAGGCGAGGGGAGTCAATGTACTGTACCTTTTGCTTCAGTCAATTTTCCCTCTGACTGTTCCGCTCTATTCTCCACCGTTCGCTTGCCTTACCAATCCCAATGCCATGCCCCTGTCTCCATCGCCCGCCAGCGACATCCACTGCATGGTGACCCCGCTCGCTGATTTTGTGACCCACAGCCAATAGGCTTGCGGTTCCTGTCACACTCTTTCTGGTCCTTCGGTTGGTTCCTGACTCTATTGCAGCTGACGCATACGCCGCTCGTCACCTTTTTGCCCTTTCTCCCTTCTTTCACCCAGTCCCACTCCTAGTGACAAAGTCTTTCTCCCCCGGCGTCGTAGACTCAATGGTCCAGACCAGAGCCCTACAATGGGGGTGGCGGACGGAGGCCCCTCCAGGGTCGATTTGAGCCCGCTATTTAGAGGGCATGAACACCCTCGATCCAAACCGTCTGTTCATTCATCAGTCAATCTCTTTCCAACAAACAAGAAAAAAGAAAAAAGAACCAGTCGGTTGTGTATAACAATCCACTGTAACTTACATTCCTTATTCTACCTATCATAGTCGGTACTTGAGTGTATCGACAGCCTTTCCTTCTTGTCCATTCCAATTTTGAACACAGCCCTCGCTTGACGCGAAGGAACATCCCACCCAACGAGTCAACAAAGACATCCACTCTCTGAAAAGCGAATCGATCAAGATGCAATTCATCACTCACTCTCTTTTCTTGCTGGCTACCCTCGGCACTAGCGCTCTCGCTATCCCTCAAGGCAACGAGCGTCGTCAATGGAGCTGGGGTGCCTCGACCACCAGCTCCACCGTCGCCTCCGCAACCGCTTCCTCTTCGGCCTCTTCCTCCGATTGGACCTCCATACCGTCTAGTGGAAGCTACTCGACCTCCGGCTTTGGTGCCAGCACCTCCTCATACGGTTCCGGTAACACCTATCAAGGCAACGTCGGCAACCCCTGGGGCAGCAACATCATTGAGGTCTCGGCTGATGAGGCTTCCTCGTACGAATACGTGATGCAGATCTCTGGACAGAACACAGAAGACTGGATCGTCGTCTTCTGGAACAAGTACGGCCCCGATGGCGCCATGGACGGCTGGTACGGCCACTCCGCTCTCAGCCTCACCCTGGCCGCCGGTGAGACCAGGTACGTCGCTTTCATGGAGAACTCCAACGGTGGCTTCGGAGCCGCCCAGGGCAGCAGCCTCCCCACCGACAGCTACGGTGGCTATGCCAGCACCTGGGGTGAGTTCGACTTCGGCTCCGATGCCAACAACGGCTGGTCTGGATTTGATGTCAGTGCCATTCAAGCCCAGGATGCCAGCATGACCGTCCAAGGCATGAAGATCTGCGATGCTCTGGGCAGCACCTGCTCCTCCATCACCACCAATGCTGGCACCGTCGATAATGCCTACACCTCCGCCGAGAGTGCCGTAGGTGGCATTGGAGGAAACCTTGCGAGCGGCGCGGTCCGCCTGGCCGTCACTATCGATTACAGCGGATAGATATTGGTCGCCTGAGCTTTGATGCTTTCCTAGTCTTTCCCTGAGAGAGATTGTTGGTCCACCTGGACTGAGGTATAAACTTCTGGCTGGTATAGATAAAAATGTCCTGGATAGACAAAATGAATTATAGACCGTCCTCATCGAATTTATTGTTTTGGCTTATAGATGGTGATATGCTGGTTAACGTATGACTTGTCGTAAAGAACTTCGTGTGCGGCAGGCAATAGCCGCCATTATCAAAATACTTACAGTTCTCATGATTAGGTCCTTTTACCGACGTATTCACCGCCTCCTTTGTTATAGTAATATCCCGGTAGCTGATTAGTTCTGCTATCTATTTCTGCCTTTGGCAGATGCTGATATTCTGCTGTTTAGTGAGATTCCGCCTGGCTGACTGCCTTGGACAAGATCCCGTTATCGATTCTGGTGATACTCTAAGAATTAACAACTTTATTAAGAACTATTATACTAAGACATTTATAACAAAGATACCTGTATATAGTATTTTAAGTAAGGCTTATACCTCTATATTGTACTTAGGACCAATAGCTGAGAACCAAAGCGAAGTAATTTACATAAGTAGTTTATAGAGAGATTGGTTCTGCCAGCGGAAATACCAAGAATCCAATATCAGCTACTGAAAAATTGCATAATCATAATGGCGGCTATTGCCTGCCGTATTGGTGTTTTGTAGATCCCCGAAATTTGTCGGAGGATATGTGCCGAAGCCGCTGTCAGTTGACGTCGATCGCGATCGTTGTCCGAATTTCTTCGGACACGGCAGCACCACAACAGGCCATGAACCTACACATAAATACCCCGTCAATATCTCATTGATGTGACTGGGGAATTATCTAGATCTCGTTAGGTTTTTTGATACTCAGCATCAATCATGTCCCAGGTCTATCTCATCACCGGTTGCTCATCCGGTCTCGGTCATGAACTTGCCCGTCAGGCACTCCAGCGCGGGCACAAAGTGATTGCAACTGCTCGCGATCTTGATAAGCTCTCCGCATTACAGAAGCTGGGTGCAGCCACGCTGGCGCTCGATGTGACAGCACCGCAGTCGGAACTGAATCGAACAGTAACAGCCGCCCTTGGAATTTATGGCAGCATTGATGTTTTAGTGAACAATGCGGGCTACACGCTTTTCGGATCAGTGGAAGATCTCAGGTATGATTTGGCTGATGTGGACACAGTGTGCAGGGTTAACTATGGAATAGCTACGAGGAGTGCCTCAGGGAATTTCAGACAAATGTGTTCGGGCCTATCGGTGTCACTCGTGCCATGCTGCCTCATTTTCGTCGTCGAAATGGGGGAACGGTAGTCAACATTGGCTCGCTTTGCGCGTGGGAGACATACCCGGGGGCCGGCGCATATAGTGCCTCCAAGGCAGCTATACGATGTAGGTCCAAGTTCATCCATAACAGAGCATCATTGGTTATTGATAGTTCTCTTTTCAGATTTTACCGAGGCGCTTAGCCAGGAGACCAGCAGCACAGGCATTAGAACCCTTCTGGTCGAGCCTGGCCAGTTTCGTACTGAACTCCTGAATCCAGGGAAAAGTACATTTATTGAGACCGATATACCGCAGTACCGAGACGTGATACCTGCTTCTTTCGCAGCATTCCGTAACATACATGGCAAGCAACGGGGAGACACGAGCAAGGCCGTAGCTCGTATATTGGATGTCGTCCATGGCGAAAACGAGGCCAGTGGCCGAGAGTGGCCAGGAGAATTGGTTCTAGGACCAGATGCAGTGGAAGCTATTCGGAGCAAGTGCCAACGAACGCTGAAGCGGTTGAATGAGTGGCAAGATTTCTCATCGGAGACCGACGCTGAATGCTCTTAGCTCGGTATGATACGGTCGATGCAGGGCAGTCAAGAATTGAGGGCCTCTCCGTTGCATAATCGTGTTATCTGGGAGCTTTGGCTAGACTACAGAGGACCCCACAGTCACGAACAGTTCGTTCCCCCAATATAGAAATCTGTGGGTCGGCCCACTTTTTGTAATGTCGAGTGAGGGAGCGGAAGGAAAGCTGTGACTACATTGCATTGATTAGCCAATATACTTATCGTGTAGTATCTGAAGTTCTCAACTAGTGTTTATTGACGACAAGCGTGTGCATCAACTGTCGTAGACTGCGAATATCAAGTGAAAACTGGAACGAGCCGCCCACAGCGTACCTTGCGTCTTCAGGAACACACCACCTAGACAATCAGGAGACCAGAATTTACCCTTCGTTTATTGACCCTGTAAGCCAGGGGTAACATCCGGGCTAGCCGAGTGATGTAGAGGATGATAAGAAGATGTAGGATTGTTAAGTCGGGTTCTGCAGCCAAGCAAAGTCTAGTTCTGCAGTCGTTGGTGCGATGATAAGAACCTCTGCAAGCTACCGGAGAAGTGGAGACACACAAATTGCTCCGTTGCGGAGAAGCTGCTCGAACAGGAGAATTCGCTCGAACCGGCGAGCGAGTGGTGAGTGCGTCGATTAAGGACTGAATCTCTCTCGTTCTCAGGACATGCATGTGCTGTGCGTAAGAGAGTCAGATTTTGCTTCCCATTCACGCAAGTGCCTCTCACATTAAGTAGAGTACAGCATATTCAGATTGTGTGATTATGTCTGCTCAGATAAAGCACAAGAAAAAGAGAGAGAGAGAGAGAAGAGAGAGTTATATTTAAAACGGGAAAAGATCGGCAGGTGGAGTGGAGACCGCTCCGGCCCGCGCTCATTGAACTCTCCGAGTGTTGGCCCATCCACACTCAGAATTTCCCCGAACAATTTCCCTCCCCCACCTCCCCCTCCCCTTCCCTCCCCCTTATCACTGCAGAATCCCAGAGTGAGCCGTGCAAGGCTTGTACGGGCTTTCTGAAGCTTGTTGCGCCACTCGCGCCGCCACCAACTCGCATCCGTGCGCCATTCGTCAGTTTAATGGCGTGAAGTTGGCGTCCGGTTGTCGCTACCGATTAGCCCTAGCCAATGTTCGACTACGCCGGCGGACCTCCGTTCGTCCCCCGGTCGAGGAACTTGAGGAGACATAAACATAACCCCGGCTTGGATTAGCATTATCAATAATCTACAGACTCTCCAGGCACCAATTGACCCCTGATCTGACTGACTCGCTCGGGTTCTGATCCGGATCGGTGTTGTAGAATAGGCTGGAATGAACAGCGTCAAGCCACCCGCTGAAAATCGCCAAACTGAGGATCGGTCCTATAGAACCGTTGCTGTTAGAGTTGAATCAGACAAGCCGACACTCTTAAAGTATAGGAAAAGGCTTATCAATTCTTCTATAATCTTGGTTAGAAGCTCGTATCCCAAGCCAGAGTGGGCACTTGGGTTTCTGTCAAATGACATGAGTAGATTTGATGAATTTGCTGACAAGATATCCTGCAGCTACTGCATAGTTGCTGAAAGATGGAGCAATGTTTCCTCAGGGCCGACGGTGATCGGTCGACTCCGTTCTCCAATTCATCTCTTAGTCGGCCGAAAAGAGTATTCTCCGTCGGACTATGAGAGGGATGGAGTCATTGTCGTGAGGGTTGCATGAGCCTACAACCAGTTTTTGGAATGTTGCGCAGCACCAACTTCACCACACTCGTAGCTAAGCTAGATTGAACTTGTCTCTGCAACATATAAATAAGGGTCGAAAACCCTCCTTCATACTCCTTTTGAAAACCATCCAGCATCGAAACAGCTTCGAGCATCACCTCTGGTTCCCTCTTCTGCCCAACTCGCACTTCTATCCCCCCGTGAAATACTTTCATCGTTCACAATGAAGTTCACCACCATCCTCACTGGCTCCCTTCTCGCCAGCGCTGCCCTGGCTGCTCCTCTCACTGAGAAGCGTCGTGCTCGCGCCGAGGCTCGCGCCGAGGCTCGTCGTGCTACCGGCCTGAAGCGCAAGAGCAACCCTCCGTTGAGCCCTTCCACCAACAGCCCTCTCCAGCACGCCAACATTTCTCAGGTCGAATACAGCTCCAACTGGGCTGGTGCTGTTCTCATCGGCTCGGGCTACACCGAGGTTACCGGTGAATTTGTCGTTCCCGCGGTCTCTTCCCCCAGTGGAAGTGGAAGCTCTGGCTTTGGCGGTGGCTTCGGCGGTGGCTTCGGCGGTGGCTCTGGCGGTGGTACCGAGTACTGTGCCTCCGCCTGGGTTGGCATTGATGGTGATACCTGCGAGACCGCTATCCTTCAGACCGGCATCGACTTCTGCTACGAAGACGGCGAGACCTACTACGACGCCTGGTACGAATGGTACCCCGACTACGCCTATGACTTCGACAACATCGACATCTCCGAGGGTGATTCGATCAAGGTCACCGTCAAGGCCACCAGTGACACCACTGGCACCGCCACCGTTGAGAACGTCTCCACCGGCCAATCCGTCACTCACAGCTTCAGTGGCAACGTCGAGGGCAGCCTCTGCGAGTAAGTCATAAACAACACCTAACACTGTATCATCGTCCTGAACAGAAGACTGACCTATCATAAAGAACCAACGCGGAATGGATTGTCGAGGATTTCGAATCCGGTGACTCTCTGGTTGCTTTTGCTGACTTCGGCACCGTCACTTTCACTGGAGCGGAGGCTATCAGCAATGGCGAGACTGTCACTCCCTCCGGCGCCACCCTCATGGACATTGAGCAGGACGGCGAGGTTCTGACTTCCGTCAGCGTCTCTGGATCTACCGTGACGGTCACCTATGTCTAGATTTGCGTCCAACCCCGATTTTATTTCGGGCTCCCCAAAGGAGGTGAAGAGAGGCAGATGTGTGAAAAGCTATCCGGATAGTTTGATCTTGCTCCAAAGTTGATGTTTTGTGGTTTTCCATGCTTGTATTTACGTCGTCTGTTTTGCTCAAATAAACTTGCATGCACACTTCTCGATGTTTAGTAATGAGAACAGATCGGGCAAGGTATCGCTCTGAGTCTCAGCCGTGGGCGAGATTGACCCGTTGACAGCACCTGTCAGTCATACCTCTAAGTCATCTCGAGAACATGAACTCAACGAATCGTGGGATATGCTGTTCGCGAGACTTTGAAAAGCATCAATTCGTAGCGGACTGGAGGGGGCAAATAAGTGGTGAATACCTTCCAAGTTGGCAAAGTGATCCACTCGATCTGGCTGTCAAACGATTCTGTGCGTACTACAGTATAAGATAGTTTAAGGCGCCTTTCCGCTGCCGTCTCCGCCTTGCCCCACCTTTTCAGAACTCTCTTTTCAACGAACTCAACTTCCATCTTCCTCTTCGCCTCCATTCTCTCTATCTTCGTCTTTCTTCAATATCATGGAGAATTCCTCACCTCTTCTGATAGCAATCTTTTATCACCCCCGATCAAACTCTTTAAAGGCTCTGTCAACATTCACCATGTCTAGTGGATAGTCTGGCAAAGGTTACAGCTACACTGGTAGGCAGTGGAGAAATACAGAGCTTTCAACTAATAACCGTCAGGGCAACCACTCTTGCTCTCGTGACTACGGCACTGACTCTAACAACAACGGAGCTGGCCGTGGAAACGCCTACCACTACAGCACGGGAAGAAGTAATTGATGCTTCAGTCCGACTCAAAAAGTTGAGGGAAATCCAGAATTTGGGATGATGAGAAACAAATCTATGATTCACTGGGGGAGGTCTCGTGCCTTTCAATTGGTAGTAATGACATCCGAACGGGATACGTCAGGTTAGGTTGTTTATGCGTCGGCGCCGAGCGGGTGGTTCATTATGTGATGAGGGCGTGTAAGAATGTGAAATTGCCAGCTTCGCTGTGTGAGACTGTTTGTTATCTAGTATTTTCCCGGACTCGGAAGACTGTGGTAGTTCTTAGTACTGATCCAGTCTTTATGATGCATCTGCACTAAATTCAGCGTCTCGTCCAGTAAGTCTTGTACCTCTTCAAGTATAGTACGTCTTTACATACAGAAGTACACCAAACTTCTCCGTAAATCAGGGAATGTCGGATACACGGCCGGGATTAGCTCACGGACCCCCCTTCCGAACTTGGTTTGTGTAATGTACAGTACTAACTATGAGTTGTAGCCTCATCCCAACCTGTTGCAATTGCACGTGGAAGCCTGACAAAGTTGCGCAGCACGGGTATTGCTACGCCGGCGACACAGCAGAGGAGACATCTGAGGCATCTCGAAAAGAGGAAGCATTTTCTTATCCTGGATTCACATCTTTTATCCATTCACACATAGATTCTCCTATGCATCCTGTATTCCACCCACGTACAACTCTGACACACCACCCCGCCCGATCGAGAATCAATTGCTTTGAGCCAGTCAGCCACCTGCCGGTACAATGCGAAGGATCGGATCCCAAAATCAAGAAGATCCAAGCCCCTCACACCAAAGGCTGGTGCTTATTCCAACCTCATCTCCATTCAGAAGGATTTTTCCCTTTCGTCATGCTTTGGCTTGTCTTAAGAGTAGAGTTGACTAGCTGCCCAGAATTTCTCCTCGTCTAGAAATAGACTGGGAAAAGGCGTTCGGAACTCCGAATGCCGAAGGACTTCGTATCGGAGATTGAGCGCAGGCGAACCGGAGTTAAGAGACACCATCGCGTTGCAACCGGTCAGTCAGTTCAAATGGGCTGACGCATTGTAGGCAGCAGAGATACTTTAGGTACTATCTGACTTCCTCCGCTCCTCCCCAAGGCAATCAGTCATTCACCTGGTGATGAGATTTATCGAGGCCAAGGCTGAGTCTAGGACACTTTTGCGGGGAACGATAACTACGGCTAGTTCCCTTGAGTCTAGGTTGATACCAAAATTCCTTGTCTTCGATCTGTACGAATGATCCAGGCAAGCTATGTATCTTTTTCTATTCACTGGAAAGCTGTATTTGGTCGGGTACTAGGTACGGAGTAGATACTACCCCTCATGTGCATCCAGGGATTGACGCAGTTGACATCAAAAAAAGAAAAGTGGCTGCCTTGAACACTGTCTCGTGTTCAACAGCTTTTGAACCGCGTACGGCCACTGAATCAGTACCGATTATCTCTCATTGGGGACTCGAAACAAACGGCTCCACTTCGCAGGCATCTCCGCTCCCAATTAAGCTTCACGAGTCAACCGACATATTCACTTACTTCAGAACACATTATCGGCCTTCCTTTCTCCACCCCGCCCGAATCCCGGCTATATATGTACTGGCGGACATACCACCTCACTAAGATAAATGCCCGAATTATCGGCTACTCCTACTCTCTTTTCTTTCTTTCTTGCTAGTTGATCTATCGTCCAACATTCCCAGTCTGGGAGGCCATTGAACCATGGAGACTTACAAATCACATCCACCCGTCGCAATAGTCGCTGTCGCTGCTCTGTTCCTCTGGTCAGTCATCACTTATTTGAATCGTCGATGGAAGCGATATCGCATTGCCAGAACAAATCAATGCCGACCACCCCCTGCCCTCAGTGAATGGGACCCATTCTTTGGTCTGGATGGGATCTACCAGCGAATGCGCGAGGCCAAAGAACATAAATTTCTCCAGAGCAGCGTCGACCGCTTCGAGACCTACGGCAACACATTCCGGGCGCGGCGGCTGGCCACGACTGTGTTTGCGACACGAGAGCCTGAGAATGTGAAAACCATTCTCTCTCTCCGATTTAAGGACTATGGCCTGGGAAATCGGATTCAATCCTTTGGACCGCTCCTTGGCCATGGTATCTTCACAGCCGACGGCGAGCACTGGGTCCAATCGCGGGCCATGGTTCGCCCCAATTTTGTTAAGGAACAAGTCGCTCATCTCGATTCCTTCGAGGAGCTGATGAACGACCTGTTGGCCCTCATTCCAGCCGATGGAACTACTGTTGATCTCCAGGATCTATTCTTTGGATTCACCATCGACTCTGCCACCGATTTTCTGTTTGGGCACAGCGTACACAGTCTGAAAAAGCGACGGGCTGGGCTCCCTCAGAGCATAGAGGCAGAGAAGGACTTCGCAGAGGCTTTCAACTATTCTCAAGATGCTATTGCTACACGAGCACGCTTAGGCAAGCTTATGTACTTTTATCGAGACCCCAAAGCCGCTCGATGCGACCGTATCTGTCATGACCTGGTTGAGCAATTCGTCGAAAAAGCAGTGCGGGTACGTGAGCGGTACAGCAAAGAGGACAGCGACTCGCAGGAAAATCACAGATACTTATTCCTAGATGGCTTGGCACGACAGACTGGTGACAGGACGCGGATCAGGGACGAACTCCTCAACGTTCTTCTCGCAGGGAGAGATACGACCGCCTCTTTACTGAGCAACCTGTTCTTCATGCTTGCAAAACACCCTGAGGTTTGGAAAAAACTGCGTGACGAAGTCGCCACATTGGAAGGTCGCACGCCTACATATGAGCAGCTGCGCAATCTGACATATCTGAAGTACTGCCTGAACGAATGTAAGTCAAAAGCTGTTCCATTTATAATGCCATCCGTACTGATTCAATTAGCGCTTCGTCTTCATCCCGTCGTCCCTGCTAACGCTCGTTTTGCTCAAACTGATACCATCCTTCCTACCGGTGGTGGCCCGGATGGCAAATCCCCCATACTCGTGCCGAAGGGCAGTGTTGTTTCGTATTCCGTCTTCGCTATGCACCGACGTAAGGACTTTTTCGGTCCAGATGCGCAAGAGTTTCGCCCTGAGCGGTGGGCAGACCTACGCCCAGGCTGGGAATACCTCCCTTTCAACGGAGGGCCACGCATCTGCGTTGGTCAGCAGTATGCACTGACAGAGGCAGGCTACGTGACGACGCGTTTGGCACAGAAGTTCTCGACGCTGGAAAGCCGAGACCCAGGGCCTTGGGAGGAAAGCCTGACACTGACATGCTGTTCCAGGAATGGGACTAAGGTAGGACTGAGGTAGTGTGCACATCGACATTGCTTGTTGAGAGATCATCTGGTTTTTTTAAGGGCATTGGACATGAAGCTACGATGGCAAAGGTCGCGTCATCCTGCGGATTTTGCAGGCCTGGTATCAATATTGGTCTCCACTTGCCAATTTACATATCCTTTGGCATGATAAGCAATTTGCGGCAAAAAGGGCGGCAAATATCCGTGCTTTGCAAGGCTCAGTCACCCAGTCAATCTAGGACGCGGCCAATCATCCTTAGGGCAGTCACAATGGACATAGGGCCGTAATACTGGAAATCAATGTAGTCAGCTTGACACGAGACCATGCCCCTTCTGGGAAGGGAATAAGAAACTTGATAAGACTCTCCCAAGGAACATCCTTCTGTTATTTTCTCAAATCCAAGTAATTAAAGCCACCACAAGGTAACTGAAGACTGACTAAATGCAGTCATGGAGCTCTGCTCACAATGACCGACACGCCTATCAGAGACGGTATTTGCTTCGGCATTTCTCACCATCGTAAGACCTCTGAGCCTCGGTGTCTAAATGCCACTGTGTGCATCTGGATCGAAGTGGGCTGCCCAAAACACATTCCTTGCTTGATGCAGAGATGGCATGACCTCAAGGAGATTCAAAGCTTTCAGTGTTCTTGCTCATCAACAGCCTTTTCCGATATTTGGATACTTGGCTTCAACTGCGGCCCAGCCCGGGACGGCTACTGAATCAACAAGAACCGGGTTTAGCCCGCCAGGATCAAAATGGGGCAAACTGATGTCGTACAGGTCGGGCCCGAGAACAAAGAAAGAGAATGGTCGGACGGGAGAGACATGGTAAAGAATAAGAAGCTCGAAGAAAAGGGTCGAGACAAGAGGGGCATCGAGGCTGACCAAACCTATATTTAGCGAGCGCAGACCACAAGGACAACGACCAGCGCACAGGTTTTCCAAATGAGGTATGCAGTTGTAAGGTGATACTGTGACACAGCAGCATAACATAGCTTTCACCTTGTCTGGGACGCGCACAGCCTTAACCAACAGTGTAACTAGGAAATTCGGTAGGAGAAGTAGCATGATCGGACCTGATCAGCCAATCAAAGTTGCATTTCGGCGAGATATGTCCTTTCCGTCAAGCCGTCCTGCATCACAGAAGCTGCCTTGTCGGTGAATATAGCCACTTTTCTTATGAAACTTTGTTGCTTTGTTTTATTTTGTTTTGTGGACCCAAAAACAACACATTTGTTTCACGAGGTCTCGCCGGAATCATAATGGTGATCTGGCAGTCTCTACTCCGTAGCATTTGTTGTCCTCCCAAGACCAGACCTCTTATTGTCTTTTGAGGCTGGCTAGAACTGGATGTATCAGAAGTGGCGGTGAAAATAGGCAAGACTTAGCCGGAAGCTCCCTCGGGGCTTCTAGTGCTGGTGGATCTTCCCAGGTTTCTGCAAGTTCCCCGATTGGACTACTGCTGATCGCCTGAAGCCATTCCACTTGGCCCCAGATGGGTCAGACTGTAGTGGACCAGCCGATCGGGTCCAGATCCGTGGCTACCGCCGTTTAAATGGTAAAATCGAGAAGTACGGCGCCATTTTAGAGACAATGCAATGCCTCGGACCGCGTGGTAAGTTGAACTTTTCCAGAAACCGTTCGTGGCGGGTCTCTGGTAGGTACTAATAGGGACGAGGAACAGTAATTGAATCCCATGATCGGATGTTCCCTGGTGGTTGTGATTAATCCATTCGGCAATCATGGGCCCAAGGGCTAAACTGGAGCGCTGTTCTTAAATCAGGGTACAACATTCGTGTCTTCTTCTTCTTTTGTTGTATCCAGACATTGGTAAAGATTGAATTCCAGTGACATAAAGAAACAGGCTCAATTTGGGGTCAATGCAGGTAGATGCGACGCACGCCAGCTGGAGCAACATTCTACTGTGGCTGCATGTTTACAACAAGATTCAAATTGAAGCTAGCTTCCGCCAGGGATTCTGCCATTACCCGCCATCCATCTCGGGCATCGCAACTGAGATCCTCCACCGCTGACTGCACTGCATACCTCACAGGTTGCTAGGTATATTATTATAGCACCATTTACCAAAAAAAAAAAAAAAACCTCCTACCATCGTCACGACATATAAGCTTCAACTTGCTAATCATTCTTGTTTCACTTGCTGGGTGCCCACATAGCCTAACCAGCTCATCGGTGCCCAAAAACCGGGATCCGGCAGACTATCGAGGCGCGGAACGCCATCCGCGTGAGCGGATCGGAGAGTACATAAGCCAATCAGGCCAGAACCGTTGATCCCGACAGAGCGTCACAAACCTGCGAACATTCCATAACCACTATCTAAGTATCTCGCGTAGGTAACTTAAGTACGGAGTACTTGGAATTTATTTGCATGTTCCGTTCCGCCCTATCCCTAGTCCCCCGCCCTGGATTTGTATCAATGGACATGGAATCGATGCCCCGGCCGCGGCTGGGCTTCTCCCCAACCAATCGGGGACACGCCTGGTCCAACTGACAATAGGACTAACCCTTGAAGTAATGAAAAAGACAGTACTAGGTATCATACTAAATAGGTATCAAGGCAAGTAATACTTTACCGAAGGTACTATAGAAAGCCAGGGAACTACGGATGATCCACTAGTAATACTTTGAGCATCATCAACATCACTCATCCTATTTCTGACCCCTTTCTTATCAGCGGTCAAGGCAATCGCAGTAGCATGAAAGAAGGATGAGGAGGAGGAGGAGGAGGAGGAAAGGAGGGAAAAGAATAGAAAATCGATATTAATCAAGAAAAAAAAAATATATGAAAACAAAAGACTGCTTCCCTAAATCCGCTCTCAGATTCCATCGAAAATGAAGCCGGTCTTTGAATCAGGTTCTCATCTACTCATTGATCACTGGTCAGCTTTAGACCTCCTTTTCGGGGAATTCCTTGACACACTCCGACAGGGAATATGAGGAAAGCCAACGAACAAAGCTGAAGCCACAAGTCGGATGCCTCATTGATGGGCGGCCACATGGCACGGTCCGAATTTCAAACCTGGTCGAAAGACCCGCAGAGGAGGTCGGTGAAATTGATGATTAACCCAGATCAAACAAGGACGAAGGAATATAAGTATCCTTCGAGACCGTCCTGGAAGTATACTCCTCAATGACCACACATCTTTCGATCATTCGTCGCAACTGCGCACTCCCCGCCGTTTCTCTTCACCAAAGGTTAAGCGAAACTTACTTCTTCCTCGAATTTTCCTGCTTTCGACCGTCTCATCGACGAGAAGCTTAACAATGGACCGCAACGTTACCGCATCGAAAGCAGCAGCCAGCAACAACAAGCTGGACAAGTCATCCACACCCACTTTGGCTGATTACCAAGCACAATGGAACAAGATTCACAATGATACTATTCGTCAGATCAAGCAGGCTCAAGGTATGGAACCGCAAGTTCAACGTTTGTTTTGCACCAAGACTGACTTTGCATGTCCTTCAGAAGAAGAGAGAATCGCACGCCTTACGAGTCGAGCGCAATCGTCTTCTTCGAATTAGCTCTGTTGGTGACTTAGCAAGCTCTCAGCAGGCTGCTAGCTGCCTACTAGCTACTAAGTCGGTTTGCATTGGCCTTGTCTTTCCTCTCTCCTTTTCAGAACATTTCCGACTACAAGTATTTCATTGAGCTCTTTCGTTAGACTTAGCGCCTTCGCCGGATATACCATTGCCCTGTTTGTATCCTATTCCGGAGTTCTAAAATTACAGTTTATACTACAAAGCATTTGATTTCAGACGCAGAATCCTTTCCAATTTAAACACATATTCGATAGTCTACGTGATCATCAAGCATACTTCTGTAAGATAGCGGGGGAAGCATGGCCAGATACTTCATCTAACATAATTTACATTCAGGCCAACCCTAATCCAAACCGGACGAACATGCCGAGTCTACAGCTGACCAGAAAATGGCCTGTACGATGACGTCGGGGGTGTCAGTCCTCCGATCTTGTTGGAAATCGAACCGCCACCAGTAACTAGGCACGGTAGCTGGATTTTATTGTTGAAATCATGCAAGGTATGGCGGGGCAGACGGTTAATATGATACGACATCGCGATTTTCTTGACAAGGTAGGACTTAAAAGTGCTACTTCGTTCGACAAGCCAACAACAAGGTTAGTGGAGCTGGGGAACGAAAAGTGGTCGCGCCCAGCGGCCCCACACTGTAACTTTTTCACTTTTTGCGGATCGGACGATCGTGGTTCGGATCAGGTACAGTGCGACTTTTCAAGGTATTCGCAACCAGGTCATCGGGACCTCCAGTTGTTCTTTGAGTAGATATATATCTAGTTAGTATTTACAAGTTGTAAGCCACCAACCGTAGTACCCGTACATAATATTAGTCAGTAGTCTCTTTGACCACTCCTCAACTTCAGCCACTAGGGTGGAAGGGGATGTACTCCGATGTTTGATGTTGGGGACTCAGTCAAAATCTGACCTCACCACAAAAATCCCCCCCGGCCCCCCGGCCCCCCGGCTTTTCCGCCGCCGAAAGTACTTGCTGACCTCTCTGAGTCTGGTGGCTTAGCTTCATACCTTGTTGGGACAAGGGTCTGGCTCCCTGCTATTCACACATAACATATGATGTATACATTTTGTTGGTATTTGTTATTATTCCTTTTCTTTTCTTTTCTTTTCTTTTCTTTTCTTTTCTTTTCTTTTCTTTTCTTTTCTTTTCTTTTCTTTTCTTTTCTTTTCTTTTCTTTTCTTTTCTTTCCTTTTCCTTTCTCATTTTCCTCGTCTCTTCCAGTTTCTTCGTCCCATCAGTGCGAGTTTAGTAGACTCATCAGTTTTGACTCACTAGCCTAGTGGACTGATTCGATCCACCTTCAAGTTGTCAAACAAAGAAGAAGGTCGGATGCAGCAGCTTGACCGATCTTAAACATGCCTATTGTTGTCAACTTCCTTTCTTACCTTGGAGAATTTTTGCTGTGCCTTTGCGATGCGATAGCGAATCGGAGTCACTACAGGTAAATGTAGTCCGAGTTGTAGCAAATTGGTCACCGGGTACGTTGCATGCTATACTAGAAGAGCAAAGGTGCCGTGAAAATAGCAGCGGGTCTCGGTTCAAGTGCCATTGGGGTTACGATCGTCCTTTCCTTTGTCCTTGACCATCGCAGTTCATCCTGCGTCGAGCCTTATGCACGAGGCAGAGGCACTTTGGCAGCTGCATTATGGTTGGGGTTATCGCACTAATCTATGCACCCCTGTCCTCTTGATACTTTTTGTCAGTCGTAGTACTGCGAGTGGTGGTTTACAGTTAGGTCTATTTCTTTTCTCGGCTTGCTTATCCGTCACAACCCCATGTGTCACACACATGGGCGTACAGGGGATGCCCAGCCAGGGTTATCATCTTCGCAATTATTTACGATTGAGCTTTTATACAGCAGTTGCCGCAAATGGGACGGTTGACAGTGAGAGCTGGCCTGAGGGAGAGCTATGCGCTATGATAGGCATGACAATCTGGTGTGGATACTGAACTCTAGTCCTCCCTTCGGACCTCCTATTATAGCGCAACATGCCAAACGTCTCGACAATTTTTGATTTATAAAGCATCAAACCTACTTCCATTCATTGTAAGCTCCGGGGTCTCACCAGGCTCTTGAACGCCAACAACCTTAGCCTTCTCACCTATCATCCCCTCTACAACAGCTGGGTAACTTGGTGGACCTGGCATCTGGTTGCTGGCCGAAACAAGAATTAAATCCTCCGAATGCTTGAGACCAAAGAAGGTAGGCAAGAAACGATTCATGTCATCGTAATCCTTCTGTCATGGTTGCGTAATTACTTAATTCTAGTACATATAGCATATAAAGGCAGGCTAAAAGGAAGAAAAGAAAATAAACACGAGGAACTTTTAACACGGCACATTACGTCAATCGCGGCTTCGCACCTTGCATCCAACGACCATAGTCCGGTCCTCCGGAATGATCTAAACAAGAGCATGGCCAGTATTCTGCGCACGACGAGCGGTACCCACACCATCAACACCGAGTTCCTGGTTCTCACCCAGCCACGGCTTGGCCGACTCGCCCAGTTTGCTCTCTTTAATGAAATAGACAAAGAGACCGACCACAATCAGCACAAAAGCGATCGGGTACAGGAAGTGAACGGTGTAGTGAAAGACCTGAATACCGATGATCAAGCCCCAGAAGTTCATCGTCAACATGGAAATGTTGAAGAACGCGGCCGACGAAATACGGAACATGATCGGAGCTAACGTGTAGAAGATGAACAGAACGATGGTGTAGCCGGCGATATAACCTCCAACCTTGCCATTCCACGTGGCACTGTGGAAAGAGCTCCGGTCAAAGATGGCGCACTGAACGCCGTTGATCCACATACCCCAGAAACCCATCTGGCCGATCACTTCGTACATGGGACGCTTCGAGACCATGAATTCCTCAAATAAATTGCTGAAAGCGTAAATAGTGGACGCAAGCAAAGCAAACAGATCTCCTTTAACTTTGTTCGATGCGGCATAATCAGCTCCACGAAGGTAATCCGATGCGATGAGGAGACCGAGACCGCCGCAAGCTAGGAAAATCCCCAAATACTGTGTGAAGTGATACCGCACACGCAGGAAGGTGAACGAGACGATCACAATCACGACGATGGTCCAGAAACTGAAAAGCTCGGCACTCAGCAGCGAAGTGTAGCGGTAGGCCAGCACCATAAAGTAGTTGCCCTCAACATCGAGGAAGGATAGAATGAAGTACTTCCAGCAATCGGTGTACAGCATCCGAAACCATTTCTTGAAGCCGTACTTGTAAATGGTAATGCTTGTGTACACCAGGTTGAGGAGCACGTAGTTCCATAGAGTCTGAAACGCGGGGATACTGGTTCCTTCATTGGACAGAAGACTGGAAAAGGTGGAGGAGCTGATGTTTGCGAGCGCAATGATCTGACTGAACAGAACAATTTTATTAGAAATAGATTCTTATCCAAGGAATTCAAGGTCAGCCTTACCCTAGCAAGATGAGTAACCAGAAATCTCGAGTGCGCATATAACGGAAAAGTTGTCGAAATCGTCCCTCCTGCGGGTCCTGCTGCTGTTCCTCTGCCTGGCCCTGCGAGCCCGTCGCTGGCGACTCAGTCACTGAGTGAAGCTGTTCATTTTTCTCTTCCAGCGGAGTTGTGCGCTGGGGCTGGACCTCGGCAGTCACCGGTGTCTTCTCACTCCCGTAGAAGGTCGACATGACGATGGTGCGACACAAACAAAATGGAAGGGCGATGGGCGAAAATTATTGGTATTAAAGTCTATGACAAAAGCGGAAACCAGAAAAAAACACTCGTTTAATAGGAAAAGCAAGAGCTTTTCGCCAGCAAAAGTGAGCGCAAAGCTCCGAAGTCGCTCACTGCCTGAACCAAAGGGCGCAAAGAAGGAAAAGAAATAAAATGTTCAAGCAGCGCCGGCGCTTGAGGGATTTTATAGCAGCGTGGGTTCTAGACTCTGGGCTCGCGAAAAAAACCAGGTTGACCTGGTCTGGACGGACTGCTACCTGAGAAAAAACCTTATCTAATCGGGGTGCGGAGGGGCAAACCTGCACCTATGATGACATGCGATAACATATTCTTCTAACCTGTAGGAGCTTAGTGTTAGATTTAGTCCACAGAGTAGTATTTCAAGTTCCGTTCCAACATCAAACTCCGTAGTCATAAGATCCAGGTGTAAGTGGCTGATAATGATCACTATCTAATTGCCCAACACTCTCTACAGACTAGTTTCAAGAAATCGCTACTGAATTTCTCATGATGCAATATCAGTTTCCCTGGCAGTCTCTTTCTCAGTCCTGACTTGGAAGTACATGTACAGTACCAAGTACCACACTAAGTACTTTTACAGTTTACACAGTACGAGGTACCTCGGGGATTTCCACACGAAGTGGGAATGCCACGAGCCCCGACTGGACGGCAACTAAAGTCGCCCCCGCCTAAGTCTGGCCACTGAGCCAGTAGCCTGATTGCTGTTGGTCATGCTTTCAAACCTTTTTCCAAGCTTCTTTCCAGGCTTGTGTAGTTAGTGTGATATACTTGAATGATAAAGAAAAGCCCGCAGCAGCCTGACCATCCACAGTGAGACTATACACGATTTGGCTGTATGTAGCTTTTGTTTGTGGAAAAATTCCGCAGAGGCTCGAGTAAAGGTCTTCGCATTGGACTTGTAGGCAAAAGTCTTTTACGCATATGCTCTGTGTCAGTACTACCTCCAATCAAACCGATCATGAACTCGCCTGAGAAGTCGCCCGTGGCTCAATAAGAGCTGCCGAACTCGTTCTCATCTACAAGAAATGTCCTTAATGCAGTTTAGCGGAATTCTTTCCCAGGATGACCGGTGCATTATGCTTGTATCTCAAACCTGAAGCCGTATAGGAGTGAATTGGAAGCACTGCTTTCTGCCTTGTTCAAAACCAGGTAGAGACCACATGCTCCCTGAACCAGGGAAAATGATCAAGGGCAGAGATGCCTCAAAGGCGGAAAATGGTACCATCCTGCAGTCCGCGAAGAGGTGCACTAAATTCCCTTATTTGGCACGACTGGCGTGAATCTGCCTTCTACATCCTTAGCTGGACATACAGCCAAGCAAAAAGACTTCATGAGGAGAGTTGAACGTTTAAGCTGGGGCTGAATGAGTGCAAGTGGTAATCGAGGGATGAGAGGGTGGGAGAACTATGTGGAGTCCTTGAGTCAAAGATCAACAATACGAAGCATCTACATAGGGTGCATTTGTTAACTATAGGATTGGCGACTGTAGACCTGACGATTTGTGAATCATATCACAAACCATGCATATATGATTTCCTCAAGGAAGTAAAACAATCAAGTCAAAGCGAGTGACTGGCTAGTATGCAAGGTTCAACAAACAAATTGCAGCTCGTGGCTTAGCTTACTATACTCTTGGTGGATATGAAATGCTTTTTAGGATGAGGCCCGGAGACGAGTGCCAGAAAATTGTATCTTATTTAAAATTTACAAGGGTAAGTATCGCATCCTCGATGGTCTAACGGTCATGATTTCCGCTTGTCAATCCCGGTGGGAACAAGCGCGGGAGACCTGGGTTCGACTCCCAGTCGGGGAGCTTCTTTTTGGTCTTCACATCTATCATGTTAAGTCGATCGAACTAACTACAGTCGTTTATTTTATCCATTTGGGACCCAGCTAATCCTCTCTTTAGTATGCAGTGCTGCTTGGACTCGGTCTCTCACCATGATTTATTCACTCAGAGACGCCTTTAACACTTTTCATCACATTACCGCACACGGCTCGTTATAGTTACTTTATTCCCCTTAGTCAACCTTATTCGCCTTACTAAAGCCTACAATGTTGAGCCTCTCCAATGTTTTCGTCGTTGACGTGTGGTCTGCGCAATTGAGGGATAGTCTTTCTCTTATGTAGTTAACGACAATCTCTCACAGCCTTCCGATGGTGGAATGAGATTTACGCAGGGAGGATAAGCAGGCAGATACTTCATTACTAAAACCGAACTAAAGTAAGCAATGAGATCGTGTCCTCGGTCCCAGAGATTCATTTTTCGATATTGCAAAGCAGTGAAGCTCTTTGACTCAGAGCTTAACTAGTGCAGAGAAAATAAAAGATAGCAGTTTGACTTATTTAAATCATTCATTCACATTACGTTTAATCGTCTATGTCTACTTTATGGTCTCGTCCATCTCACTACACCGTACGCCTGCAGAATGAGTGGGTGTCTCAGTAACGGATACAGGGAAAAGCTTCATGCCGGAACATGATTCATTTGGCTTGTCGGGTGATATTCCGAAAAGCTTTCAGGCCAGAGAAACATTTTATCCTCCTTCGAAGGAGTAGCAGCCACGAATTGAGGGATCTGTGACATATTAGCATAAACAAGCGCCATGAAATATGGCCCACCAAATCCATAATCCAGACTCACCGCTTGCTTGCTAGAGATGCGTCGCCACATATTTGCACGAGGATTGAACCGGGCGGGTTTACCCACGCCACCGGTTCTTTGCTGATCCTCCCTCATGATGACTTCGACTTCCCTCTTAACATCGGCAAAGGAGTCGAAGCCGATATAAGGAATCTTGTTCTCGATACAGTATTCCTCTAGGCGTAAGCCCCTACGGGCGAAGAGCACATCTGCTTCCCGCGCAGCTGGAAGATCAGAGACACCGTCTCCGATAAAGATGATGAGTGGAATTTCTCCATCCAACGCACTCTCTGCGGCTAGAGCGCGACCCTCTTTTACCGAAAGCGCTTTGTCATGGCCGAGTTCGTTATCGTGCCGCCAGATGGGCTTCCATTCCGACCCATCGGATCTGATATCAGCGTCGTTGGCAACAATCTGAATACGGGAAGCCTATGCAAATACCTATCAGTACTGAGAAGGTACCACGGTACTACACCCGAATGACAGCATACCTCTTGCTCTCCGAGGAAGGTGTCCAGCACTTTGCGGAGAATTGGCTTAAGACCTGCACTGATAACGTTGAAATCGATGTTGTTGGCCATGCAAAGTCGATGGAATTCTTGGAACCCAGGGTCGATCTCTAGCTCTCTCTGCATGATCTGAAACCCATCTTCAAAAGGGACTCGAAGGGAACCCCACATCTCCTCCGAGACATCTCGGAATGAGCGCTCGCCTGACTTGATCTGTTCGTCGAGCAGCCGGCGGCGCTCCTCCCCGCAACCTAGGTTATCGAACAGGACATGGCCCGTGTCTTGCATGAAAATGGTGCCATCAAAATCTATAGAGGGCGGGAATATTAGCGCTGGGGTAGGGATGATCCGCAGGGGCACTATCCTATACTTACCGGAAAAGCAAACGATTTTTCTGGTTGTGGTCGACATTGTGGCCTGGTTAGAGCGAGGTTAAAATGGTCTGACAAAAGCGTGATGTATGATTCTAGGCACTTTTCACCCCGGCGATGGGTGCAGTGAAATACCTTTCCCACGCTGGGGAGGGCGAGCCGTGGCGACGCAAAACCGGAATGGTTTTCAATGACGTACCAGCGGAACTATCCTCTCTCAGCAGGGGGCTTCGGCTATTGTGACTAACCAACGAACGTATGAAGAAAAGAGGGGGAAGTGATTAGTTAATCGTGCTGAAGAGAGTGAGGGGGACCCATCGTCCCCGGGGGGTAGAAGTGGAGACCAAAGGGACCTGACCGACTGCCCACATCGAAGGATGGCGATTTCAGCCATTGTTGTTGGCTGTTAAAGACTGGACCCGATCGGCATCCCGAGGGGCTGGAAGTTGTGGGAAAAGGGAAAATCCTGAGTATTGGGTAAAAAGGCCCCTTCATCTGCACTCTGGTTAACGTCATCATCGTCTTACTTAAGCGAGGTAACAAGAAAAGGGAAGTGACATGACATAACCCATTCGCTCATACCTTTAAATTCCACTTTGCTGAGCTGTTATTGTTGTTGTTGCTGAACGGTCGAGTCCTTCCTCATCCGGCTGCATACACGAACAGCCATGGAGGAATGGACAGAGACGGAAAACCACTTATTTCCATTGATTTCAGCCCGCAAATTCTTGATGAGTCTCATTTTCAGCCACGGTATGTACAGGGTTCACGGTGATTGGTTTCTCGCCAAGTGGAAAAGATAAAGATGTGTGGAAGAATTGAATCTAGGCCGGCTACCGCCCGGCAGCAGTCTCACGGCTGGTTCCGAATGAACATTTTCCGCCCCACCGATGATGACATTCCCCATTCTCTGTTTTCCACAGCTCACCCTCGCGTTCTTCTTTGCATCACAACGTTTATCCATTAACCCCTCACATTCACCACTCATCTCTCATCTCATGCCCCATACCGGCCCTGGTAGTTATCGATCACAGCGGCTGGTGGTTTGGCGCCTGATAGCGCTCTGATGCCTTCTTGGTTGTGCGCATCACAGTGCATGGTCACTGTATCAGTGTATACTCCGAAAGCATATGAAACTCTGCAACCCATCGTTCTAACATTGCTCCACATCATCTGCAGTCACTGATCTCGTCTATCCAGGAACTCCGTGCGATACAGTTATAGGTGAAATAGAGTACAACAATGACTGATGACACGGTTACCCGACTCTCCTACTCAGGGATTGACATGAAAACAGACCAATGCGGAAATCAGACTGAGTCCAGATCACAGAGCATCTCCTCTGGAAATGAGACATCGAAGATCTCGTCAATTGGTCTGTCAGCCTGCTAGTTGCTACCTAGCAGAAAATCCGCATTTACAGCAGGTATTTGTGCTGCTTGGAGAGTGCGGCAAATGATGAATGCTTTCTCTCGTAGCCTACCTAAAGCACTCCATTTGGGCTCCGTATGTGGCCTGGAAGGAATTTCGGTCATACTAGACGACTTGTTCACCAGCTCTCAGGCTCGATCTGCATCAGGTAACTCCGGACGGATGCAGAGATGCCAGAGAGTATAAGTTAACAAGTGATTTTGAGGATACGTTGTGAAATGCCAACGGTAGTTGCTCGAAGGCTCGTCCTCTTTTAAGGCTTTTCCCAGAGACAACGTGTCACGCCCCAATGTGAATGTTTTCTGCCGCATTGAGGCAGTACAAAAGCGCGTCAGCCTCACATCAAAGAGTATGAGAGCCAACCCCTCCCCCTTTTCGGGACCCCCTTGTATGGTGATGAAGCCGACTCTTTTACTGACATGTAAAACAGCCTGCGAGAACCGCCAAAGATGATATGATTTTGCCCGGTGGGTACAAACTTCCCGAAGACTCTGTCGTTGTGGGGGCATTGCACCACCTGCACAATAACTCAAATGTTTGGGACAATCCTGCGCGCTTTGACCCGGACCGTTGGGATACAGAGGTCGTTAAAAACCGTCACAAGACCGCTTATATTCCTTTCGCGACGGGTCCGCGGATGTACATTGGCTTCAACTATGCGCTTCAAGAGGTCAAGGTCTTCCTGCCTGAGTTAATTTATCGATACAAGTTCACCCGGGAAGGAGATTCAACTCAACTCATCCGAGCAAACAGTCTCTACGTGAGGGCCGAACGGCGGGTGAAATGGCCTCCAAAGACGGATTTCAGGCCGACGGCTTCATTAGAGTTAGTCGGATGATTCTTGACTCTTACGTTCTTGTACATAATGAGCTTTTTGAGAAACCCTAACCCTTGATATTCCTCAACTTGTGCCCTTTTTCAGTGATGGACCAAATCCCATGCACTAGTTCGGTCTGCAGTAGCCAGCTCTCCTTCGTCACTAAGCAGCCATTGAAGTCAGGTCCATGGAACGCAATTATAGGTCAGCATGTAAACAAGTTTAAGAAGAGAAAGAGGCATTAGACGGTCATTTCGGCATGCCCACAAGTTCTCCCGTCTATTCCCTTTTTGTCAGTTCGACGCCTCGCTTCTTCGTGGTCTACTGGGCGTAAGAGTGAGCCATCAACATGTTGTTACCCCATGTATTCTTGTTTGTATAGCGTACTTCAGGTTCTAACAAGAATGAGTTATGTATGGGCAATGGTACAAACAGTACTATTTTTGCAGAAGAGATTATCCATGATATTATATTCATTTCATTTGACCTTACGCCCGCCCGCGTAGCAGTAGTTGCATGCTGAGCCTAGCATACTACCTTTACATAGCTATGCTCATATATACAGACACATAAATTATATCGATCTAGTAGTTAAGCTACAGACATATTATGGCTGTTCCAAAGCTAAACACTTTATACACAAATATGAACAGAATTTTCCTATCCGAGAATCTGTATGAAATAGCTGTACGATATATGGGCCATCCTAGCATCACCAAAAAACTAGCTATATACATAATAGATATTCGATTCTAGATTAGTTATAGCCTAAATAAGTCTTTTATCGAACTTTAGCGGTTTTGTGAATAATACTACTATAAACTGTTCCCCTACTTATATGTGACCTAGACATATTCAATTATTTAAGACCACAGCTAGAAGTCTTATGGCAGTATCTAATATAGGCTCTCGATATGATTTTGATCAAGAATCATTCATCCTCCGATACCAGGATAAATTGGTCTAGACAAGTTATCAAAGCATATCAAGGAACAACCACACAAGCCCCTAGCCAATAAGAGACTAAGAGCCCTATGTTAGAATCGAACCGGATGGATGAGTTGCTGTGTGCGAGGGCTTAACTGCTCGGCCAACCACCCGTTGGAGTGAAAGGCAGTTGAATTCCTTTATGATGTGTTCGCTTGCAGAGTATTTGTACTTCAATTATATAGCTGCAGAGTTATGATACAATAGAAGCAACAGCGTCTGAAGCCCCACAGGAAATAACCTGTCCATGTTCGCAACTGGTAATTGGAACATCAATCGGTAGAAAGGGACGAGTTTCATCTCTATCATCTGAGTGTGGGTGGATTTACCGGCCTTTCCATCTTTCTTTCGTCAGTCAACCGATCATCTTCCAGACCAACCAACCCTACTACGGAAGCTACAAGATCATCTTAAAAGCAGGGTCTCGATCATCATGACATTCCGCGTATTGCGCATACTTGCCTTGTGCCTTGTCACGGTTGATTTTGGCACAGTATAAGACGTTAATCAAAATCCTGCAACTCCACATCAGTTCCGGGTATTATCCTTCAGGGGTAAGGACAACCGCTCAACTCACATCAGCCATGCGAATACCAAGAGTCCCATGATCATTGTGTGCCCTCGGTGATATTGAGGCTTGTCCTGGTCGGGATAATTGAAAGCTGGTTTGTAACTTGTGAGGATTCCAGCTATTACTGCCATTACAACAGAAGAGAGACTCACTAGCCAGGAGTCCTCCGCAATTTGCAATAGTGAGTTGCATGGCAGATGTAGTGGCGCGCTTGTAATGTCCTGCAGAGTTGTTTGAGTTCCAGACCAAGATGCATGGAACGGAACTATATAGCCCAGTCGCCATAAGACAAGTCATTGCATACTTGGCTGATGATGAGTGAATATTTGCAATCGCGCCATATCCCGCTATGGCAATCGGTAATGTAAACAGCATCACCACTCCACGCAGCTGTAATCTGTCCGATACGACAGCCACAACCACTAAGTAAAATTTAGCTTTGCAATGAACATTGAAAGACTGATTGCTTCAAGATCTTACCGGTCACAACCGTGGCGACAGCATATGGTGTAACGGACCAGAGTTGTATCTGATTCGGATCTCGGGCAAAACCACTCTCTTCGATGATCGTCGGAAGCTGATCATTGCAAGTAAGATTTTGTTATAGGAGGGGAGAGGAGAGAAGCGAGATTCAAATCACTTACAAACAGTCCGAATGAGTACAGACCTGACAAAATTGAGAAGTAGGCTGTAGCAGACATCCACATTCGCGGGTCTAGAAGCCCTCGTCGCACTTCAATCCATTTGAGTTTCTCCCTCTCGTCCTCCGGCGTTCTAACCTCCAGGATAGTTCCGTCCAGGTGAGCAGATTTCTTGGCCTACAACCGTGTAAGGTAGCTATGACTTACGCATGCTCGACCGAAGGGGTGTCAAGCATTACTCTTTCAAGAGCATATAGTCGCTCTTCTGGAGTCAGGAAATATGCCGTTTCCAGACTGTTTGGTAGCAAGAAATAGTTCAGCACGCCAACAGAAGATGTCTGTAATGTGTCAAACAAACTAGCAGCTCTTCTCTGTGCATCCTAAGATGAGCCTTACCAATAAGCCCTCGATGATCATGATCCAACGCCATCCTTCAAGCCCTCCTCTGTGACCAATCTGCGCTAGTCCACGTGCCAAGAGACCTTCAGCGTGTTAGTGAATATATCTGCATATCTCCAATAGAGGATCAAAGGTCTTCCATCTGAGCTTCTCAGAGATATTGCTCTCTTACCTCCAAAAGCTCCTGACAGAGAGGCCGCAGTATAGAATATCCCGATGCGCAGGGCCAAATCATTTCGTCTGTAAAAGAAGGACAGGTACAAGACCTCCAAGAGTCGGAAACAGTGAGCGTGCGCAAAAGAGCGAGGGTTTTGTTCAGAACCCACAATTCCAGGAAGCAATCCGCCTTCGGCGATTCCTAAGAGGGCTCGGACAACGACGAAGCCAGCAAAGTTACGCACAAAGCCTAAGCACATCGTAAATATGCCCCACATCATCGTCAGAAACGGTAACCAGATCTGAGGCGAGGCCTTTCTGATGACCAGGTTACTTGGTAGCTCGCTGTTCGACATTTCATGCATGGCACGTGGTTTCATCAGTATCAGAGACAGAAAGAGCCCGGGTGAAAGAAAGGGGGTTCGCGAAATTTGGTGCATGTGTTCTGACCCACCTGCAGATATACATGATGTAAAATACCGTGAGGCCTATATCATACTGATGACCGGTGATGTTGATGTCGTCCTCCAAACCAAGGATCTTGGCATTCCCTACATTGGTTCGATCGAGAAAAGAGCAGAGGAAAAGGCCGGATAAAGCTGGGAGGAGTCTGAGGAATCGTCAGTGATCGAATGCAGTGCTCATGATAAAAGAAGACGTCTATCTACCTGCAGTCCATTTTGAACAAGAGATTTCGTACCCATCGCTGATGGTCTTCATCATCGTGGCCTTCTCCCACGCAGCGTTCCTGCTTGACGGATTCGTGGCCTTTGCTTTGCGACTGAAAAGGGTCCATATTCTGCATATTTGAGGGTGCTCGATCCAGCGACTATGGTGCGTGAAGCTTGACAATAGCAGCGAGGCCCAGAATAGTAGCGAGCAAAGAGAGAATAGGGGATAAATCCAGAGAGGAAGGAATGAATTTATCATGTAAGCCGACAGTTAGCGAGGAAGGAAGGACCTACTACTAGGGGAACACTTATGGAGAGCAGCGCTCCGTAGTTTTCTCCTTCTAAACACGATATGCATCTCTCTCAGCGGGATTAACATCATGGATATATATGCATATCTGAACATGAAGGGGACAACACCTTGCCCCGCACTTTCTTTCTGCCCGGATTGGCTGTAAAGAGTGACATTGAGCCGTGGCGTTTTATCCTAGCTCCAATGCGTTTCCGCGTTCGGGCATTGTCTATACTGGAGCAGTTCTTATGTATGCATCCCAGATGTATGTACAGTACAATACACTGCTTTTGTGACAGATGAATTTCCATGTCTCTTCGTGCTGACGCGTTCTTACGTGCCGGCTCCGTCGCAACAGAATGGCCTGAGGCTGGATGCGAATCACCCCATGATTCCCAGATGCTCCGCAACAGCAAAGGTCGCTCCGGTCTTACTTTTCAATTCTTCAAGTTTCACCCCCGGAGCAAGTTATGTGAGGAGAAGTTCCCCTTTAGTCCGGTCCACTTGGAACACGCACTAAGCACATATATCAGCTACCTGGGGCTTCAGGACTGTAAGTAGAGTTATGCACTTACCAGGTCCGTGATAATCGTACTGACACAATTCGCCCCTGTGAGGGGAAGGCTGCAATGAGAGACAACCTTGTGTGATCCGTCCCGTGGCCACTACTATCTTGGTCTGATCCGGGTTGGACATCAAATCCATGGCCCCTCCCATGCCCTTGAGCACTTTACCGCGGCTCATATAGTTTGTTAGATCTCCATTGGCGCTAAGTTGTAAGGCTTTTTGAAAAGAAAGTCAGTCGAAGATAGTCGCCAACTTTGGAAGAGGGTAATTGACACGTACTCCTAAAATGGAGACATCCACATGACCCGCACGGATCATTCCGAACGACTCAGTACTGTCAAAAGTCGCAGCTCCTGGAACAAGCGTGACTGTCTCTTTTCCAGCATTGATGATATCCCTAAGAAATGATCAATGAGGTATTCAAATATGACTACGATATTCCCGAATCTGACCACTTACGGATCCACTTCTTCCTCTGTAGAGTAGGGGTCCTGGTGCGAGAAATTAGTTTGTTTGCCCAAAGTCATGGAGGCACAGGTGATTTAATTCTCTCACCACGCCCAGTATACCGTTTTCGGATTGCACCCAGACTTTCACTTCGGGCGGTAGAAACGAGGGCGCAAGGGTCGGAATTCCTGCAAGGATATGGAACACATTGGCAGTCGAATGAAGTTGCGCAACCTACCAACTCCCAGGTTCACGTAGTAGCAGTGCTTGAGTTCCTTGGCGGATCTCTTAGCAATGCGATTTCTTTTAGTCATTGCCATATCCTTGACTGCTCTGACGGCGCTTTCATCTGTGTCAGATCTGAGCTTTTTTATTTCTATATGCTTGTCTTTGATTGCGGGAACAATCCGGTCGACGAAAATTCCCGGAAGATCGACGTCATTGGAGTCGATTGACCCAACCGGGACGATATCCAGCTTCAACTACCGTGAGTGTGGCTGCTTTCGCCATGATCGGGCTGAAAACCTTTGTAGTATAGCTAGGACAGGAATTAATGTTCAGCATATTAAGTATACGCGGCAATAGTCATGCCTCAGTGGGTGGTTCTTACCGAAACACACAGCTCCCTGCTTCGTCAGCCTTCCATGCCCTAAGATTTGCCACATCTCCATTCAGTGCAGTCTCAATCAAGTATGTCTTGCCATTGAACATCCTGGTTTCGCGTGGTGCACCATGCTCGAGCACTTATCCATGCGCATCCAGCCGAATGGGTATCGCCCCATCTTGTAGCAAAGTGTCTATTCAATACAAGTCAATCAACATCATGGGGTTGCCATTGCTTCTTCGTAGCGCATTATTAGAGAAACAGAGGTGCAGAGATACATACGTGCACCTGTAGGGGTGAAAAAGGCTGGAATTCCAGCGCCACCAGCGCGCAGACGCTCAGCCAGTGTTCCTTGCGGTGTGAGCTCGATCGGAATCTCGCCGGAGAGATATTTCTTCTCTAGTGCCTTACTGTTACCGATATAAGAGCGAACAAGCCGGTTCACTTGTACAGCCTGTCTCAGGGTTAAAAGCCCGCCTTTCCCAGCAGCACCTGCGTTATTGGAGACCGCAGTCAGCGAATGTAACTTGTCCACACCTCGACAATGAATAGCCGTTATCAGGGTCTCTAATTGAACAATCAGTCACTCAGTTTTCATTGCTAAAAACATAGTACAACAGTCATTACCTGCAACACCACAAAGTCCAGATCTTGAACTGAGAATAGTCGAACCGCTTTTCAAGTCGGCCACTGCCTCGTCTGCATCTATGAACAATTTTGAATCCCCACGATCAATCCTGGGACTCGCGGGTAGATACCATTCCTGGTCGTTGAATGACTAGCGGAAGTCAAACCCCTACTACCTGAATTTGACCGGGGAGTGGCTCGTCCCAGCTGCAGAGGCAGCTGCAGGCGGGAGGCAAGAACTGTCCTCCGCAACAATGCCAATGACGATAGTCTAAGAGTTGCCATGTGTAATATTTTCTTTCCATTACCCTGATATTTAACAGATGATATCACCCTCGAATAGACAAAAGGAGACGGGAAGACGTTGGTCCTCAATGGACCCGGTAGGGAAGCATGGTCCGGCACTCGGGGCTACTTCTGGACGCCGACGGGTGGATCTTGCCCAATGATGTAATCGACCGATAGAGATAATCAAACTGGTAGGCACGGTACATCTCATTGTAGCGACTGCACGCAGAGCAAATATGCAGATTCTTGATGATTAAATATTGCTGAAGTCGGTCGAAATGCCGTTTCCAAACTCAATCCATTCCAAATGCATCAGGTCATCCATAGAAACCCCGGGGACACAGGCTCCAAAGGCTGTGTCCACTCGGTTGACGGCGTCGATGATTTGGTTGTCAGACATAGCAGAGAATGGGATTGGTTCGGACCAAATCGCAGGAGGAAAAGAGGATGGATTCTGTGTTCTGATGATAGAATCGTATGAGTTTACTGCTGTTGACGGCTGTGAACTCCCGTCCTGTATCAATGGTTGTGTTTCAGCGGTTTCCCTTGGCTGCAAGCTCGGAGGAGAGCGCCGAACAAGCTCTCGCAAGAATCTTCCATAAAGTACTGAAGCACCTTTCCTGTGGTGCGGGGTAGCCCCTATCCTTTCTAGCACCGCAGCGGTCTCTTCGACCAAATTCCGCACGCTAGGGGCCAGGCTAGATTTGCTCTCTGCCGCCATTGCACTCAAACTCAAGGCCGAGCATGCCGCGAACGAGATCATGATCACTGTGTTGTTCGGCATTGACTTCAATTGCGACTCGCCCTGTATGGCCGCCCTCATGACGTTCAAGGCGGATGAGAGGCTGGCTGCACGAAAGAACCGTTTCACTTCAAGAGGCGCTGTAGGATGATTGATTACGCCACCATAGGTCGATAACTGGGTATGTATAACCAGAATTTCAACATAGGGCGGAAGAGACCGTGCTTAGTATACTGTTAGCAGTTCCACCTTTTGAGGAGGAATGATAGCAGGTACATACATTGACCTTCCCCGAGAGCCGGTGTCCAGGCTTCATACCATTGCTCATAGAAATTTTCAATGAGCTCTTTGATCCTGCAGGAACAAGGAAATAGTCAGCAAGATGTGCCAAAACCCATTCCGTGTACACACAGTTGAGCAGCCTTAAAGCCAGTGTCCGTAGATTTATCACAATCGGCTTTTATTCTTTGGAAAAGCCCATCCTGGTGAACGAAGTGATTTTGTCAGGAGTCTGTCTTGGAGCCTTGAATGAAACGGACAGGAGGAATAGGGAACTCACCAAGTTTCTGCGAAGAACGGCCATAGAATTCATTGGACCATCGCGAGAGTCGGCGATATCAGAAAGATACCACTTGTCACAGTTGTCTATAAGAGCAGTGGGAGGCACCGTAGAATTTCTTCCACGAGCGAGGCACACACTACGAGATTTACTTAACCTGCTGCAGGACAGACAACTTCTTGTAACAGAGATCGAATAAGCAAAGGCTTACCCTCGTTCGAGTACAAATAGTGCGATCCACGCCCTCTCACGTCGTCGTAGGAGCTTCCGACCCCATACTGAGTCTGGATCCACGTCACCAAAACCGTCCATTTGCAGTGCTCTCTTCGCATCGATACAATCAGCCTTGGCAATACGGTTTAAAAGACCGCTTTCGAAAGTCGCCGAGGGAAGTACGACCTTGTTCAAAGATAGATCCAATGCGATAGTCAAAGCCATTGCAATATAGATGCAGGTGTCATCATCTCCTAGGCGGTTTCCAGTTTCCATCCACGGCACATTCACCATGAATGCAAGGACTATCTCGACTGACCGATGGCGCTGGGTGATGACGTTGTGAGCTAGCAATGCACGATGTCTGGATAATCTCTTCGATAGTGCCGCTGCTGAAGGCAAGAACAAAGCCGCCGCAGCTATTATCGAAGTGAATAGAAATGCCGACTGCGAACGGACAAACGATACGTTATGGACCAGAGGATCAAGTCCCCATCGAGTGTGAGCGAGGTTGCAATAGAAACTGGACGGTGTCAGCGAATATGGCGGCTGAAGCACATTTGAAATTGTCTTCGGACATACTGGGAGAAAAGAGACTCTGCTTCGACGAATGTAACAAGCCCCAGCTCAATGGGGTCCACGGTAGGACCAATGTCTAGACTCACAGAAGTGGGTATAAAAAACGACCTGGCAGAGGTTACGGTGTTTTCCTTTCCGTTGACCTTATGGATTCCGGGCGTCTGCGATGTTGCTGTTGTTGATTTTGTTCCAATATGCATGTTGCTTGGTGACAATTGTAGGTCTGAAGCGCGTGCAAGTAATTGCAAGGGATTCTCTGCATCATCCAGCGATAGACGGTCACATGAATTATCGTACCTGGGTGCTGATAGAATGAAGGATTCGGGGGGGTCCTCCGATAAATACTCTGTCTCGCTATGTGAGCTTCGCCCTTGTATGTTGTCGAGCAGCCCCTGAAGATTGGAGATCAAATTCTGGGCATCCTCAGTTCGGGGTCGCTTGATGGCCTGCTCGATTTGATGCAGCGTCTTCTCCAATCCTTTACGTTTACTGGTACCGGCTTGTCAGTGCGTGTCATACTTCCAGGACTCGAGCATATGTATGTAGTGCGCACTTTTTGACCCCTTTCTGTCGGCCGAGATGGTGGTTCGGAATCACACACGGCACATCAGCTTGCCTGCATCGATCACAAGACGTTACATCTTGGGTACGACTGCACCGAACCTTGCTTTTCCTACAATTGAGACAGGCAGCCTGTCGACCCTGTGACAACTGGCTTGTTCCCATAAGAAGAGATGGATTCCCCATCGCCAATCATCTGAGACGAAAGATAAATACTCGTACAGTAGATGTTCGTTCAAAAGCGTGTACGTCGGTGTTTGTCTGTAGCTGTCATCATCGGGCAAATGAGAGAAAACAAGCACGCAATAACTTAGTAGGTACGGAGCGCAGTCTTCATCCAATAAGAACTTGCAGTAGGCGACTATATCAAGGGAACGATTCTGAACAGCAGGTGCCGACGGGCACTACAGTTTCAATCACAACAAGGTTGGACCAAAGAGCGCGAGTCCGATTGCGTGTTCGGGTACTGGGAATAAAAATGTGGCTCGAAGGTCGCCGTACAAAAAGTACCAAGCCGAACGCGGGGGTTGAACCCGCAACCTTGAGATTAAGAGTCTCACGCTCTGCCGATTGAGCTAGCCCGGCTATATGTTCTACCCTATGGCAAATATAATTGAACGTACCTACCAATATAATATCATGCGCGAGGACTTTTGCCTCAATTTCCTCAGTTCGCCAATTCAAGCGACCTGAAAATAGATGGTGCCAATCCATTTAGAAAAACATGTAACTAATGTGGAAACGCTTCTATCAATTGGTAGATATCGAATCTACCATGCACGTGAGCGAGGTATATACTACCCAGAAAGGCGTAAACAATCCATATACGCGGCGGTCAAATCTCTGGACACAGGAAGAAAGGATTGTTTGGGTATAAGTAGATAAAAGTCAGACAAAAGACGTATCGGAGAACATCAACGTGAGTCTAGGCAGATGCCCTAAGACGAACACCAGCATGTTACTTAGGCTCAAATAATCCCAATGTCCCAATGACAAACCTGACGAATGAAAATGAATATGCTACCTGCCCTCGCCTGAGTTTGCGCCGCAAATCTAATGAGGAGTAGAACGGATTATGGGCGCGACAAATAGAAATTGTACAAGCTTGTATCTAGTTTGCTGCCCGTAGAGCTCTGAGCCTAGCACCCAGACCATCCTCCAGCTCCGAGTCGACTTGTTTCTGTTCCTTAACCTCCTCCCTGGGAGCAGCATCTTGCTCTAGAGCTATGCGCAGATCCACACCGGCATCGTCTGCAAGTTGCTCCATCAAGCGATCGACCTCGGCCTCACCCTCCGCACCATATTCTTGCATTGAGACTCCCTGAGCAACGTCTTCTATAGCACTGCTGGCGATCTTGAAATCCTCGGAGCGGGCCAGAAAATTGTTCGCATGTGAAACCAAGTTCTCTAGATTGACACTTTTCGAAGCCGCATCTAGCCCCCTTGAAGCCAAAGCAAGAGTTCGGGAAGTGTCGCGCGTACTCTGTGCGGCCTTAAGTTCGTTGATGATGACATCCGCACGAGCAGCCTCCGCTCGAAGAGTCACCTGCCTTCTCTTCTCTCGTACTGCAGATGCAGCATGAATGCGAGCAATTTGAAATTCTCTATTTTTCATCGCCTTGTCGGCCTTCGCCTTTTCAGATTTGAATGTCGCTTCGGCACGAGCGGATTCCTTCTTGAGGCGGTTTGAATGCAACTATTTAGACCAGTAGAAATAGCGCGTGAGTTCAGCCTTGTGTCAGAGCCTAGAGCTGTAGTCGATTGCAGCGGAACATCGATGCTATCACCAGTGCGGGAAGAGAGACACCACTCACCTTGACATTGGTACGAGCCTCAAAGATGGGATCCTTGCGAACCATATTGGGCAGACAGTGAGCAAAGAGCAATGGAGAGCAGTTCACGGCAGTCAAACGAAATGAAGACCAATTGACCAGCGTCCCAAAGGGTGCAGGTTAGGCTGATTTCTGAGGGGGGTAACGATAGCGGCGGGGATTTAGCGTGGCAACGTCATGCCGTATCGCCGCGATCTAACTCCGGCTTTCCCTTCTTGCGGCCAGCTGCTGAAAAAACAGCACAATAGGCTATTTCCTGCTAATGAGTATCCCTAGTACCAAGTCTAGATTAGGGTTCTACACTTTCATCATGACCTATAAATGGATCTATTAATATATCTAATGATCGCTTGTGTTACTAACCTCTATTCTGATTCTAGTTCATACCGGGTAGCCTCTAAACATAAATACTAGTCACATGACTCATTGGTGAAGTGGTTAGAGTCGAGGAAATGAGAATAAGTTAATTAGAGTTGGCTAACTTACATAATGGACTTATGTCTCGAAAGGTATTAGGGACTTGATGCGTTAATTTAGACTTAGTGACTGTAGGTAGTTGTTGCGACTTTCGATAGAATTTTTTTTTTACTGCAGTCGCCGCTCGTTATATCAGAGAGCGTGAGAAACAGCAGAACGATCAAGAAGATTCAGTTCGTGCACTTAATCCGAAAACTCTAAGTTGGAGCCTCTTTTACTAAGCGCCATACTATCAACACGAGTGTGTTATTGTCACCTCGACGAATAATGGATATCATTTTGTGAACATCCGCTATAATATACCTCTGGAAGTAAGGTGTCAAAGAGACCTAGAAAAGGAAGAACAATGAGATATGTGCAAAATAAAATTCCCCAGATAACGCCTGTACCCATCACGACCTTGTTCATATAACAACTAAATGCAAGGGCTTGGGGTCTGAGCCGTTCCCGATACATCAGTTTGCGGATATGTGACTATAATGTGACATCCATCGTATCATCTCCGGCATCGACTGCACCCTGCCGTTCAGGATCAGGTAGCACAACTCCTCTTCCTCTACCGGCTAGCAATTCGCGCCTAACCTCGGGGCCGATATCTTTGTGACCTTGTACCAGTAGCAGATCCAGAAGAGCCTCTCGCTGATCTTCAGTGATATCGTTGCGATAGCGCTGGGCAAACACGAGCAATGACTGATGCCATAAGACAGGAAGCTTATAGGCTTTAGCCTCGCGGGATGGCCCGTCTGTCATCATTGACTCGTCCGCATTGTCGTTTGTGCGGAAACGCAGGAAGTGAAAAACAAGCGCATCGATAACCTTGTAAGGAAGCGCGTACTTCTTCTCCAGAAAGATGCGAATGAAGACATTGACTGCACCAGTGCTCTCCAATGATCGCAGGGATTGTTCGGCAGCCAGATCACACATACGAAGCAAAGCCGCAGCCGAATGCAGAACTGGAATCGACACACGAGCAATGACGGAGGAAACAATGTGAGCCTCGCGAAGAGTACATGTTCCGCTAGAAACAAGGGGAAAGAGCAGTCCTTTGAAAAAGCAAGCGGGCTTGTACAGTGCCTTTTTCATGGCATTGTAGGTATGGACGTTGAGCTTCTTGGTCTCATGAATCTCCTCCCGAACACGATCAAGTAGTACCGTTGATATGAATTCCTGTGCGACTGCAGGCTTGGAGGAGATAAAGATTCTTGTACCGGCATAGACAGCGTTTGCAGACCAGGATTCGGGACGCGTGATCGAGAGGAGAGTAGGCCAGTTGGGAACAGATGGGAGGATTTTAAAAGGTTTCGGAAGGGGTCCAGACTTGTAGCGAGAGAGTATCATACCAACTCTATTTTTGTTTCCGTCAGCATAAGTAGTTTCTCATCAAACTTTCATAGAAGAGGAATCTCACTTCTCATAAACCTCAACCGCCTTCGCGGGAATCTGGACAGCATCTTCCGGTAGCCCTCCACCTTGAATATACGCTCCACCTTCGCCAGATTGTCTAGCCTCATGTTCTGCAATCTTCTCGAGAATCAAATCAGCCAGATTTGTAGTCTGGCGATCAGCGCCCGGCACACGGGGGTTGAAGATCGGATCTTCGTCACCCGCCGGGACGAACTTGTGAAACATATCAAGGTCGGTAGGGTCAACCTCCTATTGCTCATAGTCAATGCACACACGGTCATTCAGATATTAATAAAGCGAGTGAATCAAGGTAGCATACCACTTCTTCCAATTCCTCCACATCGTCCCATTGCTCGTCTTGAAACTTCTCATCATCTGACAAAAACCCGTTGTCTTCCAAACGAGATTCAAAGTCAAAGGCAGTGTTGATCTTATCTGTTGTTGCGCCCCTTAAGGACTTTTGTTCTGCTGCATCCTCCTCGGCCAATTCCTGCCCGATCTGCAAGATTTTGCGAGACATCTTTGCGTCGATATAGCGCTCGCCATCTTCCTGCTCCTCATCTTGACGGGATCTGCGATTAGTCTTTTTGCTTGCTTGTGTCCTCAAATGGCCGGCCGGTGTCAGCATATCCTCAGCAAGAGGATTGTGCCGGCGGGCAGCGGCGGTGCGAGAAGATGTTGCTTTAGGCATATTGAGACACTTTTGGCACGTCCCGCAAACACTGTTGGTCGGCTTGATGGTCTTTGATTTCGGTAAGAATAATGAAAATAATTCAAATCATTGATGCGCCAGGCTGGGTTGCATGGAACAGATGATGATTCCCTTCTATAGCATCCTTTGACAAATGTGTGGAAGATTCAAGATCATGTGGTGGTTTTTTTTTTCTGCCATGTACGCGCCTCGACCGCCTAGGTCCTTTTTATCATGAGTGGCTTTTCTTACCTAAATACCGCCTTTGCCCCTCCTCTTCAGGTTGGCTCTCATCAAACCACATGCGGCGCAAGAAAATGTCAGCAGTATTTACATTCACCGCCTCCGATTGCTATTCGCTCGAATGCTTTCCGCCCTTGCAAGGTGGTTCACAGTAGCCCATTACCAACCGACATGGTGCTTGCTGAATACTGTTAAACCGATTTGCACTTGGGCCTCAACCGTCGCTATCCTCATAGGGCGAAGATTTAAGGCTAGTATTTGCTGTACGGCGCTGGTGAGAAATCATACAGAAAGTTTTGACTCCGTTTGACAGCTTCGAAATATTGGACGGTTTCTATGTAGGTGAGTTGCGTTCATGGAGACCTCCTAGCCTCGTGTACTGTCATAAACTGCAGCCGATGGGCTTGCTGTCTATCCGCCTCAGAAGCTGAAGGTACCTGCAGCTGGCATTGCTTTGTTTCCCTTAATGTTCGTGCTTATGACAAGTCAGTCTCCTGATTTCAGTTCTCTTGTGCATGCAGACGGAAATTCTACTTGGACAACGAATTATACATTGCCTGTCGCCCTAATAAATGCGCCAAAGGCTTTGATACATTCTCATACGAAGGCGAAGGAGGAACCTGACCAAACGTCCACCATTCTGTTGCTCAAGAACCCAGCTCTCATATCATACGCCCGCCGTGGCCATGAGTTCTACGCAACAAACGGTGTCGTCTGTTCCCCAATTAAATATGGACTCTTTAGGAGTCTCCTCTGGCGGCTTACCCCTCGGTGGAGCCCTAGCAGACATGAATGTCAGGTCCTCTCCTGCGCCGCCAAGCAACGCGTCAGTCCAGGCTGATGGTACAAGGTCGAAGCGCACAAAGCGAGATAGCCGCAAGAAGCGCGAGGCCAAGGGTCTGGACCAAGATTCACAACTCATCAAGAAGAAAGCTGTTGCTGTCCAAAATGCTGCGCTTCCGAGCTCGGAATTGAGTATATTACGGCCCTTGTTGCTTGCTGAGCCTCGAGCCTCGGATAGATCACCTCCACAGCCTCGTCAGATGAATTTCGTGAATAGGAAGAAATTGGAAGTGACTGGGCAGAGCTGGGACTTTTATGAGGTTGTCGACAAGCTCACCAATAAGAATGGCTTTCGTTATAGCTACGCAATAGCCGACCCGGGCTTTCCGCACATCAAATATCGACAAACGGATGTCTCTCCTTACTATGCTCGGTTCAGCTTCGAAGACTCGCCGGCTGCTATTCTCTTCAGTGAAGATGCTCGTGCTGTAACGACCAACGAGCCTTGGCATACTGCACGAGCCAATGTTTGCGCGCGAGAAGGATCATACTATTATGAGGCGCGCATAGTAAGTGGTGTTATGAATGAGTCACAGTCAGCTTCAAATGGGAATACTGGTATAGCTTCACGAGGTCATGTCCGACTCGGCTTCGCACGAAGGGAGGCTGATCTTGATGTCAATGTTGGAATTGACTGTTATGGCTATGGTATACGTGATGTGAATGGAGAAGTGGTCAATCGGATGCGCTGCGAATATTTTTTCCCCAAGGGCGAATCTATTCGAGAAGGTGATGTTATTGGACTTTTGATAACACTGCCGCCTTTGGCTCTCCATAAAAAGATTGTTGAAGGCACATATGAACCTAACGTCGACGGGGATCATCCAACAACGATTTTAGGCCCGTCAATCGTGACCAACATCATTCGTGACCGCATTCCGTTCCATTACAAGTCTGATTTCTGCTGGCAGCAATCGAACGTTTTTTCAACGAAACAGCTGCGGGATTATGCATTCAACCTGAAAGAAACACCGACATTCGGTCCACCTTCACCTCTCAATGGCGAGGATGCATCTTTACGTACCCTTCCTGGTTCTAGTATCACAGTATTCAAGAATGGAGTGAAAATGGGTACACCCTTCAAGGAATTGTATGCTTTTCTCCCGCCCGCAAGCCGATTAGCCAACGGTACCAATAATCTGGGTATCGGTGAGCGTGAGAATGCTGACGACGGAATGATTGGTTATTACCCCGCTGTTAGTTGTTATGGTGGAGGTGCTGTTGAATGCCGCTTCGAAGGCCCATGGTGGTTTGGTCCCCCAGCCGAAACCGAGAGCAACGAGCCAGTGTACGGAATAGGCGAGCGATTCAACGAGCAGATAGTAGAAGATGTTATCGCCGATATTGTTGATGAAGTGGAAGCCATGTTTGTCTGGGGTGGCGTGGACGGCAATGTTGTCGGCAATGCTGAAATCGACGGCTCTGGTAGTGGGGCTTTTGGAGGCTCGGATGTGCTGAGGGGGGACGTTGAGGCTGCCTACGAATCTGCTGTATCCTCAAATCCTAGATCCCAAAATGTCGCTCTAGCTAACGCCACTAACCGGGGACCCGCCGGTGCAGCGGATTCTGGCCGAAGTCACACCACTTTTGAAGACGTGATGAGAGTTGACACTGGGAATACGCCGAATCCGGAGACACATTTGTCTGCGGTGCCAGAAACTACTGCAGACGACGAGGATGTGGAAATGTTGTGAACGATACCTTCTAATATAGAATCCGGATGATACCCTTCATGCTCTCAACGTTGGGGGATACAGACCTAATTACTAGACTTGAAAGTCCCTGTAGAGTAGTCTTGTGCCAATGATCGAGGATGTTCATTGTGCCGCTAACAATCCTATCAATGTATGTACATTGACAGTGCATGCAGTTACACTCGGGCGCCGCCAAGCCTCACAAGCCAGGAGCGTTTGCTTTACTCATGGCTAACAAGTTTTGACTAAGTAGTTTACAAGTTCCTTTCCATGGAGATAGGTAATCAAAAGTACATGCCTGTTGATTCTGTCTCTAGAGGCGCTTGCCGGAAAGCATTTCAGCCACCCTTAAGACTAGTGCGTCATCACCGTACTGGCCTATTATTTGGACGCCAGCTAAGCTCTCGGAGCTTCCTACTGTGACCGGAACCGAGGCAGCTGGAAGACCTGCCAAGCTGGCAGGCACCGTAAAGACATCATTTGTATAAGCGTGCAATGGGGAGTAACTGGCACTTCCGCTACCTAGGGTCGACAGAACTGGCGGCGGAGACGGTGCTGTCGGACATATTAGAACATCAACCTGGGCTTGGTTGCTTGTCGGTTTCAGAGCGGCGTCATTAACCCGATAAGGCATCAGTGGGTGGTCCGCCAGGAATACCGCATTGAAGTCTTGCTGTACGAGACGTCGAATGCGCTGTGCCTGTATGAAGTAGTTGTCTATAGCGCTGGCGCTCAGACTAAATGTCCCAAGTAATATTCTTCGCTTGACTTCAGGGCCAAACCCTTGACCTCGCGTCTGTGCATATAGATAGCCGGCTATTTGAGAATCAGAGTTGTCACCATCAAGGCTCGTTCCAAACCGAACACCATCAAATTTTGCTAGATTGGAGGATGCTTCGGCGGGCGCAAGGACGTAGTAAGCAGACAAAGCAAGTTTGGTTGTTGGTAAAGATACGCGGTGAATGGAATGTCCCTGGTGTAGCATGTAATTCAGTGAGCGAGACCAGGCACGTCGTACAGTAGGGTCGAGCTCAGAGATGTTGTATTCCACAGGGACTCCAATCTTGAGGGAGTTCGTCTTCATCCGCGACGCAAGGCAAGCTGAATTAAGTTGAGCATCGATGCGCGATCGAGAATCAAGAGAGAGACTTGTTGGGTCTCGCGGGTCGTGCTGATTCAGGATGTCTGCTGAGATTAGTGTCTCACTTAGGTAACATACTGTGCATCTCATATGCACAGTATATTTAGTAGAAGTGCGTACCGAAAACATCACGTACGCCAGACACCTTTCTTCCGAAAATACCCACCGTATCCAATGAATTTGCATAGGCGACTACCCCCCAACGGGAAATGAGTCCGTAAGAAGGTTTGAAACCTACTAATCCCGTGTAGGCAGCAGGAAGTCGAACGGAGCCTCCCGTGTCGGTTCCCAGTGCTCTGTAGGTGTGTATTCGTTAAGTGTTGTCTCTCTTGAATCGGGTGGGAGTCTCAGAAAAGACGCACATACGTGTAGCATTGTTCTGTTGCGACAGCCACCGCACTGCCCCCCGAGCTTCCGCCAGCTGAGAAATCTTCTGCATCGCGACCGCAGTACATATTCTTGACCGGGCCGAAATAAGAATTAACCGAATGTGAACCCATGCCGAATTCATCGAGATTAGCCTTCCCGGCAACAATAGCTCCAGCATCCTCCAATTGTTGAACGACAGTCGCATTGAACGGACTAATGAAACTGTCCAAAACTCTCGAGGCACAGGTGGTGGGAAGGTCGCGCGTGCAAATGTTATCCTTGATTGCTACTAGCCGTCCATCTAGTCGCGACTTGGGTCGGCCTACTCAAGCATGAGGAAATGACGAATAAGCCTACAGCGTGCTGTAGGGAATGTTGGTGATTACCTTGTGCGCGCCGCGAATCTGCCTTATTCACACGATCCAGCCATTGGCAGGACTGATGCCATGAGCTGATCAAGGCATTCAGGGAGGAGCATGAACTCTGATTGGCAACGCATCTCTCTGCTTCGCGCAAAAGGGACATTAGTATGCAGTGAGCTCGACGTAGTGAATTGAGCAAACGCGGAGTAGAGGTCGAGTCAAACCGGAGGCGGAGACACACAGAGGGCAAAATTCCCCATGTATGCGTAGAGCGGTGAGCATTAAGTTAATGCTTGTTCTGTACTGTCCTGGTACGAGCGACAACGCTTGATACTGTCACTACATATAATAGACCCTACGTCTGAATACATGCTGCTTCGTCTGAATTGGTGAAGAATGGGCAAGAGATATTTGATATATAGCTTCGTGCAATCAATCCGAGATACAAATTTCGGAAAGTGGCTGAGCATATGAACAATAACCTGATGGATGCTCTGTCAAACCACCGAGTATGTATTCCGTACTATACCTGAAGAATTCATACCCGAAACGCTGTCATCTCCCTCGGCCCGAAGGGGAACGACGTCATGCACAAGCTCCCTCTTAACTCTTCCCCCTCCGATTTACTGCTTCATTCAAAATACAGACCTGTAGCCGAGGCTCGTCAACAGCAAAGCTTGAGACGTGAGGATAAGTTTTGTATGCTGAAGAATTTCGCCAACTTTCGAAAATGCTCTCCAATAGCTCGGTACGGTCAGTGTTTGGTGCTTCCCGCAGCCGCGTCGGAGGATCCTTTCCAAGAGTGAATGTCTCCGCGCCATTCACTGCTCATATGCAGCACCCATCGCCAGTCTCCAGCTATTGTTTTCCAGTAGGGAATCGAAAATGGATCTCGGTTTATGGGTATACTCAGGCCAAAGCCCTTGTCTACTCTCGTTACGGGGAACCTAAGGATGTTCTGCAGTAGGTCTAGCAATATCCCAATCCTTTCCTGGCTTTCCAAACCATGCAAGTGCAGGAACGTAGCTGATTCTTAGCCTAGTCTTCACAAGCATTCTATATCGGCCCCTCATGGAACTCAAGTCAACCTTCGTCTGCTTGCTGCCCCGTTAAATCCAGCCGATATGAACCAGATCCAAGGCGTCTATCCGAGTAAGCCGCCCTTCCAGACGTCGCTTGGTACAGAAGCGCCTTGCGCAGTCGCCGGCAATGAAGGCGCGTTTGAGGTTACTGCGACGGGATCAAATGTCACCAGCCTCAGCAAAGGTGATTGGGTGGTTATGAAGCAGACTGGACTGGGCACTTGGCGGACTCACGCCCAATTGGACGAGTCGCAATTGATTAAGATTGAAAACAAAGAAGGCCTGACGCCGCTCCAAGTTAGCACCATTAGCGTGAACCCTGTGACCGCGTACCGGATGGTCAAGGATTTCTGTGACTGGGACTGGATGCGGGCTGGTGAAGAGTGGTTGATTCAAAATGGGGCAAACAGCGGCGTTGGACGAGCTGTTATTCAGCTTGCGCGGGAATGGGGTATCAAAACGCTCAACGTTGTGCGGGATCGTAAGACTCCCGAAGAAACTGAGGGACTGAAGAAGGAACTACGTGATTTGGGTGCGACGGCCGTGTTTACGGAATCCCAGCTGCTTTCCGGTGAATTCAGGAATATTGTGCATGATATTACACGCCAGGGGAAGGAGCCAATTCGTTTGGCTCTGAACTGCGTTGGCGGGAGGAGCGCAACTGCGTTAGCCAAAACACTTGCACCGGGTTCGCATCTAGTCACTTATGGAGCCATGTCGAAGCAGCCAGTTGCCCTGCCATCTGGTCTCCTTATATTCAAAGATCTCACTTTCAACGGCTTCTGGGTCAGCAATTGGGGCGATAAAAATCCACAGCTCAAGGAAAACACAATCAACGATGTGTTACAGTTAACCCGGACAGGCAAATTCAAGGATATTCCTGTGGAGGAGCTCAGATGGCGCTGGGATACAGAGTGTGCGGAGCTCTCGGCAGGCGTACAGGAAACACTCAGCGGCTTCCGCAGTGGTAAGGGCTTGCTCCGCTACGAGGCAGAGGATTGAATCTGCATAGGCTTGTGAAATTAGGGTCTCATGCGTCGTTGAGAGGGACACAGTTATCGCTATAGTGGCGACCATGCAAAGCAATTAATCCCTGATTTGCCCTTGAGCCTATATTTACACTAAAATGCCTATAATTATCTTGCCTTGGGATTTACTCACTACCTGCGTTATCGCATTAGTGCGTCATCCAAGGGACTTAGACAGCGGAAGTTTCTCTAAAAAGAATGATCCACTCAAAATAGCTAGTTGCCTCAATCAAACAATGATTTTGGTTTCAAGGTGCAACTATAAGGAAGCTATAAGTTATAGGGTGCTACAACAGTTCATGCTATCTTGAGAAGTTGTGGCTCTGAGAAGGAAAGAAAAGCCTGTCTGTTGAACATCATAGAACGGAATGAATCCACGATGCACTCACATGTCAGCCCCAGATTCAAAGAAACCATCTTCGCAGGCCCAGTTTGCTTTCACCCAGTCAAGAATCAGACTTGTCAGACTGGTGGAAGGCATATAAATGTCACTGTCTTGCTCAAAATCGACATCAAGGCTTGCAAACTTGGCTGCTAGAGCTACATATGGCTCTATAAAGTCTATGTAGACCAGGTCCACCATTTCTGGCTGGTCAGATCCATTCGTAGATATCAAAGACTGGATGCAATTGGGAACCCGGTAGAAGGGGATAGGGGAATGAATAGTATCATCACCATCAGTGCCGGCATCATCCTTGGTGGTATATCCTGGAATTAAGTTGGACCTGACATAGCCGTTTACTGAAAGCAAGGCTTGGCCGGCAAGAAAACCTGCAGCGGACCAACTGAGGCGCAAGCTCTTGTCAAAGCCAGCAACTGCATCACCTGGGTGTGCTAGGTGTTCAGGAGGTGCGAGTGACCAGGTTGGCAGGTCGACATGTTCCGGCAGCTCGGTAAATATCTGAGGCTGCTTATTGAGAACCTCAACAATCAATTTCGCTTTGTTATAAGGAACATCCTTGACATAACGGAAACCGCTGGTGAAGGGAGAGACAATGTACGTAGTATCCTGGGTGAAAGGTCCTTCGAACACATCGAAGCGAATAGCTCCCGTATTAACAATAACAAGTGCGGGCTGTCCAGGACGAGAGTCATCTTTCAGAGAGACCGGGAGCACTTCATCCTCTAACCATGTATATATGCTGTTCTCATGAGGGTACTCGACGCGTGACATCCAGAGGTCCCTAGGAGCACAGCCGTGGATCATGTCCAGCTTTAGTGCGTTTCTGGATTGCTGTATAAGTAAGGAAACATTCCGGCCATTTTCCGTGGGGAATGTGTCCTCTCCCAGGCCAGTGTGGTGGTAAAATGAGAACAGGTTGTTATCAATATACTTTCGACGGAACTTGGGTGCTACCAGGGCGGACTTTGCATGGCATTTGCTGGTGGAGAGTCCATCAATTGACATGAAGCCTATAGTTTCCATGAAGCGACCACTTGCTAGTCCATAAGCTTTAGAATCGTACCGCACGTAGTCACGGATGTGATGATGCCCGCCGAAGAACTGGATAGGTGTGTCCCACCGAATAGCACGTATCGCCCGATACAAAGCGTCATATTCAATCGAGCGAACAGGGACATGGCCAATGACGAGGAAGAGATCCACATCTTTATCTCTGATGGCTTCCTGAAACCAGTCTTCTTTTATTGTCTGCTCCACTGATCGAACAATAGTGTTGTTATCATTTTTCTTGAAATTGAACAGAAAGCCGAAGGCGATGATGCGTATCCCTTGCACTTGCGTGGTGAACTTCTTGAAACGAGGCGCCAAAGGAACAAATTCATTGATTGCCGGGTGTAAGATATCGATATTCGAAGCTAGATAATTACCCCGAAAGTTTGGGATCGTGGTGAAGAACTCGGCTTGGGACGTGGTCCGATTGTAAAGCTCATGATTGCCAGATGACAGAAGGTCGATGTGTTGGTGTCGTAGAATCTCAGAAAGATAGACACCCTTGGGCTCCGAAGAATCATACAGACCGTTACCTTCAACTCGGTCACCTGTATCAATCACCAAAAGATCCGAGTTACTGGCATGGGCTTTCTCGCGCATGCGGACAGCAAAAGAGACGTAATCGCCCCAGTCAGCCGCATAAGAGGGTCTGTCACACAGGTACCCGATCAGCAAGAACCCATTTGACAAAGCCTCGCGAAGGACATCTGGGTTTCATACTCCTGTAAGTGCCCAGCCAGCCAGCCGTGGGTATCCGTAGTATGGAGAAAATTGAGCTGCCCCCATTCTAAATCACGCAATGGAGCAGCCACGGGGGCTGGAGCAGATGGCTGTACTGCGCGCACGGACGAGGTAAAGAGAGAGGACAGCAAGAGCACTACAGCTGCTAAAAAGATATTGTGGAGCATTACGATTCGCCCCTGATAAACCCGAAGTCACGAAGTCAGTCCGTTAGAAGGTGAGTGGGCAATATGAATACTCTGGAGATTCCTGGCGAACGTCCGAAAGACGGTTATTGTTTTGACTCCGGCGATATACTGCTCCGACGAGTCACTTTGAGGTCCTTATCGCCGAAGGTTCCCTTATCGGCAGTCACGCGGGTTTTCCACGGAACGGAAGAAGGCGCCGGTGAGAATATCAGCTTAGTCAGCCAGTCCCGGGCCCAACACTCTTTCTCGAAGCTCTCACCAAAAACCACATCTCTCTCATTGTACGGACTCCTGTGTTGATCAACTTACGAGGCCTCTGAAGGTGCTGTCCGATTGACTTTCTTAGTTTGTATACCTCCTCTGGGCACATTAATTATTGATTACTGTTCCTAATTACTTTGTCATATTCTTCAGTTCGGCCATGGCTGCTCCCCGACTTTTCCGCCCAGCAGCTCGTCTGCTTCCCTCGCGCCTTTCCTCGACTCCTCTTCTCCCGAATTTCCCGCGAGTTGCCCGCGCCCCTTCTATCCTGTGCTCTAGGGGTTACGCCTCTGAAGCAGGTGCGAAGGAGGTCACAGTCCGTGATGCGTTGAATGAAGCTCTCGCCGAGGAGCTTGAGGGCAATGAGAAAACTTTCGTGATGGGAGAGGAAGTCGCGCAGTACAACGGAGCGTACGGTAACCCCTTCTTTATCAATGTCGCTTAGAAGTCAACAACCTGACACAGTCACAAAACTACAGATACAAGGTGACGAGAGGTCTACTGGACCGCTTTGGCCCAAAGAGAGTTATTGACACCCCCATTACGGAGGCTGGTTTCACCGGTCTCGCCGTCGGCGCCGCCCTTGCCGGACTCCACCCTATTGTAAGTTTCGATGGTTGAACAGCCTACACCATGCACAAAGCCCGAGGCGAGTTTCTTGCTAACCTACATCTGTCTGCTTTAGTGCGAGTTCATGACTTTCAACTTCGCCATGCAGTCGATCGATCATATCATCAACTCCGCGGCCAAGACACACTACATGTCCGGAGGAATTCAGCCTTGCAACATCACTTTCCGCGGACCTAATGGATTTGCTGCCGGCGTTGCTGCTCAGCACTCTCAAGACTACTCTGCTTGGTATGGCAGCATCCCTGGTTTGAAGGTCGTTGCTCCCTGGAGCGCCGAAGATGCCAAGGGTCTGTTGAAGGCTGCCATTCGTGACCCCAACCCCGTTGTCGTTTTGGAGAATGAGTATGTCTCACTTCAAAAAAAAAAATAAAAGAAAAGATGTAGAGAGAATGTTTTCCACTGACACTGTTTCATAGGCTTCTGTACGGTCAAGCTTTCCCGATGAGCGAGGCTGCTCAGAAGAACGATTTCGTTCTTCCTATTGGCAAGGCCAAGATTGAACGCCAAGGCAAGGATCTCACGATTGTCTCCCTCTCCCGCTGTGTGGGTCAGTCACTCAACGCCGCTGCCCAACTCAAACAGAAGTATGGTGTGGAGGCTGAAGTCATCAACCTTCGTTCCGTCAAGCCCCTTGACGTGGAGACCATTATCCAGTCCCTCAAGAAGACGGGCCGTCTCATGTGTGTCGAGTCCGGCTTCCCCATGTTCGGAGTGGCATCTGAGATCCTTGCTCTGTCCATGGAGTATGGCTTCGATTATCTCACTGCTCCTGCTGTCCGTGTCACCGGTGCTGAGGTTCCTACTCCCTACGCCGTTGGCTTGGAGCAAATGAGCTTCCCTCAGGAAGACACAATCGTCAACCAGGCTGCCAAGCTGCTGCGCCTGTAAGATAATTCGTTGTACGTGAAAAGCAGGCGGTTTGAAACCCCAGTTAATAAAGCCTGATGTGCCTAGCATCCTATGATCGTTGCCAGTCACTTTCAATATTCCATCTCGTCTTGCCCTACCCCCTGTCCAGAATTTGTACGACTACGCAACAGAACCAATTTCAATTTGCATTCTTAGACAATTACTTATGCCGAACTATTTCACATAGATCTTATCATGTGTCAATGTTTTACAATTCCGGTATGTGGTTGTTGAATCATAGCACCGCGCATACAACTGAGGTTGAGTTGGCCGACTAGGGTGGAACGAGATGATACCTGCGGAACGCCTGAAACTAGAATAAGACCAGAAGCATTAGGACAGGAGATAAAGATCAGTAACTAAAATATATATACCCCATACTAACAGTCATAAGACTTCCGTCATTTCGAGGCGCTTTCATATCTCAGGCGATTGCTATTTCAGCTCCATTTTCGGTCCTATATCCAGTACATGCGTTGTGGCAGCCTGTAGGATGACGAGGACTGTAGTATTCAACATCGGCCACTTCGCATTCAGTGTCGCTTTCCTCCTGTTTTTGTTGAAAATCAGGACCAATCGCTGATCTATTTCGAAAGCGATTGCTTGAAACCGCACATTCCGAAATATTGGAGTCGTCATGATCATCGTCATCCCCTCCCAAAACGTTCTTCTTGGTAGGCGCAACTGGGGCTACAGGTCCTTTGACTGCCGTGAAGGAGCTTTTGAACCCCCCTTTTTTGAAACCTCCCCCGGCCCCCGAACCAAGATTATTTCCGGTACCTGTTCCGATCGTTGGAAACTTACTTTTGTGGGTGTCTAATACCCTTAAACCGGCCTCAGCATCAGCTTTCCGTTCCGCTCGTCTCGCCTTCTCCGCAGCATTTGGATCCCGCGAAAGCTGTTTGAGGTCCTGCAGGCGTTTGCGATGCTGATGGTCGTACGATGAGATATGAGCCTCATATTCGGGGTGACGCGAGTAGGATTTGTTGCACAGTGTGCAGGTGAACGAATTCAAGGCGGAGCGCGCCGATTCAGTCTGGGAAACGGCGAATAGTAGAACATGTCAACAGACGTGAAAGCGTGATTTTCGCGGGGACCGAACCTTAGGGGTAGGATTGGTAAAGCCACGCTATACATAAAGAATTATGTCAGAAGTAAGTTCGGTCTCAATGCTCAAGGGTGGCTCCCCGGATCAAGACCCTTAAGGAGAGGGGGCCGCGGGCACTTGCAGGCGCCATCTTGATGTAAAGATGGTGAGCGTGTCAATACTACGCTCTGAATTGCTGGCGACTACAGATAATTCGAAAAGGCTGTCAAGACCGTCTTGAGATCTATGAGCTCTGTTGAACAAGTAGCGTAAAGTAGATGGTCAGGATTTGCTCTTTCATAAGTTATCGGGAACGCATCATAGTGCCGGATATAGCTACGAGTAGGATTAAACTTACAAGTTGATTTCACAGACATACGTTACGTGCCGTGCTCTGACCGGAACATTACCTGTTACCGTTCCCCTTAGTACGCGTTACTTTCAAAACCAATCATGTCAAGTTGTGTCATATATGTACACAGTACTGTAGTTACAGGAGTACAGTTACCTCATCCCAGCTTCGATGCGGATTTCTTGTTTTCCTTCCTCTCAAGCTAGTTGCAGAGACTGCAATACGCCTACAATCCAGTTCCCGGAATAATGCGTTGAATTACCTCAAGCCCTCCCCTTTTCTGCTTACCCAGACCGCTCAGAATCTTAAATGCTCTTGTTGCCATGGCCTTACCGGACAGCCTTTCACATAAGCCTGAGGACGTTGACACCCGCTCGATCATTTCCATGCGAGAAGTTGACCCATCTCCGGTGGAGGATGAGTTTCCAGAACTTGAGCGTGGCGATTGTCCCTTCCCTTCACAATCACGGTCCCAAGAGGAAAAGCGCCAAAAGACCAATACAACGACGTTTTCTGGCCTGGGTCTCCGCGGACATAGCTGGGATTCATGGTGTACGGTTACTTTATTGATTCTCTGTTTTAGTTTTCACCGCGATTGACGTAAGCTAATCCATTGCTCTATGAACATTTTAGTGACTGCAATTCAAAAGTACTCGACATATCCGCCTAGCTTGTTCCTCGCTCTGCATTTTGCCAATACCTCAATCCTTCCTCTCGCCACCCGCTCTGTAAGCGCCAGCGAGAATTATCTGCTTCTGACTAGGCCCCTCTACCAATCCCCGTCGCTCGAACATATTGTGTTGACGGTGCCGGTTCTGCTTCATATAATCTCCGGCATCGCTCTGCGTAAGATCCGGGCCTCACGGCGGGCTCGGCTCTATGGCGCAGAAACCCGATCCCAGCAATATGCTGTTATGTTCTGGCCACGGATGAGCCTACAGGCTCGCCTGGGTTATTCACTCATCCCTTTACTAGGTGTACACGTCCTCGTCAACCGCATCACTCCAGTTCTGGTCGACGGAGGAAGCTCGGGAGTGGGGCTTGGCTACGTAGCTCATGGCATTGCGCGGTCTCCAATTTTCTTGAACATATATTATCTGGTTTTTGTCGCTGCTGGGGTGTGGCATTTTGTTGGTGGGTGGGCTTCTTGGATGGGCTGGAAAGTCACGACTGTGCGGAAGCAGCGCGATTCACAACGAGGATCTCTCGAAGGCTATCTTGGCTATATTGAAAGCGAACAACGAGTTCGCAAGCAAAAGAGACTGTGGTGGACTGTCAATACAATTGCAGCGATGGGAGCATCTATCTGGCTAGCTGGCGCACTGGGGGTCATCGGGCGTGCCGGCCAGGGCCACGGGTGGGAAGCCAGTGGATGGAACGACATTTACAATCGGGTCCCCATTTTTGGGGCCTGGGTATAGTGTATGAGTGAGTAGTTGCGCATTTCTTTAGGCTCCCGGCATGATATAGTTGCCTTTGGACGTACTGAGTAATAGCGCCAGAGAGGGCGTGGTTTTATTAATGATGATGATGATGATTATGATCGTGACTATGACAACGATGATGATCGAGTAGATACCAGGATCTACAAGCTAGCGCACATTATAGCGAAGAGGGATTGCGAAGGCTCTTGAATCGGGCTTGTTTGTTTGCTTGTCTAATTGACGGTATAAGAGTTCCCCCCGGTATTTTTGCACGCCACGCCGGGTACTCCCACCAATCCCGACCGCCCCTCTAAAAAAAAATTCTAAGGAAAAAAAGACTCAGTTGGCCGTCTGGTTTCCTATATTCCCTACTTACCTTGCTTTATGTGACGATCAAATCCGTCCATGAGTCTGTTCCATCTTAAGTCTTTTCGCACTCAACTCACTAATCAGTACTTCCAAACCTCAATACCTCCTCTTCTGTCAGTCTTTCTCTCGCGCTCAAGGGTGAATGCGACAGCCCCTTTTAGGCGATATCAATCTCACCAACCATATCCTATTTTGCGCGCCATGGATACCTCGGAGCACTTGATTCAATACTCCGGTACGGACTATAGAGCGGTGAAAGAAGGGGGGGCGTATATACTGAATCCGCCTGCTCAGGACGCCGCTTCCAAGGCCACGAGAAAGGATCTCAAAGCTGACGACGAATCTCAATCCGTGTTCTATAATCCTATTCAGCAATTCAACCGTGACCTCAGCGTTCTCGCAATTCGAGCCTATGGTGAGCATCTTCTGGCTTCCAAAAAACAGAAAGCAGAAATCCGAAGACAAAAAAAGGCAGAAAATGGCGGATCAAAGAGTAAGAAGCGCAAGCGAGAGGACGAAACCAACCAGGCAGAGGATCAAAGTGAACAGGCAGTTGAGCCCACTTCTGCGGCAAGTGCTGATGTACCTTCGGAACAAACTATTACGCCATCATTTACCATATTAGATGCTCTTTCTGCTACAGGTTTGCGTGCGCTGCGGTATGCCAAGGAGATTCCGTTTGCTTCCTATGTCGTTGCAAACGATCTTTCGGAATCCGCTATCCGATCAATGAAGACAAATATCGAATACAACAAACTTGAAGAGCGTATCCGACCTAACCTAGGGGATGCGCGCGTCTACATGTACAGTCTGTTGGGATCAGATACCAGCCAAAACCCGGTGCCTCATTACGGTAAATTTGATGTCATTGATCTGGATCCATACGGATCCGCTTCACCTTTCATAGACGCCGCGGTCCAAGCAGTCAAAGATGGAGGACTTCTATGCGTGACTTGTACTGATGCGGGAGTGTGGGCATCGCACGGGTATCCTGAGAAAGCCTTCGCCTTGTATGGCGGCGTCCCGGTTAAAGGACCACATTGCCATGAAGGAGGACTACGTCTGATCATACATGCACTTGCCATGTCTGCCGCCAAGTATGGACTTGCAATTGAACCCTTACTATCACTATCGATTGATTTCTACGCGCGTGTCTTTGTCCGGGTCCATCGTTCACCCGCCCAGGTCAAATTTGTTTCTGGCAACATGATGACAGTGTTCAATTGTGACGAGGGCTGCGGAGCATGGTCCATCCAGCCCCTAACACAAACAAAGCAGAAGCTTGATAAGAAGGGAAAGCCTTTCCCTCATTTCGGCTTTGCTCAAGGTCCGACTTCAGACTCTCGTTGCGAACATTGCGGCTCAAAGATGCATGTAGGAGGCCCAATGTGGTCCGGACCACTTCACAATCCACATTTCATTCAAAATATCCTTACTATGCTTCCTAAGCTTGATCAAGGCGTTTATCAAACTGTTGATAGGATTGAGGGTATGCTTACTACCGCTCTCGAGGAGGATTTGAATCTCAACACCGCTGATGGCAATACATCATTGAAGCTCAACGATGCACAAACGGTCAATGTTGATACTACTGCGATTGTTCCTCGGGTTGATCCCGCCCTGAGCGACAATTTTCCGTTTTATTTCAGTCTGAGTGCGATATCTAAGGTTCTTCGTACTGCTACCATTTCCATTGACGCGATGCGAGGAGCTCTTCGACACTTAGGCTATCGAGCAACTCGCACCCATGCGAAACCAAATACTATCCGCACTGACGCCCCTTGGGATGTGATCTGGGAAATCATGCGAGAGTGGGTCAGACAGAAGTCTCCAATTAAAGAGGGTGCTCTCAAACCCGGAAGCCCCGGTGCTGTGATCATGTCGAAGGGTCGTGATGATGTTCCTAAAATTGACAACAACAATCAGAAGGTGCTGGAACCATTGAGGAGGGAGCTTCAGCTGGTATTGAAGCAAGAAGGAAATCTTACAGATATAGTGAGCAGGCTCGAAGCTGCCTTGGAACGGACAGGTGCCCATCGAGCGCCGGGAACTAAGTCGGGGGCCCCTACCCAGAGCAATGGCCAGTATGACTCAGAAACATCTACCCCTAGTCCTGGCTCCCTAGCCCGAGTCAAATCTATAACTAGACCTCATCCCAGCACTTTGGAAGTGGTGTTCGACGAGGCACTGGGGAAGGAGGTATCCAGGAAACGGCTTGTTCGATATCAGCTCAACCCTCGTGAAAATTGGGGTCCTTTGAGTAGAGCGTCTGGCAGCGGGTAGGTAAAGCCACCAAAGTTGGTCTTCCCATATCTTTTTTTGCTTTTCTCTATTTCTTACTGCGCATAACCAATAGGCAACACGCCTCATTCAAGCGCGAACTGCGGCATAATGGAAGATATCACCTGAACTTGGTGTAGATCAACTTTCTATAGCGCAGGCCAGAGAACGTTCACTGTGTCATAATATCTTTCCCGTAATTTCAAGCGCTGTAATATAGGTCCTAAGAGAATTACCCTGCGCGCTTTTGGGAAGCTGTGATAATACAAGACGTCTACAACTGACAATACATCGGCAAGGAGACTGTGAACCATGTCGGATAGTACAAGTGTAATTAGGGGCTCAACTCTGGATCTGCTACTATTGTCAGGATATGCCCCGAGATCGGAGCAATGTAAAGATAACAAGGAGACTTGGATGATTTGAGAATGAGACCCGGACGCCAATTAATCTATCTGTATGACTGTGTGGTCCAAAGACATAGAAATAGTAAATTCGCCCTGTTTACATGTTCAGAATTTCGACACGGCAACCGCCACGGCCTGCGTATCACTGTGGCTGATGCTGACATTAACTTGCTTGACGCCAGCCTGCTCGGCAGCCTCAGCGGCGACACCATGAAGCTACGCGATTTGTCAGTACTTGAGCCGAAGATGGTAGGTCAAGGCTATACTCACATGAACAACAGGCGCACCCGTTGAATCGGTAGCGATTTCAATGTCCTTCAGGGGGGAACCAGCACCCTTACTACTTACGCCCAGGGACTTGAAAACCGCCTCTTTCGCACTCCAACGACCCGCAAAGGATGCGCGTGGAGATGGTGCCTTTAGACAATACTCCTGCTCGCTGGCAGTGAAATTTCGCTCGATAAAGGTCTCATTATCGATGTTGAAACTCTCAATGTTCTCCACGTCAACACCAACCTTCGAGTCCTGGGTGGCGTTAGCTTTCGCGAGAGACTCAATCATTGATCGCGTGCTCTCAGTTGCGTCGACATCACTAGCCTTCGGGGGCACTTCCGGAAATTTGAGCTCGGACGTTTTCTTATCCACAGCGACGCGGTAATCAGGATTGAGGAAGATCTTGCTTTGCTGAGCATCCTCATAGGGAGCCTTATCTTTCGCAACGAAGATGCTATTGTTGATGAGGCCGTTGTGGAAGTAACGGTAAGCCTTCTTCTGTCTAGCTTCAACCTTGACCTTGTAGTTTTGAAACTGTGCCCGATCCAGGGTTGCGTAAAGATACTTGGGGTGGATTCCAATGACCTGGGCGCCCTTTTGACCAAAACCGAACGACGTTACTGAGAAAGCATTGATTCCATCCGTCTGAATGCTGCGGCTAGGATAGACGATATAATCGAACTTTTCCATGACCTTGTCCACGTTATCAGCATTGCGGTTGCCTGGAACCAAACCACTATCGAGGACCTGCAGACAGCCGTTGAACATCCAAGCACCAGCAGCGCCCTTGGGATGACCAGTAAGATACTTCTGAAAAATGCCCAGAAGCGCATTACCCTTCTTACGACCCAGATGCTTCATCTGCTGACAGATAACATCGGATTCATTCTTGTCATTAGCGACGGTAGAGGTACCGTGGAAGGATGCGACACCAATATCGTCCACAGTGAGGCCCCAGGTAGCAAGGGCGCCGCGAAGAGGAGCGATTCGAGGATCTTGCTTCCAGAAATTGTTGCCAAGACTGAATTGAGCGTCCTTCTCCTGTCGGACAGCTTCTCGCTCGATGTGGCGGGCCCGCTCCTGTAGATACTCCGACTCGTCGAATGCCTCGGAGCTCTGGGACTTCATGGCTTCCACCTCCTCCTGAAGGTAGAGCAGCTCTGATTCTTGCCACTCTTTAATTTGCTTCTTACGCAGTTCAAGCTGGCGCTGACGATATTTGATATCCAACAACGGGGAAGGAAATTTGCCCGGGTTCTCTCGCGCGGTGGTGAGAACACCTTGGCCGGGAGCGGGCACCGATCGTCCAATCTTGTCCGTAGCGGTCGTCGTCAGGGCGATGATACCATAGATTGGCACGCCCATATCCAAAGCTAGCTGGGCACTCATGATGAGTTGCATACCACATCCCTGGGATTCCATGAAGCCCGCACGAGTGGTGGTGGTGGGACGCGACATCTCTTGCGGGGTTCGGCCGTGGGCGAATTCATCCTCCGCGTTACTGGTGGCCTTCATATTTGCAAATTCATATGATCCTTCTTCTTGGAAATCGTCAAAACCACCCACAAAGCAGACGCGAGCTTTGCCCTCCACGATTGTCTCATAACCGATATCAACCGACTCGACTGCCGTGGCACAGGCGCCGACAGGAGTCTTGATTGGACCCGTAGAAGACAATAGAAGCATGTTGACCCAAGCGCTCATGGTATTGATGAAAGATTCCTGAAGAATATCTTTCTGAAGAGGCTTGTCCAAGTACCGATCTTTATACATGCCTCGTAACGCATGAGTACCTCCGATACCGGAACCGATGCAGTTACCAACCTCAGACAAGTGAACATACTTGTAGAACTCATAGGGGTCGGTGACACCAGCAGAAAGCATAGCTTCCGCAGTACAAACGAGAACAAACAATGTTACGGGATCAACTTGCTCGATGATGTCGTCGGGAATACCATAGCGCTTGGCATCCCAGCCTGTGGGAATCTGGCCAGCAACGAGACGATCAAATTGCAGGGCCTTAGGGATAAGCAAAGTGGCCCCCTTCTTGAGACGCACAGTGTACTCTCCCGATTCAGGCAATTCAAAAATTTCAACCTTGTCGCCATGCTCGCGCTTGAATTCTTCGGCGGTTTCCTTCGACGCTTCAAAGGGATCGAGATCCTCTTGGATGACGATTTCTTGGAGAAGTTGCTTCTTCTTAGGGTCATAGCCCTTGAACAGCTCAGGCTCAATCAACCGGATGCCCGAGTGCTCGAGAATATGCTTTTCGTACTTCGGCTTGACGTCCTTGTCGTCCACAGGCTCGCCAGTCTTCGCGTCAACCCAGCCAGAATAAGCCTTACCCTTGAGAGGACCGTTGTGGTGCTTGATTAGACCCATGATCCAGGCCATCTCAACACAGCCTTCGAGAGAGAACTTTCCATAGGCCTCCATCTCCCAGCGAGTACGAGAGTTACCCCAAGGGCCAACTTCTGAAAATCCGGTCACAACAACCACCTTGTCAAGATTGACCATGCCTTTCAGATTGCCATTGAGTGGCTGAACATCCTTCTCCCAATCTGGGAGGTGCGGGAATTGGAACTTGATGTTGGCACGGGGCTCGGCAACCACCCGTTTGTAAAGCACCTCGCTATCCTCACCATTGACAACTTTGTTCTCGATGGCGGTTTCTTTGATGACAGCTTGACGAACATCACTAGTCTCCATAATGTCAGTGCGGAGCCTCGTCATGAGATCTTTGAGATCGGGGATGAACTGAAGACCACCATTGAGATCAGCCCAAACAGGGTCAAGCTGGCACAGGTTAACGATAGCGGGAGCCATGAGACCAAGCAGGTTGAAAGCCATCTCTTGCTGTGAGAAAGTACGGACGCCGAGCTTCTCAACGCCTTCGGCAACCATGTTGTTACCACTCATTAATCCTGTACCGCGTGTCCAGCCAATCACAGCACCACAGATGGTCAAATAATTGCTCCAATTCTCTGAGTACCAGCGATTGAATAGGGTCTCTAGGGCTAGTTTCGACTCCGAATACAGACCATCATTTCCGAATGTGCCGTGGTTGGGAGACAAGGGAAGGATGACCTGTGCTGGGCGAGTTTCGAACCCGTTGGTCTGTTTTTGCGTTTTGATGCTACCAAGGAGGCGCAGCAGGTTTGTGAGCATGATGCGATGGGCCAACTCGGATTTGGAGTCGATCGAATCGATTTCGCGACCGTTTTCTGGAATGGCGGCAAATGGCACAACAAAATCGAGATCCCAGCCGAGACCCTTCTTAGTGTCATAGATGTAGTCGACCAGTGCTTCAACATCTTGTTTACTACCTTGGTTGAACGGCACAACGACTAATTGGGAGCCACGAGCACCATAGCGAGCGTACATGGCTTGATAGTACTCAGTGACCTCACGAGAGAATCGACTTGTTGTGACAATCACCTTAGCACCACCGCTAATCAGGCCCTGCAGCACCTCAGCACCGATGGAACCAGCTCCAGCTCCAGTCATAAGAACATTCTTTCCTTGGAATGTCAGACCTGACCGTGCTGCTGACTCCAGGACGTCCAGATAGACGCCGGTGAGCTTCTTGTTGTAATCCCAGCCATGTTCATTCTTCTTCTTCAAATGCAAGAACGGGATGGTCTCAACCTTGCCGGCTCGAGGGCTACCGTTGCGCTTGATACTGTTCCTGCCAGTCTTCTTCCCGTTGCCATTTTCCTGCGGTATGATCTGGTTCTCGTTCATGCTCAAGGCGCGGATGACCTCTTTGTAGAGAGCGTTGAACTGTAGCTGCGAAGACTTGGATAGGCGGTGCTGTCGGCGAATCAACTTATAGACACTGCGTAGATCATCTTGCACTTTGGCGCGGTTACTGTACTCTGATATGGGACCTCCCTCAGCCATCTGTTTGACATAATGCTCCAGTTTACGAGCGCTAGCACGAGGCACCTCCTTGTAGCCAACCTTTCCTCGGGCATCAACAGTGGTTTGAGGTCCAGTAGGAACCGCAACATCCTTGTAGACAGGAGCAGCGTCGAGAACCTCCTTGCAGTTTTCGATGAGTTGCTCACCAAGTTCTTTGGCTAGCTGGTACGTTTCGCCACGGTCAGTCGGGCAGTTGTCAATATGATACTGCATGAAATCAAGAAGGAGAGGATTTGACCGGTTCATGATACGAATGCAGCGGCTCACAATCTCTCTGTCCACGACCTTCAGTCTTCCAAAGATGATATCGTAGTACATGCTCAAAGCATCCTGACGGGCCCAGTTCCAAGAGGAATCGTAAACACGGGCTTTGAGAGGATCGAACGCCGGCTCGATGCCAGAAGCATAGAAATCGCCGTGTTCAGCCTGCCAAAGATCTAGCTGCGCTTGCAATGTCTTTTGAGTCTCCTGGGAATTGATGAAAGCCTTTTGACCTGCGCGCAGATCCATCTTTAGGTAACGCGCGATGAGCTCCAGCTGCTGCTTGAACAGGGCACGCTGATCTTTCGTCAGAGCATCGATGGCGGCGGGATCCATGAGCATGCCACCGGCGCCAGCACCACCATCTCCTCCAGGTGCAGGCGCCGACAGACTAATACCGGCACTGGCAGCGTACTTGTTCGTTACATCATCGAGGTAACCCTTGGCGTCGGGTTCCGAGCCGATACGAGATGGCGGCTCCATTGTGAGTGCAAGCAGGAGCACACCGTCCTGTCTGCCGGAGCCCAGGCCCCATCTTGTCTCCAGGTATTTACGTACGGCGGTAATATTGAAACCTCCCGGCATCTTCGAGGATACCAGTCGGGCAATGAGGGAAGAAGATTGTTTGCCCAATTGACCGTTGAATGTGGCCTGCATGGATGCACCTAACTCATCCAAGGGAGTATCTTCCGGCTTTTCGGGTGTGGAACCAAACTCTTTGCCCAGATCTCCAAGGATCTCATTCTGTAGTGTCGATTTACCTATCGACGCCAGCTTAGCATATATTTGATTGATTGCTCGGGTAGATTTGAATGGTACCTACCTCCGACGAGATCTTTGATGGCCTTGCTAAGAGGCACATCAGACAAACTCTTCTTGAGCTTCTGCGCCACCAATGTCCTGAGAACGTCAACCGCTGTAACAGGAGCATCCTCAATTGCCGCAGCAGGTCCAGCACTAGGCGAAGGAGCAACTGCCGCTGGTGCGGCAGTGGCAGCGGCAGGAGCAGCGGGAACCGGAGTGGCAGCGGTGGATTCTGACGGAGTATCGGCCTCCTCTTCCACGGGGTCGACATCATAGTAAATCTCCTTTGCATCCTTATTATAACAGAGTATTTGGCGTTGCACGGAAGTAGCGGCGTCGTATGCTTCATATTTCGAGGCGAGAGTCCGTTTGGCCATACCACCCAGTGTATCCGCAGGACCAATTTCGACAATCCGTTCTGTGCGTTTCTCTGCAAGTATGACATCTTGAGTTTCAATCCATCTCACTGGAGAGGCAAACTGGTAGGCCAGTAGCTCAACCAGCAGAGTGTGGGCCAACTCCTGCTCAATTTCGGGACGCATCTTGACGGTGGAGAGATTTCAGAATATACCCACGTGTGGCTGGGATATGAAAATAGTCAACGTTGGCGGCTGACTTATAATCGTTCAAATCAGGGAGACGACTTGCAAGTCGTGCGTCAATTGGTGGGAAGAAGTGGCAACCAGGTGTTTGGTGAGGTGAATACCACAAGACAAAGAAAAGTGGAGGGTGAATTTAGGGTAACAAGAGGGGGCTGAGAATCATTAAAGTGATAATATAGTTTGGGTGAATCCTAACTAGAGATATGAACAGGTCAGTCTAAGTTGATTCCGAAAGTAATAAATATCCTCATTGAACCTTCTGTCAATTTCTTGAAGCACAACTTCAGGTGCCTAGACAAGCTGCCAGGCGCGTGCAGGAAAAGAAAAAGCTAGAAGGGAATGTGAAAAATGATCCAGGGCAGCTCTGTGTGGGAATAAGAAATACTCACCCCCAGTTTAGGACCACTATCAGTGGGGGAGGGAAAGAGGGAGATGGGGAAGGGAATTCGCCGACTGACCACAATCCAGATATGTCCCAGGGAAAGTAAGTGGATGAGAATTGAGGCGATCAAGAATATGATTTCGGAGAAAAAAATACACTAATACGAATAGGAAAAAAAATAATTAAACGCCCAAGAGTGAGAAGGGTAAAGAAGAGGGGCGGTGGATGGCAGAAAGGTTGGTGATAGTATGTTGCGACAACCGGAAGCGTACCAAAGTCTTGTATCTAATGGATGGGACGGGACATCCGACTGAGCCTTTTTTTTTTTTCTTTTGGGTGAGTGTTGGGGCGGAAGTTGATTTTCATACGGTACGGGAAGCACTGCATGAAATATGAATTACTTATTCCAGGCAGGCTTTCGGAGCCGAGAACGAGCACCTGGCGGGCACGAAAAGTAAGGATCTTGAGTGGTAACAACCGAGTCAAGTGAAAAGAAGAAAAGAACCAGTTTATCAGAGGAAGTATGATTGGTGCAAAAGTGGTTGGTGTAAAGGATTGTAATTGAATCAGACTTGACAGGTTGAATTCAGCAGCTCCATACTCTGTAGAATACTTGGATACGTATTTGGGTACGTACTACTAACAAGTTCTGTTGGTGAGATAGGATAAGAACAGCTAACTACTTCCTTGGAATCAAGGGCTGCATCAAACAGCACACACTCACTCATCTTGTTGAATGGTCGCAAATGGCCAGAAAATAGTCGGCAATCGTCAGGTATTGTCACCGTGCCTTCAGGTCCAGCCCAACCATTTCAGATTTTTGGGGAGAGGCGGCCAACCACCTTACCGAATTTGGTCAGTTCCCATTCAACCAGCCCACGCCGGCGGATCTCTTCCTCCGCCCGGCCGGTTCAACAGTGTGCACAACCGCCCTATCTCGGCGCCGGGATTCCAAAATTACTACTAGTCCCGCAAGCTGCTGAATCACTCTCGCGCTTTTCAATTGCCCATTCAAGGCTTCAATTCCATCCTTTCCCTCGTGTTTATTCTGCCCTTCTCCTCCTACTTCCCCTCGTCTCTCCTTCACCTTTCCCCCATATTGTAATACCTATTTTCACCCCTCTCCATACCTCTTTTCCTCCACTAAAATTTCTCCTTCTCTCGTCCCTTCTCTCCCCTCCCTCCTCCTCCCTCCCCTCCTCACTCTCATCGATCCTGTGCTGGACGACGGGACCGGCTGCGTTACTTGAGTTGGGGTCCAATTCACAATCTCTAATAGAAAATAGGTAGGTAATTCAATGAAAAGGGAAAGATCAAAAGACCTTGAACATATCCATGCGCTTTCTTTCTTTTTCCTTCGGCGCTCTTTTCAATCCCCGAATTCTTCCATTGTCAATACATACTTATCGATATCAGAACCTACGCACTTTTCCGTTTAATCTCTTCTTTCCCAACGCCCTCTTCGACTTTTCGCTCTTAGACTTTATCGAAAAGAGAATCAAAGGATGTATGGAACATCTACTGGCCCTCAAACGGGCATTAATACTCCTCGCTCCTCACAGTCATTGAGGCCACTCATCTTGGCCCACGGCTCGCTTGAATTTTCTTTTCTCGTGCCGACATCGCTTCATTTCCATGCTTCCCAGTTGAAGGACGCCTTCACAGCATCATTACCACAGCCAACGGATGAGCTTGCCCAGGATGATGAACCTTCATCGGTTGCGGAATTGGTGGCTAGGTACATCGATCACGTTGCGCGGGAGGTGGAAGAGGGTGAGGACGATGCCCAGGGCACCTATTTGGAGGTTCTGAAGCTGGCATTGAATGAGTTTGAACGAGCATTCATGCGAGGCAACGATGTGCACGCTGTGGCTGCGAGCCTTCCCGGCATCACCTCGAAGAAGGTTCTTGTCGTGAAGGCCTATTATGCCGGTAGAGCCGCTGCTGGACGGCCTACCAAACCTTACGATTCTGCCCTCTTCCGGGCTGCGTCGGAAGAGAAGGCGAGCATCTATTCGGTGTTTGGAGGACAAGGTAACATTGAAGAATACTTCGACGAGCTCAGAGAAGTTTATACCACCTATCCGTCGTTCGTGGATGATCTGATCACATCCTCTGCCGAGTTGCTTCAATCCCTTTCCCGGGAGTCTGAAGCCAACAAGCTCTATCCAAAAGGCCTGGACATCATTCAATGGCTCCAGGATCCGGACTCTCAACCTGACACCGATTATCTGGTGTCCGCTCCTGTCAGCCTACCCTTGATTGGTTTGGTTCAACTCGCGCATTTCGTCGTTACTTGCAAGGTCTTGGGCAAAACACCAGGTGAAGTTCTCGAAAGATTCAGTGGTACCACTGGTCACTCTCAGGGAGTGGTCACCGCTGCGGCAATTGCCTCGGCCACTTCATGGGACAGCTTTGACCAGGCCTCTAAGAACGCCTTGACTATGCTTTTCTGGATTGGTCTGCGCAGCCAGCAAGCCTATCCGCGAACCTCTATTGCTCCCTCAGTCCTGCAAGACTCAATTGAGAATGGCGAAGGTGCACCAACACCGATGTTGTCTATTCGAGATCTTCCAAGAGCAGCCGTTCAAGAACACATTGACATGACGAACCAGCATCTCCCCGAGGACCGCCACATTTCCATCTCTTTGATCAACAGTGCTCGTAACTTTGTTGTTACTGGACCTCCCTTGTCCCTGTATGGTCTTAATCTGCGTCTACGCAAGGTTAAGGCGCCCACAGGTCTGGACCAGAACCGGGTTCCTTACACCCAGCGCAAGGTGCGCTTCGTCAACCGATTCCTGCCTATCACCGCCCCATTTCATAGCCAATACTTGTATCCGGCGTATGATCGTATCCTGGAAGATCTGGAGGACCTAGAAATCTCTCCTGAATCGCTTGCCATCCCCGTCTACGGCACCAAGACTGGAGATGACCTACGAAAGACTGCTGAAACCAATATAGTACCGGCGTTGGTTCGCATGATCACCCACGATGCCGTGAACTGGGAACAAGCCACAGTTTTCACTGGTGCTACACACATCGTTGACTTTGGTCCTGGCGGTATCTCTGGCTTGGGTGTGCTCACTAATCGCAATAAGGATGGAACTGGTGTTCGTGTCGTACTTGCAGGAGCTATGGATGGTACCAACGCCGAGGTGGGATATAAGCCTGAGCTATTCGATCGTGACGAGCATTCGGTCAAGTATGCCATTGATTGGGTCAGAGAATACGGGCCGCGACTTGTGAAGAACGCAATGGGCCAAACCTTCGTCGACACCAAGATGAGCCGACTGCTTGGTATCCCGCCTGTCATGGTGGCTGGAATGACCCCTACTACTGTTGCTTGGGATTTTGTTGCCGCCACGATGAACGCCGGCTATCACATCGAGCTTGCTGGTGGCGGCTACTACAATGCCAAGACCATGACGGACGCTGTCACCAAGATCGAGAGGGCCATACCCCCAGGTCGTGGTATCACAATTAACTTGATCTATGTCAATCCCCGCGCTATGGCGTGGCAGATTCCTTTGGTTGGTAGGCTGAGGGCCGAGGGCGTGCCCATTGAAGGTCTGACAATCGGTGCCGGTGTCCCGTCTATCGAAGTGGCAAATGAATACATTGAGACTCTGGGAATCAAGCATATTGCATTCAAGCCGGGCTCTGTCGATGCTATTCAACAAGTCATCAACATTGCGAAGGCAAACCCGAAATTCCCCATCATCCTTCAATGGACTGGAGGTCGTGGTGGTGGACATCACTCATTCGAGGACTTTCACCAACCAATTCTGCAAATGTATAGCCGTATTAGACGCCATGAGAACATCGTTCTTGTCGCCGGCAGCGGCTTTGGTGGCTCTGAGGATACTTACCCCTATCTCTCCGGTACCTGGTCTTCTAGCTTTGGATACCCTCCGATGCCTTTCGATGGCTGTTTGTTTGGCAGCCGTATGATGATCTCTAAGGAGGCCCATACGTCAAAGAATGCGAAGAAGGCCATTGCTGATGCACCCGGTCTTGATGATAAAGATTGGGAGAAGACATACAAGGGAGCTGCAGGAGGTGTGGTTACCGTCTTGTCGGAAATGGGTGAGCCAATTCACAAGCTGGCTACCAGAGGTGTATTGTTCTGGCACGAAATGGACCAGAAGATATTCAAATTGGACAAGGCCAAGCGGCTCCCTGAGCTGAAAAAGCAGCGCAACCATATCATCAAGAAGCTGAATGATGATTTCCATAAGGTCTGGTTTGGTCGCAATGCTGCTGGCGAAACCGTTGATCTCGAGGACATGACCTACGCTGAAGTCGTCCATCGTATGGTGGACCTCATGTATGTCAAGCATGAGTCGAGATGGATTGATGATTCTCTTAAGAAGCTGACTGGCGATTTCATTCGTCGTGTTGAGGAACGGTTTACTATATCCGAGGGTCAGCCGTCTCTTCTCCAGAATTATTCTGAGCTCAATACGCCTTATCCTAATATCGACCATATCCTGGCTTCTTACCCTGAGGCGGCCACTCAGCTAATCAACGCCCAGGATGTCCAGCATTTCTTGCTGCTTTGCCAGCGCCGGGGACAGAAGCCAGTTCCCTTTGTACCTTCTCTGGACGAGAACTTCGAATATTGGTTCAAGAAAGACTCTCTCTGGCAGAGCGAGGACTTGGAGGCTGTTGTGGGCCAGGACGTCGGCAGGACGTGTATTCTCCAGGGCCCCATGGCTGCCAAGTTTTCCACTGTTATTGACGAGCCTGTTCGTGACATCTTGGATGGCATCCATCAGGGCCACGTCAAAAGTCTGATCCAGGACGTCTATAATGGGGACGAGACCCAAGTGCCCGTCATCGAGTATTTCGGCGGACTGTTCGATAAGATCGGTGACGATCAGGATATCGATGGTTTAACAATTGCTCAGGATGATGATAAGATCACTTACCGCTTGTCAACTTCCCCCTCGGCGGACCTACCTGATTTGGATCGCTGGCTTTGTGTACTTGCAGGCTCATCTTATTCCTGGAGACATGCTTTATTCCTGGCCGATGTGTTCGTTCAGGGTCATCGTTTCGATGCTAATCCCTTGAAACGCATCGTTGCACCGGTATCAGGCATGTATGTGGAAATATCGCATCCCAATGATCCCTCCAAGACTAGTATCGTTGTCAGAGAGCCTTACCAATCCGGCAAACTGGTGAAAACGGTAGAGGTAAAAATGAATGAGAACAGTCAGATAAGCCTCACGCTTTTCGAAGGGAGAACAGCAGAAGCCGCTGTTGTTCCTTTGACATTCCTCTTCACATATCACCCAGAAGCAGGATACGCACCCATCAGAGAAGTCATGGAAGGCCGCAATGATCGCATCAAGGAGTTCTACTATCGTGTTTGGTTCGGCAACAGGGATGTTCCGTTTGATACTCCGACAACTGCCACTTTCAACGGTGGACGTGAAATCATCACTGCTCAAGCCGTGGCTGACTTTGTCCATGCTGTTGGGAACACTGGTGAAGCCTTTGTAGATCGGCCTGGCAAAGAGGTCTTTGCCCCTATGGATTTCGCCATCGTCGCAGGGTGGAAAGCTATCACAAAGCCTATCTTTCCGCGTACAATCGATGGTGACCTCCTGAAGCTGGTTCACCTTTCCAATGGATTCAAAATGGTCCCTGGGGCTCAGCCCTTGAAGGTCGGTGACGTCTTGGATACTTCGGCTCAAATCAACTCGGTCATCAATCAAGAGTCAGGTAAAATGGTCGAGGTCTGTGGCACCATCCTCAGGGATGGTAAGCCCATTATGCATGTTACTAGTCAGTTCCTGTATCGCGGTGCCTACTTGGATTTCGAAAATACCTTCCAGCGCAAGGACGAAGTGCCTATGCAGGTTCATCTTGCTTCAAGTCGAGACGTGGCCATCCTCCGGTCGAAGGAGTGGTTCCGTATGGATGAAAACGATGTCGAACTGTTAGGCCAAACATTGACTTTCCGTCTTCAGAGTTTGATCCGCTTCAAGAACAAGACCGTCTTCAGCAATGTTCAAACTGTGGGTCAGGTGCTCCTGGAATTGCCCACCAAGGAGGTTATCCAGGTAGCTTCTGTGGATTATGAGGCGGGTACTTCTCATGGAAACCCTGTGATCGATTACCTTCAGCGCAATGGTACTTCCATTGAGCAGCCGGTCTACTTTGAGAACCCAATTCCTTTAAGCGGCAAAACTCCACTAGTTTTGCGCGCTCCTACATCCAATGAGACATATGCTCGTGTTTCGGGTGATTACAACCCCATCCATGTGTCCCGGGTATTCTCCAGTTATGCCAAGCTACCCGGCACCATCACCCACGGTATGTACACGAGTGCTGCCGTCCGCAGTTATGTCGAAACCTGGGCCGCAGAAAACAACATTGGCCGTGTTAGAGGATTCCATGTCTCACTTGTTGGCATGGTCTTGCCCAATGACATGATTACAGTTAAGCTGCAGCACGTCGGCATGATTGCCGGTCGTAAAATTATCAAGGTTGAAGCTAGTAACAAGGATACCGAAGAGAAGGTTCTGCTGGGCGAAGCCGAGGTCGAGCAACCAGTCACGTCCTACGTGTTCACTGGACAAGGATCACAAGAACAGGGAATGGGTATGGAACTCTATGCCAGTAGCCCTGTTGCAAGGGAAGTCTGGGACCGCGCAGATCGTCACTTTATCGAGAACTACGGTCTTTCCATCATCGATATTGTCAAGAACAATCCCAAAGAACTCACCGTCTACTTCGGCGGACCAAGAGGTAAAGCTATCCGTCAAAATTACATGTCGATGACCTTCGAAACTGTCAACGCGGATGGATCCATCAAGTCGGAGAAGATCTTCAAGGAAATTGACGAAGAGACTACTTCTTACACTTACCGCTCACCCTCTGGGCTTCTCTCCGCGACCCAATTTACACAACCAGCCCTTACTTTGATGGAGAAAGCAAGCTTCGAAGACATGCGTTCGAAGGGACTTGTCCAAAGAGACAGCAGCTTTGCCGGTCACTCTCTTGGTGAATACTCGGCCCTTGCAGCACTGGCTGATGTCATGCCCATCGAAAGCTTGGTTTCCGTTGTTTTCTATCGTGGATTGACAATGCAGGTGGCTGTGGAGAGAGACGAGCAAGGTCGCTCAAATTATTCGATGTGTGCCGTCAACCCTAGTCGGATTTCGAAGACCTTCAACGAACAAGCCCTTCAATATGTTGTAGAAAACATTTCAGAGCAAACTGGCTGGCTTCTGGAAATCGTTAATTACAATGTTGCCAATATGCAGTACGTTGCTGCTGGTGATGTAAGTGCCTTCCTCTACAACATGCTATTCCCTACGACAGGCGATTTCAACGTTACTAATCTCGAGGCCAGTTGCGAGCCCTTGACTGTCTCACGAACCTACTCAACTATCTCAAGGCCCAAAACATTGACATTCCCGCCCTCATGCAGAGCATGTCTTTGGATGATGTCAAGTCGCATCTTGTGAAGATGATTGATGAGTGCGTGAAGCAAACTGAGTCGAAGCCCAAGCCCATCTCGCTTGAGCGTGGCTTCGCCACCATACCATTGAGAGGTATCGACGTACCATTTCACAGCACCTTCCTTCGGTCTGGTGTAAAGCCTTTCAGGTCCTTCCTTCTCAAGAAGATCAACAAGACCACTATTGACCCCAGCAAGCTGGTCGGTAAATACATCCCAAACGTCACAGCAAGGCCATTCGAAATAACGAAGGAGTATTTCGAGGATGTTTACCGTCTCACGAACTCCCCTAGGATCGCCCATATCCTGGCCAACTGGGACAAATACGACGAGGGAAGTGAGAGTGCAGCTCGAAGCTAAAATTAGACCATTATTCTAGTATATAGGCTTTATTCTTGTTATCGATTCTAATCTAGCTGATAATTTCCGTCTGTACATACTCAAGTGAGCGTTTCCGAGGAGTATAGTGATGATAGGAGGCTGCTCGCGTCCTGCTATCTGCTCATACCGATGCTGGAAACGATCCCGTATCCCTACCTTGGAAGCCATTTCCACGTGGTTGCTGCTCAACCAATATGGGTCACGACGTGCATGCACCTATTGTCAGTTTGAGTACTAATGTAGAGCGGAGAGGGTCAAGGAACATTGAAATATGATTTATGGCCTGCGCCTGCCGACACGTCAACTCCGGAGTCACGAAGGGAAAGATTGCTCTTGCTGTCATTCTTTGCATTTAATAGCTTGCTAGTCGTCACATAATGCTGGTGCTCATTTGGAGGAAGTGGGATCGCGGAGCATTTCAAAAATCTAGGCTTCCTTCAATATCCCGGGTCTCAAGAGCCTGTCTTCCTTTCCATACACCCCAACATCTTTGACAATAGCTATGAATCTTCTGTGGTTCTCTTTGGATTCACCAATGCGAGGACGGAATACCTTCAGCAGATCGCTGCTCAAGATGCCATTTGATGGGATAGCAGCATGGATTTCAGCGGGTGTAGGGAACCCCTGAGCAATGCTTGACGGTCCTGGTGTAGGGATACGCGTTGAGCCTTCATCAAAAGTGAATAGTAAGCACTGAATTTTTAAGCAGGATAAACAAATCCGGTTTCTGAACCTACCTCTCAACGAGTCCGGGCTATTCGCACGACTTCCCGAAAACCCCTTGTTACTCAACGGAGCCGGGCTGCCAGCCCTAGATCCTTGCGGCGTGCCACTCTGTGGGGTCATCGACGGTGGGTTGAGCTTCAATTTCTTTATCTTCCCACTTTCGCCTACCTCACCACCAGACCCTGCACCACCCTCCAAATCGCTTGCAGAACCTGCCCCTCCTATAGGCACATGGCGAACACGTTTTTTGCTTGCCTATGATGCGTTAGAGATGATATCAGTCGTAAGATTAGATGTTCGCTTACAGGCGCCACTGAGGATGTGGCAGAGACAGATGTAGGTTGCGAGGTATGCGAAGTAGCATATTTGCTCTTTCCCTTCTTGCGAGAGGAATCGGTACCACTCGCATCAGAGGGAGATCCCAGGCGCTTTCGGGGTGCTACTTTCTTCATTAAAGGGTCGGTGTGCTTCGTTCGACCTGATGGTGTAGTATTACCCTTAGAAAATGAATCCTTCTTGTCTTTCTCCTCCTCGGCCTTGCGATCCTCTTCCTTCAGCCGTTCTGCTTCGCTATCATCGGAGCTCTGCTGTAATTTAGTCACAAAGCCAGCGCACAGTGTGTATTGAGAATTGGACTTACCTCTTCATCGGAGTAGGGATTGATGTCCGAGCCACTGCTGTAATCATAGTTCTTCTCTCTTTTCTGAAGTGCCTTCCGTACTTTCTTCCCAAGTACGCGACGCGCTTCCTTCTCTCTCTTCTCTCTCATTTCTTCATCTTCATAATCCTTCTCCTCCTTGAGGTTGAACACATTGGCCTTGAGCTGATCCTGCTTAATCCTTTTTTCTGCCGCCTTTGCTTCCTCGTCTTCGTTGAAGAGGTCGTCATGCTCTTCATCGTCCGCGAAACGGTCCTCTTCAAAGTCCATGTCGTCCGCCTCCAACCCTTCAGCACCGCCAGGTGTACCCTGCTTCCCAGCGTAGACTTTTTGCTGTCTAGCGAACTGTTCAAGCTCTTTGCGCTGAGCCAGTTCTTGTTGCTTCTCCATGAACCATCTCGGATCCTTGACCTTCTTGGCCATGAATCTTTCTGCTTCTTCGATGGTTAAAGCCTTGAATTGGTTCTTTGCGCTGAACCTGTACCATTTTTCTACGGGTAACATCCTCATTTGCCCGGTATTCTCGAGTATGAATACGGCATGGGTCTCAGAAAGAGCAGCTTCATAATTTCCAACCCATATATTCTTATTGTCGAAATCTTCCAAGTGCCACGGCAATGCTTCTTCATACTTGATGCGTGTCCTGGCGATTTCTTCTGGTGTCATATCGGTCCTGGAGACTTGCTGTGTCTTCTGTTTGGGGGCATTAAGTCTTTTCGGCGCCGAGCCCATGGAGGGAGCTATTTGAGCCATATTGTCAGCGCGTTCTTTCTCTCGAGCAGCTTTTCTGGCCTCCAACTCCTCCCGCTCAGCATCTTCGCCCTGATTTGCGGACTCAGAGCCAGTGTGCTGGTTGCTCAAGCCTTTTTCCATAGATGTTTCATGCGAGCGTATCCTTGGATCCCGACGCTGAAGCCTCACAGGTCGAGTGAACTGGGCTTCATCCCTCGGATCAACCGACTTCTTGCTTGAAAACCTCGCAATGTGATATTTAAGACCTTCTCTGACCGCTCGTTTCGTTGTCACGATGGGATAATCGACGAATGTCTCGGTCAAAAGAGGGCCACTAAATCCATTTGTAGAGAAGTCATTTCCAGGTTTGAGAGTATTATTCTTGTCGGACCTAGCCGCCGACAAGGTGCCGGATACAGGCTGTCTGGACGGTAAGGGCTTAGAGGCACCAATCGCGGATGTCAGAGTAGACGGCTTCGTTAACGGCCTTCGCTTGGGTCGTACGAGGGGGTCCGCCACCTTCGGTCGGCGGATCCTCATCAATGGATGTCCATGTGCACCTGTTTGAATGGGCGGGACTGTGTTGGGTGGAGGGGGTGTCATGATGGTCTTGAACAACTTTGCAGGATTAATGGCGTTCGAGCCAGCGATGGTCCGGTAAATGAGTTCGTATCCGCCGATACGTGAGATGAAAGGTTCAGTCAGGTATGTCTTCCAGACTAGAATGCTGTGGTAATCCAGTCAGCAGGAGTTTAGTTGAGTAGACTGTGTGATAGAATCTATGACGAAAATTACAAATAGCCAAGTAGCCAAGTGAATGTGAATGAATGAACTGTCTTACCTACTTTCCTGATTGACTCAGTTAGAGAACCTAGTCAAGTTACTACATTAGTTAGTTAACTAGTTAACTTTAAGTTACCTCTGGACTTGGTTATGTAAGCATGGTGCTTTCCCACACCTTTGCTACAGCTGACTTTCATGATTGAAGATCATGCAAGGATTAAGAATGTGATTGATATAATTCATATATTTGCACTAAGTATTGAAACAAATAATATTAAGGTTGACTTGAGGAACTGACAGTATGCTTATATGTGCTACTTATGTAATGTGTAATGGCTGTAACTATACCAAGTGTTCTAATGATAGCATGTTTTTTCAGCAATTTAGACTCAGTACATTTCAGTTTCCAAATCTCAGGTGCATATTAGAGTTTCAGTTGGGCTGATGGGCAGAGTTAATCTAGAATATCTCCACAACATTCTGGTCATCGCCTGGAAGCTCAAGGTCTAGGTTTTCGGATGCATGGCCTGCTAGGAGCTGACTTGTCTTGTCGTCGCCTTCTTCGTCCCGCATCAAAACTTGGACAAGGCGATCGCAGGCATCACGCACACTCTCGTCATTCACATGGAGGTGGCATTCTCGAATGACTGGATACACTTGAACAGCCCTCATTTTGTCACGCCCTTCTCGTGTTGTTGTCAGCAACAGAAGAGTTTCAATGTGTGTCACAATGATGCTAGTATCTGCATCTCGCTGTTTGTCGGGCGGTAGCAGCTGGAGGTCTGGCAGCATGTCCAATGCTTCCTCCTCGGAATATTCCTCTGGACCTGTGATTGGGAGCAGTATGTAGGGAAGGATATTAGCCTCATCCTCGGACAAAAGGGTGGGATGGAATGGGACGTCAAATGCAACGTTCTTAATCGTTGACGCTACGCCCTTCCTCCGGATGGTACTTTTATGCTCCGTGAACACGGTGAGTTTTGTCACCGGGACAACACCATCATACTCCTGCCGCGAAGTGAAATATGCTCGCCCGTGCTCAGATTTGGAGAGGTCGGCGAAGAGGTAAGAGAGGTAGTCAAAATTTGCATATTTGTTGAGACCATTCTCGGCTCCCTTCACGAAACAGTCCATTAGCTGGTCCATCGCGTTGCCTGATTTGGAGACTGCCTCTGGTGCTTTCCGCTTGAGAGTGAGCAGCCTCTCCATCTTGTTGGATTTCGCTAGATTCGCGAAAAGCATGGCAAATTCATCCGCATTCGATTCTTTGATGTTCTACCGCATCCCAAATTTTAGAAAGAGGATCTTCATCGATGGCAAGAAGGAATCTGACTGGCAACTTACTGTGATCTTCAGAAGAAGCGTTTCAAGAAAAGCGTCATCATTAGCGATGTTGGCAAGCACTTCTTCATCTGCGGAGAGGTTGATAAGTATCGTCAGGGCATTTTTGGCAATTGGCTTTGGTCGACGACCAGGAAGTAACAACGTCAGTCATCATCTGCAGTCGCGGCTAAACGATTGCAGGTTGGTCAAAACACTAACTGCATAATCGCGAACAAGAAGCTTGAGATCTCGCACGGGCAGGAGTTGCTGGCGCTTGAAGAGCTCTGGCTGGACAGTCGAGAAACCAACAAGGTTCTCGCACGCTGGAAACAAATGTCAGATATGTTTGAGACGCATTTCTTGTCGCAGGCAGAGCCACGTATGCAACGGGATGGCGGAGAATTGATAATTGTGACTGGGTAGCCGCAAGGGTGTTGCGGATGAATTTAGTACCAATTTGTCTTATTTGAGTATTTCCATGGTGGAGAAATTCGACGAGCTGGGCGGGAGAAGGGCAGTATATCAGCCGCTAGAAAGTTGTAGGAAGTGTTGGTGGGCAATATATGCTTACCTCTTCTAATTCAGTCGGCATTTTTAAATTGTCAATGGATGTCGTGAGATCAGCGTATAGAACTAAGGAATCAGACTACAAGAACGGTGCCGTGAGGTAAAAAAATCGACCGCTTTGCCTGAGGCAGACGCTCAGCTGTACTCCGGAGTACACTCTCTGATCCTCTTACCTTGTGCTGTACGGAGTCCCTAGTTATGTGCTTGTTGCCCGGGGCTTTTCTTTCCTCTTCCACCACCTCCCGCTCCCCCCGGGGGCCCTTCACCGCCCAGTTTCCTTACCCACACCCCGCCCGCCACCAACCTACTCGGTAGATCCTACAATCCTAAACAATCTATTATTTATACGGACACTGTTACCTGGTACCTGTACTACTGTGGACCCGCGTTAGAACGAAGTATCCCAGCACGCCTGTATACACTGTTAAGAGAGGTCATTGTCATTGGCTTAGCGAAGGCGAATTGGCTGTGGTAGGCAGAATGTCCAAGAATTGTGAGATCGTTTGAAAAGAGAAAGTCGTTGATCTGGGGATCGTTATATGGCGGTTCCACTGTGCCTAGTACTAGGCATGTAGTAATTACTGTGTATGTTGTGAACAGTTCAACCTACCTCTGTAATTAATTCATTGTTAGTGGTCGCTCGGTGGGGTAAGGAGCTTTCAATGCCCGAGTCTCTAAAACGGGATGAGCTCTGAGCACGGTATTTTTCAGCTGCCAAAATGGTTGCTTTCTGTCAAATATAATACAACATAGTAATGGTTCCGTGTCTGTACTTGCATGCGTGAGTCCAGTCTGGATAGTAGTTGTTAACATTCAACTCAAGATATCCGGGATCAAGCTTCGTGAGAAACCTCCTCAAAACAGGCTTGGTTTGGGTGACTCCCGGACCTCAACCGGCCCGCCTGAAGTGGTTCTATATGTCTAAAGTGGGTTTCGACAAGGTGCTGCACAACAGGCCAACCGTGCGCATTGGTGAACATTCTCCGCACGATGATATTATTATGTGCATCGGGCTCAAGACGTACAAGGACCTTGCGCCAAGATAAATCTCGATGATAAGCCCTGGCTATCTTCTCTTCAACTCGAAGGCCACTCTGGGCTTCGCTAATATTATCACGCATTCTGTGTGAGGTATGTTCCAAAGATTCTGGCGCGAGATTTGTCGACCTTCTCTGCGAGGGGCCGAGTGTAAATGTTCGTCGCTTAGCAGCCACTGGGGGTGGTATATCACTGGGATGATATATGCGATCATGAAATATGGTCCTAGGTCTCGACGCAGGATCGAGAATAAATTCAAGTGGAGGCAAAGGGGGCATGAGGAGATCACTTGCCGACTCGAAAAAAGTTGTTTTAGGGGGAGAAAAAGGCTCGTATTCGTGGGCCTGGCCCCTCGCAAACGTTTCCTGAGAATGGGTAGCATGAATTAGGTGGTTGCGTGACACTTCCTCGGGCGTTGCGATTGTCTGACTGCGCTTATATATCTTATCGTGCCTTCGCCTCGCAGACGGTCCGTCTATCTCCTTTGGGCGAATGAACGAGAATAACCTGGTTAAAGGACTAGGAGAATGCAATTCGGCCAGAGACTTTCCTTCCATGGGACCTTCAATTGTATCTAAGGCAGGAAGGCATGGACGCCTATTTGCGGACTGACTGGTCGACGGCGAACCAGGATCATCAGCGGTGTTGCTGTTGATTTCTGACGAAGAATTCGCCTGCACATGCCAAGCTGGCTTGGAGTCGTTTAGAGCCTCACCATCATCAGCCAGTTCTTCGGCATTTGTCCGAGACCGAGGAGATTTCGAATTAGCCCCGGTCAACTCCGCCCAACCCCATTCGGCCATTGTGCCCACGAGACCGTTTTCCCTTCTTGCTTTCTCGACCCTTTCAAGACCTCGCCAATCGAGAAAAAGGAGGCAGGACGTCCGCAAAGGCACGATTCCATCATTAACCACGTTAGCATATAGCGTGCGACGTTGGAATTTTGCAAGAGCTTCATGCGCAGGCCCACAAGGAAGAATTCTTAGAAGTGGTTTCGACCGAGCGTCAGCGTATCCTTGCGACTGACTAGAATCCCCTCTTCCGCCAATCAGAGCCTCCCAGCCGCTCCGAACTTTAGGCGCTGTCCAAGTGAGACCAAGATCTTGCCCAGTCCGACCAACGAGACCTAAATCCAAAGCAAATCGAACATAGATGGGATTTTCGTTGCTGAGACCCAGAAAAGGCGTCGCCAGAGTTACAAAATTGATCGGTTTTATTTCGTTGAAAAAAGTGGGGAAGTGCTTTTGAATATATGCAATGGCATATGTTTGAACAAGTCCCCCGAGCGAGTGCCCTATGAAGCTTATGCTGGTTATCTGGTAAGCGCAAGCTTCGCAAGCTGACTGAGACGTCTTTACGCAAGAAGGGTGAGAAGGATCTGATATTGTCTCGGCGGGCTGGTTGCGATGAGGGAACTGTTCGGTGCGAGATGCCGTTTTTGTTGCACGATTCGAAGGATCCATATGCGCCATCTGAAGAACGTACTTCGCGAGACGCTTGCCAAGGTATTGTATACCACGCTCTGTGCGGACTGCATTTCCAGCGAATCCTCTTACTATAACTTGTTCACCTTCCCCGCATCTGACATGCTGACTCTTATCCGCGGGACCACCGCATTCTTCGGATCTAGCAGCCGTGTTAAAAAATCAGGGCGTGGAAGACAGCTGGACAAGCACGGATTCATGCAGAGTTCATCAAGCAAAGGTTGATTACTTACAAGTCTGGCGAGAGTCGCTCTACGCGTTGGCTTGCGCCACCACTTGAGGAATTACCCTCAGCTGTTGACTTGGTTGTCGTGACAGCAGCATCGATACTCTCTTTGAGGAAAAGCATATCCGCACCTAAATTGCTGTGCAAACCATGAGTCAACACAACAAGATGAACCTGTTTCTTAGAGATCTCATGGACAGAAGTTTTCGGTGTGTGCGCAGACAGAGTTGGTGCCACCGATTCCGCGGCGACCGCATCTCTGATAGATTCACCATTCTCTTCTTCTCCTCTCCTGTGGTCAAACGAGGGGAGTGGTGGTGTGTTCCAAAGACTGGCTGTATCATCAACTCGCAGCGCAATCGCTCGAGAATAGACGCCCTTCTCCGCCAGAACTTGCCTGCCCTTTGACTCAGGTGACCAATGATCCTTCAATTGAGCAGGTCTTGATCTGCCGACCAAGGAACTGCTAGCTGTGGACAAGAGATCCACCGACACCTCATCACGGCCGACTGAGAGCTCGAAGCTGACGGATGCGGTGCTGGAGAACACCACCTGTGAGATGATCTCGATGATCCAGGTAACACTCCGATCATTTTCCGACACTTCCCCTCTACTGAGCTCCCTTCGGAATCGTGGCGAATGATGCGGTAGGGGTATAGTGGCATACCAAGTACCTCCTGCTTTGAGGTAGGGTTCATACTGTGGGTTTGCTTCAGAGTTGTCATGAACAGCTCGGACATTAGGATCGAATGTGGATGGGTAGCATGAGGCGTAGAAGGAATATGGGCCGTGAAGATACGCAGCTCTCAATGGGATGGGGGTCGTGTTCTTAATCTTGACGTATAGTTTCTCCAGGGGTGGACGGATATTATCCATCGCTGGTGTATATGTTAATGTGTATCTATCAGAAAGGGTTTGTTAGCCCAAAGACCAGAAAAACAGGAGGAAAAGAACAAACCGGGCTACCTCGCCCACACGAACACTGCCAGCCTGGTGAACTAAGAGCATTTCACCAGTCCTATTCTGAGCACGGCCAGAAACACGCCACCCCTGAAGTGTATGAAATTCGAGAGTACTTGTGCTGTTGGCAGAGACGACACCCTGATCTAGTGTTTGCGAAACAGAATATGTTCGTGGAGTAATGAACATTGAGTTTAGATCTAAATGATGCCATTATTCAGACAATCGAGGACACTTTCCGTATCGAGTCATAGACTGAGTTTCCTTGAGGGGGCGATCACTTGCCAAAGGCTACCAAGGCCCCATCGTCTGTGCGGCTCTTATAATAGGTGAGCCCTCAGGACCTGGGCGCGGATGCGGAAGTTACACGATTGAGGGATAATAAGATTGAGGGATAAGATTAAGGACAGAGAAATCCGTAGTACATACCGGAGATAGTACTATAACATAATCGGACACCGAACCGGCGCAACACCAAACTGGGAGCCGCACCAGCCCTCATCAAAATCCTCAAAATCCTCACCACCCTTAAGCTCCACAAAGATTTAAAACTATACCAAAAAAGACTCCATATATTAATTCTTAGTATTTCCAACTTGATACTTTAACTAATTATATTACTTATTTCTGTATATAATATAGTAAATCTTCTAATATTGTGGTGGATTCCGGGATGGTCAACATACTGCCGTGTGGTACCGCCTTCGGATGGATCTCTTTACTGTCTTATCTCCCCAAGCTTCTCTCTTTCTTTGATTAACTTAATTAATATAATTATTATTATCATTGATTGATAACAATCTAGTAGTATATTCTACCTTTTAGAATAATTCAGAGTCTCTTTATTTCTATCTCTACTATTATATTATATAAGAAAATTGTGAATTATTTTCCCTTCAATTTCAAAATTCGAGATCTTAGTCATTCCAAGGCATATAGAATTAAAATGAACTATATTTGATATAGAAAATTCCGAATTATTAGATATATTATCTTCATTATTCCACCTTCTGAATTGGGCTAGGTATTGTCAGAGTCGGCTGTAGGGAGACATTCGTTGTATCATCATGAAGTTGTTGATTCTTAGGATCCCGAGACGGGATGAACTAACTAAGATCTAACCAAGATAGAATAATAGAATAGAATTAGACTTGCTGTCTTCTACTATAATATATAATAGTCTTTTTGTAATAATATTCTTATTATAGATATATATAAATAGAGATATAAAGTATAGAAACTATCTAAGATATAGTAGATAATTAATACTAATATTTTTTATATTTATTAATCTTTTTAATAGTAGTAATATCTAATATATATATCTACTAATTATCTTTAGATCTATATCTAGACCAATAGATTAGATACTCTAGAATAGACTTCTAATACTAATCTTTATAGATAAGATACTTATTAATAATTATTTCAACTTTATAGTAATTAATTTAACTAAAAAAAAATTTATTTTCTATATAGTATAGTTTAGAAAAAGTATAATCAAATAGATTAATATTAGTAGTAGACTCTAGCTGAGTAATAGATACTACTAGATAAATAGTTTAGAAGAATAGTAGCTTTAGCTGATAGATATAATATTTAACTATTTTCCTAAAAAACTAATAAATTAAAGTATAAGCTTCTTTTTAGTATTTTTAATATAAATAGAGAGTATGGTATAATCTTAATATATATATAGATATATTTTATTACTAATATTAAAAGATAAGAACTTATATTAAGTATTATAGTACTTCTTTAATCTCTAATAAATATAAATTATAGTACTTCTTCCATATT